ATTAGTTATACTAATATAATTACCTGCGTTATCACCATTCTCTAGAATAGCAAATCCCTATAATATCTTTTACCTTAGTAGAATTACTAGTCTTACATTTTATATCATTTAAGTTAGTCTATAATAAACTCCAAATTTTATTTTCTTCTACTAGCTTCCTTCTACTAGCTTTCTTCCACCAACTCTTTTCTTTTAAATTAGCTTTCCTCAAAAATCTTTTTCTCTAGTTTTCTTTCTACCTCACTTCTTATACTTAACATTTTCTTATACACTTCTCTTACTTTTATCCTCATTCTTTATTTCTATTCTTTAAGGTAATTAGTCTATTTCCATTTAGTATAGCTCAAAACTAGCTAACGCTGCTGCTACTACACGTACTACCTATATAGCATCTCCTCCTCCAAATATTATCCCTTCTCCAGCCCACTCTAAGAACTTATCCATATCTTCAAATCGTCTCTTAAACTATTTATACAGCCATTCTTCTACCTTAATCCCCTAAAAGATTCTATAGTATAATAGTAACACTATATTACTATACTTACACTTACTACTTTCCTCCCCCTACTATTCTGCTTACTAGCATATCGACTATAGGTTATAGCACTAGAAGCACGCCTTATACGCCCCAATCCATTTCTTCCCACTCTCCTCGCACTATCTCCGAACCCAATCTCAGGCCCGGAACACCTTATACTAACGAGAGCATAATATAAAGCTATAGTCCCACTCCTCTCCACTTACTCTATATAATATACATATCCCCCGCACCACTAAGAGGTCCTCATAGTACCGTGATAGCTCTAAGTATACTTCCTATCTCTTCCACTATATTATTACCGCCCTAGTGTGCGTCTTTACTTCCCCTTCCTTTACTCTTTCCAGCAGCGGCGGCACTACCTCGTTATAACCTACCTTACACACATCACACACAACGTCCTCCTCCTTCATACACCATCGCTAGTGCACTAGCAGATCTAGATGCTTACTAAGGCACATATAGAAGCATTTAACGCCCCTAAGGTATTCTTATATTACTCTCCTCTCCCTCTTCTTCCTTAAACTAATGTCCCTTCCCGCGCCCTCCCACGCCTCAACGGGCTCCTTAGGATGTGGCTCCTACTACGCCTCCCAGCTTACCGGCAGCATAACAAGCGAGTACGCCTACTACCCATCTCGCCCCACCCTACTAGACTCCTAGGCGAAGTCGATAATCAAATCTAGCTCATTAATATACATTACTAGACGTATATATAGGTAGTTAAACCCAGCCCCTAGCGCGATAGTCGCCACTATATATAGCTAGTCTAGCGAGCCGGTCCACTTTATTAGCACCTCCTCCTTCTCCGTCGCTATCCCAATCTTAGCCGTGTATATAGCGCACTCTAGTAGCACTAAGAGCTCATTAGCTTTAGCTCGCATGCGTATATAGAGGATAATCTTGTCCTAGAAATAGTTAAACAGCCCACTATTCCTCCACGCCTCCTAAGCTTCATACGCACTCTACTTAAGCAGGTTACCTCGCCTCTCCGCTTTTCGTATAATATAAAAGAGGTTCAGCCAGTTGCTTAACACCCTAATAACCTTAGGGTTTAATAGGTGATTCTGCTCCTTAAACTCCGCCTACATAGCCGGAGGCAGCGTAGCGGTAAGGTACACAAACTAAGTGCGCAGGCTACAGATTACCGCTAGGTCCACTATACTCTACCAATACTCTACTATAGTGACGGTAAGATAACACTTATCGACGACAATGCGGTCAAGCCTCTAGCCAGCCACAAGCCTCTACCTATACGCCATAAATTCTCCCGTTAAAGCCGCCTCTACCGTCACTAGCACCAGCCCTACCTCCTACATCTCCCCCAGAAGCCAAACTAGATAGTTAATGCCTAGCTCCCTTAACTAACGTAGTAGATCTCCGCGTAAAGAGACTAATAGTACTATAAGCACTATCACACTAGCGTCTAGCAACATGCAAGGTAGCATAAACAACAGGCTCTTACCGGAACTAGTGGGTAATATCATAAGCACCTACTCGGTCTAGGACATAATAGTAGTTATAGCCCTCTCCTACTCCAGCGACCTCCACGCTATATCCTCCTTCCCATAGAGGCTCCTTACCCCACTAAGTAATATAGCTAGTGACTAGGCTTTCTTCGGCCGATAGACCCCTATAATGACTTTCTTAACTATTACCAGGCCCTTTACCTCTTCTAACGCACGTCTCTTCTTACCCTTAAGCACTATATTAAGGCCCTAAAGATCCTTCTATAGCGTTAAAGCGCGTAGGCTCCACCTAATTAGGCCGTCCTAAACATTACTAAAGTTAGCGTTATTCTAGTTTACATAAGCTTAATTAACCATCCAAGTAGTATAGTTCCGCTACTTAGTCATAATCCTAATATCCTCGTCAATCTCCTTAGCGTCCTTATTAGCTAGATCGGGGTCGAAGCAGCTCAGCTCGCTAGCGAACTTAGTCTTTATAATAGCAACCGTCATTTAGCGCTAGTTAGAGATATGTAGGCGAGGCACCTTAGCCTAAGCGCATACTCCCTCCATACTATAAGTGAGCCGATTATCCGCCTAGACCCCATCATTCTTCCACTATAGATAGGGCGAGATTAACGCCTTCGGAGTGAACTAATAGAGGAAGCTCTAACATAGTAGAATTACGCAAATAATATAGTCTAGTAGGAGATCCCCTACCGCTAAGGGTAGAAAGCGGATATTATCCTTATACGCGCCCGTCTACTACTAGCCCTTATAGTATATTGTATAGAGTATAACTAATCCGTACTAAATAAAGACGTTACGCCGTCTCTAGCTATTCCGCTAAGTAATTAAGAAGAGCTCTAGCTCCCTAAGAGGCTAACCTGCACCTATATAGATTAATACTAGAAGCCTTTTTAGAAACTTATCCGCCGCCGTCTCGTATAGTATAATCGCCTTATCACGCCAAACCCGTCCTCCACCGTCCGCCTCTACTAGAAAAGAGTCCCTAAGCTGCTTAGAGTTCTAGATAACCATCTACAACACCCTATCTCGGCTCTTCAAGAGCCCGACGTTCTCTTAATAAAGACTAAAGAACCAGCTAAAGGCATTATAGTTCAGGTTATCCCTTAAAGCGCACGCATGCATCTATAGTAGCTATTAAGCGCCGAATATTAGCTCCCCGTACAACAGCTCACACGCCTACTCGTACTCTAATAGTATTAGCTTTAGCACCTCATCTATCTATAACTCCGTATCATTATAGGTTAGAATCTGCTCATCCTTATTTTAGCGCGCTTAGTGAGCCCCGACGTCGTCCTTAGAGATCCTAAGTAGTAGTAGCCGCTACCGCAAGATCTCGCCTATAGGGGACTCGGCCGTCTACTATAGGAACTTCTCATAGATCTTCTTAATCAGCTTTAGCGCATCCCCTAAGCCCGCTAGTTCCTAGCTAGCGCTATAGTAAAAGATAAGCAGCTACACCACCCAGATTAGGCCTAATAGGTGGCTGCTATAGTCTCCTAGCTACATCTAGCCTAACGTTAACAGCTTCACGCTAAGCATTACGTAGAAGCTCACTAATAGGGAGGTGTATCACTTACCGCTAAAGTTATAGTAGATAAGCCGTATACATAGTATCTCTAACACCCTCTTTAAGGCCGGGCCGTCACCTGCACCAGCCACCCGCAGCGTCCCTTCCCACACGTCCTACTACTTACTACTAAGATAGATTATATCCTCCAGCTTACTTCGCTTCTAATACTACTACTACTACTCCTAGCTTCCTTCTATCATAAAGTAATCGCGGTCGACCACGCGGTATATATAAGCTAAGAGTTGCTTCTATAAGCCGAAGTAAGCTACTAGCATGCTAGCTTCTTTATCCGGATCAAAGGCCTAAGTCTTCCCTAGCAGCTCTACCTTAGAGGACTAAAAGCGGTTTAGGATAACCTATTAAGGCTAGGTTAACATGCAGTCTAGCCCATTAAAGCACCAGCTATAAGCCTCTTATAGAATAGCCTCTATTCCCTCTAGCATAGCGGCTAACTCTAGCTCCTAGTCGCTATCCTTAGGTAGAGCAATTAAGGCCCGAATTTCGTCTTTCTTTAGCTCTTAAATATGCTCTATAATACCGGTCCTCTTTAGTTAAGGCATAACTACCAACTTATAGCTATTAAAGCCGTGTACCTTATTAGCCTCCTTAGCTACATCACGCTCCATCTATCTTAGATCCTTATCCTACTAGCGGAAAAACTCCTCCTCTTCTATTACTAGCGTCGCAGACCTCAAGTCGGTAGGCTTCACGGCCCCTTCCTCCACCATAAAATATCTAATATACTGCGTCTCCGTAAAGAAGGTCTAGAGCTTACACTTAGCCTATAATAAGGTTAGCTTATTATGCTCTAAAGGCTTCTAGCTATGCACCTATAACACGTGATCCTTAATAGTTTTAAGGCTTTATATAAGCCCTTTAGAGTAGAGGTAGCAACAAAAGCTATTATGCTACTTAAGCCCGTCAATCGCCTAGACAACCTCCTTAGCTAAATAGTGAACATCGTCTGGCGCGAGCAGCCTATAAGTAGAGAAAAGTTCGATTAAAGATTTTAGCTATTATCCGAATATTCAATGCGGTTAGTTTCTAAGGTGTCGCTTCTAGAGGTCTTATTTTAGTGGTAAATAGAACCCGCACTCCGCGTAGATAAGCACCCACCATTCGGGATTATACATAAAAGCCTCTATTCTATTAATAGAAATATATATAGTTAATATACAGGAGCCTTACAATATCCCTCCTAGCCTAAACTATACAAAAAAAGAAAAAAAAGACCTCCTTTTACTATATTAGGGTAGATAGAATTACGGTGATTTAATTGCGCTTACCTAGGCCTATGCGCACCCATAGGTAGGGGTAGTGCAGCCAATCAACCCGCTAGGAACTGGAAGTGCGGTGCACTTCTCGCGAAAGATAAGAGGTAGCATACGAGTCCTAGAGTCGTTAGTACGCCGTCATGGCTAGAGAGTCTAGATCTACTGCAAAAGGCAAGGCCCGATATTACAACAGAATTCGCCGCAATACCGGGTGCGAAATTGAGTATCTTATTCCTAATACTCTACAGAAGAAGGATACAGATGGCAAGGCGGGACCGCTTGCTACTGCGATCCTGCAAACCCTAGCAGTTGCCTCTTTTGTGGAGAAAGACCCCGAAACACTCCGTGGCACGATCGCACAGGCCGTTGAGAGCAAGACAGGACGTAATCTTGCGGCCCGCTATCTGAACAAGCCCTGGATTCTTAGAGTGGATTGTGACTGGGTCTTGGAGCAATGCTGCCAGCGCAACGGAAAGACAGTGGAGTGGGCTAAGGATAGAGCCAAGAAACACAAGGACTACAAGCCTTACTTAGGGGCAGCCGATTCGGACGTAAGTTATTAACAGCATACCAGGTACAGATGCAAGCTAATAGATGCTCTCCTGTAGACCGCGGAAGCTGGAGGTTATGGCAACTCCGACCCCAGTAACATCCGGCAAGCAGGAGATCGCGAGAATGGTGAGGCTTCAGAGATAGAAAGAGGAAACGAAGACACCTCCGACTCAGATAGTCGCAGGCTTTCAGATGCACAGAAGAAGACGGTCGACAATGTCGACAACTCTACAAAGAACAAGAGTCGCAATTCAGCGGATGAGCTCATGGGGCTGGGTTCGCTCATGGAGGCCGACGGGGCATTTCACCAGCAGTCGAGCTCTCCCCACCACTTCCCGCCGAGTCCTTCAAGCCTTACCGGACTACCACGTGCCCAGGATAGCTCTGCTGAGGTTACGATGTTATCTGGTAGTTTCTCTCTTTACTGTACTACTGTCGATGACAGCGGCGATGAAGGTCCTCCAACTAGGGAGTAGAAGATGTGGTTTAGGGCAAACGTTCGAAGCGTCGATGATTGGAGCAGCGCCCCGATAGTTAGAGCGGTGGGTCGCGAGTGTTTCTGCAGTGGCGCGGAAGACATTTACTCCAAGTAGATATCTAGCGGACACGTGTAGCGGGTGGATGTGGCCAGTGGGCGTGGAGCGTTTCTTTGTAGTGGACAAGCTCTCAATGGCCAGGTGCGGTACTTTCATTACCATAGCCCCTATTCCTTCTATTAGGCTTTCACGGAGAACTAGCGACGAATACCGTATTATATTACAGGGCTAGACACCGCGCAATAAATTATAGGCCCTGGGCCGTTTCTGCTACGCAAGCAAACCGAATAGTCATCGCGTCGCTTTATATACTCGACGTCAAAATGCTACTTGGATAGTCAGTGCGGGTGTTGATAGCGCTGTACGGCGTTGTAACATCGAGGTATGATGGAGTAAGTAAGGCTATTCGTCTGATTTTTAATTCCGTGGAGTACATGCTTATTCAGTCTACCTACTTCGCATTCACCCAAATACTTCGCGGTTCTTTTATCCAATTCCGCTTCTCAGAAGACTCTTACTGCACCGCTTGTATTGGAAAGGGCTTGGAAGCAGTGCTTATAGCAGTGGGAGGTGTGTATTAAGAATGCTAGGAGTGTAGCTCTCTAAAAGAATGCTGTGTGTACTATTGTAGATCGTCAAGTCAAAAGGATGTAGATACGAGAGAGAGCAAACTAACTACTTTGCTAAGAAAGTAGCGATGTACGCCAGAGCGAAGGGCGGAGCTTTATGCATTGTGCGACCACAAGCTGGCAGCTACCATCCCGAAATAGATTCAGCAAACATTGCACGCTAGGCTCCTCGTCTTGTCATTAAACTTCTCGAGAGTTTCACCCCCCGGAGCTGTGACCCGGGTGCTGGGCTGATCCGTGTCGCAGCTCATACCACTAATATAGAGAATAGTCAGTCAGCGTCCAGGTTTGACGTTCCCATATCTACTGAGGAAAAAATGAAGTCCATGACAGGGTTGAACTGCAGACACGAGAGGGAAAAACTGGAACCTTTGACTCACGCAGAGAGCAAGCCCGTAACGCCTTCCTGAGGAGAGCTTCTTATCTGGTTCGCTCCCAAGGCCATCTTTATAAGACACATAAGAGGTTAGCACGACACTCCTAAATGCGTGGTTGCCTGACAAAGTTGCTGGAGGTGAACAGATGCGGCACAATCCAGAGTCGAGCTCCAAGATTTAGCAAAAGACCTCTTTGTCACTTATGCAACCGTCTACTTTGACCTTGGCGGCCAAGCCCAAAGCGACATTCATAGCGAGGACAGCGACAATCGCGGCGGATTTCATAGCGTCGGTGGCGTCGCAACTTTCGGCCCCACCTCCAGCGGCCTAAGGAGAAGAAGCCACGAGCCTTGTATTCGGACCTTGGTCGCTTCGAGCTGAAGCCGTCACTGTTCTTAGCTTCCAGACCACGCCTGTAAAGGTGCCGATACTCTGACGCTTAGGGGTACTGTTGGACGGGAGCTATGTGAGAAGAAGAATATCTTCTAGATACTGCTGTTCCGTAAGTGTGCATTATATATGTCAAGTCATAGCTATTATCAAAAAGCCATGGGCGGGAATTTTCTTGAGGGCTCTATTTTGTACCTTTCTTCACCGAAAGTTGCATTCTAGCAAAGAGCCAAGTCATAGTCTTAGTGCCATAATAAGGCGAGTGTAGGTAGATGTAGGTAGCTATACTTTCTCGCACGCTCTATAGCTCAAGCCGGAAGGAGGTGCTGGGTTATACATCTAGGTACAAATGCGCGTGCATTTCTCACGAGCACTTGGTTATTAGAAGGTCCTGATAAGTCTTTCATACTTTAATACTATCGCTATCTCCGACCGCCTTAACATATTGCCGGAATCATTTCGACCTCGAAATGAATAGCGGCCTATACAAAATCATGTCTCGCTTACTACAGGCTCGGGATCGAAACAAGTGGGGTTCCCGTGCGAAATAACTGACCAAACTTTAGCAACTTTACGAACAAACCGCTGCGGTTCCTATTCTAAAGCTTGATACGAGCTATTATATTGTTTTCGTTGTCGCCGTTAACATCGTGCTTGAGTTGGAGTAAGTTTTAATATTCCGGAGTTCCAGCTATAGAGGCTATATAGTGGCACGAGCATAGCACTCGCAAAGCCACATTGACTATGAACCGCAAGGACGCCCGCGTAAAAGGTGTGATAAGTACCGGTGGCGGAGAAGTAGAGGCAGGTACTAAGCATTTCACCGATCATATGCCGTTAGTTGTTATTTATTCAAGCATGTCGCCGCACCAAGTTGTTAAACCTGCAGACGATATCTGTCCGTTCGTTTATTTGCCTGTGCACCATGTCTTTGTGTGTAAGGAATGCGGACATGGCGTGTTACCCATGCATGGAGATAGCTATCTGGCAGGAAGCAATCGCAGGTTACCAGCGGGGGAAAGGAGAGAGATTATAGCGTAGGTTCATCGCATAGGTGAGTCCATCCGTATAGATAAAGATTTATTGGAGCGGTTCGTACAGCCGGAAGGAGTTATCAGCGAGATTCCATACTTGCCAGTTTGCAACGACGGGCTGGCGTGCGAATTGGAGCAGGCGAACGGCCGTTGCGATTATGTGGTCCGGATAGTGGAGAGAATGCAGAGGCATTGCCGGCAGTAGTATGGCTGGCGCAACCCGCAGTGTAGAGGTAAATCGTTGGCGGGATGTCGAGAGACGCACAAGGCCAAATAGGAGTGCATTGCCAGCCCTTTTTTACCCGAGGCCCGAGGCAGGACTGTTTTTAGATAGAAGATAAGAGTCGGGCGAGAAACGGCGGTTGTAGCAGCTAGAATAATAGCAGAAGCATCGCGAGAAAATTATCAGATCAGATCAAAGAGCGGCGAAGGAAGGTGGCAGAGAAAGAGCGTAGGAATAAGAAGAATCAGAAAACATATTGCTTAGGGAAGCTCACCTCGTAATAGATATGACGTTTCGTTAGTTCCCGGATACTCGACTGACGAGCTTGATTAAGCAGCAAGCCAGGTATCTCGACGCGTCGTTGAGGCTTCTCGGAGATCAAAAGAGTTTCCCTTGTATACTCTTAGTCGAACTAGGAATGCCACTGAATCTGGTTGGGTATAAGAATGTTCTCTTGCGACAAGACCGAAAAAGATGGATGAAGCAAGAGCGGTAGGCGAGCCAGCCGATTGGAGCCTGACTAAGAACTAGCTGCGTACTAATAACCTGGCAGTCGAATGCATATAGATGCCTCTTTGGGTAGTCCTCTGCTCTTTGTATGATTCTTCTCATGGAACTTGACCTACTAGCCGCTTCGTCCGCCACTAAGATACCTAACAACGCACGGTCAGATCATGCTTCAGCGACCAAAGAACCTCGCGCATGCATGAGTATACGGAATCGATTAACGCACCTAACCAATCGGCCTTCCGGCTGCTGCACTACCGTTACGGCGAGAGTATCAATACTATCGCGCCTCTAAGCTCGTCTTTGGGGTTGGAGGACTAGCCCTTAGTCCGAGCAGAGCAATGTGAATCAAGGTCGCCGCCAGGCCTGGCCGGGACCTTAGCCCAAACACCTCACCTCGTTGACTATCGGTGATGGGACGCCTAAGGGAACTGCACTTCGCCGTCCTGCCTCCAATAAATCGATCTGCAGGTTGCTAGTATTTGGCATGCTACGATACCGGGTGTGCGAATGATTTCCTCGGTAGTACTAGCGCTTGACTCGCGTATGCGTCGGCTTGACGGTGCGCGGATGGAACACTATAGGGGTGGTTAGTAGCAAGAGATTGGTTGTCGACACCGACATCTGCAGCGACGTAGAGTAATTTTTCCCTTATCCTTTCCCGCTCTCCTTTCCATTCCATCCCATTCTATCGCTCTCTGGATTACGCCCTGACATCTCTTAGCGATGCGGGCGCCCTCCTACTAGCAGCCGCCCTCCTAGACACAACACTTCTTACCATCAATATCAACGTCCAGTCTTCGTAGTCCGCCTTTGCTGTCTCTGCTGTACTCGGCTACTACAGACACCCAGACGTACCTATAGGTCCACAGCATCTAACTACAAACAACTACTTCTTTGACTCGCAGGACTACACACTCGGCGAGTTTGCGAGCAAGGTCGCGTACTGTTGGCAGAGTGGATCGCCGCGTTAGGGCAGAGCTGAAGAGGTGTGGGAGCCTGTAAAGTCGTACCGGAAAGTGCTATCAACGGAGGAGGATGGAAGTATAACGGTAGCTAATGTTACTTTCCTTGAGAACGTGCGTCTTGTTTTGCTCCATAGTACAGCAGTCTTCTGATACAGGAGCGGCCGATGAATGGAGACTAGAGTGGTGGTATTAGCTCTACCCCCTTCTCAACTCAGGGCCGGACGAGTACTTCCCCCTATTATGCCCTGAGCTCGTCGCAGCGAGAGTGAAAGGGCTGGTCGCCCAAGAGGGTGCTTTCCCTATAGGCCGCGGATACAACTTCTGGGGCGATAACCCGCTGCACACGGCATATGTGATTAACAACTAGCCTAGCAGGATCACGTTTTCGGGTGGCGAGATAGAGGAAAAGGTGTTCGCCGGCGCGAGGTTGAGTGTTAAAGGGCCGAGACATGATCCTATAGGCCGGGCGTACGGATGGTATTAGTGACTTATCTTCAGTCCAAGCAAGCTCGAACACGTAGTGCGACTACCTGTTCTAGTTATCCCGTTTGATATTGAGAAGCCCCGTGCTGACTGGCGGCACAAATTAACGGCTACGATACCCTCCGAGTGTCGTGGAACCCTTTGACTATGCTGTACGCCGTACAAGGTATGCTACCTTTTTCTTAGGAGACTGTGCTCCACTTTCGAAGCATCAGCCTCTTCGTATCACTTCCTCGTTCTGACAGGAAAGTAGGCCTTGGCGAAGACTTCCGATACGCAAACTTGTACGGCTACAACCACGTGCTGCCCGACGGATCGAATACGTAGGGTTTTGACGAGGAGCGGACAGAGCAACACTGGCTTGAGTTGACCGTCGACGGCGCAACGGCGGGAAGTTTGCTAGACGAGTTGTATTTGAAAGGCGCATGGTCCGTCGTAATAGACGAAGCTGGATCCATGAATCGACGGTGCAGGGAAACTTCGATCGTGGATGGTTCCCCTTAATCTGCAATCCGCGGCTACTATAGCATTGAACGGGATATCGGTGCGCTGGAAATGTAATTCGTGGGAGAAGACCTTAATAGCAGACTTAGTACCAGATAGCGGTTCAGAATGATCTTTTTGACTTAGTATTTCGTCCCGTCTTAACTTCTCCATACTTTGGATTCGTGGTAGTGCTAGGTTCGAGTTCGTACGCAACCTTCTTAAATTATAATAAAAGAAGGCCGCAGGCCTTCTAGCCTTAGCAGTTACCTCGTAATACAATAATATGAGCATTATACGATTCTAGCACAATAGTGCTTAGCTTACCCTGCCTAGTCTTGTCTTTAGAAAACCCTCTTGCTACATCATTGGATTTTGCGCCCCCCTTTCAGATTCGTAGGTGCCTCTTCTCGCCTCGAGTGCGTCTCTTAGAGGATATAACTGACGTTAATGCTGGTTGCGGGCTTGACCTTGCTGGAGGACTTATCTGGCTTTTCCGCGGACGTATCCTTCGCTTTACCTTTACTGCTGTTTGCGGCGTCCTTTGCCGTTTGATGCTATTAGAGTATATAACCACCTTCGGTGCTTAGCGGTACGAGAGATTGTGGACGCGAAAGTGGGCATGAGCGTGGGCGTGGGCGTGGATGTGGATGTGCTAATAGCGGTAAACTAAGTTTTTTGCCGTAGATGCTCTCTCTAGGCCCATGTGGCCCTATCTAAGCGCCAATTGTCCTTACTAACCTATCGTGGGGCGTTAAAAAGATATCCTATAGCTTCGCCATTACTCACAATAGCAGCTGCTGTTGGAACTCAAAGTACACCTCCTCCCTACCGCACCCCTTCCACCCACTGTCCTTCTACTACATCACCGGTTTCTTTCACCCCTGAGGAAGAGACCGCTATTTTAGAGAAGGCACAGTAAACCTCCTATTCTTGTTGCCCGGTCCTCCGCCCACCCATCCTTCCAACCACGTACTAACGCGTCTCAGATCCTCGTAGACCGCTGGACCCACCTAACACACTAGCGCCTCCAAGCCTACCCCTCGACCCTCTCTGCATCTAACACGCTTCTCGCCGCCCCGCTGCCGCCGTGGTTGCAGAACCCTGTAGGGAAGAGAAAAGAGGAGTATGACGTGTTTAGGGAGATGCTACATAGAGCGCTAAACCATGTCCGCGTGAACGAGTACAAGCCCGGCGAGGGGATTATACCGTATGAGGATAGCGGCGCTTGTGCGCCCTTGGAGGGTCCGGGAAGACAAAAGCGTTAAGGATCAAGAGCTAAATACATGAGGCCGCAAAGGTGCGTCTATTTACCTAGGGGTAGAGATTGTAGTGTTTCGAGGTTCGGCAGCTAGAAGAGGGCATGTAGGAGGAATAGTAGAAGCTAACAGCTAGTAGTAAAGCGTTATAGGCGCAAGGAGGAAGATAAGGATATAGAGAACAGCGAAGACAGCGATAGTAGCAAATATATATATAGCACCCGCGGTCCGGGAGAGGGAAGCTAATTACACTAATACCTACGAATTGAAACTACTATGTAAACGTCTAGTAGCCCTTTAATTCAAGCGTGAGGCGATATTTATTACTAAGGGCGTTGTGGCCTCTAAAGTGACGAATTGCCTAATTGGGAAGAAAATCACTTCGCGGAATTTTATAATCCTCTAATAGGATTCACGCGGCAGAGGAGGGCTAATGCTATTATTGAAACTGCTACAATGATATCTAGCAGCTATAAGTTTCAAGCGTAAGGCGATGTTTATTGTTAGGGGCGCTGTGCCCTCCAAAGTGACGAATTGCCTAATAGGGAAGAAAATCACTTCGCAGAATTTCATCACCCTCCAGCGGGATTCGCACGGCAGCGTAGTATATATCTCTACTGTAGCAAGACTTGCGACACAGCAGTCAATCGGCACTAGGACCCTTTATCTTACGACTAGATACACAAGTGCGTTGAGTATCAATTCACATCCAGTAATCTTTCGCAGGCGACTTGCAGCGAGAAGTGAGTATATCGTCTACAGCTACGAAGTCTCGTATGCGCTATAATACAAACAAGAGCAAACCAAACCAAGCGGCGAACCGAAATCCGAAAGCTGAAACCCGCTGCGTCTCCCCTTGTCATTGTTCTTGGGCCCCAGGCCCCCAGCCAGCTACCCTAATCCTCCAGGAGTTTTTTCCTCGAGCTGAGCTTCCGTCTAGCGTCCCCATGGACCTTCTTGTTAGCCAGGATCAGGATACGTCTCGCTTCCTACGAAATAGTCAGTATTGCTTGAAGCTTCAAGGGCATAGTAGCTGACCTTGTCAATCTCGAGCAGCTCGGCCTCAGTGAGCGTATGACCGGCAACACCCGGCTTGTTCCTGTGCTGATACAGAGCCCGGACGGTTCCGCAGATGTACATCGGCAGATCGACAAGATCTTCGTTCGTGGTATTGTCGTCGTTGATTTGAGATTCAATGACCTCCAGCCATCTTGGGACCATGGATCAGCGGAAGATATGGCCACCAATAGCCATCGTCTGTATACCCGTAATACGGAATACAAAATGCACCGTGCCGCTCTCGAAATACACCGTCTGTCCTGGCTTCACGACAACAAACCTCCACTTGTCTTGACCCCGAAGGTAGTCTTTCGTCCACTCGGCGCTCTCACCCGGCGTTGGCTTGTGGAGCCAACCGAACCCGATCTGTCCCTCTTGCACCGTAATCCACGTGGAGAAGCCGTGAGAGTCTTGATGTGGGAGTGTCAATGCCCCCCCTTCGGCCATTAAATACCACTGCTCAATGGTTTTGAAGGTAGCGCTCTTCGCGTTAGTGACTTCCCGCTTTGCAGTGCTCTCTCCGACTTCAATCTTTCGAATCGCCTCGATCAGGCTACAATCTAGGTGATTTAGAAATTTTGGTAATACCAAACGCAATGGACAGTGGAAATCGAGGACGTTCCAGGGCTCCGAGCTGGGCTCGTTCTTAAGAAAGCGCGCCTTCACGGCACCTAGCGTCTCTTCGGCAAAGGACGGGGACTCTAGAGGAAGCGCGGCTTGGTTCACCTTAAGCTTTGCCGCGTCCTTCGTATGGAGGGTATAGAGGAGCTGCTCGATGGGGCGTTCCTTACTCCAAGCCCACTTGTGGGTCTATTGACCCTTGGTGATGATCGGGACGTCTAGAGGCTGACCCCTCGCGATAATATCTCTGGCTGCATCGCCGGTTAAGAAAAGCACCTCCACCTCAGCCTCAGGTTGGGAGGCTAATGTCTCGTTGGACAGCGGAGGGTGGGCATCTTAAAGGATATAATACATCCAGACTCGATTTAATTGTCCCTAGGTTATAGCAGTCTTAGGGTCTGATACCTCCAGCTCACCCATCATAATGGCCTTATACTCTTCATCCCTCTCAGGTTCGTGAAACAGTTGCTAGGTTGACGACGATGCCTCTAGAACTAATCGACGTGCACTAGGCTTCGGCCGCTTTGCCGCTGTCTTCGCTTAAGCTTCATAAGGGTCATATGCCCGAAACTGGATGTTAATGCCTTCTCTCTTATCGGCGGCGGCAGCCTTCTTGTTATCGCGGTACTTGCGAGTGTTCGCTTTGCGATTCACCGTCTGACGTGGAGGGGACGCGTCGTCAGAGTCCATGCTGGTGTATGTGGGTAGGCGGTTGTGTGAGATAATATCTCGCGACTTAGAAGGCGTGTTTGGACGGGTGGTGCGTGAGTGGGCAGGTTGATGAGGTGAGACAAGATCTTCACGGACGCGTTGCGCGCACGAAGGTGACAAAGATGTTTGATGTGTTGCGCGTATGGGAACGAGGGAGGTGCTTGAGATAATATCTCTTCACGGCCAGTGAGGAACTTGAGATCGAAGGATGCGTGTGACGAGGCCTGTTGATGACACGCGACTTCGAAAGTATACAGAAAGTGAAAGCGAAGAATCTTAGTCCCCACCTTCACTTCATCGCGTGGTCTGATCACATGACGCTTGTCATTCATTATTCTTCACAAACCATTTCCGTAAATTAATCATTCGAAGCTCATAGAACCATGACAACCAACAACGACGTCCCTCTATCTTTTTGGAGGAATCTCTCCACAGACGACCAGCTATGGGTTCTCAGCTTCCTGAAACCAGTCATCCTCAAACAAGCGCCGTCAATGACGGTAGAGCAAAGATTCGAGGAACTCAATAAAACTCTCGAGCGTACGCAGCAAGGGGAGCGAGGTCTTTTGCAGTGCAATGTTACGGCCATCCTTCGTGTCCAACGACGGCCTTTATTCACTGTATCGGTCTAGGTAACCCACGGAGATACGCGAGTTGAATTGAAGATTCTTCCAGGTATGTAGCAGCTATTAAATTAGCACCGCGAGATTGTCTCTGACTTGATGAATATCTAGAAAAACCGGACCGTACCATCGACCATTCTATCCCGGCCAACGCCGCAGTCCTACTTTTGACTGGCCTGATCCCGCCGGGATATCTTCCCCAACGTTCGATGACTGATATGCTTCGAAGCTGCGCCGAAAGGACAGCAGAGCTTCGTGCGAGCTCGGATGGATACACGCTGGCCGTAATACGGCATCTTACTGCCGGTAGTCCGCTCTTCTCTGCGTCCTTCGGGTTTATTTCACCTCGCACGTGCGGTGCCATTTCAAGCGAGGCTCCAAAAAGAGGACTCTAGTGCATGAAAGTCCTCTGCAGCTAATATACGGGCTTCAGCAGCATGTTCAGCCATACATACGCACCCAGGATCGGCAGCGAACAGAGCCCCGATATTTGGGCCAAGCAGCTTATACTGATGGACTACCTCCCGCCTTTTTGTGTAATCGGGTTCAGACATGACTGCTTCAACGACGAACGCGCGTGCCGCTGCAGCGCTATTGCTGGACTAGTGAATTTTTCGATGCGCCGGGATGGTGGCTCATGTGTGCCTATAGAGATGAGATGGGCTAGAGGAGTGTATAAGCAGGCTGCGGTGCGAGGTGTTCGAAGCATTCTAACAGCCTTTTTACACCCACTATACCACGACCGAGTGATGCTCTCCCAGCTGTCAGATAATAGCCAAACCTTATTAATAAATAAGAAGCAGCTAGCTGATACTGGTGGGATCTTACAGCGCTGTATTCCCGTCGTGGTTATATTCGAGTAGATATATTATAATGGATTACAGCGCGGGCAGTAATTTATTTGTATGTTGGAGAAGGGCTTGCTTAGACTGCAGATTGGGTCTTAAAGCATGCGAGTTATAAGTAGCAAGATAAGACCCAGCACAGCTGCTGCATTGTAAGAATTCTTCCTTATACTGCACTACGTGATCTCCAGCTTCCACTCAGCTGCTGCGACATGTGTCAGTAAGGGTGCAAGATCGACGAATTAACTTCACACGCGCTTACCTATTAGACCACGATGCTTCCGGTATGACACGGCGCCTCGTCGTAGTTAATCTCTGCTTTGAGACCCTGGCCTTGGATTTACTCGCAGAAGCCCTCGAAAGCGGCAATATTATCCCCGATAGTAGTGCTCCGGTGCAGCACGCCAATGCCTTCTTACCATGATGCGAGATTGCCGAAATAGAAGTTGTACTCGGCTGCACTGCTTAGTGCAACATTCAGCCTTAGAGCATCGGCAATGAAGCTATTGCGTTGAGGCTTATCTACATCGGCGCATACAAAGTTGACTAGTATTAATAGTTTTTCGTCGCCGTGGAACCTATCGACGGTCGATAACTTGAGCCGCTTCGGCCCAGCGGCGGCAATAGTTGAAAGGGCAGCGCCGAGCTTCGCTTTCGAGTCTTTATAGAAGGTGATGATGCTAGTGTTATTAACTTGAATGGCCCTGCTATTGGGAGGTGCTGGGTGTGATAGCAGGGTATTGGCGAACTGAAGTGTCCGCACTTCTAGACCGACGTTGAAGCGGGAGGTTGATAGCGGCAGCTGTATTAACGGTGAGGGGATGTCGAAGAAGATCTCTCGGCTCTCCGTAAGTTATCGGAGTTCGGGATCAATGTCACTGTGCAGATGGGCATGAGCTAGGAAATCTTGCACCGTTGCTGCTAGCTGAGCATGCTTGCCGAGGTCGTACCGTGTGGCAAACTGTTCGAGTTTATAGAACGTGGAGGGGAGCCGAGTCAGCTGGGGGTAGGAGCGGTAGTTGGTGCTGAGTTTCACCGGCTCGTTTGTAGGAAAGTCTCCGAACAGCTAGAAGATGGACATGATCATGCCTCCTTCAAACTCGGTGGCCTTTGCAGATACCGACAACGACATCGGCCGACGTTGATGAGGGTCGGCGACGAGACAGACCGCCGAGAGTGTTTTCTCATCCGTCAGATAAGTGGTGAACTTAGCGACGCTTATGAGGGCGGCCTCGTCCACTACCAGGACATCTGTAGCGAACGCGGTTCGTAGGAGCTTATTGCTGGTCAGGCCGCCGGTTGTGAAGACGATGTCGATTTTGTTGGATAATATCCGACTGGCGAGTGAATCGAACAAGTCGTGGAGGTCGGCACGCTCGGTGGCGCTGTATTTCAGCTTCTGATGCAAGCGGAGGTATTTCTGCACGTCTGGATCGGTCTCATTTTGTTGGTAGAAGGCTCTAATATGGCCGGCGAGCGAGCGCACTATCGCATCCTAAAGATCTCTACTAAGGTAGCTGTTTTCCTTATCGCTGATGATGGCTATGACGAGGTTAATGTCCGACACTATCGGCTGGTTGTCTTGCCGGGTCGTGGCATTGTTAGTCCAGAAGTGCTGTGCGGTGGATTTCACCTGACTGGTGTAAAGGCGAACTATGTTCGCCCTAAGAGGAGCCTAGAGATTTGCCGGGAGCGCTCTAAGCATTGCCTCAACCACTATAACGATCCTCTCGACAGCTGGGTTAGTTGGGTAGACCACTTTCACTTTTAATCGGAGGCTGCATAGCACGAGGTTGATAGCCGCTGTGGTGCGGCTTTTTCCGGTCCCCTAAGGACTAATGATAGGAGAAACCCCGTTGCGGATGTCTGAGGTTGATTTTTCGACAGCGCGTAGTTGATTTTTGTCGAGGGTGTTACGAAAGTATCTCATGAGGTCGTCGGGGAGGTTGACGACCTCCGTGGTCATCAAATCTTCTTCCTCTTCACGCGGAATGTAAGCGCTCTGGAAATGCTCGAAGAGATCTAAGCTGGAGCGCTCTGGGTAATTCCCGAAGAAGTACGATTTGAGGCGGACTCCACTTGGGAAACGAGGCTTGTACTCGTTGTTAATGAGCGCCTGCACCATAGCAATCCAGTCGTTGGTCAGGAAGTCCGGATGTACGAGCTTAATGTTGACTTTTTTAAATCCATTGCAGTTGAATATCAGCTTATAAGGGGAATCGGCGATCACGACAAGGTCGTGCGACCCAGAGACACTTGATACGAAGCCGTCGCACCTAATTAGCATTCCGTCTAAGGTCCGCCTCGTGAGTTCCATCCTCGTGCCAGCAGGAGGCAAGGCAATGGCTGACTCGTGGTGATAGTCCTTGGAATGCGCGAGCTTCACCACCCTAATGCAGACTCTCCAGAACGGGGTGCCGGTCAACCGCTCGAAGGTGGCATCATGCCGGACGGCAGTGTTGAACGATTGCTGCAGCTGGAAACTCAGGAAGTCACGGTCTCGTTGCTGTGCGATGGTGAATGTGGCTTGGAATGCTTCGCTGTTGGCGATTGGAGGCTGGAGCGGAATGCAGTTAACCTAGTCTTCGGTCTCTTGGCCGTTTTTCGCCGCTTTCGCCGTGCCAATCAGCCAGCCAGGATATGGTGGACGTCGATTTGGGGGAAAGTCGAATCTGACTGCGTACGACGGCGAAGATTTGACCGTACTGAGCCATCCTTTATAGCTAGCGTAGTGCCAGAAGGGCTAGGTAGGGGTTTGTATACCAACTCTAGATAATCGGAGGATTCCTTTAAGCCACCGTAGCTACTCCTTAGTGTTATTGCCAAACTAATCCCCGTTGTGAGCGTTAAGATCAATAACAAGCGAGATTGTCTTCGCTCCGTTTAAGGCGGTGGCGTTTCGCTGGAGGGAGGCGGGCTTGTCCACGAGCGCGGTTTTCTGCCACACGGGGCGCGTTGAGTTGCTCAGCTCCAGGGTGACGACTACGAAATCGCAGTTGGGAACGAACTCGAGGATTCGGTCGGCTTCGGCATAGGCGCGAAAGCTCTCAGCTCGGAGGTCGGGTGCGGATGGCGGAGGTCCAAGATAATACTTGGCATTTGAGAACAGCAACCTTGGGATCTGCTTGATGCAATGCGTGGTGATAACAAATTCGGAGTGAACATTCATGCCGCCCTCTTCCCATCTGAACTCCAGACTGATCTTCGGTTGTTGCGAGTGAAGTTCCAGTCGAACGAAGGGGAATTGAGTAAGCGAATCAGGCCGGGGGCGCAGAGCACCGAAGATCAAGGGCGCACCGGGCGTACTGCCTTGACGAACGACTTCGAATACAGCGAGAGCGAGAAACCACTTCTTGACTCTGCGAGGGAAGTCGCGGCAGGCCTCTCGTTTTCGGTCGTTTGTTTGTTGTATGAACCATTGGTTCGGATCTTCCATGCCTGGGTTGGGTCAGAAAACATCAAACGATCTTGCAAAGCTGATTCGCATCTCGGCCTGGACATAGCTGCAGATCTTCCAGTGAGGTGTTGCTTAGATCGAGTAAGATTAGGCTGATAGTTGGACGGTGTGACGAGCGACGATTGCTTGTAGATAAGCTCTATCGTCAGTGGCACTGGTCGTGTGACAGCGGAGTGAAGTGCTGCCTGAATGATTGCGCCGCAAACCGGAACAGCTATAGGGCCAAACGTTCACGTGTTGAAGGATCAAGATATTCCGCCAGCGACTCCTCTCCTATGGTTTTGAATCAAGCCAGCCACTAAGCGATTCACTCTCAACAGCGAAGCCAAAGAGCTCAAGCGACGAGCACAATGCGATATAGTCGCTGTAGATATCCGCGTATGACATTGGAAAACTGACTCTACTCAGTGACCGCCGGTCTAGATAAAGCACATCTGGCGCAGCAGCCGGCCAACAAGGTCGGTGAATTTGGTACTGATCCTGAGCAAACGCTGACTGCAAATAGTCACGAACACCTCGTGCAAGGCGATGACCCTGCAATTCCTACGGCTCGCATGGTCAAGTGTTGTCATTGCGCTACATTACGAATGGATTCTGTCCAGAACAACCCCATGTGGATTGGCGAGATGACTGTGCTAGTCATCACATTAGTTGGTCTGGCCGTCAATGAAGCGCTGCAATAGAGACCGCGACGCACCACCGTCGTCTTACTAGTCTACAGCATAGCATTGGTAGTGGTTACCTTTGCGTGCACGCTCGCAATGCTGGGCAAATCTCTGAAGCCTGTAGATATCGGAGTGCTCAGCACGCCAGCCTCTTACGTGAAGTGGGCCAACTATCCGGCTCGTGGCGAGGGCTTTGTGGAGATGCAGGCGGCAAGCACACCAGGTTCTGGGCCAATCCCGACTCTGGATGCAGCGGCTCGTGGGGATGCTGGCGAGGCCTAGTCTACAACTGCGCACGAGGGTCTGCCCCTTACTTTACCTTCCATCACAGGCGTACTGTATGAGATGGTCACCTACCCGGTCATGGTGATACTGGAGATGGCGCTAGAGAAGTAAGTAGGCGCTCGTTCCAGCCTCGCATTCACTTACTCACATGTGACATTACTAGGAGAAGGGCTTATCATCGATACCGACTGAGAATAGGCAGGGTGTCTAGTAGCCGGTCGGACTAACGCAGACGAGCTTCGACGGACAACCCCGTCGCGTCCGTCGGTGTGAGTTTTTTGAAGCTCGTCCGGCCGTCCATATCTTGCCGCCGGATAAGGTCGATGAGGTTGACGGGCTTGGCATAATATTCGTAGTGTTTTTAAAGTTCTAGATAGCCGGCAAGTCTTCCGCGGCTCTATAATTAGCCACGGAGCTAGTTGTTCCACTCCGGAATATTATAACTCTACCGTAAGGATTCACCGGTTTACCACGTTTATCTACTCAACTAGCTGTATGTAGCAATATGCAACGCTATCTTACTAACTCTAACCTTACTTATATATCTCTATCCTCTAAATAACTAATTAAGTCGGTTAGACTAGGATGCAGTAGTATTGCTACCGTAGAAACCGTGCTAATAATACTAGCTACGCTGAAAGCTAGTTCTTAAGTTACGCGCGCGGCGCTTTAACTTCATACATCACGGCTAGTAGTAAGCTAAGGATAATAGAAGCACCGCGGACACAATAGACAGGCGTTTAGTATAAAGGCGGGCATCAATAGACAGGATCTTATGTGTTCTGCCTAAGAAAACCCTGCCGAAAATTGCAACACCATGCCAAGACCCGTTCAGATCTATCCAATCCCGTCTAGCCTCGTCGAACCGCCCTCACCCCGGCTGGAGCCTAGTCCGCCGGTCCAATGGCGAGCCCTTACCTCGGCGGACCGTCCGAGAGTCTTGGACGAGGCCGGACCGGCTAATGGACACCCTGGGAACAGGGCCATGCTGAAGACGGTGCAGCATCAGTTAGGTGCGGGCACGCGAGTGGAGTTGGGGGAGCGGTCTGTCTCACCCGGAGGAGGAGATGATGATGGGTGACGGCAGGGTTGATAGTCCCGTGACCCGCCACCGAGAGGACATCGCCTCATCCGTAGCTTAGAAACTGATCTTGACGGCATCGTCGTGCTAACAACACTCTCATTCTTCTCTCCTTCAAGCTACACCAGACTTGATATTGTCAGGCTCTCCAGCATCTCAACCTCCTCGAGACGTACCTCCCCGACATTGTCGGCTTCTCAAACGCCTCAGTCTCCTCGCCACGCGTCTATCGTCCGACATTGTCGGCCTCCAAGGCACTTCAACCTCCTCACAAGCCTCCCAAACACCTCCACAACGACTCTCATTCTTCTCTCCTTCAAGCTACACTAGACTTGACATTGTCAGGCTTTCCAGCATCTCAACCTCCTCGAGACTTGCCTATCCGACATTGTCGGCTTCTCAGACGCCTCAGTCTCCTCACGAGCCTCTCAAACACCTTTAAACCCTTCGTTAAGATGTCCAACCATCAGTTCAACAGGCTGCCGGCGTTCTCGTTTCACGGCTCCGGCAGAGGAAATGGCAGACATTTTGTTGCGCTCAACACGATCGAGCAGGCGCGAGCTGCCATAGGACATGGCGAAGTACACAGGAGGGAGCACACCCGCGAGTTCAGAATAGAAAAAGACGCGTTGATAGACACCATCCGCAAGACCCAGGCTGAGAAGCTCAGCCGGCTCGAGCGCATCGTCTCAAGCTCTGAGACGGACCCAGCGTCGGTAGATCTGCTGGAGACGTGTCTGTCCAGTGTGGGCGAGATTTTTAGCCAGAGCCGCCACAAAATGCATACTCAACTGCTACACTGGAGGAGTGAGCATCGCCATCCTTTATCTCGCGTAGAAGAGCTGGAGAATGAGCTGAAGGCTCTTCGAGGTACGTAACATCACTTGCCTCGTGTGTGTAGATGTAGACTGATCGTATTCTAAACAGCCAGCCTTGCATCTAACGAGGTTCGCATGCGATTAGAGAACGACCTTCAGGCGACGCTTCGAGCCAAGAATGACGAGATCAACGACCTCAAGGCTCGGCTGGAGGGTAAGAAACTCACCTTCTCGCATGGCACGCGCTAACAGAGTCACAGTTGTGGACGAGGAGAAGGATGCTGCCCTTGACCAACAGCAAGCGCGTGAGAAGAGCTTCAGCGTTGAGAGGGGTGGGATGGAAGCAGAGATCTCGGCTCTCAGATGTTGGTAACTCGCTATGCTATATCATCTCAAACTCGCGCTGACGCTATCGCAGCTCAGGTGGCCGGTTTGATCGACCGAAGGGTCGAAGTAGACGCCACCAATGCGGAGCTTGTCAGCAAGCTTGCTCGCGCTAATAGCGCAAAAGAACTTGTCGAGCAAGAGAAGTCTGAGCTCGAGGGCCGCCTGTCGCAAGTCAAAGAGAGCAGCAATGCCCGGACCACACAACTGCGAGGCCCGCTCAACAGCACCAGCGGCAATGCCGTCCACTCTCTACCTCGCACGCCGCTGTCTGCGCCATCACTTTTCTCAGTATCCAATGGCGACGGCGGCAATGCCGTCCACCCTCGACCTCACACACTAGCTTCTGTGTATACGGTGCCAGATGGCGATGATGGCAAAGCCGTCCACCCCCCAACTCCGCTCGACAAGGTTGCACCCTCCCCTGGGCCAGAGCGACGGGGTTCAACATGGAACAAGCAGCTGGCTTTGAGGCCCGGAAAACGGACAGCGTCAGGGCCGTCGGCGCAAACGCCCAAGAGGGTCAGGTCAACCTCATCAACCACTGGCTGGCAGCAACGCTTCACGTTGGAACTATACGACCCCTCGATACCTACAGTCTTGCCGATGACAGCTCTGCAAAAAGAGTCTCAGGATTACATCGATGGATGGATGACGCATTTTGCGCGGAATTCGCGCTTCCCGATCTTCTCGACGACTGGCAAGGGCGCTGATGGAGCGATCTGCCTCGGCGACCTTTTCATTTCGAAAAAGCCACCGAACACGGACTGGGACCGAACGCATGCATGTGAGGACGTGTCATACTTGGTGTAAGAAACGAGCTTACGTCTATTTAGCGTCCAACTGTGTCACAGTCGGCAGGCCGTGTATCGTGTGGTCATCAGAAAAGAAGACTTTCCAGCTGCTTCCGCTCCCTGACGACAAACGAACCGGTAGTATGACGGACTCGTTCTTTTGGTGGCGTGCGATGCTGTCACCGCCGTCGCCTAAGCTTTGATTGTATCGACATTATCACGTCTAGCATCTAGCTCTGCACAACGCTGCCCGACAATTTATCTACATCTATATCGCTACGTACAATTTAGAACATAACAAACGCAAATAATTTCTTCCGTTGTAGCTAATCAAGATATTCCGACTCCAGCGCATGATATGGCGGGCGACTTGCAGCAGCCAAGGGTTTAGACACAACCATCGATGATAGCTTCGTTGAAGAGAAGATCGAATTGGAGATCCTAGGTATGTGGGATCCTTAACATGGAGGATGCTAAAGCTAACTTCATACTAGTGATGGCCGAGCGCCTGTTCCATCCCGTCTGCAAAGACATCTACCTCACCTCCATCAAAAGTGCCGAAGGTTTCAATGTTATACTGTTCGCTGAGACGATCGAAGCGGGTCACAACTTTCCAGTGGATGCTTCCCTGTTGATGAGCTTCCCTTCGCAGATAGCGGCCGCAGGCGCGCAGCAGCTGTGGGATCTTCTCTTTCGTACTGTCTTCGGAACGGTTGGCTAGTGGGCTCTCGATGGCTGTCACTCATAGTCAGGTCTTCTAAGGAATCGAGTGAATAGAGCTTTGCAACCTGGGCGATCGACTTTCTTCTGTGTGAGGTGCTATGCGCTGTGGTTTCATTTGCTATTATCCTCAGGTGCAGCCCTACGAAGCCCGAGAAGGCTTACACACCTCCGCTGGGCCATACGAGCTGGCAGATGACTCCTTACACTGCTAACTGCCTTCCACTGCTTCTGACATCGCTTGGATGGAAGCGCTACCGTCTGTTTCGCACTCCTTGCCATGGCGCGTCATTATCGCGTCTCGAGCGCGCCATCTCTGTGCGTCGCCGCGTCGTCATCTGCGTTGGGCGCGATCGGGCTGCTACCAGATCCAAGCGAAAGCCAACTCCTGCTTATGCCCTTCCATGACTCTCTACCTGAGGTCAATCTCCGAACTGTAGTCTCGCGAGTCAAGATAACTACTCTGCATCAATCTTAAAGGCATTGCCTCGCCACACACAAACTTATTGCGTGCCACTCTCCGAGGCATTGCCTCGCACTTCAGAACCTCCTACCACCGATCAGCCCCGTCCCAGGTGGTCCTCCTCGAACCTCGACAACTTCTACAGAAGACTGTCATCATCACAGTGAGTGGTTCGGCTTCCATGTGAAGCTGGAGAGTTTGTGTGTCTGACCAGAGCTAGACAGGTGCGATGCTGTCGTTCAGGGCTTCCGAGATCGCAGACAGCGAAGGCGAACCGGAACCGTCGTCGGAGTGCAGCACACACGATGAGGTTCTCGTCAAAGGAACGCAGGAGGGTTCATCAACTTCTGCAAACCAGGGCCAGGCAGTCACCGGCGGAATGGGCGAAGATCGGGTTGAGTGCACACAGTGGGTCTTGTCGCCTTTTGGACCCAAGGAGCCGGCGGTCGCCAGCGGGACGGACGTTGCTGCAGGTGTCATCGTGCGTGCCAGAGAGTTGGTACAGTCAACGTTGATCATCACCGAGGCGGCGAAACCGTCCGAGTCAAACACACGCAGCAGGACGCCGCACATCCTCACCGAGTACAGCAAGCTTCTCGAAGAGAAGGGCTACAGAGCCTTGGTCGACGCCGTGACGGCAGCAGAGCGTAATTGCGCCAACCTTCCGCTAGACCAAGTCCAGCTTTTTAAGGACACATGTTTGATGGTCCTGGCATCTACGCATCCAAGAATCCTTGAGGAGATTATGACCGGGAACCTCTCATAGGCCCGCAAAAATAGCCAAACCGTGCGCAAGGCCTACGAAGCGTTGCAGCGGGTGAGGGAAACGGGCACAAAACGCCCGTGTATTTACCAGCAACTTCTTGTCAACCAAAATGGCGAATCGCCAACACCAAACGAACTCCTTCAGATCATCGGTCTGATGCGGAGATACTTTCAGGATGACCAGCTCGCCGAAGAAATCGACACCGCCTTGGAGGACAAGATGGGACGGTTGAGGAAAGTAGGGGGTTCAAGCCGCTCGAGGAGGTACCTGCACGGCCAGAACCACACGGCGGACAAAATATCTACCAGCAAAGTCGACACACTCCGCCAGTTCTGCGACAATGTCGAAAAGCGCATCAAGGCAGTGCCACCAGGCGAAGGAGATGTTCCGTTTGTAAGGCCTCTGGCACGCTTCGGTTTCACCACCCAGCCTGCGGTCCGTTTTCAGAACCACAGGGATCATGTCAGTTCAGACACTCTCATGAACCTGACAGAATCTGTCTGCTATCGTTTCTTCCCCAAATATGAGATTGAGCAGTCCCTCGTCTTCGCGGCTTGGGAGCCAGGCCAGGGCTGGGCTGCGGAGATCCTATTCACAAGACTCGGAGGCGGCTACATTAATGCCGGGACGGGATTCGCCGACTGTAAGGCCGGGCAGAGTATCCCCAAGGTCATAGATCTCCCAGACAGCTCCTATAGGGAGTGGCAAAACGCCGTCGTACGAGACACGTTCTTGTTGGCTAATTTGAAAGAGGAAGCACGACGGGCGTGGGCAGGGGCAGAGGAGGCAGTCGCGAAGGAGCGAGAGGAATTGAGGGTCGAGCAGCAGAAATTGGAGGACTTGAGGAAGGAGATAGCGCTGCTTGATGAGCTAGAGTACAATATGGCCAAGGAGGAGCTGGCGAGGGCTGTCGCGGTGAAGGAGATGCTTGATCGGCTTGATGCTGTATGCGACGAGATTGAGCTGCAGCAAGCTTCGAAGATTTAGTAGTGGGGATGCGAAGATGGTCGCTTAGTCGCTGCATCGCCTATCGGTCCCATGTTTGCTGCCGTTGCATGGTTTTATGTTTGCTCTTGTCGCTTGATCCCATGGCTGCTGCATCGTCTGCTGGTTTTAATATTCGCTGTTGTGGCATGGTTTCCTGAACCCACTTTCACTTCAATTCATCCCAATATGCAGTAGTGATCACCAATTTGAAAGCGTGGATTACGGGCTATGGTGACGTCTTGCTACGATAGTCGTATGTAGACTGATATTACATGCTAGCAGCAAGCATCTAGGCTTTCAAGCACCACAGCTCAATCCATCTCCTCATCCGGTGATCCAAGCCCTGTAATCGTGAGTACCTAGAACCATCGTCTTTCGTGTTCATGGTCTCATGCTTTGACAGCAGTTGACTTAGGCGTTAACTCTGATTGGGAAGTCGTAGATGTACATTGGTGGTTTTCGGCTACGCTGTCGGGCTGTTAGTAGAGCTTCGGTGAAACGTCCAGAATTCGAACGTACACTAGGCATAGTTACAACTTGATCAAATAGGAATCTGGAAGACTTGATGGTTGCGTTCCAGGCGGGCGCGACGAGGGTAGCTTGCTTGAGGGCGTATCCGTCCAGGAAAGAGAAGATGTTGTCAAGGATCCGGACCAAGCTAAGTGCCCTTCAACCTCGCCTCTGTGTGCAAGCGAGCCTTGGTTGGAACGAGGACTGGAACGCTGCAAGCCTCGTTGGGCATAGGACGCGGTTGTCAGCACTTGTACCGTCTACTAGATGCTTGGAAGGTGCTCACTCCAGGATGCAAGACTCCATGCTTGCTTGATCTCGTGCTGGCAGACTGGGTGGGATGCTGGCAGGTTTTGGATGATTCACCCAGACAGGGTTGAAGATCTGAAGTGAGGTGGAGTTGGGACAAGGCTACCTTATGGTTGTTGAATGGGAAGCAGCCTAAGTTACCTGCGGCATCATATGACGCGATAGAGCTGCAGAGTTACGTTATGTTGAATGCTTCTCTAGTAGTAGATGCGAAGTCCTCTGTCTAGCTGATAGGCTCTGCAAGTGATAAGAATGCTCAGGCGATTCTCGAGAAGCAGATCGAACAGCCTCCTAAGTCGAAGGAGGCATACTGTAAGTTCAATATAGGGTATTTATCATTGATCAGGATGCATGCTAGAGCCGGAAGTGATAGCATCAGGCCTAGGTTAGCCTAGCGAAGTTACAAACTAAAGTTGCGGACATCCAGCTACCTTGCGGGCGAAGGTGATTTTCTTCCGGATCGGGAAATTCGTCACTGCGGGCAGGTCACGCCCTGCACTCCGTCTACTCCTATCCCCAATCTAGCTTTACCACTAAATATAGCAGTGTCAACTCTTTTATTCGTAATACGAAATTCTAGTATACTACTCGGTAGGCTAGCATAACCCCTTTTATATCGATCTCGCTTGGCTTGCCTTGTCTATCTTTGCTGCAGAAACCCGCGTCTTCTGAACTCATTTAACGTGCGCCTTTATAGCTCGTAATACAAGCGAACCAAGCAATCTTACAAGCCTCGCAACCATGGTATCACCCCAAAACCGCATTTAAGACTAGGTGGACTACGTGACGAATACGATAGTGGTAGAGTCGATGGAAAGTCTAACAGCTTCCTCGTAGGCCGACGAGTTCATTCTCACACCAGGGCAAGCTTCATCAATCTTCTCATTTATGGTTAGACTAATCAATAATAGTACCGAGCAGTCTATCGCCGACGAGTATGCAGCTAGAAGGATAGGAAGCACTTTATCGCTGGGCACTAAGGAGCTCTACACCTCATTCGAAAGGATAATCGACCTGCGTTTCCGGTCCCCTAGCAGCGTTCGCGGACAGGCCGGCGTAGAATCTCGCTAATACATTAACAACCTTCACGGAAAGGTTGACTTTGAAAGCGATCTTACGTCTTATTATACGGCGCCCTCCGCGAGTTATGATAGCTTGACTCTTCACGCTAGCTTTACTCCCTCAACCGAGCTCCATTCCGCTCGCCGTATAAACGCACTCTGGATGGTTCTTTTATGATTGTTTGGGTTTAGGCTTTACGCTTATCATGCTGCTTAGACGGAGAGCTACTTTCCTAAGGCTTTGCCTGTGCGCTAAGCTGGTTCTGCAATTAGGCTAGCTTGCGCTTTGCTATCTTCTTTCATCTAGTGGAGCTCAGGGGTTATCTGAGAATGGCCGGCAGGAATTTGGGATGATTTTCTCTTTTATTTTCATCTGTATCTACATCTCTCTACCGGGGATGCAAGGAGCAAATCCGGAAGATAACGCTGCGTCGTTGCGATCTGAGAACCCAGTCAATCTTCAACGAAAGTATTTAGTTACAAGATCTCTACTAAGTGTCAAGTCTCTATTGCGCAATCATTAATATATAGACTACGCATATCTATAGTATATAGAATCGCTTAGTAGAGTCTAGGTAGTGGACTCGTAGCTCTAGATTAAAATGCTAGCCCTAATAATTAAGACTTAAGTTATATTAATAATCTAGTAGCTCCTCTATTTATTTAACGCCCTCTTAAGTGGCGGGAAACTTAACTAACTAGCTAGTCCTACGTAGATATATTACTATTTAGAACCTCTAAGGCTCTAGTAACTCCTCTAGAGTATCTCTAATACCTAAAATAGCTAGTAGGCTCTTAGTAGGAATAAAAATAAAGGCCTAATTCTAATATACGGTCTAGTGCTTAAAGGTGTTACCTAGCACTAAGGTCGAGGTCAGTCATTAGTCTCTATAAGATAGGGTAGTTACATACATCTTGGATAGCTCAGCAGTTCTAAGCGCACCCGTGGGGTCATGGGTTCTTTGCGGTAGCTCCGAAAGACCGTGGGGGCATCTAAGGACATCGATAGGCTATGATATACCTCCACCGAGTGCCAGGCGGGAAACGGTATAACATATGCGGATCTTAAAGGCACTGCAAAGCCGAGGCTTCCCTATACCAATCAATGCCTATCATGATCTTCCGGGCAGTTTTGACTTGTCTCCCTTGCAAGTTTCATTCCGCTATAGCTCCGTGGAAGCTCTTCAACCGTTGCCAAGCCTATAGCACTTGATAGTCTAGGCCCACCCTCCCTGCTTGCCTAAGACCAGCTCCGAACACAGTTCGCTATTAAGCTGTTAGAGAATTTCTCAGGCTTCTCGACGATGGATGCGCAGGCAACGCACCCGCCAGACTACAGGACTTGAGTACTAGTAACTTCTCTTTCGCGCCTATTGCGTGATGGTATCCGAGCGCCTACTCTAACCGCGAGGCGTTGTCTTCGAGCTCTCTAGACTCTGAAGGCGCTAGTGGGCTTAGGAAGCTGAACGATGGAAGCTTAGCATTGCAGCAATCATCTCGCCATGGAACTAAGGGCTGAGCGGAGCTTAGACTTCGTAAGTCGCAGAATTATGAGACGCCGCCGTTGAGGTCGCCGTTGTCGCCGCTGCCTGCGAACGACGATGGCGAGGGCGGAGCCTTGTAGCACAAGCAGGAACCGCCGCCAAGTTCTGCGCCTACCACGTCTTGCAGGAACTTGTCGATGTGTTGTCCCATCGCCTTGAAGAGACCGTCGGCAAAGCCGCGTGCAGAGCGCTGGGCAGTGGCAGTAGTCGACATGTTGCTCGTACGCGTTCGACCGACAGAGCGAGGGTGCCGTTTAATAAACGTTGGAAGAACGACTGAGGTGTGGTAGGAACAGGTAAGAAGCAGGATTGCGCAATGTAGAAGATCTGGGTTGAAATCAGGTGAAGGGTGCGGAAGAAAATTCACTTCATGACCGGTGAAGCAGGAAACAGATGGAAATTAGGTCACGTGGACGGACATTCACCACCGACTTAGCTGTTTTCCCGAAGCTGCGGTGGCGGAGGTGTAGAGGATTGTGTCCAGAGAACGTTCGAAGCATTCTCACCTCCATTTCGCCTGCACTCAACAACTCTATCTCAGTCCCGTTGAGTAAACGACCTCCCTCCACTCAGAGCCCCTCCACCTCTTGAGGGAATCTCTCCCTCCCAGCTAAAGACTACGTTATGCTCGAGGCTCTACACGATCAATACTCTATACTGTCCGTTCGCCAACCGCGGTCTAGTCCGTGCCACTGGAGTCTCACCCAGGAGAAGGAGGTTGGCGACGCGGTATGGCAACTGTATGTCCCTGAAAGCTCTCGTGTCCGGTCAGCCGGAAGCGAAGCGGGATCCGACTGTGGGTAATGTGGGTTTAGTAGAAGGGTTTTGCTCGTCAAGGGAAGGGCGTCTCGGCTGGTAAGGTGGTCGTTCTGTCCTAGAGGTATTTCCGCTTGGAGAAAGAAGCGGGCATGGGGTGCGAATGAAATGCCGTTACGTATACCTCCTCGTAGGCGGAATACCAGCTCTTCCAAGGAGTCTGCCCTGAGTGTTGCAGTCAAGAGGAGCCCTAGGTGATGCCAACGTTGGGTTACTTAGCTCGTCGGGAGCGGGAGAGCTTGAGCCTCCGTCTGGCTAGCGCGAGATCAGCAGCGTGTCCATCCATGCACCAAGCACCTGCACATCGGGGGATCTGCGAATGCAGCCAGAAGCTTCCCTGTTGCCATTTCCTCAACATACACTAGAGTACACCTCCGACCTGGGGAAGCTGTTGTGCGCTGTTCAGAGAGTAGGTACATCTCCTTTCGGTGAGACCGTGGGCCAGACAGTATCAGGCACGTGTCAGCAAAGACGCGATCATCACCAGGCCCGCGCTTCTCCCATCCCCACACTATGATGTGCATGGACTGATAGAGCTTCCTGCAGCAGGCCTTCTTTTGCGCCGCCCGCTGTTCCATCCCTCAGGCGCATGCCTTCGCTTGCTGATTTCGCTTCCGCCATTCGGCCAGCTCGCGCCTGCCGGTGCTAAGCTCCAACGGCATCAGCCCTATCCTTACCTTCCGCTCCTTAAGTACCCACAGCCCGCACGTCTTCGCCTTCTGCTCCCGGCCTGTCACACCCCGCCTCATAACCTACCAACACAACAGTATTTCTGACGGCGCCGTCGCACAGTCATGGTGAACGACACGGTCTATGAGCTATGCCTGCCCGTTCTGCGGGACGATACGCTCGACGATGAAGAGAGGACGGAGAAGCTGGAGGAGCTGCTCCGCAAAGAGACGACCTTGGCTGGCAAACCACTCGAAGACGCGATACTGGACTCGCTATGGCAATACCGAGCGGGCGCGAACACTTCAGCCTCCCCTCCGCCTTCTCGACACATCGTCATCCGAAGACAATCGCCAGCTCCCTGGCAGGTCGCTCGCACACCGACACCACTCAGCGGCTCTCCGCGAACGACAAATCCTCCACCTGGCTTGGGGCTTTCTCGCCCCGCAATCAATCGAGCAAAGTCGTCTACGGCCTCGCCTTTTACCTCCCCACGAGCCTCACCGCGCCTCGCTTTCTCGAGCCCGCATATACCACACAGTCCAAGTCTGAACGCCTACGAATTCAGCGAATCAAGTCCAGCGCCCGACATATACGGTGACTATGGTAGCGACACCGTCGATTGGCTCGTCAACGAAGACACTATCAGCAACGACTCCTCGTCGTGTGCTGGCGACGGTATGAATGTTGGAGCCGCTGAATGGGTGCCTTCGTTGGCTACGAACATGGATCCCTTCGACATGGTGCGATCCATCCTCCGCGATGATCGTTCTAATGAAGACATTGAGGAAGCGCTGGAGGCTAGCGGCTACGACCTAGGAGCAGCCCTCACGGCGCTCATGGGTGGCGCAGATTTCGAGGCTCAACAGGCCATCTCCACGCCTGACCTCGCAAGGTCAGTTCTTGTTGGCAAGTCAATGAGTCCCAACTTCCGGCCTGCAACCCCAGTCGGCCAACAGAAGACCAATGTTCTGTGCAAGTACTGGCTCCAATACGGTCAATGCGCGCGGGCGGACTGTCGTTTCAGTCACGACCCAAGTAAGACAGTTTGCAAGTAAGCTTTTGATAAATAGGCTAGACGTCGTTCGTCGTACTGACTTTGCGCAGATACTGGCTGAACGGTAACTGCCTAGCTGGAGAGACCTGCATGTTCTCCCACGACCCATCCATATTCATGGCTCGCATGATGCTCGACGCCGGTGCTTCGACCCCGCCTATGCAGCCAAACTTCCAACTGCAGGACTACGACTCATTTCCGTCCTTGCAGCCATTCATCGCACAGCAGTATATTCCTCTTCTCCAGCAAAACATGGAGCCCACGGCGCTCGAGCAGATGTATGGCCTAAGCGGTGCCGTAGCCGTCCCCACACCGCCCCCTGGCCTCAGTCCACGACCCCACTTCACACCGCTCGCGTCGAATCGGTCGTTCTCGCATTCGCGGCCCATAAGCCGGCCCCAATCCCGCGTCGCAACGCCGTCTTTGCCTGCATCCGACGACAACGAAGCTTTCCCGACTCTCGGCGCAGCTGCGGCGGTCAAGGCAGGCAAGAAACACCACGGCAAGCGAGGCGGCCATGTGCACAGGGAACCTACAGGCCCCTCATCACTCGCGGATGTCGTTCGCATGTCTCCATCGCAAAGTCCCTCAGCCGCCCGCAAAGCCGCTCGGCCAGCCAAAAGCGGTCCGCGTGAGAACAGCAATACTCTGCATTCTATCCCAGCGCCGGAACACATACCGTGGCTCGAGACGGGAGAGAGCGCGAACAAGGCGTACCTCAAAGCGAGAGCCGAGGCCTTCAAGCATGGCGGACTGCGCAACAAGTTTCTGCAGAGCGCGGCACAGGCGTGGAATAGGAAGGACTCGAAGGCTGCACGCGCACTCAGCAATCGCGGGCAAACTGAGAACGTGCTGATGCGAGAGGCGCACCGCGAGGCCGCCAGGATCCTGTATGAGGAGCGGAACAAAGATAGTGCGGGGCCAGGGTCGAAGGAGATTTATGTCGATCTGCATGGTGAGCACGTGTTTTTCCCGATCGTTAGCACAACCCAGCAGCTTCTCTCTCTTCCCAGCTGAAATCTCAGCGCTGACTCCATCACGTGATAGGCCTCCATCCCGAAGAAGCAGTCTCCTACCTTGAAGCCAAGCTCCTCTTGCACTCCTCCTCTCCCGCCCCCGTCTACGCCATAACCGGCACAGGCCACCACTCGAAGAACGGCAAAGACAAAGTCGGCAAGGCCGTCCGCGCCTTCCTGTCCGAGTGGCGCTACTCGTTCCGCGAGTTCTCCGTCCCGGGCGACAGGGGCAACGTCGGCGGCATCCTGGGCATCGATCCCAGCAGCTGGGACCGGAGCCTAGGGGAGCGGCGGAGTGGCGCTACGGATGGCGGCGCTGGAGAGGAGGCCAAGGGCGAGAGCACCAAGGTAAGGATCGTGAAGAGGGGCGAGGAGGTGGACATACCTACGGGGCCAAAGAAAATGGCGGTGGGTGGGTGAGGTAGATGAGTATAGAAAGCAAAATACTTCATGCATGCCGAGATCAACTGCGTGATGAGATTGAGAGTGTGTGTGTATTGCATTGTTGAGCTGCGTATTATCGATCTCGCTGCGCAACATCTAGGACGGAGCAGATTGTCGCGTGAACAATCATCAAAGGCCCTGATCAGAAGACAGCATAGGTGACCATGGCTGAGCATCCCCCTATGTCAAGGTAAAGAGATCAGGATAGTCATATCTCAGTACAGGGCCATCCAAGAACCTCGACGCCATTCAAAGCGGGGGATATTGCAGCGAGCTGGTCGCGCTTTCTCTCACGCGTCTTTCCGCCCTTGCTAACTATCGCAACCGGACGTTCTACCCAGATCCGCTATCACGATTCATATAGCATCAATAGTACTCGCATGATAAAGAATCGGCGGGTCAGAACATTGTTGATTCGATTGCACTCCCACCTTGCTGATACATCAAAGATCAAGACTTCTGACCTCTAAACCTGACGAAACCCCGGACAAGCCTCTCCCCTTTTGTGCCACCCGGAAGCTAGGAAATCCAACGCACACGCTGTAAAGTCAAGAGAGATACCGCAAGTCGTTGACATGTATGAGTTTGCGACTAGCTCCAGACCGTATCGCGTACAATCGTAGCGACTACGGTGGGCCGGACGATGGTGGGGATGCCCGGGAGGAGGCTGCTGCGGTGCCGGAAGCAGAGCCGGAGGCAGAGCCAGCAGTGGAGCCAGGAGCAGAGCCGGAAGCAGAATTAGCCTCCTTGGCTTGCTGTTCCCGAACATCTAGGCTGTTGGCCAAGCTTTCATCAATTTGAGCCTGTATCGCAGCCTCTAGTACAGGGTCTGCTCGGGCACGTTAGTCCTCTGTCTCAATAACCATGCAGACTTGTGGATGTAACCTTTCTTTGGTGGCGTGGGTATCAACCGCCTCGCCATCATCCCTTGGGCGATGAGGAAGCCATGCTTGTTACACGTGTCGCGACCAATGACAACAGCGAAGTCCAAGTCGTACTGCTCGGACACGTAGAACCGCGTCGTGAAGTCCGTGGCAGGGATCCAGAACGACTTCCTGTGTCTCTTGGAGCCCTCGGCACGCCACGTAAGCGTGATTGTGCCGCATGCTCTGAACCTCGTCTTGTTTGCCACTTTAGCGATAGTTCGCGGCCCCTGTGGAAAGTATTGAATTGATGTTTGAGGTATATTCTCGGCAACACTGCGCGAGATGATGTCGTCGGCCCACGCGGTGTCCATCTGGGCTCGAGCGGTGACTTTCGGATGATCGTTCCGGTAGGCGGTGACAAACTCTATAGTTCGCTGGTAGTCATCGTAGTCCGCCTTGTCAGGATGTCAGCCTGGTTGTACGTGGATTGTTTGGACTCATAGTAACTCACTTTTGGTTCGAGGGACCAGCCATGGGTCTCGCGCAATGCTACGGTTGTCTGACGGATAGTCTCGCTTGAGTAAGTCAAAGCGGTGCCGAGACGCTCCAACAGAACAATGATGACGAGGATGCCGAAGTTGCCATCACCAGCTCTAGCGACCGTAGCCTGACTATGTTCAAGACTGTGAGTAACATGGTTAGACCTCTCGTCCATGTCGAGATCTTCTGTAAGCGAGTCCATAGAATTAGCTGAGTCTGAACCCCCGAACTGGGTATCGGCTGGATCAGCAACTAGGGAGTCTTGGGCGGGGGTGGGAGGGGCAGCGAAAAGGCCGGACTGTAGAGTGGCATCCGGCTGACAGCTATCATCAACGGCCATCATGAGCTTGGGCGGGTGGAACCGTTTGGCAAGCTAGTGTAACGAGGAATTTGTGTGAGGGAGAAAAGCGCGTATCAAGTATAGTAGCGGAGTTTGATATACAGCGGACAGGCTAAAGCAAGAAGGCGGAGCAGCTTAGTCGGAGTGAAAGGTGTTGAACTAGGTGAATAGGCGAGGGAATTTGCTCATTTTATACACCACTAACCTAGGCGATCGGAGCAGCGTTCCCTGAAACCACATGAGCCTCTTCAGCTCCAGGGTTGCAGTTCTTTTCCCTCGCGATCCCTTGTTGTGCCGTTTCGGCGAACATCGCAGGGATCTCCGGATACGCTCGACTTGGCGCAGGCGCGGTTAACACGTAGACGAGTCAGTCACTCAGTCTTTTAACTCGTACGACCAAGCTTTGGCGGAAGTGTGGGGGCCGCTTGTCCGGGCGTTGCTGCAGCAAACCTCGTCTGAGCGGCTGAGTCAATAGAGACAACTCACACCGGCGTTTCGTGTGGCTCGAAGTTGCACCTTATGATTGGCATGGACGACGGCATTGACGACGAAGCCCCGCAAGGCTTGGGTAGCGGAACAGACGACTGGGACAGGGCTGTTGAGCATCATACTTCCTAACCGGCAGGAGAGTCCGAGCTCGACTCTTGTTGCAGGATGCATGCTGTAATAAGTGATTCAGCCTCATCGAAAGAGTTCACAAGTTAGCAGAGACAAGGGAGGTTCCAGTCCAGAAGACCGGCAGATCAAGAGTTGCGTTGAAGTAAAGGAGGCTCGTCAAATCTCGCGACTGTTTCTCTTCACGGGCTTTGCTAAGCGGTCTGAGAAAGTCTTATATTGGGTTCCCCATGCGATTTCGAGTGATCGCGGGGTCGACTCGTCGTATATAAGGCGCTCTCAGCTTTTGTCAGACTTTGATGGCTAAGCGCTGTACTTTCTGCGGTCCGCAGATCCTGGCGGGCCGGCGGGCCGGCGTTATGCTACACCGACTTTTGAGTTGGACGTCCGAACGGACAAGGCTGTTGAGTGCCATCTGGTCCGGGGCGGCGGGAAGATTTGAGCACGAGACTTGTTGCAGGGTTCACGCATGACGGAGAAGGCGCTTCTTCGAATCTTGATCCCATTCCAAGAAGTTAATGGATTATGCTAGGACGAGGCGTTGGTATGCGGCCCGTTTGTACCGACGAAGACTACCTGGACAGCCGCGAACCTAGACGGATGTGAGTATCTAGGTATTGTTCGAAGGCTGGGCTGAGTCGAAGGTTGCTGGTCCGTGCAGGGGTTTTGTTGATGCGCACGGACTGGCAACGTTCTCCCAAGGAGCAGGGTCACTTACGCGGCTGTGGCGGCAAAGATCTCGCCGCCTTTAGCAGTGGTAATCTGGCATAGCAACACCGAGAAGACGACGTTGAACGTCGCGATTATGGCTAGCCGTGCTGCCATCGACTGCATGGTATGGAGGAGAATAATGGAAGCGACTGGGAGAAGAGACGCAACAACACTGGAGATCAGACGAGTCCACGCAAGAATCTTGCTATCTTCGCATACGACCACGCCGTAACGTGGATGGATTTTCTTGAACTTATATCCGAAGCATTGAAAAACTCTGAGTGTGAATTTCTCTGTGACCCATTTGGAAAAGGGGTCCTCGCTATGCCGCCCTCGGAGTGAGATTAAATCGGGTGCGTGGCCTGTCGAGTCCACGGTCGAACCCCAGATATATTGATCTGCACCTCGAAATGCCTGCCGCCCCATTTCAGGCGCCGCCAGATATCTCTGTATGTCATTCAGATCGTAGGCACTGGGCTCTGGTAAGGCTGCGATGGTCGCTTGTTGGATGATGGCTTCATCTTGCTTGAAGTTAGGACCGCCGTTGTCAGTACGATATAGCAAGGCTTACTGTACTCCCGGAGCTTCTCTCGAATATTGCAAAACTTGTTCCACTGCTTTTGATCTCCGTCCAATTCTGACCGGCTGAGCCAGAACCAATCCACCGCGTACTGCGGCTTTCGACCGATAGTGCTCAGGCTGTCCGCCAACTCCAATTCTCGGAGCTCCCGCTCCAGATGCACGATTTCGGCCTGGAGATAGAGGAGATTCTGAGCGTTCAGGTCGCCAAACCGACGAAGGATAGCAACCTCCGGTATCAAGCCCATATAGGTGCCGAGTCTTGGGTAGCCGATGACAGTCCTGGCCATAGACCATCCAGGAGGGACAGCCGGAGTTGAAGCCGCCAAACTCCCCTGGTTTGACTGTGCCGCCGAAGGATTTGTCGCCATCTGGAAGAGAGCGCGGGAGGTTTGCTATTACCCCAGCGGCGTCATTCTGGTCTTCTTAACTTTCACACCGCCGCAGCAGAGCCGCAGCCTTGTCAGAAGGATTGCTGCCATAGAAAGTCCGGCTTCAAGAGGATCGCATCAGTCGTGCAGGAACGACACCACCTTACCGAGCTGCCGGTAACTCCATAGTGTCTCCATTGGCCTCAGCACTGGCATGGCTGATCCGGGCAGCCACGCAGAAGATGTACTTCGTGATGTTCAGTAGCGAACAGGTGTTCGATCAGGAGGACCTCCTGTAGAACGCAGACTGTCTGGCGATGGTTTCCAATAGACATCAGGAGCGTAGGTCGTGGGTTGTTGTACGGAGGTAGATACGTGTAGTACTACGCCAGAGAATCCCGAACGACCGAAAGAGCGACACCAAAAAGAGCCCCGTGTGAGATGTCCTACATCTCTTAATGTGCAAAAGTCTATAACAAAAATCTATACTCTCTCAGTCGGTGCATTGTGGAGGATTTCACCAGCCAAGTGGTCGCCAGATGACCGTCAAATGACGGTTAGGTGGCCGCCAGGTAGCCGCCAGGTGACCGTCAGGTGACCGTCAGGCGAACGTTAGTTGTTGGGCGATCTAAAATAAACGCGGCGGGTTTGAATCACCGAATTCGAGCGGAAGGACCCGCCGCGTACTTTTTAGATCGCCTTTGGGCGTGCCGCCCAACCGCATGTAGAGCGTTCGCTGTGTGGAAAACCAACCGTCCCACCTCACCCTCTGACCGGTGGGCAGGCATGCGGCAAGAACAAGTTCACAGAGCCTTGATCCTAGCTGCGGCGTCCAGTTAGTCGCTCCAGTCGTCTTCAATTCCCTGATTCACTTGTCTCTTAGGCGTCCGATGCCACAGGACCTTCTCTAATGCAGCTCAATTGCGGATTCAGACATGGACTCAAAGACCAGCGCGCTTTGAGGATAGGTTACAGTAAGCGTCGACTGCAAGGCGCATAATCTTCCTACTGTAAGAGACAAGGTATAGGAGGGAGCAGTCGCGTGCTTCGACGATACACAGCCTGCGGCCCCCCTCGTGCACAGCCTCAACTTGTTTACCTTATAGAATATGTATCGCCCAGCACTGCATCTGCCGTGTCCTTGATTTCCAGCTTTACGCATAGCCAAATCCAACGCATCTGTCGCCCACTCACTTTGCTCAAAAACAAATGCCGTCCACAACCCAAAGTCTATTCCAGAAGCTCCGGTCCAAGACTCAATCATCACCACTGCCCCCGAAAGCATGGAACCGAGCAGACCACGAAAAGCAGCAGCAAAAGGAGTTCAAACAGTGGCAGAAGGACATGTGAGCTCAGTCTTATCCGAAGCTCAGTTATCTCACTCATTGCTAAGGCTGGTTGTATGTAGGGATCGGAACAGATCCACCGCATCCTACTTCACCGCGTTCTATAAGCCGAAAACTGGACGGGGGTGGTGGGCATGGTAGCTGCCTGTGTGAGCCGGTTCGGAGTGTTCTGGTGTTCGGTGGGGTTTGTTGAATTTCGATGAAGTTTTGGCGTTTCTGAGAACAGCCGCATAGGAGATACCCTTGCGCAGATACGAAGTTTTCAAACTGTATAGGCCTCATCCGTCTTTTCAGTCGAGTACACAGTCTGGTATTGCGGGCCTTGCCGGGAAGCAAAGTTTGGGTAACTGCGCAGGGGCAGAATTGACTGAACCACAACCGCCCCCTCCATGACCCACGAAACATTACCCTAGAACCATCAAGGCTTACCCTCATCCGCGCAGGTGAGATCGAGGGAGCAGTTTCCTCCGCACCCGTCTCCCGTCGAGTAGACCTAACAGAGAAGAAGGCGGCCGCACATGCAGCGCCAGAGGATATCCATAAAAAGGAAGAAAGCCCGCGAGGGGAGCAAGAGCAGAGCAAAGCAAACCCCGCAGCAAAGAAACCAGGATCCACAAGAAGGATGTAGTGCGCCATGCCAGACCATGCAGCAGCCATCCAGAACGCCGTCCCACCTGCCTGTCCCCTGGGTACTGAACAAAAGAGATACACCACATCATACAAAGGAAACCGGGCGCTGCTACGCAGCTGTAGATTTCTTCCGCCCAAAGATGGTCCTCGTGCGCGACTTGTCCCGCGGCTTCTTCTTCTCCGCGTTCGACAGCTTGCGGCCCGCCGCACGGCCTCGATCATCGTCGGCCTTGTCCATGTACTTTTCCTTGTAGATCCTACGCATACCAGTCAGCCCAGTCGTTCCCAACTAACCATCCGACAACCGGGCTCCGATCCGACTTACCAAGAGTTGCCCGTCATGCTGACGCCCTTCTCCGCCGCCGCGCGATACAGCCTCGCCGCCTTGACCAGATCCTTCCTACACCCAACCCCCTCCGCATAGCAATACCCCGCCTCAGCCAGCGCATCCGGGTCCCCCCAGTTCCCCGCAATCTCAAAGCATCTCAGCGCGAGGCCCTTGTCCATCTTCGTGCCCCAGCCGTTCATGTAGCTGACGCCCAGCTCGTAGATGCTCAGCGCAAACCGCGCCTTGTGTTCTTTCCTCGAGAGGAAGTTGTCTGACTGCGAGGCCGCGACCTCCTCGTCGTCCGCGACGGCAAGCTGTGATGTGTCGACCGCCTTTTGCAGCCATGTGACGCCTTCGGCGGGCGAGGGCCGCATGCCCCAGCCGTGGCGGCAGGCGAGCGCGTAGAGCAGCATTGCGGTGGGGAGCCCGGCTTTGGCTGCTAGACGTAGGTGGTAGGTGCTTTCCTTCAGGTCGCCAGACTCGTGGCTCTGGATGCCTTTCTCGAGGTGCTGCTCTGGTGTGATTTCCGCCGAGGTGGGCTTGGTGCGGTCGAGGCGCGCTTTGATGGTGCTGGATGTCGTGTGCGAGCTGATTGAGGGCGAGGAGGGGTGGGGGCTGTGGGAAGGCGAGGGGCGGGGTGGTTGGGGAGATTCTGCTGAGCGAGTGCGGTTTAGGATGCTTGGGTCTGCAGTCACTGGACGGCGGGGGCTGGGAGGGGGGGGGGGGGGGGGGGGGGGGAGGGCGAGGGGCGGGGTGGTTGGGGAGATTCTGCTGAGCGAGTGCGGTTTAGGATGCTTGGGTCTGCAGTCACTGGACGGCGGGGGCTGGGAGGGATCTTCTGGGGCGTCGGGGGAGAGGGTGGCCGTGTCAAGCTCAGTCTTGTGGATCCTCGCCGGCTGCTGCTGGGGTGCGGCTGATCGTCTGACTGGAACTGGCTGCTGAGGAACTTCTTGGCGTCGATTGACTCGCGCTCCATCCGCTTGCCCCTGGGTAAGGAGTAACTGGCGTAGATGTAGGAGGTGCCCGGACGTTCTTCCGAGTCGGGGGCGTCCACGTAGTCCTCGCTGCAAACGCTGGCGGACGTGTGGAAGGAATCTTCCGAACAGGAGGTAGCCTGGCTGTTACCGGATGCTTTCCTTGTAGGAAATTCGAATGAAGGCCTCATATTCGCGCTGCTTCCGGAAGCCTGCCGGGACGGTGCGTCGAATGATGGCCTCGAGTCAAATGATGGTCTGGTTTCAAAGGATGGCCTTGTATCAAATGACGGCCTGCCAGCTCTGCTGATTGGCCTGGAGAAGTTGAACGCCGGCCGAGGAAGCCCTGTGCCACTCACGGAGTGCTCGGAAGACAGGGAAGGGGACCGCTGCACTGGCGCGTTGTAAGGAGAGCATGGCGAGTGGGATCTCGAAATGCTCGTGTTGCTAGAAAGATCTCGCGCTGGGAGCGAGCCTGCTGAATTGCTGAGCGACGCGCCCTCAGCATCGTCGGAGCTATCGCCAGCCACCGACCGTATGCTCGGTGTGACTCGCGGAGATCTCGATAGGCCAGGTGACCTGGGCGGAGCCAGATTGCCTAGACCATAGGATGCGGTTGAGCCTACGGTAAGTTTTCGCGGAACGCTTGGTGTCTGCTGCGGGGGATAAGTGCTGTATGGCAAAGTCGGTGGGACACGGGCTGGGCCATCTATCCTGCTTGCCTGGCTTTTGAAGTTTTCGGGCGACTGGGACCTGGGAATGCCAAAATATCCAGGAGCCTCGGAGATGCTTTGTCCGCTCTCGTGTAGCGGGGCTAGCACGCTCTTGTATTGTTGGTATGAGAGCAGTCCGACAGACCCATCATCCGACTGTATCAAAGGGTAATGAGAAACCGGTCTTCGCTCCTGCGTGTTCTCAATCGCGCAGTGCGGGGTAGTGTCTTCGTCGACGATTGCCGGTGTATCGTCGGCGGCGCTCTCGGAGCCCCCAGAGGCAGAGCGGAAGTATCCAGGTCGGTGGGAGAGCTCCTCCGAAACGACCATAGGCGGTAGCCTGCTCATCCGTCTGCCAGCCTTCTTCTCTTCATCGAAGCGCTGAGCCAGCAGCCGTGACTGGAGCGCGAATGCATCCAGCGGAGAGAGCGCCGGCGGAATCTCTCCAGTCCGCGGAGAGGGAAGGTCTCCTAAGGAGAAGCTCGGGAATCGCATGCTGTTTTCTGATTCGGACCTCAAGTCCAGCTGAGCTGGCCGTCTAGCCATTGCGCAAATGTCGGAGTGTGTGTGCGATGATGGTTGTAGACTTGGTGGCGTCAAAGAATGATGGGGATACGCTTCGGCCTTTGTTAGGGGTTGCTGAATGAGCGCAAGCCGGCGCTGGTTGGCAGTCGACAATGCAGAATTGATGTTCTATGAGGTGCACGCATGCAAAACGGGTGGCTCATCGAAGTCGCATGTGCTGAAGCGCTGTATGGAGACTGAGTTAAGGCGGCGACTGGAATCGTGGGGCAAGCTAGTTGGTTCGAGGGAGTTGTTCGAGAATTACCGTTGTTGCTTTGGGTGCAGGACGGGAAAACAGGTGGTCAAACGAGTGTGGAGAAAGAAGAGGAGAACGGCAAGCACACTGACAATGGGAGGCGAGAGCAGCCGACTGGGAGGGATTTGGGGGATGGTGTTGAGGCGAATGATGGCTTGAGGTCGGCGAGGGTCAATACGACGGGATCTTCTCCTATTCCTGCTCGACTTGGCGGCGGGTGCGCGGGCCAGCCGAACCACGAACGGGAGACCCTGCAGAGTGCAGTTTCAACGGGCGAGCGTACCAAAGTACTGCAAGCCACACGCCGGGCGACTACGTAAGAAAGATTACAAAAGAGGCACGCTTCCGATGGTGGATGTAGCAGAGTGTGAGAGACTGAAGCTGGCCGCAAGATCACACCATTCTAACATGCGCTGCTGCTTTTTGCTCCCACGCATTCATGAGCGTCGCCACAAGATGAGGCCAAGCTTCAATTGCAAGCATGGCGGCGGGCTTGTGGCTTTTTGGAGGCACCTTTTGCCGGCCGGCGCAGCCCTACCGCTCCTAATGCAGCCATGATCTGGGGAATTACATGGTTTCCAGCCAACGGCAGGCCCGGGTGTCACATGTCAGCAAATAATCCAACGATCTATTGAATCACTAGAGAAAAGCCCGGCGAGTGAGCGCTGCCGCTGCTGTTGGTTTTATGCTTGGGGGACCCTGCCATGGCATCCTATTTCAAGTTTGTCTCCTTTTGAGACCGTCATCTTGGTAAGCTGACGATCGAGGGCAGAGCATGCTCTCGACAACGCTTTGACGAGGCGACGATTTATCTCCGAAGCTGTAAACTGAGCATGTCCGCAGGAGCGGCGGTTTGCACGCCTCAGGAACCGTTCCCGCAGCCTTCCATGCCCGCGCAAGCCACAATCTGGGGTGCAGCTGTCAGTCCGGACCGTCAGCCCGTAGGTAGCTGCCAGCAACACCGAATAGGTAAAGTTCCTAAAGCGCTAGTAGATTCCGCAGCTCCGGAATGAGCACAACAGACGAATTTTATAATTTCCCAGCAATGCAATCAGAGGAGAGACCATGCCCCCAGATCGGAGATGCTCCATGCGCCCATACACCTTCCTTTCCACGTGCGCCAGCTTGCCCAATTCCACAAGCATCATAGGTAATATCACGCACTCAGATTGCAATCTAACCCACCGCGCCTCAGACAGCCTTCTCGACCCTCTCCCAAGTACCAACGCTGTCCTCCAGCTTCGGCTCAGACACCTCATCGAGTGACACCATGCGCACACCCATCATCCAGCCCACAATGCCCGCAGGCACCCAGTTACCGACAATGTCGTAAGCGACGCTTCCCCGGCCGACTCTCCAGACCTTCCGCGGCCGCTTCTGGGTCAGCGCATCGAAGACCGCATTATGCAGTTCCCGCAGCGAGCTCCCCTTCGCGACCGTGCTGTTTCCGCTGAAGAGGCCTCTGCTGCCCGCAATCCTGCTTTGCGTGACGAAATTCTGGGCATACTGCGCCCTGGCGGATGGCGGCCAGCTGTCCGTCTGCGGATCCCCGATGGTCGCGAGATGGGACTTGCCGCCCACGGCGCCACAGTCGAACGTCCCGAGCTTGAAGTGGCAGACGCTAATGCCTAAGGTGTCGAGCTCCTGCCGTAGGGATGATGTGAAGCCTTCCAATGCACCGACGACGGCACTCTCCACGCCGTGGAAGGGCGGTCGTAGGCTTGATACGATGGACGGGGTAAGCATGAGAACCTTCGCCTTGAACTCGCATACTGTAGGTAGGAATGCTTGTGCTGTGGCGATGGTGCCGAGTACCTTGACGTTGAGCGCATCACTCCACAGGTCTGGTGTCACGGTCTCTATTGGGCCCGTAGGGTAAAGCAGGTCCGGCACGAGTATGATACCGGCGAAGTTCAGGTTGTGAGGAGATGCGCCAGAGAAAGCATGATGTGGATACAGAAGGATGCTGTTGAAACGCTCCATCGCGGCCTGTGTAGCAAATGTATCAACGATGTCGAGGTGCAGCGGTCGGATGTCGACGCGCGATTCGGCTTGGACGGTCTGCTCTTCTTCGCTGCTGTTCACAACAATGTAGACGATGAAGCCGCGCCGTTCGAGGTCGAGTACTAGAGATTTGGTGATGGGGGAACTGGGAGGACCTGCGACGACTGCACAAATGTCAGACACCGTGCTCGAGATGCACCTGAGCTGCACCTACCGACAACCTCCCTCCTTGCGCCATTGCTGGCCCGTCTCGCCCTTCGCTTTCTGGCGTAGCCTCTCCGCTTGCAGTAGATGAGGAAGGCGCCTGTTCCCACGAAAGCAACGATAGCAGCCGTGATGGCTCTATTGCGCGACACCCAATCCTGCGCCTGCGCTAGATACCCAGCTGGAGGGCTTACTTTGACCGGAGGCGGTGGGCGGCGTGACGGTCGAGCGGATTGAGGCAGCCATGTTGCGGAGGCGAGCGCTTCTCGTATGGAGAGTGCGACGGATTCGAAGTGTCGGTCTGTGGCATCCGCGACGTCGGCGGAGAACTTGCGTATATCGCTGGAGACGCCGGCGAGCTAGGATATGCTAGTCAGCAGCTGGTGACTGCCGGGGATGCTCGGTGGCCATACTATGTCGAGGAAGTGCTGGTCGTCGGCGGTCATCTCGGGACTGTGCGTCGCGAACTCACTAGGTGTAGATGGGAGTGACACAGTGATAGCAGTGATAGCAGTGATAGCAGTGTTGGCTACTGAGGCGTGGTGGGGATGGTTGACAGCGGCCTGTCAGCGGAGGGGTGAAGCTTGAATGGGATGACGGCCAGCAGCGGCTCCGCAGAACGACTATCAGCACGTGAACCCGCGATAAGAGCTCTAGGTACGGATAGTTATGGGACTTCGCAGAATCGCCCAGGGGCCGTATTTGCTCTTCGTGAGAGCCCGTGGCCCGCTTTACCATGTCGGCGGCGACCACCTCTCTTGGGCTGAGTGTAAGTTCATCGCGGAAGTTCCCTCGGCTCGCTTTCATTTCCTGTGGCAACTCATGTGGTCAGTAGCTGACGTGGCCCACACTACCTAATCTACCCTTCATCAATAACTCTCTACAACCTCCCAGAAAGCTACATTTCCTGCTTGTCCCAGTCGTCGTGTTGAGCGGCTACCACGTTTTCACCAACGTCGTCCGCCTACAGTTCTTAGCAAACAGAGAGAGGAGAGACGGCAAAGTCACCCAGGTAGCCAAGCATCTACTTGAAAAAGCACCCAAGATGCGCGAGATAGACGCGCACTTCGACGCCTACGAGCACCTTGCCTACCTCCCTCGTGCAAATGAGGCCCTCCACAGCCTTCGCAAGGCGGCCTCCATAGTGAAGCCCATCATGCGCATGCGTGGCTGGAAGGTCGGCACTCTCAGCGAATTCTTCCCAGAGGAACCCGCCCTGATGGGTCTGAACGTCAACCAAACACAGCGGATATTATTGCGGCTTCGCCACCCGGGAGATGCGAGCCAGTTCCTGCCCTTCGAGCAGGTGGTTGACACGCTACTCCACGAGCTCTCTCATATTGTCCGAGGTCCTCACGATGCCATCTTCCACAAGCTTTGGAATGAGCTGCGCGACGAGTACCAGACGTTGGTTGCCAGGGGCTACACTGGAGAAGGCTTTCTGGGTGATGGAAAGAAGCTCGGCGGCCGACGAGTCCCACTTGAGGAGATGCAGCGTCAAGCTCGCGCCGCAGCAGAGAAACGTCGAACCCTCACCAAGGGCTCTGGCCAACGTCTAGGAGGAAGCTCCGTCCGGCCAGGGGAAGACATGCGCAAGGTTATTGCAGATGCAGTCACTCGACGCAACCAAATGGCCACAACGAACTGTGGTGCCGGAACGAAAGAGGGTGATCGAGCAGCGGAGCAGGCGCGACGCAACGGATTCCGGACGAAGGCCGAAGAGGACGACGCCAACAACGTAGCAATCTCCAAAGCCCTGAGCGAGCTCATGGAACAAAACGAAGAGAGAAAGCTCGAAGAGGCCGACTTCTACAGAGGACATGGTTCGGATGGGTTGAGCTGGGACCCCAAGAGCGGGCTCCAGCTGGATGGGCCTGCAACACCGCGACAGCCAAAATCAATGTTTCCACCAGCGCAAAAGCGGTCTGCGCCTGCAACCGAGCTTGCCCAGCCTCGACCCGTTCGCAGCGGCCGTCCGGTATCTCGTCTTGTAGCCGAGGATGATGCAAAAAGAAGCGGCGAGAGACCTTCCACTGCCTCATCCAGGCCTTCGGCACCACAGTTCTCAGCCAGCGCGGAACCAAGTTCGACTAGCAGCGTCTGGCGCTGTCCAAGATGCACGTTTGACAATTCGACGTATCTGCCATCGTGCGAAGTGTGCGCAGCGGAAAGGCCTCCTCTCTCCGTCAATAACGGACAGACTCGGTCAGCCAACGATACGAGGCAAAGGAGTGGTAACGGAGCAGGGCCCTCCTCCGGATCCGCACCCACACAAGCGAATGCGGCGCAGCCGCTCGGCTGGGTATGCGGCTTTTGTGGCACGTTCATGGAATCCAAATGGTGGACCTGCTCGTTCTGCAACAGGATGAAAACCTCGTCCTGATTTGCTGAGGCTAAATTGTCCGACTCTTCTCGCCTGCATTACCCTCTTCCGGTAACCGGGTGGTTGAGAAGCCCTCCTGCATGCAGCGGGTTCGCCGATTTGCAATGCAGCAGCGTCTCACCACATGAGGTGATGAGAGGCGTTGGCTGGAAGAGTCGCCATTGGATAGAGTACAGAAAGGGGCGCTGGCCAATTCGCTGCGCCAAAACATCAGCGGCACTCGCTTGGCGCAAGAATCCCGGGATTTCGGGTCAAGGCGAACAGATCCGCACGTTCGGCAGGCATACCGTCATGCGTTGGGGTCCGTCCACCGCCTGATAGCCGTTTCTCGACCCTAACAACGGCTGCGCCGTTGTTATCAGTCGCTGGTTGTGCAGCGCCTCTTATGCTCTTTGAGGTTGATATCCCCGGGGAAGGTGTCCCGCCATCGGGGTCCGCTTTCCGGTCAGCATCAGCTTTGCTCAACAGGCTTCCGCATTCGCACACAGATCACCTCTCCGCCGGGCTGGTTCCCAACAGGGAGCTCGAACTAAAGTCTTCATGAAACGGTCGATTCACACTCCCATGAAAAATTGGCCGGCGGCCATCCTGATCCGCTAGCGATCTGCGCGGACGTCTAGTGGTTAGATGCTGCTTCACGGTATCATATGATCGACGTTTCCTGCACGAAATCAGATGGTAAGCCGAGGGTTGCCCAGCACTGATGGTCATCCACAGTGGTGCGCAGGATGCCTTACGTGCACCCACGCGTGTCGGCTCCGGTCTGGAAAGGAGGATCGCGGTTACTCAATGTGGCAGAAATTCCCCGGTGAGGCTGGCAACATCTCAACGGATGTAATTCTCGGCGCATGAGCATGATTAGATTCTGAGTTCCTTAGCCTGTAGTTATAGCGAAAATAGTGGGTATCCGTAACGAAAGACTGCATACCAGCAGCCTCAGTACTGGCCCCGCCTGCCAGACCTCCTCTTCTTGTTCCATCTGCCTTTGCCGCCAAACCTCTGCTGCCCACCACCCATGCTGAACCCTCTCTCCTCCCGTTCCCTCTCCCTCTCCGCCTCGCGCTCAGCCTCCATCTCTCGCTCAATCCTCTCCTGCTCCAGCTGCTCGGGAGACTTGAACACCCTGACCTCCGGCTTCTTGAGCTCCGCTTGATACCTCGGATGAGCGCCCTCCTTACACTCCCTCCCATCCGGGCAGAACCCCGCAAGGTAGAATTTGCATATCGCATCCTTCTTGACGTGCCTGTTCGCGCAGTACGGGCCCAGCGGGCAGAAGCCGCGCTCATACCACGGACACGCCGGGCGCTTGAAGTCCGGGTCGATGTGGGCGTAGAGGCACTCCGGCCCGTTGGGGCAGGTTTGGTGCCGCGCCCAGTGGCTGCATTCGGGCATACGCCGCAGGTTGTATTCGTGGTGGTACGTGCATGCTTCGCCCATTTTGCAGAGGCCGCGGAGCCAGTGCTTGCAGACCATGCTGTGGGAGACATAGTGTTAGTCACGTGATCTTCGGACCGTGCTAGTCGAATGGCCGCTTGCCAGGGTTATCGAGTATGAGGCTTGCGGGTCCATGTACGGGCTCCGGGTGGAGGGACCGGCAATGTTCATTTTGGACGGCTCTGTTGCCTGGGTCCTTCAGATCACCGAAGTGCCAGCTGCGAGGTATGTGAAACTGCTGATGGGGTGCTGAGAGATGAGAGAGAAAAGAGCACCCTGGCAATGCGAAAGGATCGACAGGGAATAGTGGGGCCACGCGAACATCGCCGAACGTCGCCAAAACGCAAGAAGTGAGGCTGGTAGGGATGATGATGCCTACATCCAACCATGGCCGGGGCAAGCGAGTAGGTGTGGACGGCAGGTCCGGCTAGTGCATACCTGCCGCTTCTCCTACCGCGAAACAGGAAAATAGGGTGAGAAACGGGAGAAGTGAAAGCTGAACTCACTTGAATGAATGCGATGGGAGGTTGTGTTTATCGGGACAAGCGTTACCCAGCGGACAGTGGCCCTGCATGTAGGCCTTGCATACTGGTCTATTGGGATCTAGGCCAAACCGATATTCGCGTTTCAGAAAGTCGTCGAAGCTGAAGTTGTGACTCGGCTGTAAGGATGGTTGCAAGATTTGCTCCGCCACTGTCGGCCTGGATGTGGTGTCTGCTGCCATTTCCTCTCACGGACCGGATCTGGTACGCGCCGCTTGGCTTGGTGTGGTACCGCAGACCCGGTAGTGGGTGATACGTCGGCCTCAGCAATGAACAGCTGCTCGTATGAGAAGTAAGGCGTCGAGCGTCGAGCCTTAGGGAACAGTGGGCAGCTGCCTGGGATAGCTACGATCCGCGGGCCGAGAGAGATCGGCCTGGGGCTGAGCGTTTTGGCAAGGTGTCAGAAATGTGCGGATGTGCGCACGTGTCAGAGAGCCGCTTGGCGAGGGTGGAGAGGGGAGGCGAATATCGCGAGCGGAGTGCGCGTGCAGCGGGGTACCAGGGCGGAGGGTGGCGAGGCCGAGCAGTTGGTTAGACGTCGTAGATTTTTGGGCGGTGAAAGGGCCTGTGTTGGAGGCTTAAGACGTTGAGGTGCTCGCTAATCTTCCGCCATTGGTCGACGCGGCCCAGATTTTGGGGAATTCGAGCTTCGGATGGCTCCGCTGTTTGCTTGTCTGCGCGGCGCCGACTTCCATCGTTTCCACCAGCGGCCGGCGCTTGTTTGATCTGCCAAACTCTAGAACGCCAGCGCAGGAACGTGATCCACCATGCTCCCCATTCTCTGGACCGTCTATCGACAGCGCTTTGCCACACATGATGATATTGCACGCCGTCTTGGATCTGCGCTGCGGCTTGAATGTTCGGCGGTTCGGATGCGACCTCCGCGGCCGCCAACTCCCTCGATGTGAAGATGACCAACGAGTAGCAGATTGAGTCCGTGGGTAGTCCAACCTGTGATGAGCAGCTGCAGTCTGAAGCTGCAACAAGCGCAGGGAATAGTTCATTGCAGCCCTGAAGGCGCACCGGTCGATGCCAACCGGCCGCCGCACTGTGCGGATCGTTGACGCTAGCACTTGTCCCGTTATTGGTACAGGCTTCGTTGACCTGGGGCAGTAGCATGACCCCTTCCCGTTGCTTCGGACGCTGAGTGTGGCTTGCTTGAGGGCATCCGTTTGTAGAGTTTGGCGCAGCTCTCTTCCGTGGTAATGGCCTTACTGTCGTCTCAGTCATCAGGACCCCGATATGGACGCAACTCCGGAGGACCGAGGCCAATGGAGCTTTATGCGCGTCTGAACCATGGCCCGCCTGTTTGCGTCTTTAGTATTGCTGGCCTGATATCCTCAGCAGCCAATGGCTGGCCATTACTGGGTGTTCGATGTATGGATATCTATGAGTATATCACCTAGAACGACCCTTTTGGAGAATATCACAGGCAGCACCATTTCTCAACCCTCTCTCCGCGAGTCTCACAGAGCCATCGTCTTGTCCATCACCCCTCAAGCGGTCAGTCCACGAGAGGTTCCAGTTACGCCCTGGACGTGGTCTCTCCCAGCTAGGGGCCTGCAGGACACTGCGTAGAACTGCGCGGTCTGATCCCGGAGCCCTATATAAAAACACGCCCCCCACGCACAGTCTGATGTCCAGCTGCCTCAAACGCCGGCTGCTGGAGCAAGATATTGGTGTGGCATTCTGAAGCGCTCACGTCGTCTTCGCTTGCGGAGACCCACTCCACCGCCGCTACGAGACGCAGCTAAAAATGTCCGGCATCTTCGGTCCAGCCCGGCCTAATTGGCTTCTACACGCAAGTCAGAGCTTTGGTGTCAGACCGAAACTTCCTCTAGCACCAACATTCCCACCGATCGTCAGCATGTACTCCAACGCGGTTTACTATCCCAACTGGCACATCTATCGCCACCAGCCGCCTTCCTCGTTACGCCTGGATGTCATCTCCCACGCCTTCTACGCGTTCGCATGGTAAGTTACACTGCCTCACTCTCCTTCCCCTATGCAGTGTACTGGAACTAACCGTTGGTCACACAGGGTTAAGCCAGACGGAACTGTCTATGTATGCAGTCCCCAGTCAGTTGTTCCATTAGGCTCACAAGCTAAACAAGTCCAGCTCAGCGATGATTGGGCTGATGCTCAGATCGATGTGGATGGCGTGAAGGGGTGCCTGCGATCCTTCGCGGCGCTCAAGCAACGTTACACCGTGCTGAAAGTCATTCTCTCAGTAGGCGGAGGAGGTGCCGGGAGTGAGCCCTTCGCTGCTGTCGCGCGCAATCCGGTGACGAGAGAGAACTTTGCACGAACTGCAAGGGATCTGGTGTTGCAGTATGGGCTCGACGGGATTGACAGTAAGCTGCTCTCCAATCATTGATCTTTCCTCAGAGCTGAACTTCATGGCAGTCGATTGGGAACACCCGTCCGACGCTCAGCAGGGCGCCGACTACGTACAGCTACTGGCACGCCTACGCGCTTGGATGCCAGCACCACGATTTACGTTGACTTCGGCTCTTCCTGCTGGTGAATGGGCGCTCAGCAACATCCCCCTAGGGCAAGCGGCAGAGTATCTCGACCTCGTCAATGTAATGGCCTATGACTTCTCCGGTCCTTGGGTTGATGCATGCGGACATCATGCCCAGCTCTTCACGCCTCACCGCCCGCATAATGACGCAGCTACTATCTCCTGCCAGTCAGCTGTTAGCTACTTTATCTCCCAGGGTGTACCGAGGAACAAAATCCTTCTTGGTGTGCCCGCATACGGACGCTCTTTCTTGGGCACGCCCGGCGTAGGACATAGTTATGCAGGTCATGCTGGCGAAGAAGGCACTTTCGAGTACAAGGTCTTACCGAGGCCCGGCGCAACGGAACACGTTGACGAGCGGACTGGCGCAGCCTACTGCATCGGAGGCGATGGAGGATTCGTTACGTATGACAACCCTCACACGGTGAAGATGAAAGCGAAGTACGTCAAAGAGAACGGTCTTGCTGGGCTCTTCTACTGGACAGGCACTGGAGACGCGCCAGACGCTCGGAGTCTTGTCTACAACGGCTATTGCGAGTTGCATTTCTGACTCACCGGCGGGGAGTGACAAGGTCACAGCTAGTGCACGTCTGAGCAGGAAGGGTTGTTGAGAGCGGTCCATGGCTTTACGATCATGAATTCGCCGGCGTCCTTCAGTCCGCCCCTGCACTACTCTTCACAGTCATGTCGAGCCCTTTCTGTTTAGCTGATAGAGCGAGCGTGTTGGTCATTTGTTTGATACCCAGTCGACGAGCACTTTCGGCGCTCGGAAGCATGCAGCGGCAGACAGAATAGCTTCACCGTCCATAGCACCACGAACTAACAACAAGCCGATGCTACTGCTCGAGCATCAGTGAAACTACTCTAGGGATCACGATCGTTTGACGCCACAAAACCCCCCTGTGACTGTGGTTCTGCAGCCGCATGGCTGGCTTGCTGGCTTGACCGCGCCGGGCTCCCCGCCGAACCCTTGAACAGCTGAAGGGTCCTGAGATCCCTGAACAGCTGAAGGGTCCTGAGATCCCTGGACGTGCCCGCATCTACCCCCCAACAACATCGATATTGATTTCAGGGCTCATCGGACGCTCCTGCGAAAGCTCCCAGGTCCTGCCACTCGCTCGGAGGAGAAGCCGGTTGCTTGGGCCTGTAATGCAAGCGTAGGTTGACCTCATGCCGGCAGCAACCACATCTCTAGACTCTGGTACTCTCTGCTTCGCTGTAGTAATTGCGGCCCGAGCTGACCTGTACGCAGCTGAGTACAACCCAATCGACCACCTCAATGCCATCTTCTCCCACCCCGCAGCCCTTTCCTCGGTAGCAGCGACGTCCGCAGCGCTGCGCAGCTACGAAGATGACCTGGACGAAGAAATCGCCGAGCTGGTCGACGCTCAGGCCAGCTCAGACACCGAGAGCGTGCGCAGGATACAAGCGGCAAAGGCGGAGCTGGATGAGCTCTTCAGAAAGATCGAGGATGTGCGGGAGAGGGCGATGCGGACGGAGCAGGCCATCACCGAGATGACGGCGGATATCAAGCGCCTGGACGGAACGAAGCGGAATCTGACCCTGTCAATGACGGCGCTCAAGCGGCTGCAGATGCTGACGACGGCGTACGAGCAGCTGAGGAGCTTGGGCAAGTCGCGGCAGTATGCTGAATGTGCACAGCTGCTGCAGGCGGTCATACAGCTGGCCGCGCACTTCAAGAGCTACAGGTCAATAGACCAGATTGCGACGCTGAGCCGCAACGTTGCCGATCTGCAAAGGGAGCTGCTGGAACAAGCGTGCGAGGACTTTGAGGTCACGTTTGCGAAAGGAGAGGTAGCCCAACGCAGGGGAACGCTCTCAGAGGCGTGCCTCGTCGTGGATGCGCTCGGCGACCATGCACGCTTACGTCTGATCAACTGGTACTGCAACACCCAGCTGCGCGAGTATCGACAAGTTTTCCGGGGCAGTGATGAAGCTGGCTCCCTAGACAACATCTCGCGACGGTACTCATGGTTCAACCGCATGCTCAAGACATACGATACCGAGCATGCAGCCATCTTCCCAGCTCACTGGCGCGTGAGTGAGATGCTTGCCAATGCCTTCTGCGAAGGAACACAGCAAGACTTCAAGAACATCCTCCAGGTATCGATGCGGCGCGCCGACAGCCAGAGCGTGGATGTCAATCTCCTGCTGTCGTGCCTTCAAGAGACCCTCAACTTCGAGCACAGCTTGGAACGCCGCTTTGGCTACGAGTCACGGTCGTCTATCGACACCATGACATCCGGTACCGAACGTACCCCCGGCTTCGGACACGCCATCTCTGAAGCGTTCGAGCCGTACATGAGTCTCTGGGTAGAGTCCCAAGATAAGCAGCTTGCCACACTGATACCCAGATACCGACAGCAGCCTCTCCGGAACACCGAAGAAGAATTCTCAGCACAGTCTGTAGCAACTTCCTCGACCGAGCTCTTCCACTTCTACCGCCTGACGCTAGCGCAATGCGCCAAGTTGTCTACGGGTACCCGGCTGATGGAGCTTTCCAAAACCTTCGCAAAGTATCTGGATCAGTATGGGCAGCAAGTGCTCTTCTATTTCCTTACTGAGAAAGCTGGCCCCCGGGGCCCGTCCATCGAAGACGCTGTATTGATTCTGAACACTGCGGACTACTGCTACATCACGTGCAACCAGCTAGAAGAAAAGATCAAGAGCCGTATAGACGAGGAGTTCAGATCAGCGGTCGACCTGCAAAGCCAGGCCGATGCCTTCATGGGCATAGCGAGCGCTGCTGTCAGAGCGTTGGTCCGCAAGGTAGAGCTGCACTGCGAGCCGACGTGGCGAGAGATGCGCAACACGCCATGGAGCAAACTAGACAGCGTGGGAGATCAGAGCACGTATGTCGCTGAGCTGTTGCGGCGGGTCAAGGAGAAGTCGGCAGAGATCTTGAAATATTTGCATAAGCAGCAATACGCACGCGCGTTTTGCGACAATCTGGTTGACCTGATGGCAAACACTTACATCGCCAACATGGTCCAGTGCAGACCGATCTCTGAAGTGGCAGCTGAGCAGATGCTGCTGGATTCCTACGCGTTGAAGAAAGGCTTCACCGAGCTCGCTACACTGAACGCTGAGCCAGGCACTCAGCCGCCAGCAGGGTAACCCAACCCCCTCTCTTAACGCCACACAGCAAGCTAATACTCCCCAGCTTCGTCAAACGCGTCAACCAAACAATGGCCCGCCTCGACGCCCTGCTCAAAACGCTGCAAGTCCGGCCCTCCCCGCCCGAAGCCCTCGTGCAAGCCTACCTGATCCACATCCAAGACAAATCCGACACCAACTTCCGCAAGATCCTCGATCTCAAAGGTGTCCGCAAGCAGGACCAGCAGCATCTGATAGAGATCTTCATCGCCCACCGCGCCGCGCCTAGCAATGAGCACATGGTGCAGAACTCACCGCTGCTGACGCCTTTGCAGATCTCGTCGTCGTCTAATCTGGGCTCCGGTATCAGCGGTCTGGGCACGCAGGTATCTATCGGCACGCCGAGTATCGGTGGGGGAAGGTTTGATCCCTCGTATTTCGGCTCGGCGATCATGAACGCGGCGAGGGATGGGGTGGATCGGATCGGGAGTCCGGCGCTGGGCGCGACGTCGCCTCCGCCGCAGAGTGCGGGAGATGCACCGGCGACGCAGAGTAACTTGAATGAGAACCTTAGGGGTATTGGGAAGTTTTTCAGACGCGACGTTGGCAGTTTTGGCGGGTTTGGGAAGAGGAGGGAGGAGGATGGGAAGGGCTGAGCGCTGAGGTGTAAAGCTAGACCCAGTATTCACTCTCCTCAGGCGGGCAGTGGCTGGGTTGCCCAGTATCGTTACGAAGGGGAGGGCACTTACTGAGGAAGTGGCGGCTGCTTGATCACCCTCCAATATCATTAAGCAACACTAACACACGGTTCGTCTGATTTGCATCTGGAACTTCTATTGATTGAAGATGCATTAGATGAGCCGGTCAACCTCCACAAGCACCGAAAAAGCGTGTTAAGAAGAATTGTGGTCACGCGTCGTCAAGCGGCCGCTTCCTCTGTAGATACCCCCACCTTCGTACAGTTACATGACATTCAAAACGTTCTAGCATGGATACTTATAGGAAGCCTTGAACACATACCGCATCTGTCACCCTCTCTACCTTGCCGCATTGTTCTTGCTTCCATTGGATTAGAACGAGATGACACGCATTTCAGTTGACTCTCCATGTATTGATGGCTTGGCCATGAATACCCGCTTTAAACACTGAGCAATCCTCGTCCGCAAGGCATAAATGCCCTTCTCATGCCTCGAAATGGATGAAGGCTGTGGAGGTGCCTCAATCGGAATGACGTCCCGTTTTGGCTCCGCCGAGGTCCTTGTGCTACACTTGTTGATAGGTGACTGGAGCGACGCCGGGTGCGTGCAGGACCTCCAAGGATACAGCCTTAGGTTTTGTTTGCTACTCTGCTCAGCCTTGGGCTTGTGGAGGGACTCGAAGGGTTCATACTGCTGGTTGGGATGCCTGCCTGCCTGGGGTGTGTGGCTGATGGTGCAACATGTCTTCCTCGATAACACAGGGCGGACTCCATGGGAGGCTCGTCAGTCGGTATCGTGTTAGTGACCTTACTCCAGCGAGAAACATATCGAGACAGACAACGGTCGAACACGCTTGCCGCTACACATCTTTCGTATATATCGATCTCTTTGCTTGCACATCATGTCAATAGGAAAGCCGGATGTTGTCGATGTCGAGATGCAGCACCTGCCACCTCCGTTGCCTGATCCTGTCCCAGGATATCCGCGGTTGGCAGAAAGGATGGGGAGAACCCCTGAGACTGCGATCCTACGCCGCTTCGCAGGGCTCAATGCGCGGAATCTCCTGTATCTCCAAGCGGAGCTTGTTCAGCTGGAGCGCGACCTCGCTGAGGTGGAAGTTGCGGACAGCCGGAGGGAGGAGGGCCTGGGACGGAAGTTCTCCACAGATTGGTTCTGGTTGGTTGAATCGGTGAATGACAATGAGCATAGCCGTCAATGGCAGCTTATGCTCAAGGTCCGAGAGCGGTTGAAGGAATACAGTCGGTTCAAACTGCGCAGATCTCTCGGCGGTGCGCGCTGACGATATAGTCGCAGACGAGGCGCTCATTCAGCAAAATCAACTGGCAAACATGCTGCAGCCCGACAAGCGAGACATCCTCACGCTTCAGTGCTGGATGACACATCCCAATGGGGGAGACGGGGTCATGGTTGGCGGCGACTCGTATGTCTGGGGAGACATTCAATACAAGGGATCGCATGCTAGAGACCTCGTTGCTTTACGAGCCCGGCAAGTCGACGATCCGTTTGCTCGATTGGTGACAGGTAGAGTCCGGAATTGGTACGAAGGATCCATCGGGCGCTTTGTAGACAAGAAGCCCTCGCGTATGAACCCAGAAGCCGGACACGAGGACTCTATTCTCATGAACCTCACGTCCATCGTCACGAGTCTTATTGAACCGCTGTTCCCGATCGCTTCAATCGCGATCCTATGCGCTGTGCAATCCGTGTCGACTCGTATAGCCGTCATCGCCGCCTTGAATTTCGTTTTCTCTTTCTGCTTGATGACCTTCGCAAGAGCAAGGAGAACCGAGGTATTTGCCGCGACCGCCGCGTGAGTTGCCCCGTTCTGCTTTTTACAGGTCTTGTTGTTGATATTGACGTGGGAAATAGTTTTGCGGCAGTTCAGGTTGTCTTCGTAGGCACAAGCGAAGCTGGTCAGAGCCGTGCCCAGTAGCATCGCAAGGACATACACAAGTTGCAGAAAGCGAAGTGGCAGGATCATGTCGGACGTACGCGCCAAGTCATCAACAGAGCATGTCGCTTCACTTGCGGCAATCTGGATCGACGCTGACACTTCTTGCTATGAGTCGGAAAGATCTTTAGAAGCATGACGAACTACCGTCTTGACGCTGCTCGTTCGGCCAGAAATGTCATCGCTACACGCCGAATTAGTGCTAGGGCTTTGGTGAAGGGACAGATTTCTTACGTTGTCATTGATTCAGTATGACGATAGCAACCGTTTGACGCCAGTGATGTCCTCATCACCTGCTACCTGAACAATTGTTCACTTGGTATGCTACTCATAGTGCTGTCACTGGCTGCTGCTGACTCTCACGGAATGCTGTCGACTAACTCAAGTTTCCTATGTTCTTCAAGTGATAAATGCTGGCTGCTCTGCTATGATATTGAGAATCTTCGTAATATCTGCAGCGACTGTAGGACTTGCCATACCACTAAGACAGCGCCTCTCAGCCAACGAGCGATGGATAGCCACAAGTATGTAGGTGGTTGCCGGATACCGGGCACCACTTTCGGGTCACCACAGACACCGTCAAGAGGTTATCCTTTTCCCTTTGTCCACCTAGTGATACGCGTAGTTGACGTTCAGACAGATGACAAAAAGCAGTCTAGTAAGGGAGCGGTGACACATTATTCTAATTATTTCGCCAACGAGAAAGAGAAGAAGAAGGTCGCTCAGCAAAACCAAGCTCAGCAGCTGACGGAAACGGAAGCCGCGGGACTCGCGAAGAAGGTAAAGGAGGTTAAAGATGGCGATGTGGGACTCGCCACGCCTCAAGGAGCAAACAAGAAGCTGCCAATTCAAGCACCGTCCTCTCAAACTGGCACGCAGCAGTTGGAACCTAGCCGTGACGAAACGTCACAGCGTCGCTTGCCTGCGCGTTCGCACACCTGGCCCCGATGATGATGGACCAGGGAACTATGTGCAGCGCAGCTGAGACGGACCGCGCACTACGGCATGATCTAGAGGCGCCGGACCTTGCGGTGATGGATACTTTCCATTGATGAAGATAGTCTCCATGTAAAACCAGTTGAAGAACAGTGAGGGGAAGCTCGTGACAATTGGCCCATCATAGAAATAGCAAAATATGTCGCAGGGCCGCTTCAACCTTTGCAAGGTCACTCTCTTTCCCCGCAACCCCTTGGCGGCGTGCGTCGTTGACATTGAATAGATGACCAAAAAAAGTCCAGCAAAGGAGCGCAAGTACGTTCTGCGGAGTACTTGGACAACAGAAAGGAGAAGGCAGAGCGTAAGAAACAACAGGAGATATTGCAACAGCAGAATGAAAAGAAAGCTAAACAGCCAGCGACGATGAGCCAGGAGCACAAAACTGACAGCGGGCAATAAGGCCAGAATGCACAGTGGGATACTCATCCGCCGTATCAAACCCCACTCTTTCGATGTGGTACGCAGCAGACGTTTTCCGGCTCTGGCGGCGCATCACAGAGTCTCCAGTCTTGGTATTCCCATTCAGGGCACCCACCGGAATAAAGCGACGAGGGATTCTTTAGTGGTGAAGCTGCGGAGGGTCCCATGTTCTTTGAATATATCAAAGACCTATGTGAACAACCTGGAACATTTCTTGCGCTTCAGCGGAAGCTCTCTCTCATCAAACCTCTCTCAACAACGAGGCCGGCCACTATTCAGTACCGACTACACGAGGGCTCCTCTTCGCAGTAACATGATAGCAGCTGCGCCTTGACAAGCTGACAGGCTCTGATTAGCGCTCAAACCATCTATTTATTCAGTGAATTGGCAAACAGTTATTCCCAGCTGATGGCTGAATACACAACGTCATTGAGAACGCTCCAATACACTGAGTTTCTTCATGTGCTGAAGTATGGCCGCTTGGAGCACATCTTGGAGATAGTATCATCGATGCGACCCGTGATTTGTGTGATATTTCCAACGCGCAATATGGAATCGCCTTTCCATGGAGTCCTGAAGCATGTGTGATTCTCACACTGTATCAGAGATGTACCGGTCGCCCTAAGGTAATTGAATACGGGCGATCCTCCTGATCGACAACGTGGTGTCCAGCCTTGTTTGGGACCGCACCGAACTGCAGGTACACACGTCGTGTGGTGCTCTGCGGGACCTTGGAGGTGTAACGTCGTCCTGCGAATGGATAACTGTGCGACCGTTGATTCAGGATCGAAACCCCGACTCATGTCTCATCGTTCCAGATCCGCTGCGTCGGCTTGCCCGTGGTTCCCGGCATGGAACAGGTCGGGCTTTGCATGGAATCGGGATGAAGATTTACCAGTCGCCGGGCTTCTGCTCGGCAGCGCTGCCGCTCGCACGATGGCTCTGCAGTAATCGAAGTGCGTCCTGACGGAATTCGTATCACGTGCATTTCCATAAGCGACCTATCACGACACTTTCTACCATTCCAACCAGCATCAACAGATACTGCCGACTTGCTTGCCAATGTGGCACTGCTGCTACGGCTTCGAATTCGATGATGGGCGCCTGACCAGCCTCCATGAGACTGTTTCCCCTTCCTGCGCTTTATGCAAGTCTTCCGACGCAAAGAAGCATGGGGTACATACGCGAGTTGCCGTTGAATACAGCGGCGCGAGTACCGGAGGTCCCCTGTAACGACAGCCTCGTCTAGTCAGATCACGAAGTGTGCTGGACGCGTCACTGCAACTCTCGAAGGATCACGCCTGGGAGCGAGGAGTGGTGCGTCAAGCCCCCCGGAGAAGACGCGGTTTCGGGACTAGTTCTCGCTAATGGAAGAAAGAACACGGAGAAGAACATCTTCCCACAGGCCCGGTCTTCGAACTAGAGGATCCCAGGCGGTCACTTTCGAGAAGGGATCATGCCATGTTCCGTAGACAGGGAGAGAAAGCGTGAGACCGACTGACTGCTGTTCATTGCCAGCCACAGTTGAGATGAAGACTCCAGATAGACGCTGATCATTTCTCTTCGATCAGCGACAAATTTGACAGAGAGATTGGAGATGCCGCGATGGATCTTGCGCGTTGAGTTACTGGACGCCGTTAACGCTCTCGGCAGCCAGTACTGTGGCAGATCAACGAGGTGCCTCTTCACAGCGCGCTTCCTGAACTCTTAGGCGCCGGCTAGAAATCTTTTAGGGCTTTTACGAAAGAGCCGGTGCTATCAGTCAGGGCTGGTCCTTGACCGAAGCCTTTTCTCCATGTCATGCATGCAACGCGTCCGCCGTTTCTCCTCGAGCCTTAGGCCAGCCTCAGCCGCTGCCAGGTCCACTACTCGGCAGGACTTGAGCTTTGTCCTGCACCATTTCATGGGTCTCAACGGTTTCAAGGGTTGACATGATATCACGGGGCGCAGTCTTGGTACAGGAAGGACATTACAGTAAGGCTGAGGCTGATCGCCTAACTTCCCTCGCTCCGAGCACGTTACGCATCTCTCGCTCAGGCCCAGAGGACTGCGGGATTTGAAAGACGCCGAGATTCCCGGCATCCATCGAGCACTCTTTCCGCGCCGCAGGGGACGCCGTCTGCCAGTCGTTGCGCTGTCCGTGCTACACGCGAGCAGGCCGTGCATGCATGTCAGCTAACCCGCCCAGCTGCGGGCGCTGCTTGGCGTGGAGGACGAAGCTGGAGCGCTGAAGGACAGCAGTCTGCCCCATGGTGTAAGAAAGTCTGCAACTGCGATTGAAGAGTGAAGGACCAGAGTAACAAATCGGGCGACCATCGTCAGAGCTTACTCTAGCGACGCCGGCTTCTCGTACTCCAGGCTGAGCGACACTCCATCCACTTGGATCATCGAAATCGGGCAGAGTTCAACCCTCTGCGGCCGGTGGTGAAGCTCTCTGTGTGGACAGATGCGGGCGCGTAGCCGGATGAGGCAGTTCGGCTAGTGTCTGGTAGCTGGTCTCGGCAAAGCGGCGTCAGAAAGCGTGGGATCAGAAGCAACCACTCTGCACGCGTACCTTGCTTCCGACCTGGCACAAGGCGCGCCACCATCCTTTTCGCAAATCCACACGATGTCTGTCCTCTCAAACGGCTAATTTTCCAGCCCTCTTCCTTTGAGGGGCAATCGCGATGACAGGCTTGGGTCTCTTGGGCGGCCACAGGCACCGGCCCGCTGGGACCCCTTCCAACCATCTGCCGCGATGACCCCAGCTGATGGTCTCCAGCTTCGCGTGGTATTACCAGGCTAATCGCTCGCTGCCCACCTTTAACATGTACATCCCCCGCGGTGTGCCCAGACTTCACTCTGTTTTGCGACTTCTTGCTTTCCTGCGCTGTCTATTCCTAGCATCACACGCCAAGATCTACCGAGCGTCCACCCTCGTTGCGCACAACTACCACATCGGAGACCAGAAGCAACACACGAGCAACCCTGTTCCAGATTTGTCTCGGCGGCGCATATCTCCATTTCACTCCTCCGCCAAGAGTACAAATTTCTTTCCCATGTATCGATAGTATCGATAGTATCAAATACCCACCCCCTGGATCCGGTTCATCCTTACCGGGACTCTCGACATCTATATCTTGCGCAGTAGCGTAGATTCCGTACCTTATTAGAGGAAAGAATTCACAGGCCGTCCAGAAAAAACCCTGGGATACCAAGACGCGGAGGCAGGAAAGGATTTTTGCTCATGGTGGATGATTTACGAAGTCAGCCTCATTAAGGACGACCATCAGTTAAAATGCCAAGAGCAGCACCAACAAACTCAAGCATTGCATCGCTCCGTGGATATTGTCCAGCGCCGTTTCTGGATGAGTCTAACTTTCAACAGGCAGATGGATGTATGTAACATCATCAAGAAATTCATGACATGCGTTGACATTTTCCAGTCGTGGCCGGTCGATTCTGTCAGAGTGTTTTAGCGGATCTTACGTGCTGTCTGCCATGCCCGGCTACGGATTGGTTGTATCCACAAAGTAGGCTTTCGGCTCCTTTCAACGCTGTTACATCACTGACACAGATGTACAGGTTTTTGGACATGGACGCGCATAGCAGAAGGCGTCAATGCAGCCGGCTTCGTTCTCAGCGGCTTGCTACTCATATCGTGGCTGATTCTACCTGTGGAAGCTACACGACGGCACTACCTGAGCGTCTGTCTAGTAATTGGCATCATGTCGATGGCTGTACGTCCCCTCGCCCTTTCGCCGAGGTTGGAGATATGCCTCTCTGACTCGTCTGCAGCTCGGCTTCGTCGTACCGTTGGCAGTGCGGCCAGAGCAATGCTTCGATGAGATCACACCTCACGACATGTACTCAAGCATGACGTGTGCGTGGTCTGGCGCCTTCCTCATTGCCGGTGGTCTGGCTGTGGACGTATGGAGTGAGTGTCATCCAATGCTGTGCTAGGCCATCGTAACTCACATGACTTAGTCTTTATCCGCGCTCTCTCGATGCACCTCCAGATCTGCTGGGATGTCGTGCCCGGACGCAAATTCTTTTACGCCGCTCAGGTGCTCGGCTGGGGCGTTACCGCAGCGCTCTTCACTGCTACGGTCACCTTTACCGGGTTCTCGATGCGCTTCGGTGACGCCTGCCATGTTAACTCAGCCCACTCAATGAAAGACTTCTGGGGGCCACTGCTCGGCATTGCCGCCGCATCAACCCTCACGCAGCTCGCGACATTTGCCTATTGTATCCACGTGTACCTCAAGAACATGTGGAGCGAAGACAAGACCGATACTAACAGCAGTTGCGGCCTACCGTCGTACACTTCCAGCGTGAACGCTCAGTCCGCACGAGCGGTCTACCGCCGCGTCAAGAAAGTAATCCTGCTACAGTGGCGCGGCATAGCCATTGTTATTTGTATACTCGTGGACGTCGTCTTCTTCTCAACCGTCTTCGTCTACCTAGACAATATGGAGCATGCCGTTCTGAAGGACCCGGAGATGCTCCAATCGTGGCTGCTGTGCTTGGTCGCAAGCCCAGACGACAGGGCGAAGTGCTACCATTTGGGTCAAGAGTTTCTCATCAACCAGCCGACCGTTGTAGCGGTCCTGTTGATGCTCTCGGTAAGTTACCCCATCACAATCATCCTAATCCATGGGCTGACCGGCGTAATTCGCTTCAAGATGGCCGGAATACAAGCCTTTCTTCTCCTAGGTCGCAGATCGATGTTCACAGCATGGATCAAGTATATCCGCACAAAGCTTGACCGCAAGCGCGAATTCGTTTCGTTGGATGCGCGGCGGTGCTCCGCGGACGCACGCGCATACGAGCTACTCAAGCTTGGGACCAAACCCACCGTCATCAGATCTCCCGGAACCGACATCACAAGCCCAGCGGACACGTACGCCAGCCCAATCGGCGGGGGCAGGAGCGGGACGCCGGATTACTTTGCGAAGGATGTGCACAGGCACTACCGGAGTCCAGTCATGAGTTTCTCCAGTCCGACAACGCCAAACCAGATGGCGCTACGGACGGACTACTGGGATCCGCGAAGCACGCGTGCAAGAGGCGGCTTAGGCCTACATCCGCCGGCGTCCGAAGACAGCAGTCCAGTTTCGCCAGAGGGCCTCAAGCACAAGCTGTAACCCACCCTGGACGAAGTTGTTAATACTGGTCAAAAGTTGATGTAAATACGCTATGATTCATGGAATTGGAACTGTTGGGCTTACACTCGGAGGAACACGGAGTTTTCGGGCTCGGTTCCCATGGGGGTATTTTGATAGCGTTGCTTGCGACCATTGGGATGGCGTTGGCTTTCTGATGGGCCGTCTGGCTTTGGGTGGTGTTTTCGATTCTTTGTCACTCGTTCATTCTTCATTACTACCCTCTCATCCGACATTGTTACTATTCTTCCATCTACGCTCGCTGGCCCGCTCGAGGTTCTTGTCTATTGTTCAAATGCTCACATCAACTTGCGAGCGACTTATTTCTGTCCTTCGTTGTCTCCCCTTACCGCGCAAATCGCGCCTGGAGCAATCCACTGTACAGTGTAGCGTAGTCAAGCACCAGCTTCGTGTCATCCTCGAAAAGCAAGCTATGATTGTTATGTCGTTGGTTTGCTCGTCGTGTTGTTACCGTTTTACTACGGCGCTGTTTTGTGCCATCGTTTCTTGATGGAGATCTCGCTCAAGCTGAACGTGGTTCCCTGATACCTCCGGCTCTAGATATTTCTTCACACAACCCGAGCCTACGTCGAAGTGGCGCTTTTTTCAACAGCCAACGCACCATGCTCAGCCAAAGCGGTGTTTACGCAACAGCTCTCTACACGCAGGCTTACATGCGTCACCGATGCCATGACGTGACCGCCCTTGCCTCGAGGTGCGATCACTGAATGTCTCCGGCCTATCTCCCCGATTGCAATCAAACAGAGCTATCCTCTAATAACCCCTCTTTCGATCCACCACATTGATCAATTTCTCCCCCTTCTCCCTCCTCTCCAAATTAACCTCGAGCACCTGAAACGCCCTATCCGTATACGCCTGTCCAACGCCGCTGATGTGCGGCGTGATGGTCACGTTCGGCGCGTCCCACAGCGGGTCATCTGGCGGTAGGGGTTCCGGATCCGTGACGTCGAGGGCGGCGCCGCGGAGAGAGCCGTCGTGGAGAGCGGAGACCAGCGCGGGTTGGTCGATGATTTGGCCGCGTGAGATGTTGGTTACGAAGGCGTGCTGTTTGGAGAGAACTTCAAACTCAGGAGTGCTGAGAAAGTGTCGGGTTTCTTTACTGCGATTGCGATTCAGGGTCAGCGGACGACAGGAAGCGCATAAGTAGGAGATGTAGAGGGAAACATGACCTACGTCAATGGAACGGACACAAGCAGCACGTCGATGTCCTGCTTCAGGAAGTGATGCAAACTCTCCTTATCGAGCCCGCTATACCAATTGCTCGGAATACTCCCGTCCGGATCCCCCGTCCCCGGAACAACGAACCCCTTATCCCTCCTCTTCTCCGGCGTATCCTTCGGCGTGGCCGTATACGCAATCACATCCATGCCCATGGCCTTCGCCACTCTTCCAACCTGCCTCCCAATACTGCCATACCCTAACACCCCCAAGCGCTGACCGACCAGATCCCTCACGCGGTGATAATCGCCATCGATGTCGTTCTTGCCCCAGCGCTTCTGCTTCTGCAGCTCGTACAGCTTGTTGTAGTGGTGGCTCTGCACGAGCGCGGTCATGACGACCCATTCTGCGATCTGCGGGCCGTGGATGCCGCTGCTGGTGGTGAGGGTGATCTTGGTATCGGTGTAGATCGGGTGGTTCGCGATGTGGTTCGTGCCGGCAGAGAAGAAGTGGATCAGCTCGAGGTGGGGGCAGTCTTCTGGGGTAGGCGGGAGCGCTGAGAGGGTCACGAGGATGGTCTTGTCTTTGTAGATTTCTGGGGCGGAAGGCGTCAGTTGGCTGTAGTTGAGGCTATACCCGGCGGGCGCTGTAGGATGGGAGTATGGCACCTTTGGGCACTTCCTTGTAGGTCTTCCATGCTACTTCTGCGAACTTGAGGTGCACAAATGTGATCTCTATGTTGGGATGCTGCTTTCTGATCCGGTCTATGATCGCTTTGGGCTCAGGAAACGGAAGGACAATGAGCATCTTGTCTGCTGGACCGCCGCCCATGGTTGCGGCGAGGGCGCGAAGGCGTGGGATGGCTATGTTGAATGAACTACAAGATATCTACAATGACTGCTCACAGATCCGTCTATCCCAAGTACAGGCCAAAGTTAAGAATAGTGACCGGTGACAGGGCAATAGCATTGATACTATGCCGTGCCGGTGACATCTTGGTACTCCCACTCCGCATCCCGCCATCTTGTTTGCAATCGATAAGGCAAGTAGTTTGGCCGACCTCGGCCTCATCTAGATAGCATTCGTGATAGAGCAGGACGAGTAGATGCGTGGTCCTCGGCTCTTTGGTCCATTACAGACAACCCAGAAAACAATTGAAGCAAGAACTACAACAATAGAGGCCGGACGGAGGGCGAGTGGGCTGCAGCGTCACGCTGCGGACCGTTTGTGTGGCCCCACGGGGAGAGAGACGCCGATGGCAGGTTTGCCGAGCGGACCGTCAGCTTCACCCCCATTTGCCCAGCCGTCCTCCAGTGTCACGACTCCGCCGCATGTGGGGAGTCCTGCGGCACTGCGGCCTGCGTGCGTGCTGGCGCGCAAGTCTTCGGAAACGCGGCTGTGTGTTCGCATCGAGGTGAGAATCTGTGTCATTGCCTGCAAGATTCCTCGGACTTCTCACCGTGTATCTGCATCCATTTCCATATAACCTGCTAAGCATACGAGTGCTCTCTATCTTCTTGTTTCATTTCTTCAAACAGATCTCCCGTCACCATGCTCACTGACCGGCGACCACACACCATCGACCTTCCTCGCTTCGTCGAGCCTCACGCTCGCGTAGCATTACCCAAAGGCTCTGCTTCATCGCCCAATGAGGTGGCTCAGACATGGCTTGATTCCTTTGAATCTGCCTTGGCCGCCGGCGATGTAGCAAAGCTCAAGACGCTGTTCCACGCCAACAGCTGGTGGAGGGACCACCTGGCACTATCCTGGGATTACCACACCCTCCATCCGCTTTCCAAGATCGAGGACTTCCTATCAGCCCGCATTGGCCAGCTCCAGCTTTCCAACTTCCGCCTCGCGGAGATTGGCAGCTTCACTCCCACTAAGAAGACTCCAACGAAGGACCTTGACTGGGTTGAGTCCATGTTTGAGTTCGAGACCAGAACTGGACGCGGAAAGGGTGTCTTTAGGCTCGTACAAGGACATGACGATGTTTGGAAGGCATATACAGTATACACTTCATTGCAAGAGCTGAGGGGGTACGAGGAGGCCGCTGGAAGGAGAAGGCCGCATGGAGGAAATAACAAGCTCCAGGGTGGCCTTAATTGGCTTGAGCGTCGGCAGAGGAAGATTGAGTTCAAGGACGAAGAGCCCACTGCGTTCATCGTCGGCGCTGGACAGGCCGGCCTCAACATTGCCGCCCGCCTTCAAGCACTCAACATATCCTGTCTCATAATCGACCGCAACCCACGCGTTGGTGACAATTGGCGCAACCGCTACCGCACCCTCTCTACCCATGACCCTGTACATACATGCCACATGGCATACCTTCAATTCCCCGCGAACTGGCCCTTCTTCACTCCCAAGGATAAGCTGGCCGACTGGTTCGAGTCATATGCTAGTATCAATGAGCTCAACGTCTGGCTCTCCACCAGCATCACCAACTCCTCCTGGTCCGATGAGGACAAAACCTGGACCATCTCCGTCAAGCGCGGCGACAAGAACGGCGAAGAACGAACACTAAAGCCAAGATACGTTGTCTTCTGCACAGGTCACTCCGGAGAGCCCAAGATCCCCACCTTCCCTGGCCAAGACAGCTTCAAAGGCACCGTCTACCATGCCTCACAGCACAAAGACGCCTCATCCTCAGGCCAGGACGTTACAGGCAAAAAGGTCATTGTTCTCGGCTCAGGCAACAGCGGCCACGACATCGCACAAAACTTCAGCGAGAACGGCGCAGTCGTCACCATGGTGCAGCGGTCTCCAACCTACGTCATCTCCGCCTCCATAGGACTGCTAGAACTGTCCAAAGGCATCTACGACGACGCCGCACTCCGAATCAACACGATCGACGAGACGGACGTCTACGCTCAAAGCTTGCCGTACGCGATCCAGTGGGCGCTCGGCGTTGAGACGACCAAGCGCATTGCGGGCCAGGAAAGCGAGCTACTCGCCGGGCTGCGCAAAGCGGGGTTTGCGCTTAGTGAGGGGATCGATGGCGCAGGGATCATGAGGCTGTATATGCAGAAGGGAGGCGGGTATTACATCGACGTCGGCGCTTCGAAGATGATCGCCGAGGGCAAGATTAAGGTCGTGCAGAGCTTGGATGGAATCAAGGAATTTGAGGCCGACAAGCTAGTGCTTGCGGACGGGACGAAGTTAGATGCGGATATCGTTGTGTTGGCTACTGGCTACGACAATATGCGGACGAGTCTCAGGAAAGCATTTGGTGACGAGGTTGCGGACCGATGTAAGGATGTTTGGGATCTTGACGATGAGGGTGAGATCAATGCGGTAAGTGCGATCTTATCAACACGGAGACCAAATACTAACGCAGTCCAACATAGATGTGGAGACCGAGCGGTCACCCGGGCGTTTTCTTCATGGGCGGTAATCTGCTTCTCTGCCGAATCTACTCGAAGTTCTTGGCGCTGCAGATCAAAGCTATTGACGAAGGGCTGAATCTACGGTAGCACAGTAATGTATCTTGTATGGAGCACGACGGAGCTGGAGTCAGGCCTGCATAGGGATGGGTAGATTAGAACGATTCGGCGTAGTGAGAGACTGTTATGCTCTCTCATACTCGAACGGCTCTTTGGAGAAGATGAAAGACCTGTATTTGAAGAACATTGCCCGTGAAAGGACTGAAAGGCGGAAGATGTCAAATCTGCCGGCTTTTTCCTTCATGTTGGCGGTCTACGGGGCATGTCCCGCTGAAGGGAGGACATGAATGTCTGATGGCCGGAGACCGCGGCGGGCTTTGGCTTGGACCGCCTTGGCCTCTCCTGAACTTTTTGTTCCCACAGCCAAACGTCCCGTTCATCTCCATCAACTTTCCCGGTTCCTTAATGCCGCATGCCCTGTCCAGGCGCATTCGCGCACAGGAGTGGCTTCAGTCACCGCCTTTCTAGGGTGCCTCTCGTCCCAAGATACTCTGGAACGCCCCGCTGCCTACATCATGGCAAGCCGTCGCAGGCACAATTCGCGATCCGCAGAGTCCCACATAACCTGAAACTTGAATCAACCGAAGACAAACGGCAGATAGCAGCCAAGGCAATACAGGAACGCATCACCAGGCTCCAGCACACAAGCACCGATGTCGACTCCCTCAACCGGCTCTCCCTTACCGGGCTGGCCCTGCTCCCAGCGGATTACCACAACCCATACTACTTCGAGACATGGATCAAGAAGCTGGCCGCGCTGAAGTCGCCGGATTCCGCTTCTCAGGTACTCGAAATTATGTACGAGCGCGGCATCCAACCAAACGTCCGGCAGCTTAACGCGCTCATCGGAGCCTGGTTTCGCGTCAAAGGCGAAGAAGACAGCATAAAGGCTGAGCGCATCGCCCGCGCGATGATATACAGAAGAGCGGCGTTGTCACGTCGACGGGATGGTGATGAGGACACAAGACCAGCGCTGCTGGCTCTGCCTTCGCTACCCATGAAGACCGAGGAGGGAAAATACATTCAGCGCTTCCTCCGTCGGACTCTTCCGCCAGCCTCCCCACGCACGTACCTGTACCTCATCAAGTTCTGCCTCAAGCGCGGAAGGTGGAGAGAGGTCGCCAGGTATCGCAGGCTATTGTTACGTGCGGGCTTCCCGATATCCACCAAGCTGTCCAACAGCCTCGTCTTCGCCGAGATGTACAACAAGCGCTACAAGCGCGCCTGGATCAAGTACCGTAACATGGCTGCTCCCAACCGACATCCGGCTGTGGAGCCGCCCGATCTCTTCACCCACACCATGTTGTGGCAGTGCTGCAAATACTTTCTGGATACGACAAAGCCCAGTTTTATGGAAAGGTTTCCACCCCCACGACGCCTGATGCTGGAACTTCTCTCCTGGTTCCGCGGCCTCACGGGAAGGAGTCGACAGCGGGCTATACGCGATCTGCAACGGGAGCACGCGAAGGAGAAATTCTTTCCCCTCGTCGCGCAATGCTTTTCTCGTGCGAGCGATTTACCAGGCTTGCTCGTGGCTTTGTACATCATGGGCACTCACCTTGGTATAGCTCCAAGCAAAGGTATCGCCAACGTCGCAGTGGGAATGGTCGCTTATATTGGCCTGCCGTCGAGGACTCCCAAAATGCGGAGGATCACGCGGCAAACCGCTGTGTACAAGCAGCGGGTTACTAAGCTCGCCGCTGCACTGCAGGCGGAGCGGGACCGCAGAAAGCAGGTGGTGTATGATGTCGCTACGGGGGAGAACAAGGAGGTCGAAGCAGACCGAGTGGAGCTTGAAGCTGTGTCCGAGATCCTGCGGCTGGTGATGAGCAGGAAGGCTGATCCTACTACTGTACAAAGCGCCGTGGACCAGGCAAAAGCGGAGATGGGGCTTGGCGAACATCTCGATGGCTGAAAGGTGCATTGTCCATAGCTGTCACAAAGCTTTGCTAATACCACTCTTACATCTTCTGTCTTTGTAGACAAGCCCGATTTTCCAAGTCTTTTGAAGTGCCTCATGGCAAGCTTGTTCTTCGCTCCTCGGTCCGCAACTTCATTGGGCCTTACCTGAGCCAAAAATCCGCCTACAAACAAGAGTAGCCGAGAAGTCTCTTACCAGGTCTACCCGCTCTGTGCCTTGTGCCTTGCGCCTTGTGTGCTGCGCTTCTGTGGTCTTCCTACCCAACTGCGACAACACATACGGTTCGATTCCCGACGGCCTTACTGGCAACAACCCATGCGATATTGTTTTAGATCCGCGGAAAGCTTAGCCCGTCCATCCTTGCTAATTTTTAGCGATGGAGACGACCCGATATTCGTCTTGCTGTATCTTCTAGGGCCCTGGTCATTTTAGAAGGAAGAATCAAGGCCAATGTTAAGGTTCTTCTCACGATTGCTGGCTTCCTCCTCGGCAATGCTTCCTTCATCTATCATGTCAAACGGCCTCTTGTGGCAGTGGATGCAAGACTCCAGTTCAACAACGTAAATCTCTCTACGCATAAAATGGAGACATTGGCCCTCCAGCGATGCTAATTACCGTGACCCGGCACGAGTGAAAGCAGCTGTTGCTAAGAGTAGCGAGAAGAGAGAGTTGTTTACCTCCGACAAACAATCTTGGGGCGGCGGACTCGGCGGCCGAATGTCAGACCCCTTCTTGATGGAGCTTATTGCACCGGATTGTTTACCTCTTTGTTGTCTGGACACTGTACACATACAATTTTCACAACCGCGCCGCGGTATACTTTCACATTGTCCAAAACGGCAATTCCTGGCATGTCCCACTTTCACCCGGACGTAACTTCACAGCCATAATGGCGTCCAAGGCTCTTATATACTCGCTCCTCCGCCGATTCTAACCCAGTTGAAAGCATAACACATCGCGACATCGTCCTCGACCACCCAGGAACACTCGCCCTACACTCGCACACACATCATCCACGGAATCACAAAGCGACCAAACTCTTCGTCATGTACACAGCTGCCATAACGGAACTCATCCGATACGTTGGGGAACTCCTTGTAACCCTTGTCTTAGCCATCCTAATTGCGCTGACGGGAGTATTCTTCGTCTACAAGAACTTCGGACTCGCCTGCTTTAGCATCGGGATCGTGCTCTGTGTAGGTATATGGTGTTTGACCGTGCGACGCGTAAGGCGGCACGGCAGATACCCTCAACTTCTTGATGCACCCTTCGTCATTGGAGTCTGGATTGCTGAAGGTGTTGGAATCCTTGTCGAAGGTGTCAAAGTCCTCATTGAGTGGATCCACCAATACACTCGTCAGTTGTGGCTGCAGTTGAGGCTCGAGGTCGCGCCACCAGCCCCGTTCCGCCTACCAAACCTTCCGGCTGAGCTGCGAGACATGCTGTACCACCATGTCAGCAACAACATCACCGGCCGCTCCGAGAGATGGATTCTCGGAAGAGTCGAGTTTGAGGCACTGACGACTGCGGATATCAGCAAAACCTCCTCACAGATCCGCACTGAGTTCCTTGCCCAGGTCTTCCGTGATAGTCCGAACCTGTCGTTCATCTACCGCGGTTTTAGGGACTATCAGGCGCTGTACGGCTTGTTGAAGACGATCAAGCGATACAGCCGCCGAACGTTGCATCACGTGCACATTAGGATTTCTCCCGGTCAACACATCTTGCCGGACAACATATTTGGATCCGCGCTCGACGCCTTCATTCATGCGGGAGCGTCCTGCAACGTCGTATTCTGGTGGCCCAGTGGGTATGCTGACTTCTGCCGTATCACAGTTGAGAGGACACTTTCATTGCTGGAAGCCTTGAGCAGGAACGGGGTTCCAACAAGCACATGGCCAATCAGGGCGGTTGCCAATCGCTACGATGGCCACATGTACGTCACAGCCTCGACCGAGGCTGTGACGTTCAAGTGCATGTTTCGACGTTATGGTGAGAGAGGTCAGATCGGAGAGGAGGGAGCGTGGGAGTTCTTGCTTTGCGTATGAAATATTGGTACCTGAAAATTTCAGTCAGACCGCTCGCAACCACTATGGCAAAACATCGAAGAAACGCATGGAATTGGGAGGGACAGTTGTAGAATTTGGCACTATGACATAGCAGAAACAAGGCGAGGAAGCCCTTAGGCCGGCTCCTGACTTGGTACAGGCGCTCTAGAGAAAATAACATTCGTATAAAATCTCTCGTCCCAAATCTTGAAGATCAATGCACAGGACTGTAAAGTCTCGCAATCTCTTTGCTATCTTCCTATCGCGTGTGGATACTGTGACTACAAACTGGTAATTGCCCACCCAAACCTGGACCCACCAAAAAAAAGCGCGACAGCCTTGGATTCTGGAAATCCCGGCTGAAAACTTCCATATATGGCGGATGACTAGCAGTACAGAAATATATAACCACCGGCAACGGTCTCATCAGCTACTTCGTGTCCCTAAACACGATCCTTACGGCCTTATAGTTATCCACTACGCTAATTTTTGCACCTCGCGAACATACTGATGGCTCTTGTGATGGACCGGCAGTGAACGACAACAATAGATGCGACGAACCCCATGGCTCCAGTTTCACACTGTAGTTCCACGATCAATGATCCTTTTGCCCAGATCAGGCAATCAGTCCCGTTCGTAGGACAGCGCTGTGAGAACGAGACCACTCAACTGCGCACCAGCGTGCACGTCGTACCTGCGCGCGTCCGGCGGGTTTCCTTGAACCAGCACTATGCCACCGTCGCTTGCCAGAGCCGTCCGGCGTCGGTTTTTCTCAGCTTGCACCATTGTGCTGACGGCCGTTTTGTCCCGCATCGCCAATTTTCTCAACCTGCAGCAGGTCGCTGGCGACCGATCCGTTCCTCGTGCTCAACATCCTCGACCTTCGCTGGTGGACTGGTCTTCGTCAACGCCCGCAGCCATGTTGCTGTTGTCTTTCTTGAGCCGCTATCGCTGCGGCTGGCGTTGTTGGAGCGGTGCCGGCCCGTTGAGACAGTGCGACGTTCTACGATAAGACTTGTTTTGCCGTTTTAGGAAGCGTATTTGGGGAACAACTGAGATGCCAAAGAGTTACAAAGGAGCTGCACCACGACAAATTTGATGGTGTCAGTTACATTCAGCCAACGGCTGCAGCAAAGTTAGGTGCACCAGATTGGATGGATGAGATGTGTGAGTGGAAGGCAATTTGATAATTGGAGAGATACGCAACGGAAGGCGGCATTGAGAACACTTCCCACTGAACGAGCCCATGCAGACGGACGATGTGATCTTCAGGGGTCGTAGCCGGGTCTTGAACCACTTTGAGCAACTGGAAACCGGAACAGCCGCCGGTGTCTAAACACAGTAGATAAGGAAGGAAGATTTGATAGATTGGTAACGCATAATACAACTTCCAACGCCTTGATCTGCCCTGGGTGCCTGCCCCTACTACCTGAAGAGCCGGCTAACTAGCCCGCTCGCAACATTCCGTGCCAGCCCGCCAGAATAAATCGCGTTAGACGCGAGGTTAGTAGCCTGGCTGAACTTGTCGCACCTCGAGAAAGCCAGCGTGTTCGTGATCGTCAGGACCATCGCGATGACTGTGACCTGATCAGCGCTGTTCACCTACACCAATCCCTCCCACATCCCCTGTATAACTCACCAACAAGCGTCAACCAAATGAAATGCAACTTCACAATCGCCACGACCGCCAGCGCGACCCACAGCACAGGCTGCACATACAGCGCGAGCCAAAAGAACCTCTTATCCGTCATATTCTGGACCCTACTGCCCTCCTCCGCGCTCTCAAACACCCAATGGCTCTCCCCTGACCCCGTGTCGACTTCGTTCCACCATCTTAGCCCGACCAGGCGCCGGCCGGCGATGTTCTTCAGGTAGTAGAAGTCCGCAGCGAGCAGAAGGATCGTGATGATGAAGATGAGGACGTAGTTGGAGGTGAAGAGGAGGCCGAAGAGGTAGGTTAGGAGGGATGCTGTGGGGCGTGGGTGTTAGCTTTACGGTAGGCTTCTGGAAGATTGGGGGACCGAGGCTTACATGTCCGGAATGCGAGAAAGCAGAGCAGTGTGATGGGGTGGGCGCTGAGGCGCCAGCTCAGAGCGCCGGGTTGGGGATTTTCCATTGCGTTGACAGTGGAATGGTGAGCTCTTCGGAGCTTTTGTGCTGCGTTGAGGTGAGGCAGCTGTGGTCGTATCGCGGCTACGGTGTTGTTCCGCTCTGCAGGGGTGGACCTCCGCAGCGGGAGAGCGGGATGTTGGCTGTGGGGAAAGCTTCGAGAGCTTCAGCACCTCGGCCAGAGTTGCAGAGCCTCAATGCCGTTGTTGTGTCGCCTCTTCTGTTTGTGCATATACGAGTCCAGAGGCGATCGATATCCCCAGTAGTGGTCTGCCCTAACCATCTCACGCATTGTCTCAGATTGCTACTCTACGTTGTTAAACACAATGGCTGCGCCAATCATCCGGCGAGCGCTCCTTTATGGTAAATTCAGTAGATACTAAACGCATTGCAACATCCTGACGAAGCTAGGTAGTGCCTGGGTCCTCGAAGAAGATGCTCGACAAATCCCGCGGCCTGAATGTCGACTGCGTGGCCTACGATCTTGAAGACTCCGTAACGCCGGGCAAGAAAGCAGAAGCGCGGTCGAACCTGCGGCAATTGCTTGAACAGCCGCGTGTAGAGGGCATAAGGGAGCAAGCCGTGCGAATTAATTCTGTAGACAGTGGGCTGGCGCTTGATGACCTTACTGAAGTTGTACGTGGCCCGCTGTCCGCGAACACGAATTGATTGACGACGGTGCAATCTGCTGACACCGCACCCCAGCTCAAAGCCCCTAATCTTGACGCCCTCGTAATCCCCAAAGTAAACTCCGCCTCCGACCTGCACTTCATAACCGACGTAATCCGGCACACCCTTCCCCACCGACACCCCTCCACCGCCACGTCCTCGCCCAACACCCCACCCCCCCTCCGCCTAATCGCGCTCATCGAGTCCGCCCGCGCAATTGTCGACCTCGCCTCCATCTGCCGCGCCTCCCCCTACCTAAGCGGTCTAATCTTCGCCGCCGAAGACTTCGCCCTCGACCTTAGCATAACCCGTACACCCTCTCTCTCCGAGTTCCTCTACGCACGAAGCTCTATCGTAACCGCATGCCGCGCGCACGACCTTCCCTCCGCCATCGACCTCGTCTGCACCTCTTTCCGCGGAGACGAGGGCCTACGCGCTCTCGAGGAAGAGTGTCTAGGTGGGAAGCGGCTCGGCTTCAACGGCAAGCAGCTGATCCACCCGAGTCAGGTGGAGGTGTGCCAGCGGGCTTTTTCGCCGGGGGAGGAGGAGGCGAGTTGGGCGGTGCGGGTTGTGGTGGCGGATGAGAAGGCCGAGAAGCTGGGACGGGGCGCGTGGACGCTTGATGGGAAGATGATTGATGCGCCGGTTGTCGGTAAGGCGAGGGCGATTGTTAGGAAGGCTGAGTTGTGTGGGATGGATGTGGGGGCGTTGAGGGAGAAGTGGAAGGGGCAGGAGCCGGAGTGAGGGTGGTGGAACGGGGAGTGTGGAGAGGGCTGCGAACTAAAGTGTTTGAACGGATAGAGGCTTGGGCTCAGCTACGTGCTGAGATGCTACCCGCTTCTATCATGAGACCTGAAACACTGAGGGAAAGTTCAGCGTGTATTGCTGGGAGCTATCAACAACTGGTAGCTTGCATGACGTTCATGGAAACAAGATTATGGCAGCATATCGATGCCGCTTGGGTATCAACATGATGAGCGCATCAAAAGAACCATATTCCATTCGACAGCCACGACCGACTCACGATGGTGCATGGCTATCCGTCCGGCTCAGCCTCCGCTGGGCGATCAGCTTCTCCTTCAGTAGCGCCTCCCTCAAGACGTTGGCCATCTGTGGCTTGTTTGGGGGTTTCACCAGGTTCGTGGGAACACACGACTCTTCCGAGGGTACGGGATGAATTCGCTGCGTCAAGTATTAGTCAGGCCACGGCGCTCCCCAGGCAGATAAAAAAGGTAAGGTTGAGCGAATGCGTATGTATGTTTTGTGTGGTGAATTAGCTATGTTGTCGGGAACTTGCCATGTTACAGGGGAAATGAAGCCAACCCGCAATGCATGGCCATCCCAGTGAGTCATTCACATCCCTTCGCGTGATATCCAACCCGTAGGCTGACGAAGACGATAATCGATGCTCAAGATTGCTCACCCACCTCCTCAGGGCCGCGTGCCTCCGACTCCTTCCTTCCTCCAGGTGTGCCAGGCTCCGACGAAGTGTTCCTCCGGTGCTTGGCGCGAGAATCGTATCGCTCGACAGAAGGGCGTCGCTTGTGGTGACGCGGTGGCGAGCGGCCGTCGCTGTCGTCGCGGCTGTGACTGCGCTTACGTCCGCGATCTTTCGCGTAGCGATCCTTGCGAACATCAGCTCGTGTGTCTTTGGCGTCGTGATCTGAAAATGAAATGGATCTTCTGTTGAGAGAGTTCCTTGCGCCCTCGCGGCGAGGGCTCGGTGAGCGAGTGCGCGATTGGGACTTTGATGGTGAGTGGTGTCGGCGGTGTCGGGGTGCTCGGGATGCGGGTCGTGCGGGAGAGGATGAGGAACGATCTCTGCGAGTGTGGCGTCGTCTAGGCGATCGTGAGTGAGGCTTCTGAACCAAAGTAGAGGACCTATCGCGGTCAGCGTCTCGAGCTACGGGTCTGTCTCGTCGCCCGTCTCGATCCCGGGTCCCGGCTCTGTCTCTGTCTCTGTTTGTTCTCGGTGGCGGTGATCTATGTCGGCTGCGTGAGCGCGACGCGCTGGGCGATCGACGACGGCGTTGTGGGGGAGGCGAACGAGATCTCGAGGGAGTCGGGGACCTGCGGCGTGAGCGCCGAGGTGGAGTAGGCGATGTAGACCTCGGCCTAGATGAACTTAAGCGTGAGGATCTTAACGGAGAAGGCGACCGCGGTCGACGCCTGTCATCTCGCCTGCTACCAGAAGGGACGTAAGTATCCACGTCGCGCCTTGAAGGCGGCTCGCGGAAATTGTCGGGACTACGTCGCCTTGTCGGAGGAGATCTTGAATCTCGGCGCGGTCCTCGATTGAAGTCTCTATCTCCTCGGTATGATCCGCGTCCTCTGCCACGGTCCCGGCCCCGGTCTGCCCGTTCTCTCTGGCGGATGCTCTCAATGTCTCTGTCTCGTGCTTTGTCCTGCTCTCGGCGTCGGCGCACCTCGGCGGCAGCCTTGTCTGCCTCGATCTGCAAGTGTCAGCTGGAATTAGGTGTCGTATCCCATGTACTACCTTCTCCTGTATCAACTCGAGCTTCTTCGCTTCGAGCAGCTCCTTCGGTACACCTTGTGGGTTGGACTGTGCGCTCAGACAGAGATTCCATAGTTCTTTGCAAAACGCCGCCGTATCCTTCTCAAGGAATCCAGTGAGTTGGATCTGTATGTTCTTGATGTTGGGCTGGTAGACAATCAGCCATGTCTCTAGATCTACCTGGTGCAGCAACGCCTACAGAATTGTCCGCCACGAGAAGATTGAAGCACATCTCTGTGACGACGTCGTCACCTGGTAGAATCTCTGAGATCTTGCCAGCGATCCATCTAATTAGAGAATCAGTGAGGCAGGCGCACATGGGCAAGACTGAGCGGGACTTCACTTTTTCATAACCTCGACGTTGATCTTGCGGATGTCGACCTTCTGATTGAACTCAGGCGGGAACTTGGTAGACCGGAGCAGCTTCTGATCAACCGATGAAGCCATGGTGAGCTCTGCGACGGGGGGTGTGTGGGTGTTTGGATGGAAATTGATGGAGGTGAAGCTGCGACGGAAAGTGAAGCGCGGCTGCCAAGACAGGTCGTCATTGGCAGTGGCGGTGCCTCTGTGGCTGGAGCTCCGAATCGCCGCTGCTCTTCTCCGACAACCCCTGGACATATGGCATAGGACCTCAGCGTGACTTCTTCAATCGAGCATGCGCCCGGGCTTGGATATCATGTCAACCCGATGCAGGTATTAGACCAAGCAGGCAAGTACGTAGGTAAAGGAAAGGGATGCAGGCGTGCGGGCCGCTCTTGCAAACCGCAATGATAGCTCTGCTCTCCTTCCTTCGAACCATGTCCTTCTCGAAGCAAGAGGCACCTCGAATGCCTCCTTAATGTCTCCTTAAAGTCTTGATCTCCTGTCTTTCTGGCTTCTGTTTTCATTCACAGTCTTTACATCCCATTGCCAGGCGCTCTGTTTTACCCGTATCAAACCTTCACCGCATCACATCCCGCTATCCTTACAGCCAGGCACACCAATGGCCGACCAACCCGCAGACACACGCAAGGCTGCGGAGGCAGAGCCCGGTTTGTTCGTCTTCTCAGAAAGCGCGCCTATTGCTCATATCCCGCCAGAAGTTCCCACCGAGGCCAAGACCACAACGGACGCTCCACCAGCGTCTGACCCACAACCAGCACCTGCATCCGACCCTAAGGTCGAACCTGAAGCCAAGCCTGAAGCCAAGCCTGAAGCCAAGCCTGAAGCGGAGCCCGAAGAGGGACCTGAAGGCGAGCTCGAAGACGAACCTGAGGATGAGCCTGCGGCCACTCCGAAACCTGCGCCAGAACCAGCCAAGGAGCCAGGTATACCGCTCTTATCATCTGAACGCTCGCTTCTCAAAGCTAATCGCGTCATCATCCGCAGAAGCCCCCGCAGAGAACCTGCCAGAAGAGCAGCTCGTCGTTACTACCTCCGAAGGCACGCCAATCGTCGCCGTTACAGAGCCGACTAAGCCACAAGACGCACCTGTCCCGCCGAAAGAGACAACGGAGCTAGTCATCGTGCCCAACTCCCCACTTGTGCCGGAAGACTCGGCTAGTGACACAACTCCTGAGGATACGCCAGTCGCGGAAACGCCGCCACTGCCTGAGACTGCACCAGAGCCAGTTTCCGAGGTTCCAGCTGCCATCATAGAAGAAGCTCAAGAGTCCCGGCGGTCGTCAATAGCCTCGTCCGTTGCTTCGTCTGTTAGTGAGGCTGCCAAACAGGAAGAAGCGGCCGCACCGCCCGAACCCGCACCGGAGCCGGCTCCTGAGGTTCCATCTGCCGTCGCCGGAGAAGCTCAGGAGTCTAGACGATCATCAGTGGCCTCATCCGCGGCTTCATCTGTCAGTGAAGTCGCCAAACCGGAAGAAGCCCCCGCACCACCTCGAACAATGACGGAAATGATTAAGGCGGCGCCTGTTGCCATGGTCGAGGCGATCAAAGGACCTAAAGAGACATCCGCTGCTTCCTCCGCATCCTCGTCTCCCGCTCTGAAGCCAACAGCAGCAGAAGAACCACCTGTCGTGCCAGCCTTGGCCGAGGAAGCCCACCAGTCGAGGAAGTCATCTGTGGCGTCCTCGATAGCCTCATCCGCCTCTTCTACCGCGCCTCCGAAGCCAGTTGTCATCGAAGAACTGCCCGTGATAGCAGATCCCATTACTGCCATCATGCAGGACCAGCTGCCGGCTCTGCAGGATACTCCCAAGCCTGTGACCCGCGCTCCGACAGTTGCACCACCGCCAACTCCGGTGGGGCCTTCGCTATGGAGCACGAGTGTCTCCTCCGTACCAGCTGTGACCGTCCTTGAAACGGTACCAATGGTGGCAGTGCCTGCACCGGCCGGACCTGTTGGACGGAAGCGTGATAAGGTAAGGGAGAAAGTCGTGAAGATGCCGGTGCTGCGGGCGGTGCTTGGCAGTGAGATCGCCAAAGAGTTCGGTCCCGGTATCCGTGCTGCGTTGGGAATGAGTGCTAGGGGTTGAGGCCGATCTCCTTTGAGCATTGTGGTCGGCTGTTTACTTGAGAGTCTCTGGTTTCTGTCCTTACTCTTCTCCAGTACCCTAGTTTCGATATGAAAAGTTCTATTCTTCATGACCGCCGCTGCTCCCTTTCGTATGTGATTGAAGAGCACATTGCCGTACATGATGCTTCTTGTCTCAAGTCACGAGGTTACTGATCAGCCGTGATGATGATAAGCTTGATCAGTTTTCACACCCAGCAGTCATTCTACGACAACATACCGGTTGCCGCATACGGAAGTGGAAAGAATTTCCGTGGAGACGACTGTGTGAATCTGGAGGCGTGAGCGGCCTCACAGAGCCTCCGGTGCCCCAAGACCCTTCCGGATCCTTGACGCGGCTACCTTCGCATACACGATGCAGCTTCTCGCCTCGCTGATTGAGCCACCACGTTGAACGAGTATCACTCCGTTGACTCCGCAAAAGTTCGGATTCTGAGAGCGCCGGATCATAGCGGACCTCATGAGTCTGGCGTAGACCCTAGATTTCGCAGCGGGCTGCCAGATGTTGCCATGCAGGCCTTGGTCCGCTCTGGTGAGAACATCAGGTAGAACAGACACCACTTCGTCAACGTCGCGCAGATCTCAAAATTGACGGCGCTGGGTCGTAGCGGACCTCGTAAGTCCCATGCAGATCTTCGAATCTCCAATTTCCATCGCTGTTCGCAGCGTTCTGCCATCCAGGTGCGCTGACTGTGTAGACTTCATGCAGTCGTTCTACGACAATCCTGTCATTGCCTAATCCGGCAGCAGCCTGGATTCGTAGAACGACAATGTGAAAACATCCACACCTGTAGGCAAGATGATCTGCACCACGACAGAAAGCACTATGCGACCGTGGTGACTCTGTGCTCTGCCGTGTCCATACGAGTGTACGAAGCGCTTCCCATGGCTCCTTCTTGGCCTTCTTGATCTTGCATCTTACCTCCTCTCGTATACTTTAGTCGCACTTACGACATCTGGTCCAAAAGGGTTCCGTCAACGGTATAGGTACGTCAATCGCTTCTTCCGCTTCTCAGCATACTCGGAGTATATTTCTATCGCAAAGATCATAAACTCATGGCTTGGAGAGGCATTCTATTAGTTCACCCAGATCATGTCCTAGTAACATGGCAATATACGTATAGCTAAGTGTGCTTCGCAATATTCGGAAAACATCTGTCTTCTGCGCACTGTCGACCCGTTCAGTGCGGAACAAATAACGACGCCGGGTAAGATATCTCAGCCGAATGGCGATGTTGAGGGTAGTTACGGCTTCCTCATCTTACACAAGAGTATCTGGCGTTCCATCCTCAGGGCCCATGCGGACCGTTATTCTTTACAAAAATCAGGAGCCGATATCCTATCGGCTCGCCTCCTGCAAGACGTGTTCCATCTCACTGTATCAGCATCTCTCCAAGGTTCCGCCGGATAGGAGAACAGCAGACTAGCGGTCTGGCTCTTTCCAACACTTCCTCCTTCTCATGATCCTTCTGCTAATTTTCTGCCTTGACCTGGTAGCCCTGTTGTCCGGAACTGCCCATTCCCATGCTTGTTCCAGCAACTCCACACGCGTCTTCCCCGTCGGAATCAAGGCCATATACCCCCAAAGCCCCAGCTACCCACGCTACCCCCCTCACCCAACCGCCCTCCTAACCGCCTCCCTCGCCTCCATGAGCCCCCTGTCCACCGCCCCGCCCGTATGCGCGACCTTGACCTTGTAGTGCAACTCCACCAGATCCTTCGCGCGTGCTAGGTCAGGGTCGTCTTCGGCGAGTGCGTCGGGCTGTTCTGGCGTCTGGGATGCTTGGGTTGAGGTGGTGGTAGAGGGGCGCGCGGAGACGAGAGCGAGGGCGGCGGTTGGGTCCTGAGGGGTGTGAGCTGAGTGTGTAGGGCGTGAGATTGGCGAGAAGGGGGATGGAAGGGGAGGCACGTACGCAGACGCGGAGGGAGGTCAGGTCTGAGAGGATTTCGGCTGTTCTCATCATGGAGTCTGACAGCTTGGTCTTGCTAAAATAGCTTTGCTGGTACGGGACACAGATGGCTGATTGTATACAAAGCTCTGTTGCGCTGCTTTAGTGAAGCTCGAATATCGAGATAAACAAGCGTCATGCCCTCGCCCAGCTTTCCACCGATGTCCGATACCGGCGCTTCAACAAGCCGATGTTTTCCGAACAGCTGCATCCCCATCCGCCTTGCAACAGCCAGCAAGATGGAGCAGCAGCGCCATATATTTGAGCCATTGAGCAGAAATTCACTGCTGAAACAGCTGCAATGGCATCCGCAGCGTCTGTACGCGCGAATTGTAGGAAGGTATGGCACCCTCCGACGACCAACCTTCAAGCCCAACCCCATCACTGTATACGTGCGCGATACAGACCCGAGCGTAGCTAACACGTCTTACAGGTGATGTGCATAGGTCGAAACTACGCGTAAGCCCTCCTTCCTCCCGCTCTCCGACCGTACCGTCCCTGACCCGCCAGCTCAACAGCGACCATATCAAAGAGCTCAACAATCAGCGCCCCAAACAGCCCTTCTTCTTCCTCAAGCCTCCGACCTCGATCCTGCTGCCCAATGAAGGACCCGTACTGCGGCCACGAGGCGTCACAATGCACTACGAGATCGAGCTAGGGTTGGTGATGGGCAAGACCGTCAAGGACATGCATGAAGAGGATAAATCGTGGATGGACGCCATTGATTGTTAGTAGCTATCCCAGCCATCTACAGCGCCATGGCAACGTCCTCTCAGCCAGAGAAGGGAGGCAGAGCGCAGCTAACAGCACGGAAACCCAGCCTACATCCTCGCCATCGACATGACAGCCCGCAACGTGCAAGACGAAGCCAAGCGCAAAGGCCTCCCCTGGAGCATCGCCAAGGGCTTCGACACCTTCCTGCCCATCTCCTCCCCAATCTCCAAGACCCAGCTCCCGGACCCACACAACGCGCATCTGTGGCTCTCCGTGAATGACCAGGTCCAGCAAGCAGACAGCACCGAGTTGATGCTGTTCCGGATCCCGAGACAGCTGTCGGAGATCAGCAAGGTCATGACGCTGGAAGCGGGGGATATTGTGTTAACGGGGACGCCGAAGGGGGTCGGACCTGTCGGGACAGGGGATGTGATGAGGGCGGGGATGAAGGTTGATGGGAGGGAGGTGAAGGAGGCGAACATGGAGGTGGCCGTTGTGGATAGGGAGGGTTTGTATGAGTTTAAGGAGACGTAGGTGACTGAGCGAGAGCGAAGTCTGCGAGTTAAGGGTTCGGCTGTGTTGGAAAGCTACGGTGCGTATCAGCGATTACCGCTAGGATACTTTTCAGATGTCATGCAGCTGAATGATCTGTCTCCTCTTCTTCTGTGGATGATTATGTGGAGGCTTCGCATTGGTTGCTGCTGAAACTTGAGGTTCGTGTTGTTGATCGTTGGCCAGCTTCGGCGCGACTGGTTTCAGTGCCGGCTCCAGAGTCTTGATTACGCTTCGTGTCTCTTTGACTTCCCCAGTCAATGCAGCCTTCCTCTTCTTCCGCGAGTTTGCTAGATCTGCTGGTTCTTTCATGATACTAGGTACGCCTGTTCCCATGTTTGGACTATGACCACGTGCAGCCCGCAAAAGTCTGTTGGCTAGTATCTCACTACGCGGCGCTGCGCGGGATGACCGCCGGAGCACAGCATATGTTTGAGGCTGAGATGTCTGCAACTGGAGTGGCCGCACTGCTGGATGGCTACATGGTGGTCAGTAAGCGCATAAGGTGAGAGAAAGTGGCCAGAAAGTGTGTTCCGTGTTGAGATCAGAAAGCGAATGACCGCTGATGACCCAAAAGGCATAAACGGGTCAACAAGGGGGCCCGGGGACTTACCTGCGAAGCTGTCGGCTAACGAGAGGACTTCGAGCCACCTGTACGTTGGGGGAAGTGACTAGAGGAGTCTCCATTTGCGTTGTCCCAGTAGAGATACTGTTCACTGCTCTCTGTCGCGGTGGAATGTGGTTCCTTGGAGTCCTCGCTGACTCGAGCTTCTTCTGTATTTGCTGGGTCTTCGTACTAAGCTCGTGATTCAAGCTCTCGAGCGCCTTGATCTTCTGAAGAAGAGCGGCGATCTTGGTATTGTCCTCGTTCCTGCGAGACTCGAAGGCGTCCAGTCGTCGGCTCAAAACTTTGTCGACCGGATCGGTCTTGCGGACGAGCCTGTCAGCAGCCTTCGTTTCGGCCTCTCGCGCAACTTCGAGTTGTACGAGTCTTTTCAAAACATCATCGTCCCTACGCTTCGCCTCTTTCTCCTCCATCTCACGCCTCTTCATCTCAGCATCAAGTAACCCGATCTTTCTGGACAAGCTCTGCAGCTTGTCATCACCCTTCCTAGCCTGCGCCTGCCGTTCTTCGTCGAGCTTCGTGATCCACTGCCTGACATCATCGTCATCCTCTTCAATCGCAGCAATACGCGCAGCCATGTCAGCGACACGCGTCACAGTCTCCCTTGCCGCCGCAGTAGTAGCTTCAGCCTCTTCCATCCGGGCCACAACAGCTTTGCTCATAGCCTCGAGCGCCTTCATGCGCTCTAGCAGATGCGCGTGTTCCTTCTTGAGTTGATGCGCCCAGAGTAGGGACGTCGGACTTGCGGGTCTCTGCACCATGTTGATTGAGTCTCCACGCGTCGCGTGAAGGGGTTTCGAGGGCGCGTCCTTCTGTTGAGCTAGGCCAGTCCGGTGGTTGAGGTTCAGCTGCGAGAGCTCTGAGGTACGCGACGTAGAGACAGATGTAGTGGAAAGTGACGCGTATGCGTTCAACCCAGGTGAGGAGGATCCCCCAGACAGAGAAGACGCGCTGAGATGCAAGGTAGACGCGTTCGAAGCGGTTGCCAAGACTGGGTTGGATGTTGGATAGAGGTAGCCGGATAACACGAGAGAGCGGAACGAATAGACAACAGAGAAGCGTGCGCGCCGCGTGTATAGGCAATGTCACTAACCAGCGTCTACAGTCTCCGTTGCGTAGAGGAGAGAGCAAGATAAGGACAACGCATAGATCTGAAAGGCACAGATGCGTGTCGAAGCGCATCACCACACCCGCTTGATGGTTGTGGTTAGCGAGAATGACTGAATGGCCATGCGGTGGATACTTCTCACAGCACTCAAGCAGACCTTGGGTTTCGAGAGATTGAGGGTTCAGTGCGAAAGTGTCCAAAGTGGTGAAGATCAACCTGTGGTTGCAGGAGAGTGACGATGTCGAAGTAGGCGAGCAAGTCCGCGTCAACCACGCGGCTATCTGTTTTATACGAAACATAGATTGTTGCAAACGTCACCATTCACATGAGGAACAGAAGTATGTGAAATCGTCTATTAGGCGGTACGAAACCATCGAGCCCATCCTTGGCAAGTCTAGCCGTAGAGTCATCTACGTCTATGCCAGGATAACCAAAGGAAAAGCGATTCCTACGTACAGACAGCAGCCATTGCAAGGAAAGCAAGACCCCTAAAACGCAGAGCAAATCAACTGCGACCCTTCCCGATCTAAACAACATACGTTCAAGTGAATGCATGTCGCGAAACTATGACAGACGCCGAGATGCAAGACCCCAAAGGTCCTAGATCTCCGCTTTTGACTGCGTGAATACCACGCTATGCAGTACTAGGACAACCCTGCTCCACTTCGCAAGGCGATCCTCCAGTCGAAGAAAGAATAGATTAAATGAGATCTAAAACGATACGTTAGCAGCTGCGGCTTGAAGAGAGTATATAAGCGGAGGTAAGACCTACCGGCTACGTTCATAGGCATCTCCTCAATCTGAGTGCTGTAGAACTGCTCAATCTCTCTCATCATTCGTACATCGTCAGCCGTAACAAAGTTGATGGCAACACCCTTCCGGCCAAAGCGGCCGCCGCGACCGATGCGGTGGATGTAGTTCTCGCGGTTCGCCGGAAGGTCGTAGTTAATGACAAGGGACACCTGCTGGACGTCGATACCACGGGCAAGGAGATCCGTGGCGATGAGGACACGGGACGAGCCGGAGCGGAACTCCTTCATGATGACGTCGCGCTGGGCCTGGTCCATGTCGCCGTGCATGGCCGACACGGTGAAGTCGCGGGCAGTGAGCTTGTCGGTGAGCCAGTCGACCTTTCTCCGGGTATTGCAGAAGATAACGGCTTGGGTGATGGTGACGGTCTCGTACAAGTCAGAAAGCGTGTCCAGCTTCCAGTCTTCCTTCTCGACAGCAATATAGAACTGCTTGATGCCTTCAAGGGTGAGCTCGGCCTTCTTGACGAGGATACGGACTGGGTCACGCATGAACTTGGTGGTGACCTCGAGAACGTCCTGCGGCATGGTGGCCGAAAGGAGAACAACCTGGGTGGACTGCGGCAGAAGCTGGAAGATGTCGTAAATCTGCTCCGTGAAACCGCGAGAAAGCATCTCATCGGCCTCATCAAGGACAAACATCTTCATGTTGTCGGTCTTGAGGACACGGCGCTGGATCATGTCGTGAACACGGCCAGGGGTGCCAACAACGACCTGGGGACCCTCCTGAAGAGCCTTCATGTCGTCGCGGACGCTGGTGCCGCCAATGCAGGCATGGCACTCAACATTCATGAAGTCGCCAATGGCGACCACGACCTTCTGGATCTGCTGTGCCAGCTCACGGGTGGGGGCAAGGATGAGAGCCTGGCAGGCCTTGAGGTTCTGATCGATCTTCTGGAGGACGGAGATGGAGAAGGTGGCAGTCTTGCCGGTGCCGGACTGGGCCTGGGCAATCACGTCGGAGCCTGCACATTCATGTCAGGGAGGCCGTCGAAGATGTTGGCCGAGAAGATATACATACCCTTGATGACCGGCATGATGGCGCGCTGCTGGATGGCAGACGGGCGCTCGAAACCGTAGGCGTAGACACCACGAAGCAGCTCGGGCTTCAGGTTCATCGAATCGAAGGAGTCGGTGATCTCGTCATAGTTGGACTCGATTTGGCCTGAACGGTGGCGCGAGTTAGCACGAGCGTTGAAAAAGACAGGAGAGCTGTCGCGACAGAGATGATGGACTGGTAACTCACTCTCAGGAACCTCCTCGAGACCTTTTGCGTCAGCCATGATTGCGACTAAGGCGGAGTGATCACAGGCGCTCGCGCTGTGACCGTTGAATTCACTTGGTGGGGGTAAAGCGGCGGTCTTGGATGGACGCCGCTGAGTGTGTAAGCTGGAAGTTGTGCTGAAACTAGATTCCTGACTCTCTGGTGTGAGAGTGGCGCGGATATCTAGTGGTTGAAGTCTTGTGTCTGTGGTTCGGTGGTTGGATCAAGAGTTGATGGGTGCGGGCAGAGTTTTGTAGGAGAAAGTTTCGAAAGTTTTCTGCGGCGTTGGTGTTTAGGTAAGCGAGGAAAATTGGGCACTAGTGAAAGATTCCATGCTGCAGCAAACTCTGGGTGAATCGACCTTCCACGCCTCTCCATCGAGTGAGTCGCCTTGTGAGTCGCCTTGCTGGTGCAGTCTGCTCGTACGCAGTCGCCACTCCGCTGACTCTAGACTCGGCGAAGAGGCTGTGTTGCGCCCACCGCCCGGCACGGGTCATCGTTGTGTGCAGAGCTATCGGATTTGGTGCAAACGGACGTTACAATGGCCCCCTCAGCGGTCCCAGTTGATGTCTTCCCTACCGCGCATGACGAGGCAGAAGTGTTGCGCCCTCTGAAGAGGACCAAGACCGAGTTGACTCATTCCATAACGGAGTCACAGCTGGGTGAAGACGGCCCTGACGCTATCCCGCCGCATCCTTTAGGCGTCAAGCCTCTAGGAAATGCTTACACGACAAGGAGAAGTCTGAAGGCGTCTGCGGGATCCTTCAAGAGGCTGCCGGATGAGCTGCTTGTTCACTTTCTTGAATACCTTGAGGCCGTAGATCTCTTGAAGCTAGGAGGCACGTGCAAGGCTCTTTACGCCTTTACGAGATTCGAGGATCTGTGGAAGACGTTGTTTGTAGAGTAAGCATGAAGCAGTTCGTTTTGCTCGACTTGCGCAGTATCCACTTTTCTGGAGTGTGTGTTCGTCACAGTCATATATTCATTTCTTACTGGAGCGTATAATGGGGGGTGGTAAGGCGTGGATCATTCCTTCATCAGTGAGACATCCTTCTCCTCTCTTTAGCCTCTTGCTCTGTCGGCATGGTTGGTCACAATTAGGCAAATATGGATTTCGGATGTAGCTTGACCGTATCTTGGGGGCTCACAACTGTTGTATGCTACTATACAGTCACTTGATAGCTAGCAGTGATTGCTTCGCTTCCTACATCCGATGCAAGTGTCAATGGAACAAAACTCGTGCTGAAACTTTCCGCCAGATCACCACCTCAAGACTTCACATGGCGAGGGACATGGCGCTCAACGTACCTCTGTCTTCCTTTAGACCTCGAGTCCCGTATATCCTGCGTCGACCTTTTCTCCGACGTCCTCCATCGCCCCTTCTACTGCGCCCACGTACCCCTCCGATCCTACGCCACCAACATCCCTCCCCAAAACGCCATTCCCCGCCTACCTGATCTGACCGTCGAAGAGTTCTCCGCCGACTGGACAAACACCCCCTTCATCCTGACCTCCCCCGTCAAAAGCTGGCCCATTTATGGCACCTGGACCACCACCTCCCTCCTCCAGACCTATGCCAGCACCCTCTTCCGCGCCGAAGCCGTAGACTGGCCTCTCGCAACCTATATATCCTACATGCGCAACAACACCGACGAATCCCCCCTCTACCTTTTCGACCGGTCCTTCGCCGCGAAAATGTCCCTGAGCATCGGCCCCGACGCCCCAGACGCGTCCTACTGGCCCCCCTCTTGTTTCGGCGCCGATCTTTTCAGCGTTCTAGGCGACCAGCGCCCAGACAGCCGCTGGCTCATCATCGGGCCCGCACGCAGCGGCAGCACATTCCACAAAGACCCCAACGCGACAAGCGCCTGGAATGCCGTGCTCACCGGCGCCAAATATTGGCTCATGTTCCCGCCCTCCGTCGACGTGCCAGGCGTCTTCGTCTCCGCGGACGGCGGCGAGGTGACTAGCCCGCTCAGCATCGCAGAGTACCTGCTCTCCTTCCACGCCTTGGCGCGGCGCACGCCGGGCTGTCGGGAGGGGGTGTGCTGGGCGGGCGAGGTGCTGCATGTGCCGAGTGGGTGGTTTCATCTTGTGTTGAATCTCGAGGAGAGTATTGCGCTAACGGGGAATTTTGTGCCGAGGGCGAGGGTTGCGGATGCCTTGGGGTTTTTGAGGGATCAGGGGGCGAATGTTAGTGGATTCAGGGATGACGTAAAAGATCCTTATGGGCTGCTCGTGGAGAAATTGGGGGAGAAGTATCCGGCGGTTTTGGACGAGGGGCTGAGAGAGCTGGAGAAGAAGACTAAGGGAAAGAGGGGTAAATGGGAAGAGCTCGTCAAGGGTGATGAGGACGGTGATGCCGATGACGGAGGGTTCAGCTTTGGGTTTGGTGGAGATGAGGAGGAAGTAGAGTGACAGAATTACTCAAAGTTTACGGAAGACCCTCTGATCAGGGTAGTCCGTAAGTCATTGAGACTACGCCAAGCCTGTCTCCACATCGTAAAACAATGAACGCATCCTCTTGCTGGTCTCTGCGCCCATGAAAACTCCACTTTCCTAGACGGAGCTGCTTCCATCACCGTAGGTTTCAATCCTCCTGCTAATCTTCCCGCCTCCGCTGTTTCAACTAGTGACCAGACGTTTTCTTGTCACGTTCGGCATGCTCGCTACGTGCTAAGCCGGTAGTGCGGGATGCTGCAAGTCAGCAGTATTGGGGACCTAATCAGCTCGGCTTTGTGATCCCGCCACACTTGCGCAAATATCGGATTGACAGCGTACGCTTGCCCTTATGCTGCCCTTGCTTCGCGCCTGAATCATCCCGGTTCGAGGCTGCAAGCCTCTGTTGAGAGCAGCGGGGGTTAGCTCGAGGCGATCGCGTAGACTCTTCTGGTTCGATGACCCTTGAGAAAACATGGCAACTGATGCCTCGCTGCAGAAGTGCGCCGTACTCCTTGGTCAGATCATCCAGTGGTGCCCGTGGAAGCCTTCGTCTCAACCCTGCGCCGATATAAGAGTGCCGAGCTTGTGGGCTCCATGGAGCTCAGACGTTTCGCTTCTTGCATTGCGCGGCTACAACGCTGATATCATCAAGCTTGCCTGTAGCGGCACCAGTCAGCCACCGCGTGAAGATGTGCAGCAGCAGACACTCACCTCCTTCGATAGACAAGCCCTCGTCAATAGCCTTCTCCATGTAAGGACTCTCCGCAAATGGATCTTCAGCAATAACCCTCGCAGCCTTGACCAGCTCTTGCGCAACGAACTTCATGACCTCCGCATAGCCAATTTCTCCAGAATCCGTGGTCTTCTGTATCTCAGCCTCACCATCCTCCCACTTCTTGAGGCTTTTCACAACGCTTTCCAAAACCTCGTGCTCCCAGAGATTGTCGATCACACCGTCTGAGATGGCTAGCACAACATCGTCCTCTTCTATCACGACACGATCCATAACCGCGTTCTTGTCCGGCGTGTCGGGACTGTTGGTACCAAGCTGGCGGGGACAGTCAAACCAATGCCACTGCTCCTCGGTCCTGAAGATAACTTCGTTGGCTTTGGGACGTAGCACAAGGACCTGCGAGTCGCCAAGCTGAGTGACGTAGAGGACGGGATGAGGCGGATTTTCATTGTCCGAACCTAGCAGCGCACCGCAAGCTGTCGTAGTGCCGTGCCATTGATTTGGCTCGGACGTCGCTTCTTTGGTACGCTCGTAAGCCCTCTGGAGGTAGGCCACCGGGTCTGGTTCAGAGGAGCCGCCGTAGGAGTCTTTCTCGGCTTCGATGGCCCAGAAGTGGAGGATCAGCCGTGACCACAGTCTTGTATGCATAGCTTGGGTTAGCCTTCCAGCCCGCCTTCATGGAGATATGTGGCCTCACGCTGCGTGACCCCTCTCCTTATGCGCCCAGGCTCCAACACCGTCGTTTGCGCCGATGAAGTTGTCGCTGACCAGTACAGCATCATCACCATTGGTGATCCCCCTGATCATGTCCCCATCGACGCTCGGCCTACGGTCCCTGCTCTTGTTATGCGTGCTCAAGGGATCGGAAAAGGAGCCGGAGGGGTACGAGAGGAAAGGCGGCGGGAACGGTCTCGAGGGCCTCTTGGCGAACAGCGCGTATCCGGCCTCGAAGTAGAAGGGGGACTTGGACTTCACGGGTTTTGCATCCTCGGGGACTGGCGTGGTGAGGCCTGCCTGAGGCTCCTTGGATCGTTTGTCATTGCGCGGCGTGGAGAGGCATCTCGCGCGAATTGGCTGAGGAACGCGGCGAGCTGCTGCTTGCTGGAGCAGGCCGCCGTAGAAGGGTTTCAAACGCGGAGTCTTCATGCCAGCGGCAGTGTTGCAGTGGGAGCTCCACTGAGCGAATGTTGAGGGCGGGCTGAAGAACCCTTGATGCCTTGAGTGGCGGATCTCGGTGTTGCTCCCGCGCTCTCTCCGCAAGCAGCGCTTCCCCAGATTCTGCACGTGACTTATGACGATAGGGCTGGTTGGGGGAGAGGCAGAAAAATCGGTCTCAGCAGCCCAGTAGGCGTACGCTGCTGAAAACGTTCCCGAAGGGTGCATATGGGCATCTCCCGTTAGGAAGCCCAGCAAACTCCCCATGCCACGCCTTTTCCTCGCCCTCGTACGCCTTTGCGCCAACTAGCTACCAACAACCTATGCAGGTCTCCTCTTCACAAACTCCTCGAGATCGCTCTTCGTAGCTACCCCGAGGACAAATCTCCTGCTACCATCCGTGACGACCGCAAAGTCCTGCGGTCCACTCCCATCTACCCCACCATTGAAGAATTGCTCCAGCTCCTCCAGCGGCGTGTCCATCGTGATGACCTTGTACACCTTCCCCTTCCGCCTGAACCGCAGCATAGCCGTCTCGACTGGATCTGTCTCCTTCACTCTGCCCTCCTTCAGCAGCTCCTTGAGACGAGGTATGCTTAGGTAGCCCAGCAATGCGCGGTTCTCCTGCGATACGACGGTGAGGTGGGTGTAGTCTCGTTCGAAGGCGCTCATGAGGGCGTGTGATATCGGATCCGTAGGTTTGCACGATAGCGCTGAGGGTGGGTCAAGGTCTTCGACGGTGGCCTCGAGACAGTATCAGCTACAAAGATCAGACGGTTACGATGCGATTACTGAGCGCTGGATTCTGCGCACGTACTCCGCGATATTTGTCTGCCCAGGCCGATTTGGCCGGGCTGCTCGTAGGGCCGTTTGGCATTGTGGCTAACGTTGCGCTGGTCATGTTTTGCTGGATCCTGAAGGTGTTTCAAGCTGGGTTGTGAAAGCGACGGTTGTTACACACGAAGGACGAATTTATCACACGTCACGTGCCCGAGTAAATGCACCCAAGCATAACTGTTTCGTACAATCAGGTGAGTAGTGATCGCACGGTGTTTTCGTGACAAGATTCCCATTCGTAGCTACAACTTAAATCTAGAAAGCCAATTCCTGCGAGCTCTTTGCACGGCTAACCGCTTGCTCAACATGAACTTCCCTCCTATTGGCACACTCTTGGCTTCTACACTTTGATTTCTTGTGAGCCAACAGCTAGGCCAAGTGTGTTTGCTGACAGGTATGATTCTGGCAGTTGGACCTCAGACCACGCTCGTCCAACCAAAGATATCCAGAACCGCGGACAACACCGCACAAAACAGACCGATCCTCTATTCCTTGCCCGCCCAGTCGTATACCAGCCTCCTCCTCTTGACCTGGTCCCCCTTAACCACCACCACATTCCTTACATACCGCCTATCCCCCTTAACCTCCATGAATCCCCAGATCTGCCTCGCCGTCCACCCAGCCTTCCCATTTTCGACAAAACTCTCAATCGCCTCACCATCCACGATAGCCTTCTCCCACCCCTCCTTCAGGTACTTCTCGTCATAGTCGCTCTCGTCCAGGTCAGACAGCTTGAACCAGCGACTCCGGCCCTTGAGCTCCCCGAAGATGTGGTCAGTGTGCTCGCGGAACTGGTTGTCGAGGACGCGCAGCTCGGTCGTGCCTTTGATGCCGCCGGTCGCGGTCTGCTCGATGTCGATGTGCGTTACGGATGCGTCGTCTACGTATTCCTTGGTGTGGAGGGTAATGGTTGCGAGGGCGATGGCTTTGCGCGTGAGCCAGCCGACGCCTTGCTGAGGATTGTTAGCCGGAGCTGGGGATTGGAGATTGGAGGGGGCGTACCAGGGCGAGGACGGAATCGGTCTCATCGGACAGGGTTTTGTTCTGTGGGGAGTTAATGTCAGTTGGCGGTTATACTGCATGCTGTCCTCGAATGCTCGCATACCATAATCCACTTTCCATTGAGGTCCTTGAGACTTGCGGTTTCGGGGGCTGCCATGGCTGCAAATTGCTTACTGTCAACCAAAGCCACTAGAATGGCGGACGAATTGCGGTTGGCAGCCGGCAGATGCAAGGTACGGCAGCGCTTTATGCATGGTTAAAAGAGGCTGTGGTTGCGTTGCACATGCCGCCAAGATGGGTGCACATGTGCCTAGGTATTTCGACGCCAAAAGGCGGGGGCGGACAATCTTGGCTTTATCGATTAGATTGACATGGCGGTATCAAAATTGTACGAGTACCGAAACGCAGCTGTCGGGACTTTTGCCTGATGCGGTACTGAATTGTAGAGCAGTGCAAATATCAACAAGCCGGGCCTTAGCTGGATTGCGTCTTCTTGCTTCGTACTGAAGGGTCTGTGATATTTAATCGCCGCCGCTGAAACTGAGCCTAGGGCGCGGAGCGTAACTAACATCTGACCAAGCCTAAGCTTCAACTAAGCATCTCTCTTATCGTCTGGTCGATAGGGATTGGCGTCCTGCCCCTCTCAGCAAGCAAGTTCTCCAGGACCTTGCTCGCTGGGCTACGATGTGCGCACTCGCCCTCTCTCACCGCATCGTAAGTCGTTGCCCACCATTTGATGAAGGCCTCATCCATCCCTCTTTCCTTTATATAGTAGCGCTCATACTGTGGGCGGGTCACAACTCGAACATTGACTGGGTACCGTTTCACCTCGGATACTGTCCTTGCAATCTGGCGAAGCGCCGTGGCTTCGGTTGTTGCCAACGTAGGGGTCATTCCACACCACCGCGTGGAAGTGTCGACAAGTATCATAGCAGTCGCCAGCCCTAGATCCGCGATGGCGGCAAAGGATATGTAGCCGTCGCCTGCTACAACGACATCCCGTCGAGTATCGCTGCTCGGGTCGTAGTGACCAAAATACAAGGGCCAGGACTCGTTGTACAGCCCTTCTCGAATGACAGTCCACTGAGTGTCACTGAGCATGGTAAGAAATTCTTCGGTCCGGTTGTGTGCTTTCATGACGCCCGCTTTCGACCGGTTGGTAAATCCCAGAGATGTGTAATAGATGTGGCTAATGCCAGCTGCTCGAGCGGCATGTACTGCAGCGATATGATGCTTTTCGCGTCCGCTACCGTATGCTGGATTATCGAAGTCCATGGTGATCTGAGGCGATGAAACTAGCAGCAGTTTGTCGCAGCCAGCGAAGGCTTTCTCCATTGATGCTTGATCCTCGTAGCTGGCGTACCGAACCGTGACACCTCTCTCCTTGAGGAAGTCCCACTTGGCGTCATTCGGGTCTGAGGACGTGGATATAACAAGCTCGTTGGGCGGGACCAGATTGAATTCGGATATAGCCTGCAGCACAGCCCCGCCGAGCTTCCCAGATGTCCCGGTGAGCACAATCTGCGGCATGGCAGCTGCTGAAAACAATACGAGATTATCTGGGCGAAGTCGCGAACGTGACGCGGGCGCAAAAGGCTAGAGACAGTATCGACGAGACGACGCGTCTTGCGAAATGGACAAAATGGAAGGTTGACAATGAGGTCAACTGCCGAACTCCGTGATGGCTGCGGGACAAAGTGCGAAGTGCTAGTTCGCGGACGTTCCTCCGGACACAAAAGACGCAAGCTGATTGGTCGGACTACCAGACTCTGACCCATCTGCACCATCAGTGGTGGATTCTAGACCAGAGGCCTGCATGCGGGCCTAGACCACAAAGACACAATGCCATGACGGATGACGAAAGTGCATGCAACAGATACACGTTACCGAATACGGCAACTTTGCCGCTTGTAGAACACTAGTGGAGGTTTAAAAAAAAGCGAAGAAGTGGATGGAGAGTATGTATTTGGGCGATTACCTACACTATCTAGAGGTTCAGTCTTAGTGCTAGGAGGACAAACAATAGCGGACCGCAATGAAACCGTGTCCTGCTCGCACGAGACGAGATATTCAGCGCTAGTTGGAGGGTAGTATCTGACCAGAAAATTGGGCGTGATGGCAGTTGCTCTTAGCTTGCCATGGTGTCTGATCGTTATGGGATTGATTGAGAGGAAAGATGGGAGTCTCTAGCAGATCGGTCAGAGCTACATCTAGGCCGACTGGCGACGGACAGCGAGCTCCCATCGGCTGTGTACAAACAATATGTATAAATGTGTTCGAGAGGCAGTCCGCTTCGCTCATGGAGATGGCTCCTCAAGAAGTGAATGCATATCGTGACCCATACTTCTCACCTGAATCTTCATGCTCTCCAAGATCCTCTGTTTCAGGTCAGGCCCGCGAATGTCAGAACCAGTAAAGCCACCATGTGTTGCGTCGAACTCGAAAGGCTTTACCGCCTTCCAGATGTGGTGAATTTTCGATGGCGGTAACGGAATCATATTCTACGTCAACACGTTAAGCTATGCAACAGCGCTGGTATACAACTAGAGACTTCAGCTGGATTGAACTCACCGGTATGCTCCACATGAACGAGTAGCTAATAGTACCGGGCTGGCGGTCTTTGTGGTAAAGGCCGGACTGTCACAACCCTGTCAGCGCTTGACTTGGCGAGAGGTGCAAAGGAGCTACCGACCGGCGCAGCCATGAGTGTATCAGCGTGAAGTAACTTCTTGTCCCAGTGGAGGCACAGACTTCCGTCAAAGTGGCCTCCAGCTTTGATAGCTGTAACACCAGGCACAATAGTTTCCGTTAGACCTTCGATAAATCTTCGAAGGTTCCAGTTGTCCACGCGGTTGAGCCACTTCTCATCCTCCCTCGACACGTAGACGGGGCAATTGAAAGCTTTGGCCCACTCCAGGTGCGTGGTGTAGAAATGCGGATGGCTGATGACGATAGCCTTCAAGCCGCCTTTGGAGTTGATCTGTGAGCGAGTTCAGAGAGAGATACTCCTATGTGACATCGCTCCACGTTCTTGGGGCAGATCTTACCGTTTCGATTGTCTTTTCGTCCAGATAGGCAATGCAGTCCCATAATACATTGCCCTCGGGCGTCTCCAAGAAGATGGCCCTTTGCCCTATTCCAAGCTGCAGCTTGCGTTAGCCGTCCACTGTAGAGATGCCATACGCGCGTATCGTAGTGCCACACCTTTGGCTCGGTGGTGATGGACCACATGCGCTTTTCCACACCATCCTGCTTCCACTGATTCTCATGCTTTCCTCTTTCCTCTCCCAGACTGGTCCAGCACGAAGACTGGCCAGATGGCGGAACGAATTGCCGTGGATCCTAGAGCGGCTTGTAAGCTCGCGTCAAACAAGTTTGGATCTGATGGGATGCCACATCGCAGATCCTACACCCGCTTGGCGGCGAGTCAGCCGGGATATCAAACTGCGTGCCGCACGTGCTGCAGAGCAGCAAGTTGTCGCTGCCGGCCATGATTCAGGCGTTGTCTACAGAAAAGCGATGCGTGTGCGTCAGAAGTTGATGCTTTGGAATTCTTGAGTTCCTGCTGCGGGGCAGTTTTTAAGCGCAGCACGGTGAGGGTCATCTGACATCAGAGGAGCTGAGAAAGCTGCACAAATCCAGACCAAGTCACTCCTTGATGGCGTGCCATCAACTACAGGATGAGTTCGCGGCGGAAGTGATGCCGCAATGCTACTCCGTAACACACCCCTTAATGATGCCTCTCGCTGCGTTTCTGATACGCCTGCCCGCTTGGTAACACGTGAAAGCCGAGAACGCAGTGCTGATAAACCTGTAGAAGACGAATCTATCGAAATCGGATGACCGTTAGGACTATGCGTAGTTGAGGACGCCCTTAAGCACCCATACCTCGCCGTTGGCAACGGTTTCGGCCACACTTGTTACTTCGACATTGCCTGGTTGTATCTAGGGGCATTGTTTCAGCTATTGCCCGGATTCCACTGATGGCATGCTGGACTCACCACTTTTCTTCCGTCTCTGTTCTCAAACCAAATGGTATTTCCAGCGAGCGTGGTCACCCGCTGGTTCTCCCGCCACGGGCTCTCTGGTAGAACATGCGCCTCGACAAACCGCCTCAGGTTCTTGTGTGCCCTGTCCTCGCCCTCAGACCCATCGTAGGCATTCGCACCGTACTGATCGTAGTCCCTGGTGTCTTCCCAAGGCTTCCTCGGTAACTGCATGATAGCGCTATTCTCAGGCGCAAGCACCGTTGTATTCTTCGAGGCATCCTCCAAGCGGGATGCAACAGTATCGATGTCTCGTGTGAACCCGCCAAAGATGTTGATATGTCGTGTTTTGCCGATAATATCGGCTATCACAACTCCGTCAGAGGAGTCTGAACTAGGTCCCCCTTCGTTGGAGGGAGGTACAACAGGCGCCATGATGGGGGATTGGTCTTTCGATATGGCGGCTCTGAACCTCTCGATAAGGTGGGGACTGGATCGAGCAGCGACAGAGTCTACTATTAGCAGACTGGTAATAGAGTAAAGTAGGAGTGCAGCCTTCATCTTGTTGTGTCGGTGCTCGTGGATTGCTGATGCTCAACGCAACGGAGCAGGGCGGTTCCGCGTCATGGCGCACGTGATTCCGCGATAAATCTGCTGCAGCTATCGCTCTCCGAGTTTCGACGTTGAACCGACTCATCTTTCACCCTGCAATCAACTCCGGCCAGCATGGCTTAGGACGTGTCTGTTGACCTCACTAGTAAAGACGTGCCCTTCTTACAATGTGCACCAAAGAAAGAGACCCTGGCGCCTCGTTGAAGATCCCAAGTGTGACAATTGTAAACGTTCAACCGCGAGTGCTTCAAGTTGCATGAAGCTGACACAGTTTCCAGGAAGATCTACATCGTTTTCGATCCCGGCATTTCCACGACATGTCAACCCCTACAATACATACCTTGCCCCCAAACGAACCAGTTTGGGACGCGCCTGAAGATGAGCATGAGCTAGGCTACTACGCGGATGGAGTCAGGCGAACCATCACGGACGAGCAGATTGCTATGTTCCGGCACAGTGAGATACAGGCTTTGCTCAGGGAGAGAAGGCAGAGGCAACAGCTTGACGAGTCGTCGTCAGCCCGCTCGGACGAGCAAGAAGACAGAACACCGGACGAAAATCTCTCTCGCGGCCAAACTCTCAAGCGTGCTACACCTGAAACTCCTGCAGACTTGTCTCTCGAGCAGACCCAATCGAAGAAACGGAAGCGGAGGAAAGGACCACGCAAACCGAGTCCAGATCCTGAAGAGGAAGTGACTTACCGGCGAATAGCCCGAGAACTTGATGAACAGACGGACGTCGCTGTAGAGCTCGACTATTAAGCTGCCAGCTTGGTCCTTATCAGCACACTTCACCGCCGGATAAAGATGTGAGCCAGATCAGGTATCGGCGTGGATTGACAGGGCGTTACTGGTTGGGCACACTACTTGCGCCTTCGCATAACACAAGCTCACCTTGGTTCACCAAGTTGAAATTGGCCGCAGCAGGTAAGCCTCCAAACGCAAGCCGACTGTCGTCGAACGTTGTGCTATGATGAAACCCCATGTATCGTCATCCTTAGTCGGATGCTAGAGCGGAATTAGCAGTGTAGCGAAAGGCAACCTGAAACTACGCTGCTAGTTTTTGCTCGGCTATGACGAAGAAACAATCTTCTCTCTGAGCGCACGTCCCGTCGTAGAGACAGCCAATGCAGCTGGTGCTGCTGCGACGAAAGTCACTGACCTGCTATATAGGCCCGACCTTCGCAATAGAATCCGAAGAACCGTCACTTCTCCGGAGACACTTTAGCAGAGTTCAGGCTTCGCCGCTGGCTACTGCTCCTGCTAAACCGCACGACAGGTGCAACGGTGGAAAGGGACGACTGACATGAGGTCGAGGTTCCACGAGCGTGACCTCAAGACAACCCAGCTCGCGTCTCCGATCAACATCTGTACCGAGGTGCTGCTCACGCATCAGGAACTGCTTTTTACGTTCGCGGAGCTGGCACAGCCCCCTCAACCGGTGGATCTTCTGAACCAGCCCCAGCAGTGGCTATGGGTGTACTATGCAGCTCTAAGGGATAAGATCAACCTACGGAATGAATTCGGTGATCAGAAAGTGGTCGGTTCCCGAGTTGGTCCGTTAAAGAGAGACCATGCAGAGCCATTGGTGTGTTGATAAGCAACTAGAAATCGGTCTAATTGCTCGGAGATGGAGCGTAAGAGCCGATATTTACTAGTGTTGAAGAGAATATCTCATTTGCTGTTCTGAGCTCGCAACCTTCAGATAGAAACGAGTCGTTTAAGAGCTTTGCGGATCAGGCTTACAGCGAGGCAGCGTGTATAAACATAGGTCACGGGAGCAAAATCATGAGTCTAAGCCTTTAAGATCTACAATCATTCTATTTGCACGCGTGCAAAGCTAAAGCTCTTGATTGGTTTGGCCCAAAAGCTACGCATGCTATATGTTCTGCCCCTTTGTCCTGCGCTCTCGCAGATTCCAGTCTAGCGATAAGCCCTCGGTGCTCCCGCCCTCTCCCAACTTCCTCGCCCCTTCTCGGAAGTCTGCTTACATGACCGTGCAGGCCCTAATCTTGTTGATGGACTTGAGAGGATAATAGTGCATTTCTTTACCCATCTTGCCTGTCGTCGTTTGCTTTTCCTAACCGTGATCTTTGAAGTTAGCTGATGCTGTTGCGTATTACTCGTGCTGCTACAATAGTGATATCTGGCAGGCTGAAGGGATCCCCAAGGCGTTGTTTTATCGAAGATGTACTACAATACGAAGGGCCGGACAGACGTTCGGCTTTGTTTGCGAGTTGGATTGTTCAGAGATGAGGCCTTTGTTGCGGCGGGATTTTGGAGGTTACAAAGGAAGCTTGACAAAGGGCAATCTTGAGATGAAATGTCTATGGACAGATGCTTGCTAAGGATCAAGGGGAAGCTGTGAAAAGCCTCTGTACATGGGTTCTACAGATGGCTTGCGGCGGTGTTGTAAGTCGGAGCCGTTCAGTGCACGGAGTTCTGGATAATTCGACTTTGTAGTGGACAAACAGGCTCAGAGCTAGCAACTGTACCTCAAGCGGCCACCAGAACGTCCTTATCGAGCACCGAGGATAGCTCTTGTAGAGCGGCATGAAGCGTAGCATGCTGCGCTCTTACTCTGCTCCGCTTATCTAACACACTCGTCGTGTCTCGGGCTTCGGACCGCGTACGGGCAGTAGCTTCATAGGATGCTGTTAAGTTAAGTCACTTGCATACGAAGGCGGAGCAGTAAGGATGCTCGACGGGAGTCCTACATGGATAGTCTGTCTCCATATATGTATATAGAAGTGAAAGCCTGGCCGTCTCAACCATGCCTCGTCGCCACACTAGCGCCGTTTTCGCTGTTCCGCCTATACCGCTCGCTCCGGATGCAAGTATAGTAAACCACAATTAGCCGCCCTAGCTTTGAAGAGCCTGGTATATCGCTGGAGAAGATCTCTCTGCACCTGGAAACGCCTCGCTGTGGAGAAGTCACACGGCCCAGTATTGGGTACATCCCTTTTTTAGAAACTCCTGTCCGTCGCGCCCTCGATCTTGACCTCGCGTATCGGCCGGCCGTTGTCCCACTCGATCTGGCCCGGCGAGGTTCGCCGGCTCGGACACCCCTTCTCGAGGTCCACGGTTTCGTGCTCGACCTCGATGGTGGTCTCCTGGCGGATATCCCCTAAGCCTTTGCTCGTGCCCCAGTTCTGACCCTGGTTGAGGACCCTCTCGTCGCTGTCCGGGCTGCGGTCGCGGCGCCCAAACTTCTTGACCTCGAAGTCGAAGCCGCCCTGGCGGAGATCGTCGTTCGAGGATGACGTGGAGGCGTTCCGGGTCGTCGCGTTCACGTTGGACTTTAGATCCGAAAGCTGGACGTCTGGGCCGCCGAGGCCGGTGTGGTTGGAGATGTTTCTGCTGCGCGGGTCGGACTTGCCGTAGCCGGTGCGGTGCTGGTCGTGGTTGTAGGACATCTTCGAGCCCGTCATGCTGCGCAGGAAGGGTAGCCACTCGCGCATGAGCGGCCAGATCATCGGGAGGTTGGCCACCCAGACCGCGACGGAGGCTTCGCGTGAGTACCACAGCATGTAGGATGTATCCCAGACGTCGCTGAGGTTGAAGTACTTTGTGAGGAGGGCTGCAATGATCTGTGATATCGGATTCGGTCAAAACCAGCTCCAAGAGTGGCGAAAGCTTGCGCACTTACGACGAATGTACCCATGCTGAAGACACCGGCCAGGATAATCTTCTGCTTCAACGGCAATCTAAGGCGCAGAACCATCGGTACCGGGATAAGGATCATGCATACGTCGCTCGTGAGATTGAATGCAGCCTGGACGTATGCATATCGTCGTAGAGTTGTGCACTCGGGATTCGGAGGTGGAACAGCCCAGTATCCGTTGAATGGTCGACAATTCGTGAAAAATGCAATCTCGGTAGCCACCCAGCCGACTGCCACATATATAGCCAGGTATTTGACCAGACGTTGCTGAGGTGTGCCTTGAGTGATGCGCTGATACATAAAGAGTAGGCAGGCCTTGAGGGTGTAAATTGTGTTGAGCATGGCCTGTGATGTCAGTACTGTGTAGAGACTTCAGCCCAGATGGTGGACCAACCTGCTCGGAAACGACGACAATCTTGGAGCCTAAGATACGCTCCTGGACTTCCTCGTCTGTGAAGGGCAGCTCCTCCTCGGTGTACAGATTGCTACCTCCGCCACCTGCTACGACGTTCAAGCAGACGATCAGGATGATGTACAAGACCTTAAAACTCAGAATCAGCCGTTGAACAAATGCAGGCGAGGCAGTAGTGGCCCACCCCCGCAAGCCCCATGATGTAGTCATCTGGAGCAAGTTCCTTGAGGCCAACTCGATGCACCCTCGCGTATCTGGTGGCTGTGAGCAGAAATTCGACGGCTCTCACTATAGAGTTACGCACATTCGAAGACATATGATAGATACGCTGATGCCGAAAAGAGGCCAAGTGTTGAGCGCCAGTTCCTTCACGAACGCTTCGTCGAAGCCACCCATGATAACAATGGGCCAGAGCTCGATTGTGGAGGTAGGATTGCGAAATTGTGGTAATGAAGCGGTGCTGATAGAGAAGACAGGCTATCTCTTGGAAGATACCGATGAGTCAAGGCGGCGACAGTGCGAAACGAACCACGGTGAAGCTGGTGAAGCCACCGCTTCGAAGCGTGAAGTGACTCGGCTCAAGTGAGTGATTGGCGCGTGACATACACCTGCTGCGCAAGAAAACGGAACAGAACTGATATTCAGGGATTGAGGTTCAGGCGCGGCAGGTCAGCCCTCCGGTGGTGCTCCCAAAGAACAGACTGTCGGCGCAATCCTGCAGGTACCAAAAGAAGGTTGGAGAAGGGGGCGTAAAATGCGGCAGATAACGCAGAGAGAGAGGGCTTATGAGGAGACAGGATTGTGCACGGTATGGTCTGTAGATCTCGCGGCAAACGAGCTGCTAGCATCAAGGAAGTTGCTGTAATCCTCGCAAGCCACCCTCAGCGTTCGTTGAAGGGCTCGAGGGCGTGCGTTGCGGTGGTGACATTGGACATTGGACCGGCGCCGTGGGGGCTTCTGGAGCTGGCACACGCGTGCAAACGACCTTGGCTGGCCCGCTGCAGGGGCTCAAAAGTATGGCTAGAGATCTTTTCCCGACAGTTTGGGTTGACGGGAGGTGTTTGATTGCTTCGTGAAGTGAAAGCGAAATCCAGGGCCGCGATTGATGCGCTTGCCCTAACCCGCCCCCATCTGTCGTTGGTCACAGTGATAGCTCTGCGGATCATGCACCTAGCGACGACAATTCAAGGGTTACCTGCATCATTGAGCAGAAGAAAGCATCTAATGCAGACACGGCGGGTGTGCCGGATTGGTTGCCGGTGGAATCTCTGAACGGCTTGGGAAGTCCCCGCCCAGGCGCAACCAGCACCGATTGAGCGAAATGGTTTAGAATAGAGCGATCCGTCGCGGGAGCGAAGGATCGCAACGTCTCTGGGCATTAAAGCCACCGCTTCTATCCTGAACAAGAAACGCGTGCGAAACGGAGGGCGGCGCGTCTGATCCGGAGAGACGGCGTGTGGTCTTGAAGCGGGATCGAAGCCACCAAAGCCTCCCACGAGCCGTTTTCTGCGGAGTGATTCGAGGACTCTCGACGATCGGGACGTCAACTTAGTTGTTGCGCCCCAAGTGCGGATTAGAGCCCTGATGGCGGGAGATCCTAGCAAGCGAAAAGGGGAACGTCGCCCGGCTTCATCTTCGCACACGGCTCTTGCTCTACTCCGTACTTAGCTCAGGGCTCGCTTCTGGACTTCCGCCCAGCGCCTTCGCGGTCAGGGCCTGGCGTTTGCGTCCCATCTCGAGCAGACGGCCCGTGTGAGCGGCCCAGCCTTACCGGGGCGGTGGCCGCGCGTGTTTGGAGGTCCTCGGAGATATTCTGAGCGAAAGAGGGAGGTAGATAGATAAGCCGTTGCCATCTAACAACTTCGGCCTGCTGTCGTTGCCGCGGCTGTGACTTGCTGGTTAATCTTGAAGCATCATGGAGCAGTGACCCTCCTCCTCGTTTCAATCATGCTTGGGGAACGGAGCGACGCGGTTACCGTCAAGCAGGGATGAAGTCGAGCGAACCTGACGATCGTGGGAGCGGGCGGGGAAGTCGATCCGTACACTGGTCGCTCCGTCTAACTGATCGCTCCCTCTAGTGAACCAAGAAATGTTTCAAAGCCATAACTAGCTAGTCTTCCGCTTCGCTGCGGTGGTTAAAGTGGAAGAGGAAAGCGAAGGACATCAGGCGAACGACAGTCACCAACAGATGATAAACGACATATCGATTCAAGTAATAAGTCGCTTGGCGGCCGTGTAGACTCAGCGCATCCCCCATCCTGCCTTCTCTCGCTCTGGCGAGATCCATATATAGATATCCAAACACCAACTACAGCTAAAGCCAGTAACTCGAACATGAACTTTGTACGCTGCAGAACGCGAATATGCATTGGCGGGTCTGACACGACCCATATAGAAACAATCACGCTAAAAGCAAGTCCCCCAACCTGCGCCGATAGCTCACTGGACGAAGTCTCAGCTGCATTGTATTGTGATATCAGGATGAACACAGAAGATGTCACTCGCGAAGCCACTCATTACCACGCCCAACTGCCGCGCCTCGCCGAGACGCCAAAGCCGCCCAAGGCGTGCTCATTCTGCGTCATATTTGGCTGCTGCTTCGCCCATTCACGAATATACAATCGCAGTGCTGTCCAGCGCGCGCATGTATACTCGGTGATATCCAGATCGCCGGGAAATTCATCGTCGCCGAACCGAATGTAGCCACGGGCATTAGCAAGTGCATCGTCTTGCCGCAGATCTGCGATAGACGTGCCAGAGATCCTACTCAGCTCTCCGTCGAACTTGCGAGCGAGAGACGGATAGCCCAGCGAGAGGTAGTTGTATACTTGAGTAACGAAGGCGTCGTCGAACTCTTCGTCAATGGCTTGCTCGGCCATCAGCTTCTCATTGAGGCTCGCCATCTCGCCGATGTCCGGATTGGACGGAGGTGGTGATGGGGGTAGCTCTTCGCGTGTCGGTGTCGGACAGGGCGTCGTCACTGGATCACCTCTCTCGGCACTAGGAGTGAGGAGCCCACTTGGACCGCGTGGAGCTGGGCGGCCGCTATCGAAGCAGTAGCCGTTCCACAACCCTTTCCCGCTCGACCGCCGACTGCTAGTAGTAGACCATAGTGAAACCTTGGGCGAGGCTGTAGCCTTCCCTTGCCACAGACCTTCGGGTTCCTCGATATTGGCCTGCCCCGTGAGGTAGCACATCGACTCGCGCACTGCGTGAGAGCCCTGGGTGACGTCAAATCTTGCAGGTTCAGGGGATGGACACCTAGGGAATTCGATGTCGCCTCCCAGCATCGGAGGCCTTGCGCCAGCGCGCATATGCTCTATGCCAATCTCTCGTTGCCGCCCACCGGCCATCTTCTTTGGCTGGCCGGGGACTTGTTCATGGGCGAATAACCCTACCGGCGTAGGACTTGCCCAAGGACTACTTGTAGTTGATTGTAGCCGGCCGGTTCTGGAGTGCGATTCTCGCCTGCTCGGCGTTCGATACCTCTGGTGATCGTTCTGCTCCTGACGCTCTCGCATTCCTTTGAGTTCCCAGTTCACCTGAGTAAATCGAAGGTCATGTCTGCTGGTCCGCGCCGTTCCAGGCAAGCTGCGTTCGTCCGTGTCGCGATCTATGTAATGATCAACTGGCTCGTGGAAGTCACTGTTTGGAAAAGCCGCCATCGCTTGTTCCCGTAACTGCTTCTCAGCGGCCCTCGCTGCAATCTCTAAGAGGTACCCAGAAACTCTGTCATCAACACTCTCTCTAAGTCTTGTCGCGTGCTTGTACATGTATGAGTGATCGGAAGACGTCGATGGGGAAGTTGACAAGGAGGGTAAGTTAGATCCTTCTTCAGATTCGGAAGACTCGATGGTCTCTAGTTCGGGACATCTAAATGAACGTGAGCGTGCGCTACTGGTGGAGAGTTTCCGCAAGTCGAGTGGAGCGCCAATCCTCCGTGCCTCCAGCACATCAAGATGGGACACGTCACGCAACTGGGGTACGTGTAACATGCTGGTGGCAGGCGTGTTGTCTGGTGGTGCAGGTAATATGCCGGGTCGTTGCTTCCCCAGCACATGATCGTCAGGTGTGGCCTCGGTCTTGTCGGAAGGCAGGATCGCTGGGCTCGTGTCACCGGATTTTCGTGTCCGTTTCGCTGTCTCTATTAACTGCGGCGCAAACTTTCGCCGTGGAGGTCTATCACTGGTTTGGCTCCTATCTTCCGCCGCCGAAGCGTCGCTTGCGTTCCCGGATTTGTTTTGACTACTTCTTGAACTTGTCTCCACCGGCTGTGGACCGTACTTCCCCCTGGTGTTACTTGTCTCCTCAACATTGCGCCGATTCCTGCTGCTCGAAGTTGACGTCTCTACGGGCTGGGGTGTAAATTTTCGAGTGGTTTTCGTGGAGGTCTCTACGGGCTGGGGAGCAAACTTGCGGTGTATCTTTGAGGTGGTCTCTATGGGTTCGGCAGCAAACTTTCGAGTGGTTTTAGCGGATGTCTCTACGGGTTCTGGTGCAAATCTCCGAGATGACTTCAAGCCCGTTTCCACTGGTTCGACTTTGAAGCGCCTTACAGGTGGTGGAGAGGACATGGTGCGTGCGTCAGCCACCTCACTTGAGGACGAGTAGCGACACGCGAGTGCACCAGAGCCGCACAAAGTCCTATTGCTTCACCGTCCTTGTCCGGAGGAGAAGGTTGATTCAACAGGCACCTTGTGTGTCGACGACGCAGGTGATATAGGCGTGATCTCTGTGTATGCGGGCCAAGCAGGTCTTTCTTCATTCCCATGCAAAGGCTACCTCATGATTCAGTGCGCCAACCTGATGCAGTATATCCCTCGTTTCCTACGCCCGACAAGTGTTTCGCAAGCAAGCCACTATGCGCTTTTTTCGGTGGATCCGTGAAAATGCGGGGAAGGCTTGATCGGGCGTTCTCGGGGCAGCGCGTTGTCGGAGTAGTGTTTAGTCCCCAACTCTCTTCCACAACCAACCACTATCCGAACCGACTAGCTCTTAATACTGTCGATCAATGAGATTGAATCCCGTATATCTCCCTTGAGCCGACAATTCAGGCGGCTCTACCTTGTGACTGCTGCGGGAGGTGCCTGGGGCGTTGGTGGAAGCGCTTGGGGAGCTTGACCGAGCAACGGTGTCGGAAAGGTGGGACAGGATCTTGAAGAGGACGTGAACGATCTCCTGTTACCTTCATGTCAGTCCTCAAAGCCAAGCTTCGCGCAAAACAGCAGGGCTGATTGCGTACCGGAAGCTGTACGAGGCGTTGAAGTATTTTTGTTGATTAACGACTCCAGAAGATAAGCTCACTGATCCACGCCAGCCAGCCCGGAGCATGGGTCGCAAGTGATGGGAAGCAGCGGTCAAACGGTCTGGCGTCGAATTGTAGATATGACTCCTCTGCAGCCGTGACGTTGAGATGTGGGGATGGCGGGAACATGTGCTGATCAGGCTGATCAGTCGTCCAAACAGACGAGCTTAAGAAAGCTTCTATCGTCGCAGCGTGTAACGAGGGTCGTTCAACCCAGGGACGTTTTGCTAGGCATGTAGATTCTAGCGGTTCAACGGATTGGTGCCAGCTGAGGCCAGTGCGCTGCCCTGGTTGCGGCTCCTGTCCAGATGCTGGGCCCGAACAAGCATCCACAACGTGTCGAAATGTTCAGATTCCTTCGGGGATGCCGGTAGGCGTCAGTGAGCCGGTGCGTGTCCTCTCCTAGGCGGCCAACACGAGCTCAAAATTCCAATGTGCGACCGGCAACAAGGACACGAATTGCGCAGTTGAGGCCTTAGAGCCCTCGCGATCAACCCGGCCAATCCCTAGCTCGCAGGACAACGCTGACGCGGGTAATCGCTGGTTGGACCTCAGGACGACAGACTTCCGGAGCGGTGTCCCGAGGGACGGTTGCCGCAGGGTATCTTCTGCTATCACTGGAGTTGCAGGTTAGTTATGGAGTCTTGCTGGTCCAAACCGTGCTCTCCCAATGGTTGGAGTACCACCAGCCTTAAGCTTGGCACAAAGGTCTATCTATTGCCCGAGCATTGTCGCGGGACAGCGTTACTGCTCGGAGCGCCGGCTTGTCATTCTGAGATTGTATTGCATGGCGCTGCGGGCGTTTACGTGGCTTGCGTGAGGTGTGCGTTGCCCTCTCACGTGATGCTCTCCAGCTTCGTCCGCTCAACTCAGTATTTCTCAAAAACCTGTCCGTTTGGTGTTGTTTCATCTCTCGAGCTTAGCATTGTGACTCTGCCTCTTCGCACGGAGGCAAGCTGTAGCAGTGCATAGCAAAAGACTGCCGACCTAGGTAACTGAAGGTCCACCGCGGAAGCTTCCCGGATGCACGAGCATTGTCCGACGACGCCTTGATATGCACACCACACTTCCAGCACGGATGTACAAGAACGTCTCCGGTCGCGCTCTGAAGCATCACTGTGCATAGCTGTGCGGACTGTCTCGGATAGAGACGTCCGGACATCGCTCCTCGGCAAAATATCTATGATGTACTGCATACTGTTTGCAGATACAGTTCATCAAACAGTCATACCAACACAGCAGTAGCAAATTGTATCCCCTAGAGAGCTGGCTCGACACTGAAGCTTACAGCCAGTAACGGTAGGATCTATGCAAACTACACCTTGAGGGAACGCAGCCTAGAAGGTCCGCAAAATAAAATCAAACCCTTAGCATGAGGAAATCGAATTTGCTCAAAAGTCCCGAGCTTGAAGATTTAGATTCAAGAACATGGCTTGACCAGCTCAGACTCTCATGGAACGAGAACAGATAGTGACAGCGAAGGACCTTGGAGATTCGGAAAAGACTTATGACGAGCATAAACAAATCTCCCGGATCATTCAGGCTTCAAAACGAAGCCTCTCAGCAAATGGCCAACAGCGGCAACAACCACTCTTCCATAGAACGTCGGAGTCGATTGCTCTTCATGCTGTGCGTAAAGGGTGTCTCATGTTCGCAGCAACGCCCGTGTCCAGCGCAAGGGACAGTCCGTTCACGAATGCAACAACGTGCGCCGTCCAGTTGGCGGTGGTTCCGGGCTCGGTGACCTCACCCAACTCCCCTCGTAGCAGTGGCGAACCGTTCGCTCCGCAGCATTTTCCTGTCAAAGCTTGTCAAATCCGATGGGCGCTGACAGTATTTGCTAGTAAAGTTAGATGCTAACAGGACGCAAAGTGCTCGCGCACAGTGGTTGCACCTTGAACTCTGAGCAACAAGACTGCCAGCCGTTTCAAGCTGTTAACAAATGGGAACAATTATGGAGGACAACACTGACCGCACCTTGGCGCCCCTACATCTATCGTCTAGATCCTACAACATCCGTTCTCCCAAATGCGATACGCCAAACGCCGGACTGCCCGATGCGATGCCACAATCCGCCCATGCAGACTCCACTGCCGCTACTTGTTATGCCACAGTAATGTCTTCAACCCGTCCCAATGGTCCGAATTCACGTATCTGCGCCACGTTAGCAAGCCACTCCCACACCAACCCAAAGCAGCATTGGCACCCACATATAATTCATACTGCTCCTCAAACTCGGCTGCACAGTCTCCGGATGCCACCTGAAGACATACATGACGGCCGCCCAACTCAGACTCGCAAAGACCGTCCACGCATTATCCCGAATCCGCTCCCTCAGCCTCTCGTCTCTTATCAAGCCATACCCGCCTCCGCTGCCACTCACCTTCCCCTCGCCGCGCGGCAGAATCGCCAGCTTGGCCAGCGCCAGCACGACCCGCGCGAAGACGTAGATGACGATCTGCTGGTTGACGCTGCTCTGGATCCCCCGCCCGAACACGGCATACCCGCCGATCAGCCCGGCGAGGAAGGTGTCGTAGTGGCGCTCCTTCTGCGTGGGCGAGCTGTAGCGCAGCAGCAGCATCGAGGTCTTGTAGATCAGCGCGAAGCGGCCGAGATTGCGGGCGTGGGTGCGGGTTGCGCGCAGCACGAGGGAGACTTTGGAGCGGAGGCTGCCGTGCCGGAAGAGGAAGATCATGCTGTTTGAGCCCCGGATATATTAGCGAGGGAGTTCGATATGGGGGGTAGAGGGAGAGGGAAGGGGGGATGCGTACACCAGCGCGTGCGGGAAGCGGACTTTGGTGCCGTAGACGATGCCATTGCGGAAGGCCTTGACGAGGGTGAGGAGATCATGGTAGCGGGGGTCGAGGACGACCTGCTCGAGAGAGGCCTGGGATCGCGGAACATCAGTAAGGGATTTGAGAAGTGCGAGTATAGCTTCCAGCTATGTCTGACCTTTACGGCTTCCAGATTCTCCATGTTGCGGGCGCGACAAGCTACGTCAGCAGCCCGGCCTCACGCTGCGCAAGAGCTGTAGTGACGTCGGAGGGTCCTATCTTGGAGCTGTATGTCTCGAGCTTTGGATAAGGTATACGAGCTTTGTCAGGCACGAGATAGGAAGCGGAATGGGTTGGCAGATTGGAGTCACTGGAGTACGGAGAGCACATGGCCATTGTTCGGCGGGATGATCAAAGCCGGGTTGCGCCTCGGCTCTTCAGCTGCAACGCACCCCGCGACGCGCTAGGGTCCCTTGGCAGATCTGGCAGATGCCGTCCGAACATGTGAAGAGGTTGCACGGAGCGAGGTCCTTCAACAAGATTGTAGATTAGCACCGCTGAGCAGCAAACAGGCTCTATCGCAATCAGGTGCATTCGTTGTTCTCTAGATACCTCTAAAACGCCTGCAATGCCGCTAATCGTAACGCCTTTCACGCGAATCGCCGCCGAAGCGCCTCGTAAATCGTGAATATGAACGCCGAGCTTGGGGCAGACCTGGCGACGGTGATGCCGCAGCCTCTATACAAACCCTTTAGACCCTGCTGCTGCCATAAAGACCTCGCGGCAGCCCAGAATGTACGTCTCCCTCCAGCCAGGTCTCTAACATCCTCCGTCTGCATCCGAGACTTGATGGTGTCCGCTGGGTAGAACATGAAATTGTAGCTCATACCAGCAGCCGCGCCTGCCGTCATCTGCTGGTGGATCGGGAGCGGCGCGTCTCTGGCGTCCTGGCGCATCCTGCGGAACAACAAACTCACGCCTTCGTAGCTACCGAACCAGGCCGCCGATCCACCCGTCTCGCGGATGAGGGTGCCCAGCTGTCCGTGCCAAAAGCCTAGCAAGCCTTGATGACGGTACACAGATGCGATGAGCGCAAGTGGGCCTGACCGCCGCATTGATGCACCCGCGGTCTCGAGCGGTACCTGCATCTTGCACTTGATGAGCTCGATGGGAGTCAGGAGGAGGGACGTGAATGCGCCGGATGCTGCGCCGCAGACCAGCAGCGCGTTGAACGGCAGAGGCTCAGATGCTGGAAGCACTGTTGCTTGTAGAACATCTTGCGCGATTCGGTACTGCGAACACAGTCAGACACTTGCGACAAGGTCAGGATGCGACAGAGACGCAGCATACACTGAAGAAGAGACTGCTCGTCTCAACCGCAGCACCGACGAGCGGTGCGCTGATCCCTCTGTACAAGCCCAGAAATCCATCGCGGCGCAGAGACTGCTTGAAACAGTCTAGCGGTCCTGTGTATTGCAGCGGTAGGTGGTCGGGCTGTGACTGTAGCCGCACCTTGACGGTGTCGAAGGGGTATTCAATGAACTTTCCCACGATGCCTGCCAGGGAACCGAATGCTACGTCCTTGAGTGCTTCCTTGCCTTGTCCGGCGAGCGGATCTTTCTCGATGGCATTGTGAGGTGGGTCGACGATCGCGACGGCACTGTCCGTGAGGTTCAATGACATCTGGGAATGTCCGGCGATTTAGGGTGCGTCTGGTGGTGTGGTAGTTGTTATGCGCGGCTCTTGGTGCTATCGTGGGAGCATTGCGGACGCTGGCGAAGTCGGCTGGGAACGAAGCGGTGAAGAGGTGTTTAGGGCGTGAACAGGGCCGGCTTCAGTATCGGATGGCGACGCGTCAATCCGTTCTTCAGTGCCAAGGGTGAAGACGTTTATTGTCTGTCGTCATCCAAAATGACTGCCAGACAGAAAAATCGGGCGCAAAATTTCCGAGCAATCATCTTCGCATCTGCAGCGTGACCGATTATCAAGATAATCTAATCCGCGCTCTATCGCCGGTGCCAAGACTCCTTCTACAGAAATTCACCAGCACTTTCCCCACGACGCGCCAACCTCTAATACAACCTGTACGGTTCAGATACTAGGAGCCACTGCATTTTGAATCATCATGTCGGTTGAGGTCGCTGCTGCCTCGTCTAGTGCCCCCGCCGTAACAGCGCTTGGCCTGCGAAAAAATGGTATGCTCAATGATAATAGTCTACTTGCTATTTTCTCAGACTTATGACCTTGCAGGCAAGCAGTGGCACGACCAAAAAACAGCCTTCCGCCCCAAAGCTGGCCTGACGTCCTACGCGAAGCGCACAGAGGAGCGCAAGGCTCTCGCAGCGGTTAAGGCGAAAGAGAAGGAGATGAGGGACGAAAAGGAAGCCGAGAGACAGGTACGTCCTGATGCTTCGCTGGTAGCGCGACGCTTCCGCTGATTTGGTGTCTTCAGAGACGCATACAAGGGATCAAGGACAAGCGTGCTGCCAAGGAAGAGAAGGACCGGTATGAGAAGATGGCAGAGAAAATGCACCGCAAGCGGGTTGAACGACTGAAGAGGAGGGAGAAGAGGAATAAGCTGCTCAAGTCGTGAGCTCGTTGCTGTGCGGTTGAATTACTCATATCTACAAGTGGCGGCTGGCTTGAGTCCATCTGTGGACGTTGTGGGAAACGGGGGGTGAAGAAGGGCGTGCCTGGCTAAGAAGGCGCAAACCCCTGCCGAACATCAGCTACAAGCTGCATGAGGGTGCAGATATTCCCTACTACGCATTCTTTGCGAGATGGGACTGCCAGGGGACCAGTCCGCGTTCGGAGCCAGGGTGGAGTGTCATGGCTGTAGGAAGTGCTGTTCCGCTCACCAAGCGCAGTAGCGCTGCGCAACGGTCTCTTCGCGAGCTATGTCGAAATGATACCTTCAGCAAATACAGACAGTAGGAATGGGATTGAATTCAATCAGCCACAAAAGAGACATGACCCTGCACGTGACCTCCCTGTATCAAGTACCTCTAATAACCTTTCACTTACCACCACCAATTTACTTTCGGCGGTCCGATACCCTCAAAGGACATGTGATGGAATACATGACTTCACCAGACCGGCCAAAGCCACCTCCAATACTTCACTCACATGCAACCCACCCTAAGCTCACCGCGCCGGCTCGAGCAGCTACCGCACTCGAAACCAGAACCCCGAAGAAATCGCACCTCCACTCCCTGCACCACCACCACCACCACCACCACAAGAACCACAACCACCACGTGAGAGATGCCGTGCAATCAGCAGTCCAGCTCTACCACCCCTCGCCCTTCGGAGACACCACAAAGCAGCCAAAGCACGGCTCATCAGACACGGCGCCCTCGAGCGTGCCCTCGGTCTCTGGCAGCAGAAGAGGCAGCTTGGGTATACTGGGCGAGAGTGTGGAACATCGGGGCGCAGTTCAGATACCAAGAGTAGTGCGTCCGGAAGATGTGGAGGTCGAGCGGCAGCGCAATGAGAAGAGGGAGGAGGAGCTGCGTACCTCGCTCCAGACGCTGTCGGAGCACTCGCTCCGCGCAACGCGCCAGCTGGATGACACATACTATTCCATTCTGGAGAAGGCCTCGGTGCTTCAGTCGACTATTGACAGGCTTCAGCAACTATCCACCAGGATGAAGGAGCTGCATTCAGAGTTTGAGGGCGAAACCGATGAGCTGGGAGCTGACATACAAGCCCAGATTGACGGGTTTGGAGGCTTCAGCCACCAGAAGGAAAAGGTGCAAGAGTTGGAAAACCGCGTCAAAGCGGGCAGAGAAAGGACAGGCGCTCTGACTGCCCGGCTCGAAGATGCCAGCAAACGCATTGACGCGAGGAAGGAGCTGGAGGCTGAATGGCAGGCCGCAGCCCGCCGCCGGATGAAGGTGTTCTGGAGCATCGTGGGCGCTGTGATTGCGTTGATCACACTCACGGTACTCGTTTATTCAGCGAGGACATCTTCGAGCCAGGGCAGTACGCTGGGCGTACCTCGACCCAAGCATACCTTGGATTTCGAACGTGTCTCTATCCCGCCTCCCGTCAAGGAGCTTCTGGGCAGTATTCGTACGCCATCATCGAGCAGTCCGACGCAGTTGCCGGTCTTTACTGGGTTGAGTGCCGAAGATGATCCAAGACTCCGGATATTCGATGAGCTTTAGATGTCATCATCCATTGTCAGAGAAATCACAGGTCGCTGCTAAGTCCGTCTATCGGCTATAAGAGCTTCGATTAAGAACCAAAACGGTTATGTCAGGAACAGCAATAATTTAGGGTGGGAGCCACAGATCAGAAGACTACAGGCTTGGAGTCTGTCGAGTACCGCTGTGGATTACACCCTGCTATGGTAGACTATGAACCAACTACTCTCAGACAGTCTAGGTGGGTACTCCTCGCCCTACTCAGACAACGGAAATAACATTTTCTCATAGGTAATCTCTGAGAGGACAGTGATCTCCAGAACCTCTGTGTACGGTTACCAATATGTTTTGAGGTCGTGGGGAAGTCGCTGGCCACGGACTGGGGCCCGCTGAGTTATCCACTCCTAAAAGCACCACATCTGATATCGTGGCAGGATCCTGTAATTAACGCTGCGCAAGCGACTACTCAACTTCGCACCCAGACGTATTACAGGTCGCTGAACTTAGTATCATGCAGGACGCCTCTGGGCTAATCACGTGCTTGCGTGATGCGCACATCTGCGCTCCTTACCGGAAACTCTAAACCACCGTTTTGGCTGCTTCGGCCCGCGTCTCCCTCGCGCGCCGTTGGAGAGCGAAGGCCGATGCGGCAAGGGTTCGCTCGGTCTTGGAGCGCTCGGTCTCGGAGAGTTTGTCGAGGCGGAGGAGAGTATTTAGGCGCGTTTGTCCACCATTTTCGGGTGAGAGGCGCCTTTATCAGGCGCCTCAATCACTAAGCTCAAAATTTTCAATATCGTTGTTCAAGTTGTCGTCATTTCAATTCGTATATCTACCCAAAGAGACCCGAGAGATCATAGAATCGAGCATTTCCCCGGAAGACCACAAGGGCCCTCCCTATTCGCGTCCGCTTTCTGTTCCGGTGGTTCCGACAAAGGCGCGGTACCATTCTGGTGCGTGCCAGCAACAGCCGTAGGTCTCGACTGCTGCTGGACCGGCCTCTCTTCAACGCTTCTCGCTGCACCTACCGGCGCCACTGCTTCCGCCCTGCCGCCATCTAGTCACTCGAAGTTGACCTTCGAGACGGCGGTGTAGAAAGCGTGACCCTGCTTCTCCGCAAGCTCGAGCTCGTTCTTAGTCGGCTGGCGCGAGCCATCGGGGGCCTGCCCAGCTGTCAGCACAGTCCAATCGCTTCGACTTCCCTGCTTGCGCTGCGGCAGGCGGATAGACAGGACAGCGGAAACTCACAGCAAAGGTCCCTGCGCCCCACGGACTCCCACCCCTGACCTCATCCAAGTTCGCCAGCAGCGCAAACGTCGTCTTATACCCGAGCGGCACGTAGATGATCCCGTGGTGGGCGAGCGTGCTCATGGCCGAGATGACCGTGCTCTCCTGCCCGCCGCCGGGGGTCGCCGTCGAGACGAAAATGCCCGCGTACTTGCCCCAGTACCCGCCCGTCTGCCACTGGTGGCCCGTCTTGTCCCAGAAGGCTTTCCACTGCGCGGGGAAGTTGCCGTAGCGCGTCGGGATGCCGAAGAGGAAGGCGTCGTATTGCTCGAGGGTGCTTGGGTCGTGCAGGGTTTCGATGTCGGTGGATTTCGGGGGGGCGTGCATCTTGGCCAGGACATCATCGGAGAGGGTTTCGGGGATTCTGTGGGTGAGGTGGGTTAGTGGTGATGGATGGGGAGGGATTGAGGGGGAGGTACTGGTAGAAAGTACAGGTCCCACCGGCGGCTTCGATGCCGCGCTTCTCGGCTTCGGCGAGCTGCTTGATGTGGCCGTACATCGAGTACTGCGCAGAGGTGGTCTGTTAGTACAACATGGCTCAATGGCTCGGAACGGTCTGCTTGTGCCCGGGAGCACCGGATCGAGCCGGGAAGACGTACGAAGACAATGGCGACCTTGGGAGCCATGGTTAATTGCGAACCTGAAAGCGAAAGGGTTTCAAGCGATTGAAGATGAGTCGATGGTGGTAGATGTAGCTGTGGTGGGGGATGTCGTGCCCTCTTTATTGATGTTGCAGCCCCGCCATGCACGGTCCATCTCCCCGAACAAGTACCTTGCAGCTTCAGCTGCTTAACAAATCCTTAGAAATGCTTGTTAATTGCCAAATCCGTTGACTAGAGCTGCTCCCCTAGGCGGACTCGCCTGCATAATTGCGCATTAGATTGGTGAGCTTCGAAACTAACGCCATCCCATTCCAGACCGCCTCAACACCTATCGGGGTCTTCGAGCGTAGGTCAAATCTGCCCAGCACATCGGGCAGGGAAGAAGTGTCACCGTAAATATCAACTTTAGTATACAATCACTATTTATTGGTATGGCATGATTCTTAAAAGTGCTTAAACGTGCGATAGGGTATAGAGAGTATCTTAGAGCATTTTAAACCTTAACAGCTTCTGAAGGACTACTTTAATGGTGGTGAAGAAGGTGGTGAGGAGTGGATTTACGGTGCGGGAGTGATTTTGCGGTGACACTTCTTCCCTGCCCGACGTGCCCAGGTGTTCTTGGAGAGCAAAGGTCATCAATCGTGATCTACTGCCAAGCCGGGCAGCCCTTTCCGTCGCCGGCTGATAACTTAATTCTCCGATTGGGACGGGATGAGTCGTTTGCCGTGGACAGAGGAGGAGGCATGGTAATTAACTATGAATTGCAAGGGGAGGAGAATTGCACAACAATGACGGCCAAAGGACCACCATACCGGCACGACTACGAACAATATCACCTTCGGAGCTGAGAGGCAGATACGTCAACTAACTACGCAGTTGTCAACCACGTCACATCGCCAACGGCAAGGGATGAAGTACCGGTACCTAGGTGGTTACAAGGACGCTCTGAGTTACAAGGGCTTCAAGGTTTTTTGCTGTCTGCAATCGACGGCTGCCAAGCTCGTGTCTCGAAAGAAACACAAGATGGACAGAGAGCAAGGATGGATGGCTACTGCAAAACGCAAAGCGCGTCACGTTGGATTCGCTGAAAAGGGACATGTCCGTTTCAGCAGCGCATCAAGCTGTGGCGGATGCTTTGGGAGAGCAGAATCTGTCTCATGTCAGACGGACAGCTGCCTCAATCAGGATAAGAACTGGTGACAAGTGGAGGCTGCTGGGTGCGCCGAGCCAGAACTAGCTAAACGGAGCAGAGTTGAAGGAGTTGAAGGAGTTGAAGGAGGCAAATGCAATGGCAATGGCAATGGAATAATAGAGTGCAATAGCAGTAACTATAAAACTACAATCACTATTTCTTCCGACAGTGCAAAGTGACTAAATGTGCGCTTCACCGGGCCAAAGGCCGAGGGCCAACGCGGGCGGGAGCCAAAGCAAGGGACGTAACAGCTGACCAATATCCCTCTTCAGCATCCCAGCTCCAGATTCAATATCTACCGTACTTGTACAAGCCATCTATAACTGAAGACATGCGAGGATCGAGCACAATTCAATTCCCAAATATATAAACGCTTTGGACGGAGCAGTACTGTAGATCGTGGACGCCCGCATACAGTGGCCTTAGCATCAGCGAATGTCGACGGTAGACAACTGCTCAGTCAAAGGCAAAGTATAAACATGATATGGAAGATGATGTTGCGACACATCGGTCACCCGTGACTCCGAGTTCAAGAACTTTATTGCTAAACACAACCGGACCACCGGATCTGCTTACGCGTTGTCTGGAGCTCGTCATGGGAGCTGAGACACATGGGCGGTCAATAACCAGGTCCATCTTCGGGTTTGGAATAACTTCCTCACGGAATTACATTTGGGTACTGGACCTACTCGAACGTCTTCTGGGGTGCGTTATGGGATCCGAGTTGCGTGGGCTCTCAATGCTCAGGTCCATTCGTGGATCTGGAACAGCCTCATCGCCGATTGCGTTTGGGTGCCGGACCTGCTTGAGTGTCTTCTGAGAATAACCTGTGGAGTTGAGGCCCAGATGTACCTAGCTAGTCCAGGGCATCAGTCGTGTTGGCGACTTCCGGCCTTGAAAAACGCCTTCTTGTCAACTGCATCTGCTGCGCTCTCGATCTCCAATCGATACCTAGGTATGCACCTGGTGACAGACGTGGGTTCTCGCGCATTGTGGTGATTGACCCGTCGGCCTTCTCACCTGCCATGTGAAAACTGTACTGGGTAGACTGTAGGATTGTACACAGCTAGCGTTGAACGACTTGGACAACTACAAACGGCTTAGTAAGGAGTCTAGTAATGAGATCAAGCTCATGTGGAATACAGATGGCTGCATGATACGGTGCTAGTAAGGTGGCAAGATTGGAGAATCAAAGCAAGTGAACTGTAGGGAACAATATAGGGCTCAAGACTATCGGCTATGCTTCGAATGGATGCTCACATTACTGATGCGATTAGAGTTAAAGTACAGTACAAACAGCAAGCTAAAGTGCTGCAGTAGTCGCCATCGCTGATAACTCCACTTTTGTGGGTTTGACCGTGAAAGATGCCAGATGTCGTAACCGCATGCCATCATAAAAAGCACTTTTTGTTCCCGCCCCGGAAAGCAGATCCCGTATCCCGTGAGCCTGGGTATACCGAGCTGAATGCAAGTTGCAGTCTTTCGCTGTGCAGGTTCCCACAACGCCGTCGCTAAAAATCAATGAGTCATTTTCCCCCAAGGAAACCGATGAGCCAGTTTTCCCATGAAGCAAGCATTGGTCGTGTCGTTCAAGAATCAATCGAGACCCAGCGCCTCCGAGCGCCGTCCAGGAACTCCTCTTCATCGACGCGTTCGAACACATCCTCTTCATCCTTCCCGTAAAGACCAGTACTTCCATACGGGCCCTTCCGCGAGAGGGTCCTGGTAGTTGGCCAAATGCCGCTCGAGCCGAACTCCGAAAGCTGGAAGTCGCCATGCACAGCCTTGAGGTGTGGATCAAAAATGAAATCCGCAAAGAAAAGTTCGAGCGTCAGCTCGGCCGGAATGTGCGAATTCCTACGCACAGTAATTAGGTCACGTGCTGCCTGCAGCACGCTCTTCAGGGTGTCCACCGTGGCAACGCTGCCAGATGGGGCGTTCTCGCAGCCGCACAGATGTAGAGCCCGGACTTGGCAGTCGCGCTGCCAGCGGACGTTGGGGTTCGCAAACAGCGCGGGGCACATGGAGGGAAGCGAGATGGACATGTCCTCGAGGCGCGGGCAGTTTGCGAGGATCTCGCAGAGGTGCTCGTTGTCGGCGGGTGAGCCGGGGTGTGGATGCCAGAAGCCGTCGTTGGAGCGAGGGGAGTGCTCTAGGACGCGGAGAGTGGATTGAGAGGATTTGATGATGGCCAAGACACCATCAATCGTGATGGTTGATAGGCACGTCAGATGGAATTCCTCAAGGTTTGTTGCTGTGCGAGCAATGGCGTGGAGATCCTGATCGGTGATGGGCATGAAGGTGGTGTCGCCAAACAGCTTGAGTTTGCGGAGGTTACTGAAGTTCACCATAGCGGACTCCAAAGGCCGCAGGTCAACCTGGTTGCTTGGCTCCATCGCCTGCATCTTCGGCATGTCCACTGCTAGCAGCTCCAGAGATTGTAGGGTCGTTTGACGGCCTCTGCCGAGTAGGCGTGCCCAGTCCTGTCCATTCAAGTGCCGGAGCGCCGTCCATGGCAGGCTCGCCGAGGTGAGCATCGTGCAATTTTGCAGGGTCGAGTGGATCAGCACATTTCGGTCGAAGTCGTAGAAGCCGTCCAGCCACATCCGTCGGACATTCGAAGCTATCTGCGGATACTTTGACAAAAGCTTGGCGGTCAAGCTCAGAGCCTGGAATGGGTCACGGCGAACAGGCATACCGGAGGGCTTTTCGATGAGCTCGTAGGTGCCATAGTTCTCTATCACGGGTGTTAGCAGTCGTCGCCTGCGCCTAGACAATACTTCCATACTCGAAGACGTACCCCGCTTGAGTGATAGCTCTGCCCATCTTTCGGAGCCCCTCCATCTCCTGATGTACAGATCCCTCAGCGAGTAGTCCAGCGCCCAGTCGTGCCATTTCCCACAGACAGCGCGGATCGAGGCCGTCGCGTCCCACTTCAGCATGTCCGGAGGAACGTGTCCGCGTACATATCGCTGGAGTGGCGTCTTCTGTAGCGGGAGAGGCGCCTGGCTGAGGCCAAAGGTGAAGGTGACTCCGTTGTGCTCGTTGATCTTGGCCGCCTGTTCGAGGATTGCGGAGAGGATTTCGGTAGGGAACTCGTTGATGTGCATTAGATTCGCCGGTGGGTTCGAGTATGTGTTGGTGGTGTAGGGGTTGAGGTGTAGACGTGTCTGACAATGGACAAAGGTGGCGTTTAACGAAGGGTATCAAGTGATGGTGCAGACAAGGAGTTGATTGAGAGGCGGAGGCTCTCTTTGACCTTTATGTACCGCCTGACACACAAATGAGTCGTAGACCCTGGACAGACTTTTCACTTCACGGTATGGCGGAAGCATCCATCGCGACCAAGCTGGCGGTAAGCTTTCTTGGAAATCGCGAACCACGAGACCACGAGCTAGTGCCCGATTGGCGGACGTTATGGCGAAGTCCATTTGCAGTGGCACGAATGACTTCAAAAGCGCGCTGTTGCGCTGGTTGCTGTGTATTTTTGAGGAAAAATGGGGGTAATAGCAACTCAACGGAGCATACGCAGCCGTGTCATCGACGCCTTGGCGGTGGTAAGCCGACGAGGATGAGCTAGCCGGTCAGCCGCTCGCCGCAGGTTGAAGGCCGAGTGTGGTCACATGGCCGGAGGAAGCGCCTGACAAAGCCGGGGAAGGAGCCTTCTCGCAGTTCTGATTACTAAAAATCCAAAAAAGTTACCCCCTCGAAACTCCTTTCCCCGCCTCTTACGCGACGACGTCAAGCATCGTGACCATCGCACAGGCTCCGGTGGCGCCAACCGTGATTAAGCTTGACACTACAAAACCACCGCTCTGGCACTCTAGTATGTAACAATGCGAAGAACATGGAGATCTGCTCCTACCATGTGTGCTGGACAGAGAAGACGACAAAGGGCCGCGAGAAATACCAAGGTACTTGTGGACATCAAGGTAGATAACCGGACACGGTTTCGTGATCGAGGATGTCTTAGGTGATGATTGCAGGAAGTGGTGCAATGTCTAGTCCTTCCTGTCATATTGAAGCAGTCTTGCTTCTTACCCTCAATATGACCACGAGTCCAACTCAATCGGGGATCCGGTACTGGACAAGCTACCGGCTTAGATGCGGCAACGCGCTGTTCGAATGGCCTTTGGGCGATGGTGTTGTACTCCGCATAGCGCTACCAGCTCACCACGTTGGCGCAGGTCGCTGCCGGAGACCCGTGCCCTCTCCGCAAAGATCTTCCCGTTCGCCTCGATGAAGCGCGGAGGTTGGAGATGTTTGGGCTCAAGCGTCGGCCACTTCCGAGGAGTCAAGGAGTCGCGTCGCACCCAGAATACGGGCGTGATATCATGTGGTCTTCCTTACCAGCGAAGGCACTCTCGTTGTTCACGCTCACTTAATCCTTGCCCTCGAGATGCAGCGAGCCATGCGCAGATGGACTGTCAGCGGAATCAACCTGCTGAATGTTAGCCTGGTAAATAATGAGCCAAGGGTAGTGCCATGCATTGATGTGACTTTGGTAGGCTTATATCATTACTATGCATAACGTTACTATGGAGCAGCCTCCTCAAAAAGATCCAATGTGCGAGTCTTAATGTCTTTAACTTCCTCACTCTTTGGGAAAGTCAATTGCTTCTGTCTGCATCTCTCGCTGCATCCGTCATTCGCTATAGTATACGTCCTTCGCTAGCTCTTCCTCTCGTAAAAGTGCTTATATAGACGATCCAATTATTTCTAGTCTTTCGCTGTAATACCACATCCACCATGCGTGCCTCCATCGTACTCTCCATTCTCTTCTCCGCCGCAACCGTCGTGTATGCGCAGACTCCGGCCGAGCTCGCCGCCCAGATCCCACACTCGCCGTACGTCCCCAAGGCACCTCTCCATCAATTTCCAACAAACCGCCACCGAACACTCACCCTCCGCGCCTGAGAACTCTGTAATGTAGCCGCCCTCGAACAGACCGGCTGCGGTCTAATCAACTACGCCTGCCACTGCACCTTCGGCGACTTCCTACGCGCCACCATCGTGCCCTGCCTGCAGAACAACTCGACCTGCACCGCTGCCGAGATCCAGCGTACGTCATCCTCAGCTCTACTTGCATTCATCTAAACAGAGTATGACCGTACACGGGCTAACCACCCCGGCTGTACTCCAGAGTTCGCCGCCATCCCCCCAGGATCTGCGCGGCCGTCAACGCCACGGCCAACGCCACCGCGTCTGCTACCAGTACCGGCAGCCCCGTAAGGCCTGACGCAAGCAGCACTGCTATGCCTTTCGAGGGCACAGCAGCGGTTGAAGTGGTGGCAACGGCGTTAGAAAACTGGTGCAATCGCTGCTCTTGGTGTGGGACCCTTTCTGTATACGCCAGAGGCTTGGGCTGCGTTCCTGGTGGGTGTGCATGATGCTGCGGCTTTTGCAGCCGAAGTTCTTATCAGGTAGATGACGGGATTGTTGTTGGTGGGGGTTAGAGTGGTCAGGATGAGATTGGATTGTACATGACCTCTCATCATAGACTACAAGTAGCCTCGACAATACCAGAGCTCTGCATCTGTTGCGAATGTCAAGACCAAAATGACTGCAAATAAGCCGTGTTGTTCGTCGTGACAGTTCTGAATGCTCCACCACCGCTTTCCTAATACTCTTACGGCACAGCAGTGCCGCGCTTCTGGACCGATAACAAGAGCTCTGAGATTGTTTAAGTTTGCTGCCGAGAGCGCTTATGCCTTGCTCATTCCATGCCTGTACGGGTATTCGACAACGGCTCGCAAGTATTCGGTGAATTAGTCCCAAGCCCGAACACTCAAATCCCAAATAGGCATCGATAGCTTATTGACGGGGAACCAGGCTTGGTAGATTAAAACAGCAGCCGCTCGAAGCGAGTATAGATGGTAGGAGGCTAGGTTGGTATTGTACAATACGTACAGGTGACACAAGGTCAATGACAAGCGGCTCCAACCGCCGCGCCACTGGATCCTCTATATCGTTCTCGTTACTCTCAGCGCACCTCGCATTACTACACGCGCTGCACTGCACCCAACTACCACCGCCCCTGGGTCGTACTCCTCCCTTCCCCCAGCGCATTCTATTTCTCCCCCGCTTGCTTCATTGTCAAATACGCCTCCAAATCGAACTTGGGGTCCATGGGATCCGTAATGACTGCACAAGGCAACATATCAACATCCAGACAAGCCTGCACAAAACGCAACTTCGGCTTCGGCAGCACCGCTACACCAGGGCTCACTCACTGTCTCCTCCCTCCGTCTTGCTACTCTGCGGCATCGTCTTCTTCATATACGCCGCCTTCGCCTCGCTGATCAACGATGCTTTCCGCTCGTAGTCCCGGTTTATCTGGTCGAGCTTCTCCTTCGCTGATATCTTGCCCTGGTAGTAGAGACCGTAGAAGACGCCTAGGCCGAGCGCGGACCATCGGAGGACCTGCGGAGGGTGGTTGTTAGCTTCTGGTATTGCGGTCGGCGGCTGCGCATGGGATTGGACGCGCCAATGGCTGGGTCTAAGCTGAGGGATGGAGGAGGCGTACGTTTACTCCTGATGATGCCATCGTGGTGGTGGGTGGGTGAGGACCAGAATGCACAGAGTGCCGACCGGGTAGATCTAGCAGGAGGAGCGAAGGGTATGCGGAGTCGAGATGTCCGAATCGTCGCAGCAGTGTCGTGTGGCCAGCGCAAGGTGCTTCCCTTGCGATTGAAGAAGTTGGACCTCAGAGCGGGTCTTCCCGAGCTGTCTCGGAGAAACTGTCACGCCGCTGTTGAACCCCAGATTCAAGACAACACGTAGGTAGAGCGGGTAAATAGATCTCCATTCAACGCGTCTTTGAGGAGCTGACAAGTCGGTGAGCTTTTCCATTGCGCCAGTGTAAATCCAGAAGCGAGGGTCAACGCGTCAATCCACGACAACACCTCCAACCGAGCCGTTATTGAGTAAAAAGCTACGGGCACCATCGCCCATATAGTGGAGAGCCTCGAGCGCCCTGACCTGCGTTGATGTCGAGAACCTGCAGCAAACTACAGAGCCTGCGATAGTGGCCGTTTCTGCGGACTACAAAGCGCCAGACGATAGCAATGGACCCTGCGGCTAAGGCGAGAAAGGACGAGATTGCGGCCAAGAGGGCCAAACTCGCTGAGCTGAAGCGTCAAAGGGAATTGCGCACACAGGAAGTCGATGCAAGCCGCCAACAAGCTGCCGAAGCCGCTGCGGTAAGCCCCCAATTCCAGAGATAATGGGTGCACTGCTGATGCTTCTCAGCTGGTTGCGCCCAGGCCGAGCCGTGCTGACCACCGCAAAGACCTAGACTCCCTCATATCGAACCTTGTCGGCAACAGATCCAGCTCAACAGGCCCTCGAGATTCGTCTTCGCCGGCACCCGGACGAGCCAGCAGGCCTACGTCGGTTGTGAGTGGGGGAGAGAATGTTGACCCTTCCACTCCGCCTACCCAGGCGCACCCACCGGCAGTCGTAGAGCAGACACTCTCCATCGCCCCTCTTACTATAGTTTACGAGGCTCCCGCAGATTCGCAGCCCGAAACCGTCACATACAACAGGGCCGTGCAGACATCGGAACCGTGGGAACCACAACGGGACCGCTCCCTTGATTCAGACGATGACTACGGTCTCACGCCGTCGAAGAAGACTCCGCGGGCAAGCAAGCGCCTGAGCCGAAGAGAGCGGGAGCGGGATGAGGAGCTACGGCAGAACATCAGGAAGGAGGTGGAGGAGGAGCTGAAAGCCGCACGGCAGCTTCCAGCAGATGATTCTACAGCAATCACAACCGCCGCGCAAGAGAGCGTCTCAGCACGGATCCTGACGGACGAGGAGCGCAATGCCGAGGAATCATCAGCAGACTATCTAGCCTTCATAGAGAGGTCAACAAAGGTCGCTGAACGAGAACTAGAGGAGAAATTTGATGTTCTTAAGGACTACGCTGTAAAGGGTCTAGAAGATGCGGAGGACGAAGATGACGGATCCGGAACCACAAGAGGCAAGAAAGGGAGACGAGTACGGGAAGTGGCGCAGTTCTTTGACGAGCGATGGTGTTCGAAGCGTTGCGTTAGCGACATCGCCTTCTCTCCGAAGGTAAGCTACCCACGACTAGAACACAACGGCAGCTACTAACATACTACATATAGTTTTCGGAGCTCATTCTAGCCTCCTACACGCGGAACAGCTCAGCACCACACGACCCAGATGGCATCATACAAGTGTGGAACATGCACACGCACAACCGACCCGAGTACACCTTCACCTCCCAATCCGACATCCTCACCGCGAAGTTCTCTCCGTTCCACCCGAACTACATCATCGGCGGCTGCTACAATGGGCAAGTAATGGTCTGGGACACACGCGACCGCTCCGCAGCTCGCGGTCCCGTGCAAAAGACGCCCCTAACCAGCTCTGGGCACACTCACCCCGTCTACTCCCTCGACATTGTCGGCACCCAAAACGCAAACAACATCATCTCATGCTCTACCGACGGCGTCGTCTGCAGCTGGAGCATCGGCATGCTAACCCAGCCCCAAGAGTACCTCGAGCTAACTACCCCGCCACCCGCGAAGACAGAGGACATGGCTCCCACGTGCATCGCGTTTCCCAAGTCGGATCCGACATACTTCCTTGCGGGTACGGAGGAGGGCACCATCTACCCCTGCCACCGCTACGACCGCGCAGGCGCCAAGGCAGGTGTCGACGCCCGTCTAAGTTACAGAGGCCACGCAGCGCCCATCATGAGCCTAGATTTCCACCCCACGCGCGGCGACATCGATCTCGGCGACCTCGTCCTGAGCTCAAGCATGGACTGGGGCGTCCGGCTGTGGAAGTCTCGCCCCCCAGCGGCCAATGCAGCGAACAGCGTTTCGGGCGCGCAATCCGCAACCGCCCTCATCGAGTTCGTGCGCGAAGACGTGGTATACGACGCGCGCTGGTCCCCGGTCAAGCCGGGCGTCTTCGCGCTCGTGGATGGTGGGGGAGGGGTAGAGTTCTGGGATCTGAACAGGGACGTCGAGGTCCCAGTCGCGAGGGCTGTGCCGAGTGATAGGGGCCCGTTAAAGAGGTCGTTGAATAAGGTCGCCTGGGAGCCGCAGGAGGGGAAGAGGACGGCGGTTGGTGGATTGGATGGCGTGGTTACGGTATTTGAGGTCGGGGCGGAGCTGGGCGGGTTGGAGGGCGTGAGGTCGGAGGAGTGGACGGGGGTTAAGAGGCTGGTGGGGAGGCTAGAGGGCGCGGTTAATGGGAGGTGAAGACGTGCTTTACGAAGGCATCTGAGTCAGGACGTGCGGCAATGGTATACATGATCAAACTCTGCGGTCATTGAAAATCTAGGAGCACACTGTCCGTTAGTCCTTGTGCTCGTTCCAGGCATTTGGCGGAGTCTTCGGGACCAGTCTATACCAGCTCCTTGCGCGTGGTCTGAATCGCTGGATAAATTCCTTTCTAGATTGCATGGGGCGCTCTTTGAACATCTGTCCCATGAGTCAATCAGTATCGAGCAGGGTCGTCAAAGTCGTCAAAGTCGTCAGACGCTCTTGGGGCGCGGCCACCTCGAAAAGTGCCCCTCAACCCTTGTAACGTTGCCTGCTATCTGCAACGCATAACAGGGTGTGACAAGCGAAGCAACAGCTCGTGATCCACGGACGTCCCAGTTGTCAACCACGGCCTCCACGGTACAAGCATTTCCCTGTGGACCTCGATGCAGAGCCGCACGCTTAGCCAGGTACGATGCGCCAGGGCGTCCACGCGGCAGCCAATAGGAGATACTGCGAAAGCCACGACCGCCCAGATCCCCGGACTGACCGATAGCCGTCCCCCCTGACCTCTCCACATCCATGAGATTTGGCGCCGGCTCCACAGCCCGTCCACGCTCCTGCATTATGAAGAGGCTGGTCTTGATTGATTGAAGAGCTCCCTAGAGCACCACAATATGAAAAGTTGACGGGCGTACTATCCGTGGTGTGCGATGCGCGTTCTTCCTGTCAGCCATATGCAGTGTCTGTTGAACCTCTGCAGCTCGCCGTCAGCTGAGGTGCATTCCAGACTTCGGTAGCCCATGTCGAACCAGACGGCTTTGCTGAGGGCCAATCATCAGCAAGCAAAAGGTCTTCTTCAACCCTTAGTCTCCAACCCTTATGCAGCTTTAGGCAGTTCAGATTCCAAAAGTCTCGTCTGGGGCTGAATCTCACACCCAAACTACGCCGATTAGCGCCTGTCATGTTCGTCCAGGCTCTCGGGGATCGCTGCTTTCAGCTGCGCAACATTCGCTGTGGCTTGCCGATCCGATCCCCACCCACGGATCGCATCAATAGCTAATCTTCAAGCTTCGACAAACGCCGCCTAGAACGGTAGTAGGAGCAGTTCGTTCGTCCTGAACCAGGCACAGTGCGCTTGACAAGCTTGACGGCTGCAGCAGGGCAAGCGATCCCGCCTTGGTTGGCATGCACGCCAGGACGCCCGGCGCCGAAGATGCGATGGATTGACCACGCTGACGAGAAGGCTTGAGAGGCTGCCCGCCACATATGTATCTGCATCCGTGTCACTAGAAAAGGGCAGGCTGGGAATTAGTCGTACTCCGTACACGAACACTTTCATCTTCACCACGTCCTCTCAGCCTTACAACTTCCTGTCAAAGCTTGATATACTCACCAGTCCGCCTCTACGAGCATAGCTACCCAATCCAGTCCCACACCGTAAGCATTGTCACTCGGGTCCAGGGTACCCGTACTCACACATCGCAGACCTCAAAATGGAAAGACCAAACAAGCGAAGATCCATCCGCCGCTCCATCTCCGACTTCTCACGGGCCTGCTTCTTCCCCAGCAGCAATCCCGATACTGACTCCCTCCCTGTGCCCGCTCGATCAGCCGCTACACGACCGGCGGTGACACGACCAGGACACGTACGACTGGCCTCGACGCCCGACGTTCGACAGGATGCCAGAGACTCCTCATCGATAGAGATGGTCGAGAACGACGCGAAGAAGCAGAAACGAGCATCCTATGTTCCTCGACATGCGGCTTCGTCGTTCATGGCGTCGACTACGCCTTTGACGCCTAAGGAGATCAAGCGGAGATCCATGATGGCGTCGACGATGCCGAGCACTTCGACTTTCGCGGTTGAGAGTCTGGATGGTAGCGTTAAGGCAGCGAGGCGGAAGACGATGGTGTAGACTGAATCGGGTAGTCTTACTAGCTTCGATGGGGGATACTGTTTTGCTGCGTATGCGGTTCTAATCGCGGTCGCGCTTGGTATATTAGATCTCAGGGACGTCTAGTTTTTCGAGTTGATATGATGCGTCATCATCATCAACAGCCTGTAAGACCTTTGAGGTTGGTGTAACGGATTGGAGGAGGACTTTTCGGCATATCACTGCATCCTTGGGTAGAGGCGTATCGCACTTGCGCATAAAGTGTCAGGTATACCCCTTAGTTGTATACATGTTTCCACGTAGCAGTTGCTAACTTGGCGACCGTTTGCCTGTGAAGTATACGAAAACATACTCAAAGTAATATTGACTAAATGCTCCGTGTCTGATGCTCTGAAAACACTTCGGGAAACCTAACTTGTGTGATGCCAGCATATGTCAAAGCAGTTGCATGGCGGATCGGTTCCTTCACTCCAACACTTCGGGGATATGACACCATCTTGACTGGTAATTGCCAGCCAGTGCATCCAGATGCAAATAAGACGTACCTCGATTGAATAGCGTAGGAAACCATTGACCGGAACGCTTCCGTCCCGGCCCACTCGCTCTCAATCACGTTGGAAGGGCCGGAGGCGAATTGAGACACAACTCCGAATCTCACGTCCGTACAAGCCGTCGCTCATGCTGATCTGATGCTGAGTCAAGATTCGACGTCGTTGACCTTTGCGGTTGTACAGCGTCTGCTGATATAAAGATTTCATGGGGAAGGTGACGCAGCGAGAACTGGTCTAATGATAGCACATGATGGCGCGCCAGACGCTTCGATGCTCTCTGGGAGGATCCGCACCATCCACCCCATCGTGCCTTTTACCCTGATGCACCATTGATGAGGTGTTCTAACCAAGCATCATCTCACATGGCCAATCCGCCAGTCTCGGATCACATGCATCTCGCAGCGGCCCGCAAAAGCAAACCCCCCGCCTCGGAATGGGTTTCGCAAAACCCCATCGACGGAAGAGAAACACCCCGAGGTCCGTCTCAGCTCACGCCGCTTTGCCCCTCCATGACGTGCAACCACCAACCGCGGGGCGTCCCTGCCCCGCCGTCATCGAGTCTTGACGAAATGCCATCCAGAGATGTTCGCCAAAGTCAGCAATCACGGGGGCAATGAGATCGGAGCAGCCACCGAGGCGTTCCTAGCGGACGAAACAGCATGCTGCGAGTCGAGAAATTTATGGGGCTGCACTGCCACTGGCACACGTCTCCGACATCACCACTCTCCGAATGTGGAGCAGTAAACATGACGTTGACGGCTCCGAGATTGGCGTGCTTTACGTAGGAAGACGCGCGTGGGGGTCGGCTGATTGATATATAGAGGCCTTGCCGTCCTGCTCTGCGTTTCTTTCCTCATCTCAAGCCACTCCATCAATATCTCACACACCCCAAACAACAACCACAGCAACCGAATCAATCATCATGCAGAACGACGCAGGTCAGGGTGCATCCCACGCCACCGGCGACTCCAAGGTCCCAGACACCATCCAGGACAAGGCCCCCAAGGGTCTCGAGGAGAGCCTCCCTAACTCGGTATGCCTCCTCCCCTTCTCCATCCCCCATTGCCACTTCCCCGTCTTCTCCTACCTCTTCCGTCTTCGTTCCCCCACCTCAATTCTCCTTCTCCCAACAACCAGCACTAATATCCCATCCAGGTCCACGACACCGGCGACCAGGGTCGCAAGACGCACGCTCTCGGCGACGGCGAGGACAGCAAGGTTCCCAAGGCCATCCAGAAGGCCGTCCCCGAGAAGCTCGAACGCGCCCTCCCCAACAAGATCCACAATACTGGCGACTAGATGCTGGAGTCATGATTTGACGGCCTAAGGACACCTTGGAGGGTTCCAGACATTGGGGTCATTTCCTGTAATATATTAGGGAATATGGGAGGATATAGGGCAATGAAATGGTTGCAACCTGACTCGTAATGTTGTGATCGCATGCGTGATGGTGCTATGTGAGGACTCAAACGAATTAACGTGGGTTGTGTTCGATACTATTGTAATACCGGCCCTATCCGCAGCGACGCGTACAAAACGAAACATTGTTGATGTTTAGTCTTTGAAAGTTCCCACACTGTACCGCTCAATTCTAGCTCTACGATCCTCACATCATATAAGCAAGCACAAGAACAAGGGAGCACAATGGCTTGACAGGTATACACATCATCCACCTGCTTGACCATCTAACGTACACAAATGCGCTGCGGCTATACTATGATGCAACCTCCACGCCGAAGCAATCAATACACCCACCCCTCCACCGCCTTAAGCATAGATACAAACCCAACCCCAACCCCATAGCATCCAGCGTCACACCACACAGCCTCCTGCGCCAAAGCCCGCAAGTCTTCCAAACAGCCCGCTAACCTCCTAGTCGAAACAGCGACACCAACCCCACAGCCGAGCGAAGAACAGCCCCGGCCAATGCAGCTACGTCTTACAACACAAGCCCCACGCCCGCAGCAGCGAGGACCATCATCCCGCCCGCGACCCGCTTGTTCGCCACCGCCGCGCCCGACGGCACGCTCGCGTTGACGACGCTCTCCGCCGCGCTCGTCGCCGCAGCCGCAGAGCTGGACCTGGCCGCCGTGCTGCTCGAGCTAGCCGCGCTGGACGCGCTCGACGAGGCCGCCGCATTCATAGATGTCGACGTCGTCATCGAGCCGGACGTTGATGTGGAACCGGACGCCGATGTCGAGCCGGACGCCGCGCTGCTCCTGCTGCCGCTGCCCGTGGCCGTCGAAGTCGGGGAGACGCTGCTCAGGCTGGGGATGCTGGACGTGGCGCCCAGGGAGAAGGCGGAGGTGGTGCTGGCGACGGTGTTGGAGGACTCGATGACGAAGAAGGGCGTGTAGTTCACGAGGGTCGGGTCCGTGTCGGACACGATCTGGATGGTGTAGTCGCTGCCGCGCGTGACCGAGGGGTCGGGCGTCCAGGTGTAGGAGCCCGTGTTGGGGATCGAGGCTGTAGTGATAGTGTTAGCGAGGAACTTGCACGCGCGATTGTAATGGTGCGGGGGGAGTTGGGCTTGGTTAGAGGGATTGAGCGGGATGGCGCATTGGAGACGTACTGGCTATCGCCGCACCGCCGTCCAGGCTGCTGGAGGCGCCGGAGCGCAGGACCAGCGTCACGGTGCCGGGGGTCGTCGGCTCCCATGTCACGGTCGTGGGTTCGCCGGCCGTGAAAGAGAAGGTGCTCGGGATATTGAATGGGTTCGGCGCATTCTGCGCGTTGGCGACAGCGGCGGCGAGGCCGGCGAGGACGATGGCGAAGAAGCGCATAGCGAATTGATTACTGTTGATGCTTTTCGCAGGAGTGATGATCAACGCGAGAGTCAAAAGTTGCTGTTCGGGATACAAGCTACTTTGTTTTGATGTGGAGATTGGCAAACAGAGATGAAGAAAGGATGGCGACAGCAATTAGACTGCAACAAACGAGAGCGGGAGCGCGACAACGGAAGGAAGCAAGCGACAACGTGAAGTGCGACGGCCGGCTGAGCTCTTTCCCCCTTCGAAATGGAATGCCGTCGGGGCAAGCAGCTGCGGTGGCCCTAAATCGACGGCCTCGATGCTCTAACCAGCCGCCAAGCCGTTAAAGCCGCATCGAGGCGTTCGGCGCGCAGTTCTGCACTGACCCGCCGTCGCTGAGGCCGGGCGAAGGCGCACGGAACAAAGCTGGAGGGCCATGGGGGCTGCCTGCTTGGAACTGCGATACTCCCTGCCATGCTAACAGTAGTAGCTGCGCTGCGTTATGTGGCCGGGCGCATGGAGAGAGAGAAGAGAGAGAAGAGCTTCACGGTTGGGTGTGGCTCTTGCCCTTCCAAGGTGTCGCATCCCCACTCTCTGATGCAGGGACCGCTGCAGAGCACCGACGCCGGGGTCACGAGCTTAATTTTTCGGCCTCTTGGGGGTCGGCCAACCAAACCTCTCGCAGGCCTGCTGCTTGTCAGTGCTTGCGCAATCAAAATCCCGCCATTCGACGAGCTTCACGACCAAGAGACGGGCGTGAGCAACAAACAGCGTCGCATGCGTCTTACGCGGTTGTGATGGCATGGAAGGCTGTAAGGCATGTGTCGCCTTGGACAGCGCTTCAACGGCGTCGCACAGGGGAACACAAACGTCTGCCTGCTGCCTCACCGTTCCACTGCTCCCGCCTCGGTCGCGCGAGAAGCTGTCAAGGCACAACTGTGACGTGCGCAACACAAGTTCGAGGACATAGCGGACAGACGCCTTCCGTGCTCGTAAAAAGATGCGCGTACTACTCATTGAACCCATTGAATTATTAAGCTACAAGAAGTACAACCCCACCCCGATTAGACATTGTCGCAACCAACGAAGATCAACCGCAATGCACATTTCATGCAACATGACAAATCCTCCACGTTCTCGAACAGCTCCTTCAGTATACACCCGCCCTCAGATGCTCGGCTATAGATAGGCCATGGCAGCAACAGCGCCGAAGATGAGCGCGAAGGGGCTGGCGTATCCGAGGCCAGCAGCTGCGTTGCCACTGGGCACAGCGACGCCGCTAGACTCGGTCGCGGAGGCGCTCAGAGTGGCCCTCGACGTGACGGCACCAGACGACGCGCTGCGGGTGGAGGTGAGGGTAGCAGTCGCCATGGTGGTGTTCCTGGCCATGCTCGTCAAGTTGCCAGTGGGAGCTACAACTGGCGTGGTCATGGTCGCGTTGGTGATGGCAGCGAGCGTCGAGTTGAGCGATGCGATGACGGACTCGATGGACGAGACCTGGGAAGCGACGGATGCGGAGCTGGTGATGGCGGCGAGGACGGAGCTCGAGGAGGCAGAGGCAGACGAAGCGGACGAGACGGCGGCGCTGTTACCGCCGGAGAGGGAGATCAGGCCGGAGTAGTTGATCTGGTTGTCTTGCGTGATCTGGAGCGCATAGTCTTCGCCGTCGGCGAGGGAGGTGCTGGGGATCCATGTGTAGCTGCCACCAGTTGCATCCGCTGTCAATGCAGTTAGTGGTGGTTCGGGTGGGACTTGGGGTGGACCTTACAGGTGAGCTCCCCAATGGTGTTGAGGTTGTTGGGATCGCCCTTGCGCAGCGTGATCGTGACAGGCTGTAGAACAGATTAGCTGAGTTCACCGCATTTAACCTAGTATGATGGCAGGCAATTGTGCGGGAGATCTGGGCGCTTGCAGCGAAGCCCGCTTCTGGCTGGAAACCGCAGTGCCTTTGGTCTGCGTATTGGACGGGTTCTTCTTGAACCCTCTCACGCAGGGCGTGCTAGCAATCCAGTGACTCCTGGATCCAGGGACCGACGCGACATAGACTAGCCTCGAATCTCTCTACAGTCCCCATGCGCTGCCATTTCGTCCTTAGCTCGAGAATGTACTCACTTGGTCAAGGTCGGGCGCCGTGTAGGTAATAGTATAGGTGTTTCCGGCAACAACCTCAGACGGCACCGAGGTGAGGGCGAGGTTTGTTTGCGCAAGAGCCGAACCGACGAACGCGGAGGCAGCGAGGATAGCTTGGAAAAAACGCATTTTGATGTCGAAGAAGTCGAGCTTGAGTACTACAGAATACTAGGTTTTGTGAATACAGCAAACTGTTCGTAACGACCGTTATTAGCTACTGCGCGCGGAAGTGGAAGAAGCGAGCGAAGAGGAATGGAAGATGTGAAGAATGTTTCTATGGGGAGCTGACGACTACTTACGGGCTGTGTGCACGAGACGGGGAATGGAAACCTCGGAATGCTTTGCGTTTCAGGCTGCCGGCTAACGAATGAGGCCGTGGGGCGAACTGGACAAAAAAAGAACGAATGTGTAGGTGGTCAGTGAGGCGAAGGGAGAGAGGAAGGCAAGAGCGAAGGAGGGTGGGTTTATGCAGCTGCTCCAGCGTCGTTCGGGGCCCAAATGAGAAGGGGAGCGCTGGGATCGCGAAACGGGAAGCAAATCACAAGCTTTGCCAGGACGCTGCAGCTGCGGAGCTGGGTGTCGAGCGTTGGCGCTATGCCACTTACAGCAAAGCTCAGAGCGCCGCTGCGGTTAGCCTTGTCACAAGCGCTGCTTCCCCAGATTCAGGGGCTCGGAGGCCAACCGCCACTCAATAAGCCGTTCAATCGACATGCCAGAATATGCAATCCCCTCCCGCGAGCGTCTGCTGTGAGCTTGCATCGTTGATGCTTCCATTGTACTGCATTGAAGCAGCAGGATACCTGCTCTATGCGGTCTGATCTGGGGAGCCGCGTTCTCTAGGGTTGGCCGCCTGCGCCTTGCTCGTGTCAGATCCAGAAGCTCGGCTCGTGGGCTTACGCGAGCTGATGCACAATTTCCGCATGCGAGAATGGCTGGCCTCATCTGGGAACAGGACAACGTGGCCCCTGAGCCTTATGGGTTGACATCACGTGGCGCAAAACGTCTTCTTTAGTCAAACTTCCTTCGCTAGGGAGCGAGGTGTAGAGGGTTGTAGAAGAGTCACAATTGATCCTACTATTGTTCGCTTTAGGCATCGCAAACTTGGGGTACGCCTTAAGCCAGCGTTAGACGCCGGGCGGACAAACAGTCATCTGATTTTGGAAGTTCAAGCAACGAGTTGTCCTGTGTAGCATATCCTGAGCCTTACATAGCCTTAATGCTACTCCCCTATGATGTCCTCTTTATGCACGCTAGATTTCTGGCTCCTGCCAACACTGATAACGAAGGACCTTGCCCCAGCTGACTGCCGTCGCAGCTGCAATAATGTCCGAACGCCAGAAAATGCAAGACCAAGCCACCACGCAATCGGTGATGAACCGATAAGATTCTACATTGGAGATAAACCAGAGACAATATCCAGTGATCTTGTACGTGAGAAGAATGGAAGGGTCATTCGCTTTTGACCTGCGCACCAATGCCGTTTGGAACCTCCTGTAGAACATGCGGCCGCCACTTGTTGAGAACCTTCGCGGTCGGACCTCTCGCATCATCGTCTATCATCAATCAGCGAAAATGTTGAATGGGCGAAGTATCAAAGGGCATAAACTTACAATTCCTCCACAGATCTTCCAGCGCATCAACGCACAATTCCCTCACCGGCGGCCTCACGAGCACGAGATAATGAATCGCGTTAACCGCCAAGCTGACCCTCTCCGGATCCCGCGCCAGCTTCTTGACCCTGTCCAGCACCTCAACCCCAATACCTGGAATTTCGGACAAGAAGCGGATAAGGACCTTATCCTTCGCATCCAGGTACGGCACGATTCCGTCCAGCACCTTCAAGACCCACTTGTCGTAGTGCTTGACCGGCGGTCCAGCATCGCCAGCGTGCTTGGCCATGATGCGGTCGTTGTACCACTCCTCGTTGAGCCAGGAGATGGCGACATCGATGCGGCGGCGGAAATCCTCGATGACATAGAGGTACAGCGCATCGCGGATCGTGTTGCTGATCGAGAAACTCTTGTACCTTGCTATCGACCGCTCCCCCTCGCCTTCAGCTTTGACAATGCCATTCTCCAGCCCGGCCGCCCCCCGCGTTGCTATGCGCGTGATGACCGTGACCCACGCATCACGGTCGTACCCGCTCGCTGCGAGCCGGTTAAAGCCCGGTCGCTGCGCCTTCGACGCCGGCGTCTCGTCTAGCTCGGCCATGACGCCGAAGACGCGGTTGACGACGTCCTTACTGCAGTCGATCGTCTCAGCTTCCGTAAGCGGAGGCGGCTGCGGGAACTTGAACGGGCCGAGTGCTACTTCCGGAGGCGGGCGCTCTGGGGGCAGTTCATCCGGGGGCGCGTTGTCGAGCCTGTTGAGGATTTGTTCGGTGGTTTCGGCTGGCGGGAAGTCGGGCTCGTATTCTTCCTCGTCTTCGTCGGCGGGGGGCTTATGTGTTGCTGTGACGGCGGCGTCGAGAGCAGTTCGGGCTGGGAGGTCTCTGCGGTGGGCCAGAAGGCGTGCTTGTGTTGCCTACAAAGTTTGATATATCAGCACTGGAACGAGGTAACTCGAGTATGGGCCGTAGGAAGCTTGCAGAAGTCACGTGCAGCAGCCTGAAGGAGCAAAGACAAAACGGTTGAGACGTGTTGCTAGCAATGATTCAACTGCATGCCGATCGACTTCATTGCGGCGCCATATTGCCGTGTTCTGAAGCTGCCAAGGGGCAAAGGGCATTCCTGCCCTCACATGCAAAGAACTGTCACGTACATTGATGGCATGATCGAATTTCGCTTTGTCAGCGTAGATCAATAGAGGCAACACTATGTTGGCCACTATTTCAGGCGTAATGGCTTTCACGTCAAAGTTTGCGGACGCTTCTTGTGGATTGCGGTTGAAAAGCCATGCATAAGTGCGACTACCAGGTGGCGGTAACACTTCCTGAGCTTGTGAGGGAGCATCTGTGACCTCGGCTCCCAGGCGCTGCCTCTTGGCTTGATCCAGACCATCCGTGGGCTCAACGGGTGCTGGGCGCTTGCGGTTGTTGTCGTCGAACATGGCCACGCGAGCATGGTGGAGATGCTCGATGTGTTGACCAATTCTGCCTACCAGTGCGTGGTTTTGATTCCTGATTTGTTAGGGCACATACAATGACGGCGCAAGGATAGATTAGAGGATGGGGAGCAAACATACTTCTTAGCAAAGTTCTGCAGAAGCGCCCTTGTTGTCCGCTCGATAGACCTTACTACAACCTTCATCTTCGTCGTAACAGGGGGTTTCACGAGCCGGAAGGGGTTGAAATTCAGGACAGTAGATATGATCTTAGTGGCTATTGATGCACGGGATCGTGTGAGGCTACCCAGGCTGTTGAGGGTAGCTGTGATGAGAAGGGGGTCGCTAGCGAGGGTTAGATGCAATTCCTGGTGGGCGTTACAATAGCCTAACCTGATATCTTCCTGCAATATACCAAGTAGCCGGTCAAGGAGACCAGATGTCTCCGCCTCAAGATTGGAAGGTGGGATTATGGGATGATCTCGAGGCACCAAGGCTAAGGAGATCTCATTATGTTCCGGCCGCTATCAGGTCGTCAACGTTTCATGCGCTGACAGGCACTGAGGACAGGTGGTATGCGCACCCTTGGATCTGCTATCAAGCCTGGTGTCTGCGTCTGTACAACGCGCTGGACGAACTTGATGCAGCATATCCGGACACCCGGGGGGGCACTGTCCATCCTTCGCAGTATGCTTGATTTGATGGCAGTCATCTTCTGCCATGTCGCTGTATTCGTAGGATTGTAGATGCTGCAAACATAACCGATGAGTAAGATACCGCTTGACATAGATTCAGCTCAAGGCATGTTTGTCCGCTCGAAAGCCGGCTTCTTGAACGTCACAGTCTTGTAGCGCTGTATGCATTTATGGCAACAGCATGGAGGACTGGTGGAAACTCACATATGCCTAAAAACCAACGGGTAGATGCTGGCGGCGGCCTGTACCACACTCTTCACCACCACCACATCCTCCCCGGGTGTGTCCAAGTATTCCTTCAGCAGATCGAGAACCGTCAGGCTCAGCTCCTGCTTCCGTTCCGCTGCCAGGCTGGGCGACGCAAATGCTTCTGCTAGGAACTCCGCGCCCCATCTTCGAATGTCCAAGCCGGCGGGAGGGCCGACGAGCGCGAGGACGGCGGGGACGATCTGGAGATAGTAACTCGCATCCTTTAAGGCAAGGTCCCGCGCAGAGTTGAGCTGCGCCAGCGTGTCGGCTGTGCCATTGCTAGTTGAAGCCATGGCGGCTGCGGACAGCAGTGGGAGCTGGGCTTCGAGGCAGTTCACGCGCGGGTGCAGATCAGCGCAGAGTTGTTGCCGCGGCTAGAAACAGAAGAACGCCATAGACAGCCAGACTTCCAATCCAAACCAGAATATCTTGACGAAGTGTACCTGTACGAGAAAGCTGAGTGGTGGGTAGAAAGCAGTGAGCTTGTGCGTTGGAGCTCTGAGCGTGGTCGCGTTCGGCGTCGAGGTCATCGAAGGAACCGGAAGCGCTCTTGGCGCCAAGATCATGTGAAAAGAGCCGCATCAGCCTTACTGCAAAGCATTCAATAGCTCTTTGAGTGAGCTACGTGGACTCATTCAGGCATACCGCCACGATGCCGTAAGTGATGCGCTCCTGAGAGCCGGTTTTTGATATCCCTACACAACATGCTAACAGCTCCCAGCATCCCCCGCTCGTCCTACTACGACCGAGACTACAAACAATCGCCAGCCCTGATCCGCGCTCGCCAACCGTACCTAGTCAAGAACATCGTAACCGGGGCCGCGATATTCGGCTTCGCGATAGGAGTCTGTATGTCTCCCTCCTTCCTCGCTTCCCACTCATCGCGCCAACGTCTACGATCCCGCACCGGCGCCCCACCTTGTCTTCGGTGACGGGAAGCTAAACCCATCTCTAGATGCATTCACCATTCGAGCCGTGGCGCAAGACGAGTTCGAGGATGTCATAGTGCCGGACAAGCCGGTCCAGCCTGCACATGCGCCGAACGCGGAGGGCAACAATCGGACGTTGGGGAGTGCGCCGTTGAGCAGATGAAGGAGGATGGCGTGGATAAGGGACTAGGTGCAGATTGCTATGTTGCTAGCTGGGAGACATACGTGTATTACCAAGGGGCTGTATAAAAAATCGCATGGTATGGGCGTTGGGTGTGGTTTGAGGAGCACCGAGAGCGACTGAGAACTGTAGACCGCCTATCAGAGCATCATCTCTGGCGGGGGATATCACAAGATAGCTTGTACAGTCAACAGGCAGGAAAGATCACACCGCTCCATCCAGAGGTCGCTAAGTCTCGTAATGTTATGATATTACATATATTGGGCAGGCCTATATTCTACGTTCTTCATTTTTAGCAGAAGCCACGACTTGATATCAACACCTCCAAACCCAACAGACCCGACGCCTATGCAGCAATGTACAGCTGGTACACTTTTGGCTTTGGAAAACTCCTCCACATGCAAAGCAAATGAAACGCTAAGCGCAGGAATGAAAGCAAGAAGATTTGCTTGTGGCAGATCCTGGATCAACGGAATCTCCTCATTTCATAATTATCCGTCTGGCTCCTCTTCGGCGCGGCAAAATCTCGATCAACGAACAAGAAAGCGCCCGGAGCCTCATCCCTGGCTCTGTCGGTGGTGTCCATGCGCATAGCTGCAGGGCTGACCATACCCGTCCGCGTGTCTAGTCGACCTTCTTCAGGTATGTCAGCCATGCCGGATTCCATGCGGTTGACGTCGTCCTCATCCGTCCGCTTGCGGCCGAAGAATCTGTTACGGTGATTGCTCCGCCTTCTCGCGTCAGAACTGTCGGTAGCGATGCGCTGGAGATGCGGCTCGGCAGACCCGGAAATGGAAGTAGAACGACCGACGCTGTCTTGAGAGTGACGTCGATCCTGGGAAGAGCGGGAAGGCGAAGGAGAGCTGACGCTAATCGGGATACGAGCCCTTTGCCTGTCCGCAAAAAGGTCGTCGTCGTTCATGTCGCCGGCTGACATGTCCTTCATGCCGAGTGAAAAGTCAACACGCCTGCCCATAGCGGAGAGCGATTCGCCGCGGGGGCGAGTGGAGCCCGTCCGAAGGATTGAATGCATCTGATTGGAAGGGTCTCCGAACGGTTGCTGCTGCTGCTGCTGCTGGTCGGCGGCCGCAACGAACGGTGCATCTTGCGGTGCATTACGTGGAAAGCCCTCTGGACGATCGGGATAACCCCCGTGGCCCATGTTAGGAATATCGATGTGGGGAATGTTCTGCATGTACAGAGGGAAGGACTCCTTCTGGCCTGGATAGCGCATGCGCGGACCTTCAATGCCGAGTTGTTGCATGGACACCATCATGGCGCAGATGAACTTGTTGCGTCGCTGTAGACGGAGCAACTCGTTCTGCCAGTTCGACTTATAAAAGAAGACAACGTTCAAGGTGATGGAGTGAGCCTCCGCCACTTCGCGAAGCTCCGTAAGAATCTTGCCTTGATACTCCCGCTTCTCGGTTGTGACAAACTCGAGCAGGCGCTGTCGCAGTCCGTCGATCTGCTCCAATGTGGTGCCAAACTTCACGGTGACTGGCACGGCTTCGGCAAGCGCGCCAGACCGCCTCTGATTCAGAATGAACAGAGTGTTGAGGTAGCTGTTGGGCGCCTGTACAACGTGGCCTTCCATCTTCTTGAACTCCGTGTACAACAGAGCGATTTCCTTCACGAAGTAATCGTCGCCCTTACCTAGCACACCGGTGTTGCCATAAATGCCCACACGGTCGCCGACATCGAAGGGATGCTTGACGAAAACGAAGATGATGGATTGTAAGAACTCTTGAGCAGTCGCAGAGAACAACCAGGATAGCGCAAGGACAGTTGACCCGGCGGACGTGAGCACGCCAGCGGCAGATGTCGATATTAAGGAAATGAAGACGAGGATGGTGATGATAGCAACGATGAACATGAACACATCATCGAGCTTGCTGACAACTGAATCGAGGTCTTTCAGTGATGCGGTGATGGCTTTGCGTTCGCGACCAATTTCGACACAGACGGCCTCCAGCTCCTCCATGGAGATGTCGCCATTCATATCTTTGTCGAACATGGAGAAAGCGGCTTCAGCTTCCTCGTCGTTGTCGAAAGCACTCTTCAGGTCGTCGGAGTATACGGTTTCGGTCTCCTCGCGTGCGAACGTCCGATAAAGGCGGCGGGCGAGCACCTGACTGCCTCCAACGGTGCCCAACAGCGTCAAGACGACCTGGTGCGGGTGCGTACTGGTTGCGACCTGCCGTCCAGTGAAATCACCTGCGATCTTGCCAGCAACATCGCCGAATTTACTGATTGCCTCCCGGGTGGTTTTCTGGGCTTCCTGTACAAGTTGGCCGGGTGTGCGGGCGCCAGAGGCCCCTCCTGACGGCACATCGAACTCAGAATCCTCCATGGCAATTTTCTCTTTTGAGAACTTGTATAGCTTGGTCAAGCTGCCGATCTGAAACTTGTTGAGCTCGATGCGATCCTGGTATGTCCGCAAATGGAAGCTGATCGCGATGAGCTGGATGATGATTTTTTCCACAAAATTCAATACGGCCCCCACGAACAAGGCAACCAGAACCTTGTTCATGTCGCTTTCCCATTCTCTAGTTGCCTTGCTTCCGTCTTGGTGATGGTTCTTCATGGTGGGAAGAAAGGAGATCTCAATGGCAAGCCACCAGAAGAACAACGTAGCCGGTAATTCGAGCTGTTTTCCCATGTCTCTCCACTTTTTACTGTTGTTCGTGAACAAGCTCGAGACGATTCCGATGGGCCACGGAAGACATTTGGCGAGGATCTAAAAGTCTGTGTCAGTCTTTGCGCAATCGATCAGAAAGTCGAGGGAGAGGTCATACCCTGCCTGCCCACAATGTAAGCCAGACAATTTCCAGCCATATTGAGAACCAGAAAAGCTCGACACCGCCAACGGTGGCGTCTGGGAAGATGAGGGCGCCAAGCAACAGAGGGATCAGGATTATCAGAACCAGGGGGGTAATGTAGGTAAAGTATCTGATCAGAAAGCTGGACTCGTGGACTCTCTTGAAAAATTGGGCGAACTTGGTCGTCGGGTTCTCTGGAGGCTTGTACATTGCGGCTTTCTCATGTAATGGATTTGTGGCGGCATCGAACTCGTCCACTGGGTCTTCCCGCCGTGATCTTGACTTGTGCATCCGCGTCTGCGACTGCTCGCGTTCCATCTCGTTCGCCTGTGATACCTGCCGCTCTATCTGCAACATTGCCAGGTCATCGTCCAGCCGGTGGGCCTGCTCTCGAGTCTGAGACGGCGAATGCAGCGTCTTCAATGGGTCCGCCGCGTCCAAGGGAGCAGTTTGTATAGGGGCCAGGTGACTGTTGGCACGCTCCCTGCCGTTGGAGCCTTGCTGAGACCCTTCTCCGATGACTGTGCCCTCCTCATCTGAAGACCTCTGAGCAGTCATTGTGTTGTACTTGGGCTCGGCCCGCTCGTCGATGGGCGTAGTCATGATTGCGTCCGGTGAACGGTTCAGATTCTGCTTTTGCTGTAGTTTCGAATGGGTTCTGTTGTCCTGAGTACGAAATGGCCGAGCGGGTGAGATTATCGCTGAAGTCCGTCCGGCGGACTGAATTGTATTCTTAAATTGGGAAGAGAAGAAGTAGGAGAATCGAGATGAAGCGAGAGGCTTCTGAGCTTTGACGTGGGTTTGATGTGAGGTTCTCTAAATATCGGGACGGAATGACGGATGACGACCCTCTTAAGCTAGAATGTGACAAGCAGCGGCCGCTGTGCAGGGAGAGGTGATTAGTTAAAGAACCAAGGGACGGGATGAAGAAGAACTGGGGTGATCGACGTCGGTGGGGTGCTTCTAAATATTCAAACGCACCAACACGGCTTGCGCTCGCGACATGAGTGGGATGAAGAGCTTTTACAAAAATTTAGTGCACGAGCCACCTTTCTCTATGCCGATACTGATCTTTCAAACCGTTGAACATGGTGCGCCGAGAGCTCCGGAGGAAATAGGTCGCAAGCTGAGATGCTACAACGGTGGCGTCATAAGGTTTTTGCTGAGCGACTAAGGGCGCGTGTGGCGCCCCTAGCCCTGCAACGGCGTCTCCGTCCCGGACTCTGCCGTGTGAGAGTGTTACTTAAATTAATCAATTGCTACTGCAAAGGTGTCTCGATTCTACGTTGCATACGGCACAGTTGCAAGGCTTACAATCGGGCGCCTTACTGCTTCCATCTTGAAGCTTGAAGTACCCTCATGCCCTTCAGATGCGTCTTATCTCAAGCAAGGGATCTTGTTTCACCTTCGGCCCGCAGAACGCAGGGGATGTCCCACGGAAGCCGGCAAGGGCAGGGCCTTGACCACTGGCTGGCTTGAAAAACGCTCGCCCTGAACGTTCTCCGATTTGGAGCACGGTGAGCTCTGGTTGCTCAGCGTTGATAAGGATACCTCTACTCTGTCCAGTCATATGTTTTCCTTTATCTCCTTGCTAATTTAGCTGCCAATAATTCGTCACGCTTTTTGAACTTTACTAGGTATCCACCGACTCCAAACATAGGCGAACATCGGCGAAGCTACTGCGTGTCAGACTAACTTAGACACTGAACAGACTGAAGACTCCGTATTACAGCCGTCTCTACGGAACTACGAACCGAACGGCCGCCAGTAGAAAAGGCATGACGCGTCCTGACTCCACCAGCCAAGACGGTTGACAAAAGTCTTCTTGAGCATCATCGATCGGCCAGAGCAGAAATCAGAACCTGGCTCAACAACACCTACGGCTTTTTACTTACTTGGGCCCTTCCACGCGGTAGATCGAGTAGCATACTCTCATCGGGTTACGGTAGAGTCTCGACTAGGTTTTGTGAGCAGCTATCAGCACGGTTTCTAAAATTGACAAAGTCCGCTGATATCCAAACCATTCGGCATCTAAGTTCTGACATGGCTGTCTCAGAGAGTCGAGGATCTAAAATGTCTATTTGCTTCACGGATGTACACATCTTATTTCGCTTTTGAGCCTTTTCTACGTTTCTCATCTAGTTGCGACATCGAATGAAGCTCAACCTTCCAAAGCTTCAGGAAAGACCTTCTGGACGCTTGCGCCTCCGCCGGTCATGGCATTCCAGCTGTTTCTGATAAGCCGTCCTTCAAAGAGCTTACACTTGTGTAGGCAGTGCCGCACAGCCAAGGTCATTGGACAAGGGGATGTGCCTTTGACCAGGTCGTAAGGCACGAAACAAACAAAATCAGTGTAACCGACTAGTTGGTGTCTTACGAACTTCAGACTTACTGAACAGTAGTTTAGGGGACGCGCTTGGAGAACTCCTCAGTGATGCAACGGCTGGAAGACATTACGCACGGTTATTGCACTGTCATCCGGCCCATACACTGAAGCTACGACATAGGGGTACGCCAATCCAGTTGAGAGAAATGAGGAGGAGCTGGGGCATCTGCTACAACTCCCAGCATTATATTAAGACCCATCACCTAACGAAAAGTTTGCACCTAGGGCACTGGGGTCGTTCTGTGGAACTATAGAATCATCCAGGTCAGCCACCTGCACACTCGAATCTGTCTGTGACTGCGGTATTGTAGATTGTGTTGCTGGTGGTAGATACGTGATAGCCTGGTCTTGAAGGCGCCAAGGCTCTCGCTAAAACGGGACCTGCGATCCCTGCAGATAAGAATCATTCAAGCGTCAACGCGTGTCGCGTCGATGGCGTCGGAGCTTCATCGCGAATCAGTAGAACCATGAAGCTTGAACCATTGCAAGATCGGCAGAACCATAAAGAGGGCAACGCTGCTGAATGCTCTAGCTGTTCTACTGTAGCTCCGAAGCTTCAGGTAACCTTGATGGCTCGTGGTGAGGTCATGGATGTGGCCGCGCGCGCGTCATCTGTGAACCGTGCCGTTGGCACGTTTGTTATATTCTGAGCAGCTTCCCGTCACGATGAGAAGGAACGAACGTATATCGTGACACTCGAGCATCACGTGTCTGAAGCTGCACAGAACCATCTCAGGATGCCTACCCGAATCTTTCTCCCTTCGCTCAACTTCTCATCCAAATTCCTCATTCAGGCTCAAAGACCACTTCAACAACGATTATCTCTCGGTTCACTCAGACCGTTAACTTCAGCAAATATGAGCACTGCTTCTGGCATCACTCCTCAGGACATTTCTGAAACCGCCCGCGCAGAAGGAGGCACCACTAAGGGCTCAATGTCTGCTCAGATGCAGTCTCAACACACAAAGGGGCTAAATGCTATTGGAGGGGCCTCTCAAGTGAGTGTACCTGCGGCCCTAGCTCTTCTCAGTCCACTTGCTTTTTCACCTCTCAGTCCACTCTTGTTGAGAGTATCCGGGCTAACCTCTGCTTGTGCAGGACCAGGACACCACCGGCACCACGTCCAACACTGCCAGTTCAATCAGTACCACAAGCGACATCACTCCCGCCGAGCAATCCCGCCTTGACCGCGAGCGCAACCTCCAGGAGGCCCTTGACGTCGTCCAGCCCAAGATGGCTTACGACCCGAAGTCCATCACTCAGGAGGATGCCAGTCTTCTAGAGAGCCGTGAGCAGCGCGCCCACGGTATCATCCCCAAGGGTTCCGTCACTGCGACTGCTCGCAGCCTCGCCGACAAGAATGCTGCTTATGGCGGTACTGACACTACCACTTGAGAGCTTGAGGGACATGGTGCAGGGTGGACTTGAGGTGTCTCGTTTACTGTTATCTTCCACTCTATGTAGACCAGGAGACGGACTGAGTCATTAGCTGGCGTTTTGCACCATACCGTAGCATGATCTGCAGGCTTCCAAAAGCTCCGGTCACTGTACTTCTCTCTTCGACATCTTCGTAGCTACCATCTCGTGCTCTCAGGAGCTGTAGGAAATAGTACTCAAACCTCTCCGGTCTCTTAGATGCCTCGCGGCCGTGACCAGAATATGCTAACTCCCCCCGATGACCCCAAAGAAATCAATCGATCCGTCTTCAACATGTTCTATTGGCATCCCAGAACCAGATCCTTGGAAAAGAACTGCGGACTTAATGCACACGATGTCTGCCTTTGCAGCTTCACCTTGAGAATCTTCGCACTGTCGAGGTGTCCAATTACGATTTTGACGCGGGGAGTGCACGTGTGACTTTAGCTGCTTTCTCTTCGTCGCGGACGAGAGCGGTGACTTCGTATTCAGGGTGGGCGGCAACGATTGTAATCAGGGCATCCCTCCCTGATGAGGCCAGTGGCGCCAGTTCTGTTGACTGGGATTAATTGTTGAACAGAGTATCTCTCGTCTCTCAGAGAGGGCAACATGGAAGCATCGATCTCAAGTGGGCAGAGATATCAGGCTGCCCCACATGAAGATTCTGGTCATGATGCTCGCTGTAGGATCCAAGCTCACTTAAACTTGCAAGCCCTCGGAGTCTGAAGCTATACTTATGGAGTTTTAGTGTGCAGATGTTATGAACGGACACTGGGTTGGCAGCTTAGAACCCACTGGTACCTGAGGCCCGGTGCGGTGGATGAGAGCGTCCTTCCTGAAGATGGGGCCGAGGATATTCGCAATGAAACAAGGGTGATGCCTCTTACTGATATTCTCGATAGTGATGGATCCTTGTCGAGCCCTGGAAGCGATGCTCGATTTGGTTTGATGCTTGCCGTAGTAGGATGCGCTAAGTTGCTGAATGCAGGGGAGTTTCTCCGTGAACAACCTCATCCCATGAGCTCCGCAAAGGCTTTTCGGTAGAACGGCCAGCGCATCATGTAACGCAAGCGATACAGAGTTGTAAAACATCGAGTCTTGCAGAATCCAAAACTTCTAACTAGGCAGAGACTATCGTCGGAAACCCTTAGTCGTAGAGTAATAATCACATTTAGGTTCTGTGAGGCTCCACTACTTGTAGCTCTCTATTATCTATGTTATATTGGGAACACCGTATTGTACAGCTCACAGATGTAGGTTGTTCTATATGTGTGAATGTAGGATAAGTAGCATAACGTCTCGTACACTCGCAGTGGCTTAGCATCCGTGTGCGGTGTGAGGCTGTTTTCAGTCGAAGTGCGCTTTCAAACCTATCACAAGTCTGTTCTATTCGTTTCAAGAACCGTTACTCTACTATCACTGTTCTTTTCATCCCGTGCTAGATATGGTGAGTGTGCTAAGCCGATATGTGTGGAAGAAAGAAAGAGCGTTGGCAGAAGCCGTAGCGAAAGAGGAGAGGTTATCGTTTAGCATCATAAACACATACGCTCCAAGCCGAAAGTGTTCGCTGGAGAGAAGCGGAGGCAAGAGCCACCGCACCGGTGAGGAAAGGACCGCTCATCCGTTTTGTGACTACATCTATTGCAAAGTTCAGTTCCTTCCGCTACCTTGGAAAGCCGGAAGATGAATGTTTGGTGCATGTATCGCGTTCACTCGTGAAACTGTGTCATTCCCGATCCGTCAGTCTTCAGTTCGATTCCTGGCCGTCTCGGAATGTTTAACTGAGGTCCACGGGTCAGGTTTTCACCTGATGCGGGGAAACGTAATCTGAATGCTCCTGCTCTTCGGAGCTTAGCTGAGGTTATGTTTGTAGGAGTTGGCATGGGGGACGCCCTAGCTTACAACCTGATTTTTGCCGTTTCTTTTACTAACAGTAGAAATCGCACGTGTGTCTCTTTTCATGTCCTCTAATAGCCTGTATCCTAAGCTTTCGACTCTCCAGCTTCAATCTATAGTTAGGTATTACGCGGGCGTGTACACGCGGTCACTTCGCTATATTCTCGTCTTCTTTTTCTGTAGTTCTGCAGCCTAGCTCCACACCTATCTGCCTAATATTAAATCCAAGCGCTAGAAGCCATTGATGATATCGCTGAAGTTCTACAGTCTGCAGGTCGTGTTACAGCCATCGCTAACCGTCGCTGCCGCCCTCTAAGGTCCCGCTCTCGATCAAGATACCGCTACAAATAGGACTACACGCGCGAGTTCAGCGGCTGCGATCGCGGTTGAAAATGCGGTTAGAGACACAGCAAGTGGTGGTGAGGAGGGGGCGCCAGCGAACAACGTAGTGAGGAAGGCCATTGTCATGTCCATCAAATACTTGTTGTTTCGCACTCGCTTCTACGGTGTATGAATGGCAAGGTTCGGCCGGTCCACGTCCAGCTGAAGAAACCTTAAGAATTTCTTCAGGCAGGGGTCTTTCGATCTTGACTATAATTGGAGCCTTTCTGTGAATTCCACAGTGCTATCAGCCGTTTTGGATATACAGCTTTGCGAGGACTGAGGTGCGGCTAGCAAATTAATTGGTTGAGTCATTATGAGTGTCTTGCGCTGAGTAGATAGGAGTAAATTTAGTAGAATGATGAAAGATGTCGTCCCTTTCAACCGTGCCAAGATCCCGCCTCGGCTTTCTATTTTGGTGCCTCCCCTGTTCCGCAAGTGGGCTGAAGCACAGCCCGCGACACGCATTGTAGCAACTTCGCCAGCTTGCCCACTGCCCCTGTAACAACAACACGCAAACGCCCTGAAGACTCAACAGGCTCGACAACTGGCATACACTCAGTCAGTACACTTCACCATGAAGAAATTCGGCTTTAGCAAAAAAGGCAGCGAGGCCACCGACGACGACACCTCGACCCGCAACGCCCTCTTCGGAAGCAGGTCAAAGAGCAAAGACACCAAAGCAGCACCGGCTTCCAGCAATCCTTACGCCCAACCACAAGCAGGCCCAGACCCGTATGCCCAGAAGGCGCCGCAAGATTACCGACAGACATCCAGCCCAGCTCCTCCCCCCTACAATAGCAACAACGGGGGAATGGACCCCTATAGGAGAGACAAGAGCCCCGTCCCGCCCGGCGGCTACAGCGCCGGAGGAACTTCGCAGGCGGCATACGGGCAGAACAGATACGGGTCACCCGCGAGCGCAGCATCAGCGACAGCCCGGCCGGGAGGTTACGGAGGGTTTGCGCGGGCCGACTCGCAGGACACCATGTCGACGGACGCGGGGAGACAGGAGTTGTTTGGTGGTGCGCAGCAACGAGTACAGCAACGGGAGGATCAGGGCGGGAGCACGTACGGTGCTGGTGGTGAGGGCCAGGGCTATGGCGGGTATGGCGATCGACAGCTCACGGCAGAGGAAGAGGAGGAGGAAGACGTGCAGGCTACGAAACAGCAAATCAAGTTCATCAAGCAGCAGGATGTGGCGTCTACGAGGAACGCGCTGCGGTTGGCTGAGGAGGCTGAGGCGTCGGGAAGAGATGTAAGTGCAGCCTGTTGGCCCCCGGATCAAGACATGTACCAATCGATCTCTAGACTCTATCCAGACTGGGCGCCCAAGGCGAACGAATCCACAACACCGAGTTGAACCTAGACAAGTGAGCTGACACCGGCACCCATACTACAAGTCTCAAAGCGCTAACACCCGCCCGACAGAGCCGCGAACCAGAACCGCATCGCCGAAGAAAAAGCCCGCGAGCTCAAGCACCTGAACCGCAGCATGTGGGCCATGCACGTCGGGAACCCGTAAGCCGCCGCCCATCCCCTCCATTTCCTAAACGCAAACTTAGCAGCTAACCCTTCCCCCACCCTCAGCTTCACAAAAGCCTCGCGCAAAGAAGCCCGCGACCAGGGCATCATGGACACGCACCGCCGCGAACGCGAACAACGCGACGCCACCCGCGCCGCCGCCTACGCGTCCTCGTCGCGGCAGCAGGAGACGGGCAAAGACCTACGAGAAGGGCCAGGCGCCGCGCCGCCTTCAAAGGCGTCGTTGGCGGAGCGCGCCAAATGTAAGCTCCTCGGATCCTTCCTGGTCCCACCTCCCCCCAAATTCACTCCCCCTCCTTCCCCTTAACAGAGTGGCACTTCTCCATCTTTCGCAAAACTCGCCTACTAACAACCCCCGCCTTTCCCCTCAGACCAGTTCGAAGCCGACAGCGACGACGACGAGATGGAGAACGAGATCGACAGCAACCTCGACCAGCTGCACGGCGCGGCGAAGCGGCTCAACAACCTCGGCCGAGCCATGGGCACGGAGATTGACGCGCAGAACAAGACGATTGCCCGTGTGACGGAGAAGACGGATCGGGTTGACGACCAGATCGTCATGAATCGTGCGCGGTTGGATAGGATCCATTAGGGAGTTGTGGGGGCCATGTTTCCGCTGAGACGGCTTGAGGAAGGCGGCATTGAGGGCGTTGGGGGTGAAGTTTTGCTCTTGGGTGTTTTTGGATGTAGGAGTCTAGCTTCACTAGAGGGACATGATTTTATGCTTTTGGACTCCGTCCTCGTGTCCAGAACTTCTTACGGGCTGGGCTGTAGTGTTCCCTCACAAGAACCCAACAATCCAAGTTTTTGCCGTGCCAACCGAGCATGCAGCAATGTGTTGTAAGGTGAATGTATTAAGTTAGAATTAGGAGGATCGCAACCCCGAGGATATCTAATAGCAGGTAAAAAAAAACCAGGGTAACACACTTAGCGTACACCAGCGCCAGCAGGGGCTACACCGAAAGGGATCGAGAATGCATGCTCTTGACCACAGGCCCGCTCAGTCCGCCATCCCTATAACATTACTGGCATCGGCACCGGCATCGGCACCAGCACCGGCACCAGCACCAGCCCCGCCATCCCGATCAAGTCCGCCATCCCATCCCTCCCCCTCACTCATCCTCCAAAAACGCAAGGATAGCCTTGACACCCATCGGCCCCAGCCCATGCGGCGGATAACACACATAGACCGGATCCGCCTGGGCGCCCAGCTTCTCCCTGAACTCGCTCTTATTGGTGAGCTTCAGCTCCGAGGCAATGGCATGGTAAGCCTTGCTCAGGACCTTGACGCGGGCGCCCTTAAGGTTGTGTCCGGGGGTGAAATGGCTGCTCGCGCCGCCGCCGAACGTCACGTTTGTGGCGCCCGCGGCCGCGACCACCTTGAGCGCGTGCGTGACGATGTACTCGATGGTTCCTGATGGCGCGCCGGGGAAGTCGAGGCTGTATTTCACTTGCCAGCCGTGGTCGGGGGAGAGCTGCGCCATCACGACGAGCGCGTGCATCGTGCCGTCCTTGTCGGCTGCGTAGTGGTACTGGCGGTGCTCCATATCCTTCCAGGGATGGATGTCCGTGAGATGGACTTGGCGGCCCTTGCGGTTCGCAAGCCAGTCCTGCACTCTCGCATCGACTTTTCTGCGGACGTCTTGGGGCACGGGGTCGCCGATGGGGATGTCGGTGATCTTGATGCCTTCCTTCTCGGCATGTCGGATCTTGCGCTGGATCTCGGAGTCGTGCTGGGCGGCGTTGTTGGAGGGGTCGACGCGCTGCTCGGCGACGCAGGAGAAGGTGCGCCAGTTGAAGCGCTCAGCTAGGACTTCTTCGACGGCGGCGCCGACGAGCATCCAGAGCGGTTTGAGGCTGCGCTCTTTTTTGATGAACTTGAGGTACCCGGCGATGGTTTTGGTGTATTGGGACGGGTGGCACAGCGGGTCGCCGAGCGTGATGGCGAAGCCGTCTTGGACGGCGTACCCGATTGCGGCACCGGTGTGCTCGTCGCGCCAGATTTGGGTGCGCTCTTCCAGGTAGGATGTGTTGGTCGCGTCGCCGTAGTTGGCGATGAGCTTCTCGATGGGCTGAAGTTCTTCTTGTGCGAGGACTTTGTCCTTGCCTTCCCATGGCGGGTGGAGGGTACTCGCTTCTGGGTGTCGGAGCTGCTTGATCGCTGGCTTCGCCGGCAGGCTCTTGGGATCTCTTGGGAAGAGGGAGCCGTGTCGGATATCGCCGAGGTTGAGGAGTAGCATAAGCATGCGCTCCAACCCGATGCCGCCGCCGCCATGAGGGGGCGCGCCCCACTCGAAGCCCTGAATATACTCCTCCATCGTTCGCGGATCAACCTTCAGCTTCTCCATCTGTGCAATCAGGGTCTTCGAGTCGTGCACACGCTGACCACCGCTCAGGATCTCTTGGCCTCGGAGGAAGATATCAAAGGAGTTGGTGACCGTCGGATCGTTAGGGTCAGGCATGGCGTAGAAAGGCCGGGCGGAGGCTGGGAACTTGTCGAGCACATAGTAGTCGGTGTTGTACTGCTCCTTCACAAGTTTGCCGAGCTGGATCTCGTCCCTGGTTCCAAGATCCTCCGTCTCCGGCAGTTCGTTGCCGTTCTCGTCTCGCCAGCCGGACTCGTTGAGCATCCTGATGCCCATTTTGAAGGGAATGATCGGTGTATCCTCACGCCAAACTAGGTCTTCGTGCGGGAACTTGCGCTTGATGACCTCCAATTCGTGACCGTACCTTTCGTATATGCCCTTGAAGATGGCTTTGAACGTGTGGTCGAGGACTCGCAGGACCTCATAATAGTGCTCATCTATCGCCATCTCGATATCGAGACCGGTGTACTCGGTCATGTGTCGATGAGTATTGCTGTTCTCGGCGCGGAAGACGGCACCGATCTCATACACCCTGCCGAAGTCTGCTGATATGCACATCTGCTTGGCTAGCTGTGGACTCTGCGCCAAGAACGCTGGCCGACCGAAGTAGTCAATCTTGAAGACACTTGCGCCTGACTCTGTGGCGCCTCCTTGCAGCTTGGGCGTGTGGATCTCAACAAAGCCATGATCATCAAGATATGAGCGGAAGAGGTTGCAGATACCCGCCTGAATGCGGAAGATGCTTTGAGAGGCAGTGGTTCGCAGGTCGATGATGCGATTGGCCCACCGAGTCCTGTCGGACACAACCACTCGATGGTCGTCTTCGTCTTCCGTCTCCTTCTTCGTGACCTCGGCTTCCGCAACAGTAAATGGCAAGCTGTCAGTGACCTGAGCCTCGACGTGGAGCCAATGGACAGATATCTCCGCATCGTGGATGGTTGCTCCAATGACCTCACCCTGCTTGGCCTTGGGCTCCTGCACTATGCCCTTGACGAGCACAACGGACTCGACGTCAATGTGCTCGGCCCACCACATCATGTGGTGCGATATCGCGCCATGCTCTTGAAGCACGCCCTGGATTGTAGCCGTCTGCTGCCGGAAGACGAAGAAGACGAGCTTGGAACTCATCTTGCGCACATTGTGGATGCGGGCTCTGAAGGTGACCTCCTTGCCCACGTCTTTGGCGGAGATCTGAAGCAAATTGGTCCGTTCCTCGTGCTTCCACTCTCCCGCGTAGTTGTTGACCGGGAGGACGCCGTACCGCTCGCGCACTTCCGGCGGCTCTTCCCTCCTGGCGCGCTCGTCCTCCTCCTGCCGCTTCTTGGCCTCCTCCTCTTCGCGCTTCTTGTTCTCCAGCTTCCGCTTCTCGAGCTCGGCCTGCTTCTCGTGCTTCCGCTGCTGGTTCTTGCTCATGTGCTCGCCTTCCCGGTTGAGGGGAGTGTCGTCGGAAGACGAGTCATCGCCGATGTGCAGCTTCTGCTTGACGGCCTTCATGGGGCTGAGGGTACGCCTGTGGCTGCCATCGTCCAGACTCCGCCGACTGAACTGTGCACTGTTGCGGCCAAAGGTGCCGCTGCTGCGGGTAAATGCTCCACTGGACCGTCGGGGGGACGTGTCGCCGTTGACTGGGGCAACGCTGTTAGTTCTGCTGGTGCCATTGATCAGGCCGCTGTCGACGGATTCATTGTCGCTCTGAGCGGCGCTGTTGTCGCCGGAGCGGGGCTTGAGTTTGTTGAGCGCTTTCTTGAGGGCGGACATGCTGCGGCGATGATGGTGGAAGAGACAATCACTCAATCAAGCAGCGCAGTGAGCCCTAGCAGAGATTGTGTCTAGGGAACGAGTAGGGAAAGGGGGCACGATATGAATTAGCAGGACGAGGGAAGCGCCGGAACCGGGCGCTGGACGCTTAGAAAGCTTGCTGGGGGAGATTTCGGGCAGGGTTGGACAGCAGCCGGACAGGGCAGGCATGTGATGTCAGAGCTGAAAACATTGGGCCAAGCCCGCGTCGGTCTCGGAGACGGACACGCTGTCGGCCACCGAGCCCATCTCGCTCCCGCAGATCAAAAGCTTCTCCTCTCCCGGCTTGAGGCTTATCCGTCTCCCGCAGAGGCTTGGGCGATCTTGTTGTTGTTGTTGTTGTTGCTGCTCGTCAAGAAGTGTGACAGCACATGCGTCAGGAATGCCGATCACCCTTTGCCGCATGACGGGATTGTTCAACCGCCAGCATGCAGTTCGGTAGACCTCCATCTGCCCCATACACAGCGCCAAGCACACGAGACCTCTTTCCTCTCGAACCCCATGGTGTCACTGGCTGTCGGCGCACTCTATCTCCAGCATCTTTGTCAAGCTCGAAACCCTTCCCGCACGACCCGGGCACCATATGGCGGGCAACTCAAGAGGTCCTCCAACGCCTTTGCTGAGCACCTGCACGCCCGAGTGGATCCCGCTTAAAACGCCTGGTCCCCTCTGCTGCCCTCGCATCCCTGTCTCTCGAGTAATCGCCCCGTCACGCCCAACTCCTTTACTTCTGCATGACGATTGACACATGTCAGGCAGTTAGGTGTGACGGGGCGGGCACTATCTCTACTTCTGCCATGACGGTTGACACACGTCGAGTTAATGACCGCACCGCCTGAACAACGCAACGTTGTCAAGGCGATTCTCGCCACCGGCAACGTACATAGCTAATCAACGGGATGTTGAGTGCCATTGATACAAGTGCTCTCCGACTCGAGAGCTTCTGCCTCTGTCGGTGATTACCACCTGGGCGGTTAGCGGATACGACCTGGACGAGACAAATTGACCTGGATTCGAGTAGCTCCTACAACTATCCACAGTAGAACAGCCCAAAAGCAAAGAGATCGGGAACCGCGCAGGCGTCCTCGAAACACCAGCCCGAAAGAAGGCTTGATGCCTGATGCCTGATGCTCAACATCCAAGACCCAAACCCATGTGAGCTCCTCGTCAACCTCGTTACATGAACGACTGAAAGGTAGGATCCAAACTAGTCTCCACAACCTCTCCTGCTCTCACAGCATCAAGTTGAGATCCTGCGCTCATGCATCTTACCCTCCTCATCCATCGCCCCGAACCCGCCCCAAGAATCGAACTCATCCGCAAACTTGACGGCTGCTTTGAGGTAGAAGTTCTCCTTGTCGCCCCAGGTGTGCGCCGCTTCCTTCATGGCTCGGCAAGCTGAAAGTCATGTCAGCCAAACCATGTGGCCAGTGTTCTCCCCGGCGACGGCCTACCTTTGACATAATGCGCGTCCAGCGAATGCGGCCCCTTCAGCGCCTTGTCCACCACAAACTTCCAGTCCCTCCCCCCCAGCTCATACTCCGTGATCCTGCCCATCTCGACAGCCGGCCTCAACTGCGCGACATACACCGCCAGCGCAAACAGCCACCACTGCCTCACAAGCGGGACCTGGAACTTGGCCGGAATCAGCGGCAGCAGGATACGCACAGCGTGCGAGCTCGTCAGCAGATGCACGATGAAGAAGTCGTATTTCCCCTCCCTCCCTCCCGGCCGTGGCGTCCCAACCAGCAGCGCCACCGCTGCCTTCTGGCTCTCCTCGAACTGCGCCCGCGGATCCTCGACCTGCCACGCGTTCCAGTGCTCCAGCACCTCGGCCTCGTGGTCGCCGAGCAGGGGCGCGATATTGTCTGCGCCGGGCTCGGCGAAGAGGTCGTCGAAGCGCTTGTCGTTGGAGACGTTTTTGAGGATCTCGAGGACGGAGCGCGACGTGTAGGTTGAGGGCTTGGTGTAGGACGGGTCGTCGAGATACTTATGCAGATAGTTGTGGAAGCAGGTTGCGTGGGCGAGCGCTTCGATGGCGACGGTGCGGGAGGAGAGCTCGAAGCCGTAGCCTAGGTGGATGAGGGGGTGGCCGACTGCAGGGTTGAGGTGTCAGTTGGATGGCTGAGGAGAGGAGGGGCGTTACGAAGGGACTCACGGCCTGAGATCATGCTGTTGATGAGGGGCTCTTTGCCCTCGAACATGTAGTCATGGACGAGCTGCTTCCAGTCATAGCCGTATTGTACAAGCTGGTCCTCGAAGTAGTCGACGAATGCGCGCTGGTACCTGGCAGCAATCAGCCTCCGAACACTGCCTCGCTGCAAGAAAGCTGGCCACGGACTCCCTCTTGCCTAAAAAGTCCCTCCAGTCATCCTTGGAGATCTCCCCCGGCGAATCATGCCACGGCTCCAGCTCTTTCGACTCCTTATCGTATATCTCGTTCAGGTGCTCCGGACTCGCGCCGAGGATATAGGCCGAGCCTAGTATCTGGTGGGCTGACTGCTTAGCGCAACGCTCATACAGGAGCTGCTAGCCATGTGCGAGCGTACGTGGTTGTTGTGGTTGTGGAACTGCAGGTTGTGGTAGATGATTGAGTGGTTGACGTGGTTGGCGCGGATGAGGTGCTTCAACGTTCGCGGCCGCTTGTCGGCGGCTTCTTCGACATCGTGGATCTCGACCGGGGGGATGTCGACTGTGGGTGCCTTGCTCCCGAAGCCAAAGGTCGGAAGGCGTAGTCGCGAGAATTGGGTGAACATTCCGCCGGTTGGGTGTGGTGCAGTGAGGTGGTTCGAGGTCTGGGGAACCCGTTGGTGCCAACGCGGGGTCCTGTGTCTCGCAGGGCTGAGAGCTCGTGGCAAGCATCGCCACATCGAGCATGCTCCCGCTCTGCTCGTCGAGCAATGGACAAGTTCCAGTCCATGCTGCTGCCGTACGAACTTGATAACTACTGTTTCTGGACCCCCGAGGACTGTTGAATGATCTTTTATCAAGCACTTTTATAATAGCTGAAATCCATCAATCATATCATGCTATCATGATTCGGTCTCGTCTGCTACCGTATTCCAGACAACCCTTCATAGTTCACGTGAGTGCGTCCTCATAATCTCCAACGATCAAAGTTCCAAACCCAAGAACGGGAAGGCCACCCAATGCCGTAGCCGCTTCATCGGCCTTTCGATGCAACCCCCTCTAATACTCACCATCATCCGCACCCTCCTCCAAGCTATCACTGGCGACCTCCTCATAGTCCTTCTCCAGCGCGGCCAAGTCCTCGCGTGCCTCGGAGAACTCTCCTTCCTCCATACCTTCACCCACATACCAGTGGACGAACGCACGCTTCGAGTACATTAGGTCAAACTTATGGTCAAGCCGGCTCCAGGCCTCTGCAATGGCCGTTGTGTTGCTCAGCATCGAGACACTCCTGTCTGCGGTTGCCAACTCGCTGCCGGGGACGTGTTTTGGCTCTAGAGACAAGCAAGGTTAGCATCTACTAGCTGGGAGGAAACGGAGCCCGTACTTTCTAGATTGATGCCAACCTTAAAGCCTGTTGGACACCACTCGACCAGGTTGAATGACGACTTGGCTTTCAGTGCGGCAATCGCGGCGTTGCAGTCTCGCGGAATAACATCGCCTCGATACAGCAAGGCCACGGCCATGTCTGCAGTTACGAGTCAGTGCGGTCGAAGGTTATGGGAATTTCAGACACTTACATTTGCCCTTCTGAGGGTCACAAACGACCATTTGGTTCTGCGGCTCGAAACCTGGGTTCTGTCAGTAAGGTAGAAGGGCGAGGCATGCATCCTCTCCTTGCGCAAGGCTTGCGTTATGGATTGACCATCTCGGCTGATTGCACCACGAAGAACTAGAGCAGAAAAGGTGTGTGATAAGCCTAGTATCGGGAATATGGACTCACATTGGAACGTCAGGTCTTGGACCTTAAAGCTCTCGTGAGAGCTCTTCTTCGCAGATATAACTGGCGCGTACGAGATCAGAGGAAAGTGAATCCTTGGATATGGAACGAGGTTCGTCTGAAACTCGTTCAGATCAACGTTGAGCGCGCCATTAAAGCGCAAGCTCGAGGTGATCGAGCTGACGACTTGAGCGATGAGACGATTGAGGTGCTCGAAGTTTGGCCGAGGGATGTCGAGGTTCCGCCGACAGATATCGTACACGGCTTCATTGTCGACCAGAAAGGTACAATCCGAGCTCTCAATGGTGCTGTGGGTGGACAGGACGGCATTGTAAGGCTCCACCACCGAAGTCGACACGCGTGGTGCGGGGTACACAGCGAATTCCAGCTTCGACTTCTTGCCGTAGTCGGTAGCGAGCCTTTCAAGGAGAAGGGCGCCGAACCCGGAACCCGTGCCGCCGCCGAATGAGTGGAAGATCAAGAAGCCTTGCAGGGACGAGCAATTATCTGGAGATTATCAGCGTTCCGAGATGTCGGGTTAGGTTCTGTGCTCCCACCAGCAACGCGTCGAACACGATCGATGACGCTGTCCACAAGCTCCTTGCCAACGGTATAGTGGCCTCGAGCATCTGGCCCAGTGTCAGCAACCTCTCCCGCTCACGTTGTTGGAACTCGCCGTACAGTTGTTTGAAGCGTCCTCTTTGCCACTGATCAGAAGTTCGGGGTGGAAGAGCTGACGGTACGCTCCAGTACGGATCTCATCGATTGGCTGTAATCGTGTCAGCCACTTGTTTGGCACGGGCTTGCGTCGAGCCGGAGGGTAGACGGGCTTACCGAAGGGTCAAGATCCACGAAGATAGAGCGAGGCACGTATTTTCCGTTGCTCGTCTCGTTGAAGAAGGTCTGGAAAGAGCCGCCCTCTCCAGCGTTCTCACTGGCAGTATCGGGGCGTCCGTCGGGCTTGAGCCCGTGTTCCAGGAGGTAGCTGGGTAAGCATGCTGTCAGAAGGCGATTGTGGAGTGTACCACGCTCTTGCAGCATGCTCACAGTTCCCAGGCGCTGTTCCCAAGCTGAACCCCAGCCTGGCCGATATGGATGTGGCATACCTGGTTGTAGACCGTCAGCTTGTTGCTGGGCAGCGTTGAGACGCGTAGGCGACGCGCCGTGCTGTACGTACCTCGCCCCTCATGATGCAAGTGGGACTCTTTGATTGCTGGTGAACGCAAGAAGCTACCCAAGGGAAGAGTGATCCAAAAAATCGACCTGAACGCGGTATGTAGAAAGCAAGTTGCGCTCAGGAACGGCGGTGAGATGATGGGAACGCGGGGCGTGTTTACTAGCGGACCCTTGGTGGGGCGTCGCGCTAAACTTGCCGCACTCGACGGATCGACGCCCGGTTCAGGTCCCGAGAACGCCATTCACACCCATGTCAAGGGACCCCTGAACCACACAACCGCCTTCAAAGCTTTGCCCGGAGACGGCGTATCCGCGATAAAACAAATCTACCCTAGAAATGATTGTCAACGAGCCACCTCAGCGTAATGGCTCAGAGTAGCAAGTGAGGGAGAGTTGCAATCACATAGTGCGAGAATATCAAGAACACGAACCTTGAGAGTTCATCACAATGATGGCGGCTAGAAAGATCGAGCCAGGCTCTAGGCAGCTCTTTGTAAGATGGAAACTACTTTAGTCGACTCTGGCTTCGACCCTGATGCGGTTAACTACAAATGACGTCGGATGTGGTTACTGCCATTATGTGATATGCAACCCACCCTCGATTGCAACTCCACCTAGGTTTCTTATGTTATCTACACCTTTCCAATCTACGCTCTGATCCAGCGGGCCACATCTTACGTTGACTATCCACTTCGCCCATTACCGCCTTCTTACAATCATCCCGTGCTCAGCTTCGCCCGCTACGCGCTATCATACGCCATGACACGAGTGAAGAAGCCGTGGAGCCAGATGACGGAGAGCCAGCTAGCCAAGGCCATGGCGAGACAGGCTAAGTGGAAGAAGAGGGATAATGAAAAGGACATGCTGAAGAAGGCGCGCGCCGACAAGAGAAAGGTCAAGGCCTTTCACCATGTCTTCAAGCAGGTCATCTACAAAGAGAATAAGTAAGCTCTCTATTACTGAAAGGCGGCAGGCTTCATATACTAACAATGTCTAGCAACATAGACGCTATCGAAGACAAACAGCAGCTGTTAAACCTACTTCAGGCCGCCAAGGAACCCGGGGCTGTATCACCAGAGCTCCACCAGCAGTATCTCGCCGTCCGCGATTACTTCACTGCCAGTATGAAAGCTAGAAGCGTGGAGCTTCCAATCAGTAGTAACCCAGTCCAAGGTCTCACAAGTCATACTAGGGGAGCAGGCAACCAATTGCTAGACCAGGCCCCTCAATCGCCGTTCGCAACAGTAGCAAACCAGTCTAAGGACCCGCAATCCATCGTCCAGGCTCCAGATGAAGGAGGCCAACAGGATACGTGTTGATAGCAACAACACGTGTCTTCCTGTGGCGTGAGGAGCATCATCAATGGGAAGTGCAAGTCTCTGAGCTCGTTAGGCTTAGCCCAACTGCCCTCAAGAGACCAAGCTCTAACAATTTGCTGAACTGCTTCGGTATCTATCTCTCTGTATGGCTTCCGTAGGTATGCCATACTGATTACTGACTGAGCTGCAGACCGGAATCTTGGCTCATCCCAGGTTTGTCGAGATTGAAAATATGCGGAGCCACCACATACCCATCGCAAGCTTCGCCCCCCTAGACCTAATCTAGAACCGCTGTTCTAAATAAGGTTAACGTCTACGCAATGTCTCAATGCAGACACTCACGGAGTGTGGCCAAGAAACCAAGTGCTTCGATTCAGGAAGTTAGCCAGTGGAACAACCGATTGCAGCTACGGTAAGTAATTATATCACGTTCTTGTAGTCTCTTCTATCAAACTGACACTAGGATGCCGTTTCCGAAGCCAACGACCCGGATGTCTCTACTCGCTCTATGCAACCAATGCTACAAGCTAAAACCGCATGTCGCCCTAAGGGGGTTTGCGCCTGCATCTGTAAGGTCCGAAACAGCGATTCTATACCGTAATGAAGTAGCTATGTAAAGCTCCATCTTGCTAGTTGCAGGGGAGAAAAGACCCATGATCATGAGAACGCTCCCAATGCTTCAGCGTCCGAATACTTCCAACGTCTAAAGTCCACAAAATCGAAGCCGCGTCTCCACGGGCACTCTTCAGATCTGCATCCACCCTTCGCAGCTCCTGGAACTGTCTTAAACCACACGAAGCTTCCGTGTCCAAGATCGAAGCTCCCGGAGGTAGAGCGTCGTTTCAGCTAGATCCGATATAAAATTCTTCCTAGAAGCATGGCCAACACCTTGATCTGCACCTGATCCTCTCAACGTCCACGAGCTGGCTGCCCTCATCTGCTAACCCTGCGGCCCATTTTACCAACAGGAAACGCCCATCACGGTGCTGAACGGATCACGGCTTGACAGTGTGTCCAAGAGAAAGTGGCTGTACATAGGTTGAGGAAGGGCGAGCCTCCAGTGGTCAATTCTGAGGACGAACAAGCCAGATGCAAGATGCACTGTGCACAGTCAGGAGCCGTACATCTGAATCATGGGCTCACGTAGTAAGGAGGTAGGACAGCACGGAGGCTTGCAGCCAGGTACGAGCGAGATAGAACTGTGAAGGAGCTTCTTTGCGTCTGGCTACCCGGATAGCTACACGTACTTCGCGACACGTGTACAATCCATGAACTTCCACCTACGAACCCGCAGTCCCGCACAGCCGTTGCAGTCGCCGTCGTCACCAAGACATCGCCGGCCGAACGCACAGAAACTCCGCAGAACTCCTCCAAAATCGCTCAAGATGACCATAACACTCCAACCCGCCGCGACAGCGCCGAAAACGCCTATTCCGCAGGACCCCGGATTGCAGGCTTTCTCTCCCCGAACTCCCCAACCCCAGCCCTCACCACTTCCTTCCGTCCCCCCACCCCCCCAAATCAAGCAACCCCCGCCGCGCCCGTCATCTCGCCAGCACCGCTCCCACTCCCCTCCCCAGCCCCCGCGCCCGCCTCCGCAGCCTCCAGCTCCTCCGCGCGCGGCTCCTGCGGGATATCCACCAGAACAGCCGGATCCCTGCGGCGGGCCTCCTGTTCGCGCTCCCTCTTCTCGCGTTCCCTTTGTCTAACGCCTGGCGCCGCGCCGTCGAGGGCCTCGAGCAGCTCGTCGTCTGTGGGCGAGAAGGTCGTCGTTGCCGTGGCGAGGTCGCGCTGGTGGGATGGGGCGCTGGGGGACGTGGGGGTGCCGTCTAGCTCGACGGGGGTAGAGTTTATGGCGGGGACGCTGAGGGCGGTGGTGAGGGATTGGGCTGGTGCGGCGGCGGTGATGGGGGAGATGGGCGCGAGGGTGGAGGACGGGGTCGTCATGTTGACGGCGGTGTTGGGGCGGAGAAGGTGGGGCGAGGAGCTGAGGCACGCGTGGGAGAGATGCGGCGACGGTGGTTGAGGGATTCGGGTGTGGAGGCCGGGTGGGTATGCTGGTGGTGACGGAACTGCTGCTGGAGACCTCCGCCAACACGATGTGATGGAGTGCTTCCTGGCGCTTCGAGCTCGCTGTGCGCCCAGTCAAGAGGGAGGTGGCTGTACTGGCGTAATCAAGGCAGCGTGCGCTGAACGCGGCTGAAGGCAGCCCTGTCTTTCAGGTGGGAGAGAAGTAGGCACAGCGAAGGTTAGCGGGTCGAGCGATCAGTACCGTCAGATGGTAAGCTTCTGCAGCTTCATGGGAGTGGCCGCGCTCGCTTTATATACGAGTGCTCGCACGTAGCTGAGCGTTAATGCAGCTTCGCGGCTATCACGCATGCGAGTAGTGGGGCTTACTGCTGGGTTCAAAATGTGCGGCCAGTTTGGATGAACTTCATCCAACCCCCCCCCCCCTCGATTGTCAAAGACCAAAACTAAGTTTACACGACGATTCAACACTTAGGATATATCTCAATACTATTAAAAGATATAGTATAGCTGTAGCTATCTAACAGTTAATAGATTATTAGCTATATAGCGCTGCTGCTCTTCCTAGTCCTTAAAATATATGATTTTGTGGTGCACTTAATTTTCTTCAAAAGCTCGCACGCCCCACTACCTATATATGCAGTTTTAGAATACTTAAGGCTTTCCTACCACGTATACTTTAAAATATACTAAGATAAATATAGATATAACAGCTACAGCTATACTGCATCTTTTAAGAGTACTAAGTTATATCCTAAGCGTTGAATCGTTGTGTAAACGTGGTTTTAGTCTTTGATAATCGAGGGGGGAGGGATTGATGTTCGTGATCGCCGGGTGGCCGCACATTTTGAAACCAGCAGTAGACGTGAGACAGCGGGAGGGCGACATGCTCCCGCAGTGGACCCCATACCGATCTGTGCACGTGCAGCGTCACCTGAATACATACACGTCGCAATACGAAGGGGTCAAATACGAAAAGGACAGCTTAGTCGGTCATGTATCGCCTCAGCGCATCGATTATGCCTAACTACAACGACCGCCACACGGCGCGAGAAGGAAGCTCCGCCACAGCCACAGCATCAACTCAAAAGGCGCGCGGCTACATCCTCGCAACAGCACATCCCCAAGCTATCCACCTAGTCGATCTCGCAGAAGAAAACCCCCACCAGCAGACATCGACAGACAAAACGAGGGCAGAGGAAATACACATTAGAAGATCCGGCGCATTGTGGTATCATAGAATCGAGGCCGCCAGCCAACCTCGATCGGAAAAAACGAAAAACAGACAAGGAAGGTCGCTTCAAAGGAGTGGGTCTAGGTATGTCGAAAAAACAAACCCCGGTAAACGCCGTCCCTAGATGCCGCAGAATGACTAGATCCTCGAGACCTTTCGAAAAAGAGCGCGAGAAGGTGAGCGAAACAATCATGCAAGCCGGAAAACGCCGTCGCCATGTTTCTGCTGTACATCGCGTCATGCAAATTGCTGTCGTCATAACCGCGCCGGCGTCGACCGGCCTCCTCCGGGCCCTAGACTGCCGAAAAGGTGCTCCGGCGGGATGCGGCTGACGTTTGTGTTTTTGTCGAACATCTGAGTCTGGATGGGCATGTAGCCTTCACGCTTCCTGCGTATACGCTCGGCGAGGATGCCGGCGACGACGAGAAGGAAGATCAGCGCGAGAGCGATCGCGAGGCCAATCAGGACGACGAAGCCGACGGCAAGGCGGTTACCTGCATGTATGTTAATATGGAGGCATCGGGAAAGCGAAGCGGATTGGATCACTTACTTCTGACGTTGAAGAAGCCTTGCGGGTTCTGTACGAATGTTGTAGACAAGCTGCCAGGGGAGTTTGAACCCGTGGTCGTCAGCAGGAAGGGCGTAAAGGTCGTGCCATTGAACAAGACAGCCGAGGCAGTTCCGAAGTTGGGAACATTGATCTGGCCGAGAATGAGCAGGACCTGATTTCTTTCCAGCAGAGGCTCTGCGTCTCTGTGGTTCGAGGTCGTTGAAAACACCTGCAGTCCCCTAATAACGGTGCCTGTGCCTAGCGTATCGCCTACAGACCGCCAACCTCCATCGACATACCTTTGCAGGAAAGCCGAGTCACTGGCGGTCTGTCCTGCAACCCAGAACTCTGTACCGTCACTGTTGGCGGTCGTCAACGCAGTCACAGGGCCTGGAATCTCTCCGCCGTTCGTGAACTCTGTGAAGGCCCTGGTACCGGCGTCATACGTAGCCAGAGAAGTATCATTGCCGCCCACCGTGAGATTACCGCCGATGATGAGCTGGTTGTTGGAGACCCAAGTCATTGATCCGACGCTGCCAGCTATTCCAGTCCCCGGACTGATCCACTGCGACCGAGCGGTATCGTAGACGCATACAGCAGGGCAATCGAAGTCGCCAGCGGAGTCAAAACTGCCTCCGACGAAGACGGACTGAGTATTAGGCTGTGCCGCAATGGTGAATACTGCAACCTCTTCGCCCGTCAACGGAGGAGGTTGATTAGGCGCGTAGTTGGCGCCAGCGAGATCATATGCGATGAGGCCATTAACTTCGTCGTCGTTCACCGTCCCTGAGATCGTGCCGCCAGCGAAGAGCGTGGTGCCCTGCGTTCCCAGCGCAAGGAAGACAGAATCAGCGTCCAACCCGTTACCAACACCAGTAACTTGGTTGGAGTTTGACCCGTTGATGAAGACCAGGTTGTTGATGTCCGACCCGTTTGAAGCAGTCGCAGTGAAGTGGCCCCCGAGGATGGTGATGTTGAGATTGTTCTCGGTGTAGATGATGCCAGTCGCAGCACCGGTGACGTTCTGCCTACTGAGTGCGCGCTTTTCCACCAGCGAGGGCACAGTGGCCTGCTGCGGCTGGATGTTGGCTGGAACCCGCCATAGCGAGTTGCCCGAGTTCCCAAGGCCGACTGAACCGCTGACACTGAAGACCTGCGACGAGATGGCCCCAGACCAGAGAGGGCTGGAGCCAGGAACATCCGTATGAGCGATGAGTTCCCCACTGATGGAGATTGTTGAAACCCCAAGGTTGCGTAGCCAGTTCTGGCGCCCGGGTACCCATACAGCAAAGTTGTTGACGGGGTAAGACGCGTTGGCGCCAAACGCTCGCACTTGAGTGAAGGCTCCAGTGATGGCAAGGCACAGCTCAGGCTGGTTTTCAGTAACATTCAGCTCCAGCGGTACGATATAATAAACGTTGCCATTGACGCCTGCGCCTAGTGGCGCCCAGGTATTGTCTGACATTGAATACGCAGCAACTCCACTCAGCGCATCGCTGGTATTGTCGCGTGTGTTGTTGAAGTGGCCGCCAACATACAGAGTGTTGCCGTTTCGAAGCATGGTCGAGACCTCAGAGTTCAAGCCGCCGCCCGGCAAACTCTCTGTGTTATTACCGCTGATGGAGAAGATGTTGTAGTAATCGGCTTGGCGGAAATTGCCAGCGACGTACACAGTGTCATCTTGCGCCTCGAGGGATGTGATTAGGGCACCAGCATTCAGGTTCATTCCGGCCGTGTTGATGTTGGATTGCGACAAGTCTTCGTCCACGACCGCCTGGTTTGGATCGAACTCAAAGAGGCCATTGAGACCGCCGGCAGCTGTTAGAAGCTCAAAGCGTACGCGCTGCGCCACAATGGTTAGCGGTCCACTCTGCCCGATGGCAGGTGAGATAGTGACGGTAGGTTGGAAGACATCGGAAGCTGGGTCAATATAGCCGTAATAAACTTGATCGTACTTGTCGAAATCGTTCGTCTGGAAAAGCTCCGTAGTTATCGGCTGACTGGGCCCGCGAGTTCCCGAGCCCATGATGCCTGTAATGTTCACTCTGCCTCGTTCGCGGCAGGTCTGGTCCTGAATACAACCTGGCGTGTAGATTGTAACTGTGTAGTTCCCGGGCTGTTTGATGTCGGGCTGATACACGACGTTCGCGGACAGCGGGCCAATGTCGGGTCCAGTTAATCTCGCGGTGAGGTAGTCAGAAGTTGTAGTACCAGACGGCGTAACCGTCCACGGCCCGGTGACGCTGGAGTGCGCTTCCTCGCTAACGGCGTCGCAGTTTGGCTGATTGAAATCGTTGATGGCAAAGGAATATATATCATCCTGGAAGAGCTCGATACCGCTCAATCCGCCGCCGCGGCCATACCAAGCTGAGATGTCGATACGAAAGCCGTTCATGCCAACAACGTTCGCAAAGGTGAAGTCCTGATAGGTGTCGTTGTTTCGCGGCAATGGGCATTCGTTGGTGCACCACTCTTCTCGGCCGGAAGCGCCAGTGTAGGTAAGGTTCATGATCCCATTGAGCGGCAGCGCTGTGAGCATCCATGTCCTCGTCCCTCGGCCATCAACTTGGGTGTTGTACAAGCGCAACTTTGTCGGCTGGAAACCAAACCGATACCTTGCCTGCCAGTAGCCTGGAGTGTTGTCTGCGAGGAGCCAGGTGTTGCCGGGGCCGTCGGATTCGCTCGTCTTGCAGACGATATTTCGCGGATTGATGTAGCCGACAGTCGAGGTCGATGAGCCTGCTGTAATGTTGGCCGACCCAACCGGAATAACTTGTGGGGTTGGGCCACTTTGAGGCAAGCTAATGTTGCCCAAGCCATTGAACGCTCCACCAAATACAACGTTTCCGCTAGGCGCCTTAGTAATGGAGGTGACCGGTCCATTGAAGCCTGCGAAGGGAAGATTGTCCCAGGCGCCGCGCCACGCTATCGCATTCGTCGAATTTCCACCGGTAAACGAGCCTCCAACGTAGACGGTGTCGGTTTCCTGGTCGCATAATATCGCCGCCACGCTACCGCTCAAGCCAGGCAATGGTGTTATCTCTGCAGTGTTCGTATCGAGGAATGCGATGCCCTGCGCTTCAACACCCTGCACACTCGTGAAGTTTCCGCCTATTATCACTCCAGCCATAGTTCCATCGCTTCGCACGAAGGGACACAGCTCTCTGATGTGTCCGTCCGTTGCTCCTAGATCTGCGAATGCGCCGTTCGGATATCGCGAAAGCAGCGACTGGCTTCCATTCGTGCTGAAACTCGCTTCAGTCTGACCTTCGTACTGGTAGAGCGACACGGCATCGAAATCGCCGGCGACGGCAACGCGACCCAATCCATTAAGATCGAGATTCGGCGATGGTATGCGGGTGAATTGGACTGCGCGGATTCCAGGTACGATGCATGATGACGCTGCGACAAGTAGGGTCCCGAGCTTGCCCACCGTCAAGCCGAGCGACGAGGAAAACTCCCTCATTGCCTTGGCCGCGGCGAGTACTGACGGCAATACGGTGGTGCCTCCTGCGCTGGAGGAGTGCGATTGTTGCGATGATCAGGAAATGAGGAGTCGCTGAGGTGTGGCCCAGGATATGACGACGTTCAAAGTTGGAAAGTGAGAGGCAGGAAGCGGTGCGATGGCACTATTGGCTCCGGAGGTGGAGTGCCGATGAGGGAATCGGCAAGGGCCTGCTGCAGGCACAGCGCGGCACAGAACAGAAATGACAAATTTCAAACGAGTGACTGGGAGAAAGACAAATTGCAAAAGAGTGACAGAACGAAGATTAACTGAGGATGAAGGGAGTCGGCCTGCGGTTCACTATCAGCAGCTCACTGCCTTCATCTCGCTCGCATTGGTGTCGCGTTCTGCTGCAGCGGTGCGGAGCGGAAATTGGAGAGGAAGCCCGTGCGCGTCCAATCACGTTCCTCGACCCTCGCCCGGCAACGCCGTCAGTTGAGAAATGAAGCCTTACGGCCTGGCCTGGCTCTTATTGCGGCTGTACAACGCTCACTGGCTGTCGCACGGCGGTTTGTCGCGAACCATTGAAGCTGAAGTCCACGGACGTCGAAGGCAAGGAGAGTCGGCCCTGAAACTCAATGTCTGGTGGCGACCTTAGGATCTACGGTACCGAGCACCTCGCGTGTCAGGGGCAGCCGTGACGTGCGTTATCGTATTCACTCATCTTTTCTATGCACTTACTCTCCCGGCCGAAAAGTATCCAAATCACGTGCCGTAGTCCGTGCTCCATCACCAAACTCAGCCAGCTCGTTTCTGGATGACTTTTTAGTTAACCACCACCAATATGGCTCCAAACCGAGGCCTAAGCATTAGTGTCGCAATGCGCGCTTGTATTATTACCTTACGTCTTTTTATTAAATCCATGATAAATGAATGCGGCGATTATATACCCTCACCGCGTGGGTTGGTGGTGGAGCACGGTCTGTGGCACGTGATTTGGATACTTTTCGGGAGAGCAACTACATCCTATCAATCAAGACCGCGTGCCATCAATCTCGGTCCCGGCTTGGAGTATGAAGACACCTATATGGTCGAGGATACGCCTTCCCTTATCGGCGCGCAATAATCTACCCACCACTATATCGCGACGCGTTAGTACAATCAGCGCGAGGGACGATCAAACCCTCCTCCTCACAGGCGGCCGCGTCCTGGGCTACGCCGAATATGGCTGCCAAACCGGCTACCCGCTCATGTTCTTCCACGGGTTTCCCTCGTCGCGCCTCGAGGCCCAAGGCGTCGACCATCTGGCTCACCGCCGCCACCTCCGCGTCATCGTCCCCGACCGCCCCGGCTTCGGCCTCTCCACCTTCCAACCCCACCGCCGCATCACGGACTGGCCCGCCGATGTGCGAGCTCTCGCCCACCACCTTGGCTTATCCCGCTTCGCGGTTCTGGGCGGCTCCGGCGGCGGCCCATATGCACTGGCGTGCGCACACGCGCTGCCACGTGAGATGTTGTCCGCTGTTGGCATCATGGCCGGAGCGGGACCGTGGCAAGCGGGGACGCAGGATGTGCCACTGTCGTCGCGGGCAGTGTATTTGGCAGCGAAATACTGGCCTGGTGGGCTTAGAGCGCTGACGGACGTGCTGGTGGGGACGCTCAGAAGGGGCCTGGCTACCCGCCCGGCAAGTAGGTGGATTGACGATTGGCTAAATAAAGTCGAGCAGGAACATGAGAGGGGCTCAACAATTGAAGAACGGAGGAAGCGGGTACTACGCATGGCCTTTGAGGGTTTTGCACAGGGCGCTGAGGGTTTTGTGCTTGAGACGCAGCTGTTGACGCAGGACTGGGGGTTCAGATTCGAGGACGTCGCATATGACAATATTCAGCTGTGGCATGGAACGCAGGATAAGAATGCGCCGGTGCGGATGGTGCGGTATATGGTAGAGCGCCTGCCTCACAGTGTCCTCCGGGAGTTTGAAGGCGACAGTCACTTCACTCTCTTCCGTCATCTAGAAGAGATCTTATCGGACCTCGTTCCGGAGAAGAACTTACCGGATTGCAGTACTAAGGCGTAATATTATTATCTTTTCTCTATCTTATAAAGATCTAATAGATTCAGGTCACGGTTTGAACTTGATGTTCCCTAGCGTTCGGATCTTCTGTTATTCCGAGGTTACATGCCTCTATACGAAGGGTTTTCTTCCTGTTAGGCTTATAGATCTTCTTATTCTTATATAATACAGCAAAAGAAAGCAAACAGGTGTATCACTCGTGTTTTTCGTTTCCATGGTCGCATATACACAGGACAAACGCACCTACGTGTCGATAGTGAACCCCCTTCCTAAGAGAACCCGTCCTGTTGGGTTCCTCAGCACTTGAGACTTGTCTCTTCCTGTAACTGCATTGCTAGAGCCATTCGTAGACTACCCGTTTGCCATGCATTCATAGACTCATAGCTTCCATCACCGTCGCTCAACCATCGCCGTTCCGAATCAGATATCATTGTAGCCCAGGAACAACTTGTCAAGACCTTTATCTGCCACCGCCCACGTCCACGCCCTTCCGGCCTCTCCACACCACAGCGAGCTAGGATCATCTGACTTCTCCAGCATGCCATCCTTCTCCAAGCTCTTGATCTCGTGGCCGGTGGTGTAAGTCAAGAAATGCTCAAATTCCTTGTCATCCAGCGCCAGGGCGTTGCCTGAGATGCCGTGACAGAGACAAGGCTCCTTGGTTAGCAGGCCGCGCTCTAATATGCACTCTCTGCCTTTCTCAATCGCCTTGTCGATGCGGGCTTTAAGGTTCGGGAAGTGCTCTTTTATAGACACCAGCGAGGCCACCACGCCAGGCGCGCCGTGGCAGAACTGGACGAGGCGATCTCGACCTGGTGGGATGGAGGAAGGCCAGTTGCCGCTCTCGAACTGGTAACTGAGCAATGCGCCGAGATCTGCCTCGAGCTTCGGCGCCCAGGTGGGATCTGTGAGGACAATCTGCGTGATGATGCCAACTGCTCCGTGGACCGCGCCGACATAAGCCTTGCCATGCCATTTCCAGGGCCGTGGTGACTCCATGATGGCTTCGATGACCTCGTCCGCCGTGTCATCGATCATGTCCAAGACCTTATCATCATCGGGAAAGGAGGCTTTAGCAAGGCGCAGAAGATAGAGGTACCCCGCGCGACCATACAGCCATTCATTAGAGGCATCCTCGTCCGTGGCCACGGCAGCGTAGTTGCACAGCTCCGTCACCATGTCCGCGTCCTTAGCAGACGCGGCGCCGATTGCCAGAAGCGCCATGATGTCGTCGCTGATGCCGCATCTGCTGATCTTAGGGCCGGGGTACTCTTTCATGTGAGCTTGGGCGAGCTCGAGGTAGGCTGCGGACCACGTGCCGAGGGGAAAATCGCCGATGGTGAGCTCTTCGTAGTGGCGTTGCAGGACGAAGAAGAGGTATGCGACTGAGATTGGCCCGTAATAGAGACCGCCGCCTGGTGGGATCTTGTCCGGGGGGTACTCATTGACGAGACGCGTCAAAGAGGCTGTCAGCTGCTTATAGGGATCTCTTCTTGATAGCGGCGCATCATTGCGGAAGTATTTTGGTCGGCGCTGGCTTGGTTCGGCCATCTTGCGCTTCGTGCTTCCGTGTCAAGCGCTTGACAGGGACTGGATTTGAAGCGATCCCTAGGTTAATGTCTGTTTCTAACAGTTGAGCACCTAGCGGATGACAACTTGGTCAAGGCAAATCTGAAGTCGTTCACGTGCGCTGATATATGGGGAGGACGAGTGACGTATGTTTAACTGCGGCCCTAGGTATCCAAATGTACAGCTCGTGAAATTTTCAGCCCTCGTTACAAGAGAAGAGCAAGGATGATTCGCCGACAGGTTTTACGAGGAGCTGCTAGATGAGTGATTTAGTTGAGGTAGGGATTGCTGCCTCCGTCGTGGGTATCCGAGGATGAAATGGCTTGGGTTTACGGTCGGTATGTATAGAATTTGAAGGCTTGAGTCACTTCGAAGCGTCCTGCGAGTCAATCTACCCCGTGCAATTATGCGAAATGCGAGGGCAACTAGCTATACAAATCGAAAGACATTGATATATCGTGACTTCAAATATCCCGCTTAACAGGCATCTATGAACAGTCCTACACATTGGTGTAGTTACAATCTTCTGTTCCTTTTGGTTCTCCTCACGACCTTCTCGTGTACCTCCAAAACAGGATTTTCCTTCTCCTCAAGCTCCCTCTTTATACGTTTCGTTGCGACAACCTCCTCCTTGATTAGAGGTTGCACGGCAACTGTACCGTCAGATTCTAGTTTGACTGCTTGAGTTTCCACTTTCTCATCCACTTTGGCCACAAGCCGCTCAGCGAACGCTTTCAGATCAGCTGTGAAAAGCACCGAATGCGCCCAGCCAGCTTCTTTGCCCCACAGGCTACGGAAGCGATTGGCCACCGCGTCGTATGTCGCCTTTGTCAAGCTACTGTGCTTGCCTTTGCCAAACTTGTAATCACGCTGCGCTATCTGCCAGACTGTCGACATGTCAGAAGAGGAAGCCTACAGAATGGATTCAGGGCACTTACCGTGGGTATCTACAGGCACAGCTTCGCCCCAACCCAAACCCATCAAGCAGACACAATCCGCAACTTTGGGTCCAACGCCCTGGAGCGCTAACAGCTCTTCATGCGCTTCTCTATAACCTTCGCGACCTCCTTCTATCATGTCCCCTGCGGGCTGCGCTTTCATGCCAAGAAGCGGGCTTTCGGGGTTGCGCAGGCTGTCCAGCCAGCCCTCACCCTTGTCTTTCGCCACCATGACAGCTGTTTGGTACAGATACTTCGCCCGATAGCCGAAACCCAGCTGTCTGAGGTGTTGCTCCACCTTCGGGTCAGTCAGAGCACTCGGGGGTGGGAAATCATGGAATGCTTGAGACCCGATGTGTCCTATCAGGGGTCCGTAGTGTATGCAAAGCTTCTCCATCATCTGGGAGATGCGAGCTATGTTGTTGTTGCTGCTGCATATGAAGCCGACAAGCGTTTCCCAGGCATCCTGCTTCAGTATTCGGACACCGGCAAACTTCGGCGCCTTCTTCTTGAAGTTTTGATCTGCGGACGCCCATTGCTCGTAGAGCTCTGTAAGGTTTGGGCCGAGATTAAGGTAGTGTTTGACGAAGTCGAGGGTGTCGTCCACGTCCGGCGGTGCAGACTCTGCGACTGATACAGCAGTGGAGGGAGGCGGCGTGGGGAGAGCAGGGGTTGATGGAAAGATGGCGCGGTAATGGAGGTATTCAGGGTCTTGTTTCAAAGAGAGTATGCGACCATGTAGAGCACATGACCATTCGTCGTCGGCAGACTTCCTCCATCTGAACTCTTTCTGTCAGTAATCGCGTGGTATAGGAGGGTTCGGGCATGCGGCTCACCTGAACGATTGGCCGCAGCGGAGGGTGGTGTTGATGCAGAGTTCTCGAAGGCTCACAGGCAGTCTGTGCCATTCGGTGACTCGGAGACTGCTCATAGTGCAACTAGTGATTCACAATGATTGATATAGCTGGTTGTTGCACTCAGGGAAACGCGACTTTGGATTGACGGAGCGCGTCAAGCACGCTTCCACCAATCGCGTCGGGAGGTTTTCCGCAGGCGAGAATCACTAGCGCCGTCTCAAGCTGCAGAGCCTCAGTCTGCCTGTTCACAGTCTGTTCACCTCCGAAACACTGCAAAGCACTTGCCCACCCCATCCACCATCCATCATCCACTAGTCCATGCCGTTGACAGACTCAGGGAACAACTTGCGAATAGCAATTCTCTACACGAAAACCCTGACGACAGTTGGTCACCTTTTCTTCGCATACAGCCCGTGGTTGGGTTAGACCCTCGTCAACATGAACGGCGACACATATTCTTCGCGAGGTTAGTAACAAGCCCCCATACCGTTTTTATGCACAGGTTTGCTGATTCCACGATGAGCAGACAGCGGCCGACACGGATCTTCGCGCGACCACTATGTAAGCTACTCGCACCCGAGCTGCGCATACTCCCAACTAACTAGGAAGTCGTCGCGAGGAGGCCGCGATGATCGTCGAGACCGCGACAAAGGCAGCGGCCGCCGTAGGTCGAGGTCACCAGGACACCGCAGTTCTCGACGGGAGTACGAAGTTGACACCTACTCGTCGAGTCGCGACTACAGGGAGCGGGAACGGGAAGAGCGCTATTCTGGTAGAGACAGGCGGGAGGAACGAGGCTGGGATAGGGACCGAGGGGCGAGGAGAGACAGGAGAGAAGACGAAGAAAGGCCGCCGAGGCGCGACCGAGATCTGTTCGAAGACCGAGGCGGACGAGGTAGACGGGAACGCGAAGGCCCTGGCGGCGGGCCCAAGCAGGAGAGGAAGAGGAGCGCATCCCCGCCGCCGAAGAAGAAGGAGCCCACGCCGGACCTCACTGACGTTGTACCCGTTCTTGAGCGCAAGCGACGGTTGACTCAGTGGGACATCAAGCCACCCGGCTACGAGAATGTTACGGCAGAGCAGGCGAAGCTTTCTGGCATGTTCCCACTGCCCGGCGCACCCCGCCAGCAACCAATGGATCCCAGCCGCCTCCAGGCGTTCATGAACCAGCCTGCTGGCTCTGCTGGCAACTCAGCCCTAAAACCGTCCAATTCTCGACAAGCGAAGCGCTTGTTCGTGTACAACTTCCCCTCAACAGCAACCGACGAAACCATCAACGACTTCTTCAACCTGCAGCTCAATGGTCTGAACGTTGTCGTTGGCGTAGATCCATGTCTCTCCGCTCAAATCTCGAAGGACAAATCTTTTGCCTTACTTGAGTTCAAGACTTCAGAGGATGCTACTGTGGCCTTGGCGCTTGATGGCATCACCATGGAGGACAACGATAACATGGAGACCACCAACGGCAACGCCAACGGCGATACCGCAGGACTCACGATCCGCCGACCCAAGGACTACATCGTGCCGGCTGTATCGGAGGACGCGGATTATCAGCAAGGCGTGGTCTCGAACATTGTGAAAGATAGCGCGAACAAGATCCTCATCACGCACATCCCCACATATCTCAGCGAAGAACAGGTGATGGAACTACTTACCTCGTTCGGCGAGCTCAAAGCATTCGCGCTCGTAAAGGACACTGGCACCGAGCAGTCACGGGTAAGTCTCGGCGTGCTCTAATCTTGTGCACCTGCTGATCCGTCATAGGGCATCGCCTTCTGCGAGTACGTGGACCCAGCCACTACAGATATCGCAGTAGAAGGCCTCAACGGCATGGAACTTGGCGATGAACATCTCAAGGTACAAAAGGCATGCGTCGGCGTGCAACAAGCCGCTGGCTTGGAGCTAAGTGTCAATGCCATGTCTATGCTTGCTGGGACGACGTCCAATGATGTAGAGGAGGGTCGCGTGCTGCAGCTTCTCAACATGGTCACGGCGGAGGAGCTGATGGATAATGATGAGTATGAAGGTAAGCATTCGTGTGTGATATGATCGTATATTGGAGTGGCATTAGCTAACCGACTCTCCATAGAAATCTGCGAGGACGTTAAAGAAGAATGCGAAAAATACGGCCAAGTGCTCGAGTTGAAGATCCCGAGACCGGGTGGTGGCCGCCAGGGCGCGGGTGTCGGCAAGATCTTCGTCAAGTACGACACGCCGGAGTCGGCCAGGAAAGCCCTGAGCGCCCTGGCTGGTAGGAAGTTTGCTGACCGGACCGTGGTCGTCACGTTCTTTGGGGAGGAGTACTTCGATGTCAATGCCTGGTAGAACACCAGAAGCGGGCGTGTGTGTTCTTTTACGCGTCTTCTCTCTCTCGCGACATATACTGTATGGCGTTCAAGGGCTTCGACTCGAGTTTCATGGACGGTCTCAGCGGCTAATGGCTCCTCGCGTGTAGTTTTAGCAATTGGAGAGGACAGCTATAGCTGGTTGTAAAAAGTGCTAGTGTTCTTGGATCCAATACCAGCGCTCGCTTGGATCTTAGGACGTACTGAGAGACAATCGTGCGCCCGCTTGGTTTTGCTGGACTATCAAAACCGAGCATCTTCAGCAACATTCGGCGCGAAAACATGATGACTGCATCCTCCAAGACGTGTCAAATCAAACCGCTACATGCCTCGATCCATTGCCCATCACAACCCTCTAAAGAACGCCTTGCCAATGCACCGCCCAGACACACCTGCACCTACTCTAAGACTCCCGTCTTCCTCGCAATATCGAATATCGCGTTCGTGACCAAATCCGCATCCTTCGACTTGAGTGGTATCCTATGATCTCCGTCCCACTCCACCAACGTCGTACTCCCCTTCTCACAATACTGCTCCAACAGCCTTCGATGCAGATGCAATCCCGCGTCCTTCAGCCCATGCACATGCAGCGACGGCAGCCTCAGTACGCTCCTGCTCCCACCCTCCCCAAACTGAAACCCCTCGCTAATCTGACTCGCATCCACCATATCCTCGCCCATCGCCTCCTCGCTCAGCGCAACCAACGGCGCCCTTCCCGCCATACATACCGCGAACCTCAGTCTCACGCCCTCGCCCAACGGCCCTGGTATCTCGCTCCCGAGCTTCTCCTCCCGCACCTGCTGCTCATACAACAAACTCGCCGCCATCTTCGCACCCTGGCTAAACCCCATAACGCCGACCCACTCCCCGCTTGCTCCCCTCGCCGTATCCTCGTCCATCGCGGTGCGGATATTATAGAAAACCTCCTCGATCGCCGTCTCGGCGTCTACCTCCGCGTGGGTGGGCAGCCAGCGCAGCCAGCGCCGGTAGGGGCCCCAGTCGGCGTATACGGGCACGATGCCGGGGCCCGGATCGCAGAAGAAAGGGCCGTCGGCGAAGACGAGGCGGAAGGTCGGACTGAGGCGCGAGATTAGAGCGCGTGATTGCGCGCGGAATATGTCGCCGGTTACGCCGCCTCCGTGCAGGCAGAGGAGACGGGGGGAGTGGAGGGTGGGGTCGGGGGTGGTGCCGTTGGGCTGGGGTGCCATGTTTAGGGGTCCTCGGGGGGGTTTGAAGAGAAGGGGCTGCGGGTATGAGTGCGTGTGCTGCGGACACGGCGGATTGGGTAGGGCGGTCCGAGGGCGCTGACTTCGGTTTTAAGATAGATGCCGGAGAAGCTGTTTCGAGCGAAACGGACCAGCAATTCTATGCGATCTTCAAAGCAATTGAGAGGTAACGACAGGAGAGCGGGAGAAGACGTAGCAGGCCTACTCAGCCGCGCATCCACTTGGATATATATATGCAGCTAAATATATTCCCACCTGTTCGGACTCCGAAAGCCGCGTCTCGGGATGCGCATAAGGCTGACTATTGGCCGGTCAGCCAGCCCTCTCATTGGCCCTTTCTAAGTGCTACAAAGATGTCAGCTTGTCGCCTCGGTGTTCAAGAAATCAAGTGCCAATAGGCAGACTGGAGATTGGCTACCAGTTCATAAAGAACCTGCAGGTGGTTTCGATCTCGGCTTCTCAACAGCTTTGTGAGCCTCATCCGCATGGGATGGGTTGAGTTATGAAACACCAGTTCAATGTCCCTTCAAGACGCATCAACGTTTACCCGCTCTCCGGCGCCATCCCAAGACTTTTTTGATGTCGAGATGAAAGTTGTCAGTCTTCATCATTTTGCTTCTATAAGTCCCAATCACAGACGATCGAGTCTTACGACTAAATGCCTTGAGAACAGCCCAGTGGTCTGACCAATGCGAACCCTCCGAGGCCTCTTAGCGTCCGTCAGATTATTGAGCCTGTCTACAACAAATTAGGGATTTCACAGCGCGCTGATTGCTGTAATGGATCTACGTTTTTTCTGTTCCCTAGCAGGCGTCGCTCAGCATCCTTCTTGAAAGAATGTACCTGCTTCGATCGCGGCCGGCTGACGGCGAAACCACATGCATGAGCATCCAGACCCCCCATACATCCGGCTAGAATTCTCCTGAATCCCGTACAAGAGACTAGTAAGTTTAACCCCGTATTTCACCTTTGCCCGGATTATAATGATGAGATATCTTCACCCTCAAATTTCTTATAGGAAGAGCCGGAAAAGGTATGGCTAGTATCGACAAATGCCGGCCGTCGCTGCTTATAAAACGGGTCTCTGAGATACTTGCTTCTGCAAAAGCGCGTCATGCATCTATGAGAGAAAGTGTTTCGCTAACTAAAAGCTATTGCAGATTGACAGATGCCATGAGCTGCTGATTTATCAATAAGGCCTCGCGCGCACTGCGTTCACTCAGAAACTTCTCGTTTATTGTCCAAGGCGAGGACTGAAGATAGAGCTGGAATGGCATGAAAACCAGAGTGCAAAAGACCGTCACATCCATTGAAAACGCAGTCTTCCGATCCGTTCGGTGCTCATTCACTGCATCAGCCTTTGTGGAATTATGCTCCGCTACGGAATTTTCACCGCTGCTCTAGTGCAGCATGGAGTTCGTGTCCTAAGCCCTCGTGCCCGTGGGACGACTTGCCCACTTTTCTGATAGTCAAGTCCTTGTGTAACTCCTCAGTTATATAGCGTTGGTGGTTCTCAATGGAACGGATGTTAATGGACCTGTCAGCTTCTAAGTAGTACTTCCAGATCGTGGAGGCGCTTGATCTCTACGGCAGACCGAACGTAGCGTGTAAATAGTGTTCGCTTGTCTAAGTTTTGTACAATGTGATATTAGATCCTTTGTCCTCACCTTCACTTTTCGCCAAGTAGGCCAAATACGAACATTGGGTATCGCAACGAAATAAAGATGGTGCGGCCTGAAGTGTCCGTCACCCTTGAAGAAATTGTACCGACCCTCTACCAAGCATTACAGTCGAACGTCGCTCATGTTCACATCACTTGGCATGATTGACGATCTGCTCATAGACATCTTCCGGTATCTTCGGCACAAACGTCAGCGCAATTGCAGAGACCTTCGAAGCCTGCAGGGGCGGCAGCTGGCGGAGTACTTGATTCGGACTGGACGAGTGTTAGCAGCCGATCGTTGCTCAAATTCTCAGCCAAACCTTACCTAGGGCTGCCCAAGATCTGGTCCCGGATGAGAACCAACTGGGCCACAATGCACAGAATATTCAAGTGGCTCCCGTACGCCAGCAAAAAGTCCCATAACAGCAGGACCTCCGGCAGCGGCGGCGTACACGCACACATAGTTAGCACCGACGCAAAAGCATATATCTCTGCCTTCATCCCCTTGCCCAACAGATGCTTCGACAGCTTGGGGTCCACAATCTCAAGCACAGCATCTACGAGCGCAAGCCCCTTGTGCACGCCGTCCATACTCCCCCGCACGTACCCCGGCACCTCGCGCGTGATGAAGCGCTCGAACGCGACGAACGCCTCCGTCTCGCTGCGCGCGGCGTACAGGAACGGCGCCGCCAGCACGTTCATCCCCTGCACGTACCCAACCATGGTCTCGTGCGCGCCTGCGCCGGCCTCGCTGCCCTCGGTGACTGTTCCGGCCAGCGAGCTCCGCGACCGCAGCGACACGTCCGGGCTGCCGCCGAAGTCGCCGTTGTGCATCGAGAGTGTCGGCGGTGACATCCACCCGTTCACGCGCGCCTCGTGCGCATCGTGCAGTTTCCAGGCTACGGCGTTTAGGACCCGTGTCAGGCTGTTCTCGGTTACGCGCCGCCGGAAGAGAGGGTCGGTCGCGAGCGTGCGGAAGGTGTCATTGCGGATCTTGGCGTAGGCGGGTGAGGCGCCTTGTCGGACGAGGTCGAGGTAGATTTCTGAGCGGATGGGGGGCGCGTTGAGGAGAATGAGCCAGATGTAGATGCGGAGCTCAGACTGTAGGTCAAGATGTTGCTGTCAGCGTGGGCGCAAAGGGTGAAGTGCTGAGTGGGTGTTTACCATGCCATCGCTGTTTGCCGGGACTCCGGTAGTCAAGATCGTGTAGCGGAGGTCATCAAGGCTCTGCGCAATGTTGCCCGACGAGGGCCCCTTGAGGAGGAGAAGGTCCAGGTTTGGCATTGATGCTGTTGTCGGCTCTTGCCTTGCGGTAGGTTGGCATGCCTAATGCGCGTGCTGTGGTCCTCAATGCGCGTTTTGCGGGAGGTTCACGATCTTGGCAATATGCCTTGTCACGTGCGACTATGCTTCCCTCCCGTCTTCTCGAAACACCAAACCGCTGCCTTCGTTGTCCCCTAGTTAACCCGCAATCTGTCTGGCCTGCAACGGTCCGAGAAGTCCTGCATGCGCTGGCCCATCTTCCAGAATGTGCCCTCGAATCACCAAAGCCTCCCGGCCCATGTGGTGCCTCAAAGCCCAGCTGGTGCACCAGGATATTGCAACATCTTCGCCGGGAACAGACTTTGAACCGTACCGTGCTTACTTCGGTACCAAAAACGGCCGGCCCTGACGACGCCTAGACTCTTGAAAGATCCCTCGTTTGGCTCGCTCGTGCCGCCAGGAGCCGCCCGGCGTCATCACAGACTTCGATCTGCCGCTTGGGGCTGGGAAATTCGCGCAGTAAGCTCGGCGCTGTGCGATGCTTGGGCAACGTCATGGTTCTCTGGAAAACGCGGCTTTTTGGGCCATGGCCGTAGAATTCCGCCGCTATTCGACAATCCTTCGATTACTCGTAGGTTCTCACGAGCAGCAACCACGAGGCTTGTTTCAGGTTGCACTGAGAAAAAAGCAGCCACGATGCAGCAGAGCGGGGCCCGTTCAGTATCTCCAAAAGCCCTAGGCGGAAGCATGGGCACTCTCGGCTGGTAGCGAGCGGCGATTGTTGCATCTTTGGAAAGACGCAGCAGCCTCCAAAAAGACGTGCTCTGCAGGGTCGATGTCGTGAGAGGTGCACTGGCCGATTGGCTGAAAGAGCTTTCACAGCCTTCCGACCCGCCGGCACCAAACGTCAACGCCTGTCGATCTGGCTTTGAGGCACTCCAAAGCTTGCGTTGCCTCATCGGGAACGCTTCTGGAGACAGCCCCGGCGATGTCGTGCTTGTCCCCCCCAAAGTCCGAGCATCGAATTGTGCTTCTATCTGAGTAAACGGTGTATTTTTACCGCCCCTGCTGGTGTGTAATCAGCAGGATTCCTTCTGTGATCCTGTCAATGATCTATCTGACCATCTCTCTGCCGTGAGCACTCTGCAACCTACAACAGCTCGTCCTGGTGCTCATCCTCGCGTCTATCACCATCTCACTTACTTGGCGCTACGCCATCTATTCCTAAAGTCGAGGAACCCACCTCTTCGCGCAACCTAATACCTCTTACGCAGGTGGACTTATCATCAGTCCTCATCTCAGCCTCAACTCGCGCCATTAGGACCATTGATCCTGCACCCGCTGGATCCGACCGAATCTTAGGGTTCATCAAACAGAATCCTGATATTCCAGACCAACCCCCTTGCAACCCACCCACCCCCAAGCAGCCACAGTTATCTTGCATGTCCGGCAGAGAAGCTCACGCCTCGGGGAACTAAAAGGTATTCCCTGCTATTTGCAGGCCATCCTGTCGAATCCTTGCGTGCTCCCGCAAGCCTACCAAGCGGATAGAAACACATCGCATCCGAATCACTCGGGACAATCTCTTGTTTACTAGGCCTTCCGCCTGTTCCTTGACGCTGCTTTTTCCTTCATTATCCCATCTTCACGACCCTCGGTTCGTAACCCAGCCATGGCTTCAACAAGTAGCAAGATCGGGAGGGGCATGGCAAAAGGCCTTGGAATCAAGCTCGAGGATGCTGGGACAGCGAAAGGAGACAAAGTCACTCGAGGCGAATCCGTCTTCTCCGTGTCAAGCGCGGACACCTATGTCGAGGAGGAGCCTACTGTCGCCGAGTGGTTTTCTGAACTCGCCCCTTCTCGTAAAGACGTCTTCCGGTACTTCAAGAATTTGTTCCCATTCCTTCACTGGATTACAAGGTACAATTCCGTCTGGCTGTCTGGAGATCTAGTTGCTGGTAGGGATCCTTGTTCACTGTTGGGAGAGTGGTCGCTAATCTTGGACGTCTAGGCATAACTGTCGGCGCGGTTGTTGTTCCTCAAGGCATGGCTTATGCTAGGCTTGCTGAAGTACCTGTCGAATTCGGCCTGTACTCGTCCTTTATGGGCGTTTTGATCTACTGGTTTTTCGCTACTTCCAAAGACATCACTATCGGCGTAAGTAAAACGAGACTTTTCTAACGCTCTGATCAAAGCTTACCATCGTAGCCTGTTGCTGTCATGTCCACCATCGTCGGAAATATTGTTTTAAGATCACAGGAGACGCTGCCGGACGTAGAGGGATACGTAATCGCCTCTGCACTTGCTGTAGTATCCGGCGGCATTGTCCTCGCACTCGGGCTTGCTCGACTTGGCTGGCTCGTGGAGTTCATCTCGCTGACCGCAATATCTGCGTTCATGACCGGTTCCGCGATAAGCATTGCAGCTGGCCAGGTTCCAGCGTTGATGGGCTTCAGCTCATTGGTCAACAATCGGCAGTCTCCCTACTTGGTCATCATCCAGAGTTTTAAGCATCTACCAGATACGAAGATGGACGCGGCCATCGGATTGACGGCCCTGACAATGCTTTACCTTATTCGTATAATCTGCTCCCAGATGGCGAAGCGCAACCCTCACCAGAAGAAGTCGTGGTTTTTCGTTTCGACGCTGAGGACCGCTTTTGTGATTCTGTTGTACACCATGATAAGCTGGCTTGCCAATAGGAATCGCCGTAGCAATCCTCTCTTTAGGATCGTTGGGCGTGTTCCGAGAGGTCAGTGCTTTACCGGAAATCGAAAGAAGACCCAGCTGACATATTGTAGGCTTCCAGCATGCCCAGGTGCCACAGGTGACGTCCAGCATTGTCGGTGCATTTGCCAGCGAACTGCCGGCAACTGTGATTGTCCTCCTCATTGAGCATATCTCGATTTCAAAATCCTTTGGCCGAATCAACAACTACACCATCGATCCGTCCCAGGAACTGGTGGCCATTGGTGTCACGAACCTGCTTGGCCCATTCCTTGGGGGTTATCCAGCGACCGGCTCCTTCTCCCGGACTGCTATCAAGTCTAAGGCTGGTGTACGGACACCATTCGCAGGTGTTATCACCGCTATTGTGGTTCTTCTGGCCATCTACGCGCTTCCAGCGGTATTCTTCTACATTCCAAATGCCGGGCTTTCGGGCGTTATCATTCATGCCGTCGGAGATCTAATCACACCGCCGAACACCATCTATCACTTCTGGCGGATCTCACCTTTGGAAGTGCCAATCTTCTTCGCTGGTGTCTTCGTGACGGTGTTCACCAACATCGAGAATGGCATCTATACAACTATTACAATCTCAGCTGCGCTGTTGCTTTACCGAGTCTTCAAAGCTCGCGGCCGCTTCCTCGGAAGAGTCAAGGTTCACTCAGTCATTGGCGATCACCTCTTGGACAAGGACAACGACGAGCCCAAAGCCGACAAAGACGCGCGACCAGCGAAGCCTCGGGCCGGCGGTAAAGAGGACAGTATTGTTTCTACCCGAAATATCTTCCTCCCCATCGACCATCACGATGGATCAAACCCCCAGATTGAGCTCAATGCACCATACCCCGGCATCTTCATCTACCGCTTCTCAGAAGGCTATAACTACCCTAACGCCAACCACTACCTCGACTACATGACAACAGTCATCATGAAGCACACTCGTCGCACCAACCCGCACTCATACGGCAAACTCGGCGTGAGTATATGTTTTCTCTCATAAAGATTGCACAGAAGCTAACCACCCCTTCCCGCAGGACCGTCCCTGGAACGATCCCGGCCCTCGCCGCGGCAAGCAACTCGAAATCGACACCCACCTCCCAACCCTCAAAGCCATCATCCTAGACTTCTCCTCCGTCAACAACGTCGACATCACCTCAGTACAGCACATGATCGACGTGCGCAACCAGCTGGACCGGTACACGAGCCCCGAGACCGTCGAGTGGCACTTCGCATGCATCAACAACCGGTGGACCAAGCGCGCGCTCGCCGCCGCCGGCTTCGGCCTTCCGAACCCGGAATTCACCGCGGGAGAGGCGACGCAGCGCTGGAAGCCCATCTTCAGCGTTGCCGAGATCGGTGGGAGCGACTCCGCGGCGCACGCGGCGGAGTATGAAGAGGACCGCGAGAACCTAAGGAGGATACATACCAATGTTGCGCCGCAGTACACCGATGCGGATGACATTGAGACGGGCAATCGGCACGGCCAAAAGGGTGTCGATGATGAGCAGGACTCGCTGGATAAGGCGCTCAGTCAGACGAAGGCATATGGCAAGGAGGAGGGCGCGAGGATCGCGGTTATACATGGCCTTAATAGGCCGCTGTTCCATATTGACCTTACCAGTGCGGTGCAAGCGGCGATTGCGAACGTGGAGGCGAGGGAGAAGTTTGTGCCGGTGGTGGAGCAGGTGGAGGGGCCGGACCCGGCGGCGCCGTAGCTAGCAATGGCGGTATTCTGAGCGGCATAGTTGGTTGTATATGAGAGGCTGCATGTGTTGGAGCTCTCGGTGTTTCTTTGCATGGTAGACACGAGTTTTCTAGGGACTAGATGTTGGAGTGTAGATACCTTGGCCGTTGAGTACAGTCCGGCCCTGTCGCAGAGGTGATAGTCGAAATCACAGATGTTTTGTACGATCACACACGCGAAGACGATACTCATGACTTCAATATTCCACCCAGTATGTAGCTAACGTCCCAAACGCCATCGCCGATGCAGAAAGACATCTCACACGGTACATACGGACATCGCTCATCCGGAATGCAGCTTCTTGACCCGCTGCCCGCCTTCGTACAGTGCGCGATCGATGGCCGCAGCAACCGTCAGCGTGCCGCCGATAACGGCGCAGACGCCGACAAGGAAGCCGGAGAAGGACTTGCCGCGCGCTTCGCGGTTGATGACTTTCATTGGGGAGATATCCTGGATCAGGGGCGTTAGTTGATTGTGGGATGATTTCTTGACCTGGAAATGTTCACTGAAGGGACAGGACAGAAATGAAGACAAAGATACGAATAGGGAGACGAGAGAGGGCAAAAGCAAGGGGAGAGATGAGCACTCACATAAGAGAAAAACACTCCCGGTATCCCGCCCCTAGCATGCAACCTCTCCTTGTGGCCCTCCGCGGCATCGCTCCCACCGGCCAAACTCCTCTTGTGGCTCGTAACGCTGTACTGATGCGTCTCAACGCTGCCCAAGTAGCCCATTCCCAGGCCTCCGAGGCCGATGCTGTCATGCGATAGCGACTCGCTTGCCGCCCGCGCGTCCAGCTGCTTCTGGCTGCCCTGCGTCTCCCACCCCAGCGGCAGATACGCCGTGGAAACCACCTTGACGAAGTACATAAAGTTGAACGCCTTGTCCTGCGTCACCATCTCCGTCCCATCAAGCGGATTCATCTTCTCGCCCATAACGCTCCCGCCACCGGGGCCTCCCTGCAGCCTCGCAAGCACGCTGTCCGGCAGCGGCGGCCCGAAGCGCAGCATGTGGATCCTGTGCGTGAAATCGTGCTTCCCCTCCTCTTTGAAGTAGTTCTCGAGATCGTGCACGTGCATGTTGCCATTGCTGAAGCTCTTGCCGGGGGCGAAGTGGAAGTTTCCGACCACCTTGTTGACCCGGATCAGGCCTTCCACGCGGCAGCCTTCGCGTCGCTGCGAGTCCAGGTGCTCGGCGTAGTGCTCACGCTCGCATTGCTCGACACCTTCGCCGCGGCCGAAGGACCACGAGACGGAGGCGTATGCGTCGCGGACTTCGTCGCAGGTGTTGCAGCACCCGGGCTTGGAGGCTGTTGGAGGTGAGGGCGCGCCGTAGCATTCGCCGCAGTAGTTGGGGGCGAGGTGGGTCGCGTCGTCTTTGTGGCTGCGGATCCGTCAGCGAAGAACCGAGGGCCTTAGGGCTTAGGGAGGGATGGAGTGGGACTGTGTAGAAGTAACGTACAGCTCAAGAGCCTTCGTCTCTATGACGCCGCCGCCATCGCTTTCAGGCGCCAGCCGCACCTTGTTTACGCCGTGCATGACGCCCGTCTGGATCTCGCCCGAGACGTCCATCACGTCGAGCGTGAGGAGCTCGCAGGGGATGCGCGGGAAGGAGATGTTCATGTGGATCTCCATCTTCTCGCCTGTATGTAGTTGAACTCTGTGTCAGCCTTCTGGTTCTTGCAGATGTTCCTATCGCAGCATCACCGCTCCGCCAGATCTACCTCCTAGCAGTGCGCAGCCTGCATACTCGCTATAGCCTAGTCTTTCTTGCTCATCACCAACCACCTCCCCTCTTCCCATCCCCCAAGCTCCGATTACCCCGTCCCCTCCCCTCCCCTCCCCCTTCACCTCTCCAAACACTCAACACCAAAACCTAGGAAACAAACCCACCTCTCCCCCTATCAACGACCAACTCCGCCTTGACCCCGATCCGTCTGTAGTCCGCCCACTCGCCCCAAACAAGCCATACCATGACCAGCAAACTGACAATCGTGACGATGCCGCCGCTCGTCGTCCGCACGCGCGCATCTTCCACCGTCTTCGTGAAGGCGTCCAGGCGCGTGAAGCGCGATTTCGCGGGCATCTTGCTCGGTTCCGGGGCCCGAGGGCTCGATGGGGTGGCGGGGGCGCTACGAGGCTGTGGAAAGCTGCACGGAAGTTGCGAGGATGGGGGCGGGGGGTGGTGTACTGCGGCGTAGGAATTGGATCGGAGGCGTGGTGGAGAAGATACTGGACTCGAAGGAGAGATGAGGGTTCGAATTGGGTGGGGTCGAAGAAGGTGGGCGTAGGCGCGGAGCTGTGCAGTTGTGCAGCGAGTGTATTTCCAGCGTGTGTGCTGGGTGGGCCTCGGTTCTCTTTCCTGCTGTGCGCTTCTTAGGTTGTGCTCCTCGACAACTTCCTACTGAATTAATTGCGACCGTTCGCGCGATTGCGCCAAAAGAATTGTTGATAGCGAGCGGCTTGGGTTACGGTTGGAGATATATTTGGCCCAGAAAGGCCACCATGGCAGAATTCCGGGGTCCGCATCTCAGCCGCGTGGTGTTCGCGCATGCCGAACCGCGAGGGTCGCTTGGGTGCTGTTCCTGGGCTAGCCCTTTCAGTCGTCCAAAGACTGATTCCTCACAAGACAAGGTTTCAGCATGAATCATCCATATGAGGACAACGAGGTCTGGAAATGCTAACTGGCGTTCTGGTTCGCGCCTCTATCTATGCTACGCTGATGCCATGCTGCGCGAAGTGCACCGATAAACTGAGTTCTACTGGGTATCAGGCCGTGACTGTGTACATTAAGTCGTCTAAGCACCTCCGCCTATTCCATTAACCATGAACGCCTACAGAAAACCTCCCAAGATAGTTAAAGGAAAACATGGCTACCCGCGAGCGAGCGGCAGCCACCGCTATGATGTGGAGCAGCCCTTGCGGATGCGGTGGATCATGCAAACTCCCGTTACACGGAAAGTGGTAGCGTAGCGTAACGACGCAGGAGTTGCACAACGCATTGTGTCGGCTAGTCCAGGTAGTCAACGGCGGCGCTGGCCGGTGCGGTCCCTTTCACGCTCATTCCTCCATGAGCGAAGAGTCAGACGAATCCTCGTCCAGCTCCTGGTCCATGCCATACTGATCCAGAGCTTCCGTCGGGAACCCAGAGAACGTAGGTGCGAAGTTATATCTTCCCATCTCCGATCCTGCATCGCCGCCCATGTGGTCATGTGGCAGAGGCAGCGGCGCCGTGGTCCGCTCCGCAGGGACGCCCGCATTGCTGACCTGTAGTTGAGCCAGCAGAGGTTTTTCGGCGAGGTTGCTGAGCATACCACGCGAAGCATCGAGCATCTGCACGGCGTAGTCGAGGAACTCTGCGCGCTTACTGCTGACACTCAGCGTCCACCTGTACTCGCGCAGTCTAGTCTTGTAAAAATCTGCTTCCTCTTTGGCGGGAGCGGTGGCCCAGAGGAGACTGCCGAAGGTGCCGATCAGAGTGAAGTTGATCTTCGAGGCAAAGTACCAGAAGGATTGCAGATGCTCGGGCTTGAGACGGTTGACGAAGTCCATGGCGGAGATGAGGCGAGTCTTTGCTGCAGATCGGCAGATGTACATGAGATATGGGTCGGCTGTTTCTTGGTTGAGCGACTGAACGATCCGGCGGTGGAGTGTGATCTCCGTAGCAAAGTATGCTAGATGCAGAGAGCCTAGAGAATGTCAGCTTGAGTTCATGTAGTTCTGGATACGAGAAGCTATTTACCATTCGGAGAAAGCCGGCCTCCGTTGTAGCTGTCCATCTTACAAGAAGCCGGTAACTTCGCGAACCAGTCTTTGAGTTTGATCTGGACTGGCTTCGCTCTCTCCAAGATCAATCTTGTGGAATTCTTTCCCGCCACCTCGAAATCTGAAATGGCCACTTGGGTATAGAATGTGTCCATAACCTCGGCCATGATGCGAGTAAGAGCGATCATCTGAGCAAAGTGCGTCTGCCCTCTCTCTTCCTCCGCCTTGTCCTCCTTGGATGAGTTTTCAATGGGTGAGTTTGTGAGTCGCTCGTCCTCATAGTCCTCCTCGCTATTTGGTTTGACCGCCCAGTTTGCGCTAAATATATGAGATGGCCGACCGTGGATGAGCGAAGACCACTTGTCCTGCATATACAGTGCCCATGCTAGACGTTTTCGCAATCCACGCTCCCATGGAGGGATTGACCAATTAGAGCAGTCCAGATGCAGCCCTAGCTCTTGACCAATGGCAACGAGTTGTGTAGTAAGGCTCCACGAATCAGCGTCAGGCCTCTGAAGCAGCAACAGCCCTGCCTGGACGGTCGAGAGTTTCGGCCTCTGCATTGAACTTGCAAGCCATTTGGAGGCAAGAGCTTCAAGTTTCCTTACATCAGGCTTTGGGAGTGGGGCCAGCCTCGGGTCGGATAACCACCAGTTAAGCGCCAAGATGTAGATACCGGCCAATAAAGACGGCGACAACTGTTGATCACCACTGCGGTGCCGCTCGATATATAACTGCTTCTGTATGACGGGAAAGCTCGGGTGTACGACGCGGAAGTAGAGGTCAAGCAATGCGGGGCCATGAGGCGCAACGATCTGCTCGACGGCCCTAAGCGCTTCTACCTCGTCTCCATATTCCCGGGTGGTGTCGTCTGACAACATAAGGAAGCATTCATTATTGGTGACCCGCCTGAGTGTGCCAAGATTGAAGCTGCTTTCGTTGCGCTTGTCGAACTGGGCGAGACCAATGATTCTAGAGTCGTAGGGAGTGGTTGGCCCAATGTACCTGCAGTGCTGACTCCTCTGCAAACCAATGGTCTCGCCGAGGGTCTCGAAGTGTCTTGGGGTCGTCGGTGATTTGGGCGGGCTACTAGCGGGAGGCGTGATGCTGGTTGCCTGCACTGCAAGGGGAGGAGAAACAGATGTGACGGATCTGCAACCGGATCATGAGCATATGGACTCCGCAAGCTTCAATACCACACTCGACCTACCTCTTCTTAGACACTTCCTCCTTGTTACCGTCGCCCGTAGGCTTCCTCTTGCGCGGCACAGGGCTTTGCACAAAGGTGCACTCCTGCTTGTGGAACTCGCACAACACACAGAGCACTGCTCCCTCGTGAATCACACAGCGGCTCTTCCTCCTCCTGCAGGCGTCGCAAGGCCTCTCTCGACGGGTCCTGATATTGTTGACCACTCCTACGGAGACAGGCTTGACTTGAATCAAGTTCTCCTTTCCTGACATAGGAGGACGCTTGGGTTTTGGGCGTGCAGCGGCGATAGGTACAGGATGGGGACGTGGCATGGCTGGCGGCATAGCAATGGCAGTGGTCATATTGGCTTCGGGTGCGGTTTCTCGCTCCGCAAGGCTATGGATCGGCGGAGATAACGGCAGGAGGATATCGGACAGCGTGCCAGGCTGAGTATGGGTCGGCCCTGCAACGACAGGCAGCTGCTGTATGCGTACTGGAAAGCCGTTGTCAGTCCGATGGAGTGCTCAAGCTCGTGCCTCGGACACAACCGACCAGTCACACTACAAACGGACTCACTGATACTGCGCTGCAACAACCCGTTGCGGATAGCTTATCTGGTTGGAGTACCAAAGAGCAATGCCTAAACCTAACCGGCGAACAAAAGTAACCAGAATGTGACAAGAGAGCGATAGGTAACTAGGGCCCTAAATTGCCTGCGATAGCTGAAACTAGAATCAAGTGGTTGATGGTTCTTTGGGTCATGCCTCTTCTCACGCGCGATGTGCTGAGGTGCCGCTGTAGGCTTGCTTGATGGCGAAACTTGAGGTTTGGAGCGAGAGGAAAGGCATGGATGAACAGCGCTCTGCGGTCGCGAGGCCTCAGCAGCAGCAGCAGGGCGCCGTGTCTGTCTCGGTCTTTTGAAGGCGACATGGGGATGCAGGCGCTGGTGAGGTGCTTGTTGGAGCAGTACGTAAGAATATTCCCAAAAGAATAGAGTTGTGTAATGCAATGAGCAGGCCCAGCCTTAACTGTCGTCCGTGAGCTGCTTCGATAGGAACAAGGGCAGATCGTTTGGAGGCGCTTCAGAGATAAGGGAGATGGGCGGCCGTTCATTGGTGCAGGCCGGCCCTCCCCCACAACGAGTGCACACAGGAGGCGGGACGGGCGGAACACCGCTGTGCTGCTGCCGGAGTTTTGCTGACAGGCTCTTTTACAAACCGCGCCTTGACCGAGATGCGTGGCTGGTGTTCGGACCCTATCCAACGTGTTGCTGAGGGTTTGCGGGGAGCTCGCAGACGATAGCACCGCCGATGGTGGAGCCGCGTGGATAACAACGACATGCATCTCAGGATCTCAGCTGTCGCTCACCGCCCGGTGCCACAACTCTCGGGAGAATGCTCGACCGTTGGGGGCGACGTCGAGCTCGTGACAACGTTTTCGTAATCCATCTAGCGGGCACACAGCGGACGCTTCACATGCTTGAGTTCTCGGTCTAGAAGATCGCGTCGCTGAAGAGGTTTGTGGGGGATATTCGATACTGGCCACGCACAGGGATGCAGCAACACGGCTTCCTCTCCCCGACCAAGGGATCCCGTGAACCCGAGATGCACGACATCGAAGGCGGAAATGAAGCACGTGAGACGCATGAACTGATTTCCCCATTCGGACGAACTGTAGGAAGAGATAGGGCATCAGTACAGCTGTTTAGCTAAAGCAAGAAGGTTTAACAAGCACGCAAGGAAGCTTGGTAGTTTAGCTGGTTTACTCTACCCATATTGCCGCGAAACTTGAATACCAAAGTCGTTTCTCCTAAGAGTGTCGCTCATCTTGATAACATGAGGAAACTGCATTATTCGTCGTAGTCATTTATTCAATTTCAGCTGGGAATGGAAGGGCAGGCCGCCGGTTTGGAGATACTGTGTGGTTTCTCCAATGCAAATTGAGATGCACGGCATCGAAACTCAAGAAGTAGGTAAGAACACTCAACAATAACGCCTTTTGTCATTCTAGCTATACTGCCGCGAAGTTCGAAATCTATGCCAGTCTCCCTTGACGCCTCGCTCATGCCAACAAGAGAAAACCATCTTAGTCTACTTACCAATCCTGTATACGACTTTTGCTCTACAGTCTTTTTACCTCTACGCTTTGTTTCTCTCGGCATCAGTCTCTTTCTGCTCATGGATGAACCCTTGTTCGGTCTCTAGCGCCCTATCTAGGGCCAGAGGGCGAATCCAGAAGCTCGCGACGAACGCGATGAAGCTGATGACGCACAGCACATACCAGACACGCTCCAAGGCGTCCGTGTAGGCGATGCGGAGGTCAAGCTTCTGCTCCAGCCCGTCTGGCATGTGCTTGATGATCTCAACTAGGCCGCTGGCGTCCCTAGAGTATTCCTCCGCCATGTCAGCGAGCAGAGGGTACGTCAAGAGCTCCTTCTTCATCTGGTTCTGGAAGATGACTCCGCCGACGGCGACGCCTACTGTCTGGCCAAACGCCCGGATGAACGTGAACATGGCGACCGCGTGAGCCTGGTCTTCGTTCGAGGCGGCGGCTTGAGTAGCCATAGCCATGCTTGGGAACAGCATACCCGTGCCCAGACCGGAGATAATGTTCATAAAGACCCAGCCTACAGTGCTCGTGTCCTCCTCGAGCTTGATGAGGATGCCACAGCCGAGAGTTGTGAGGAACCAGCCAGTCCAAACTGCCCACCTCCAATGGCCGGTGATGCTGATCGCAGCTCCGGTGACGATGGACATGACTGGGACGACAAAGGTCTGTGAGAACAAAGCTACGCCCGCCGTGATTGGCGTGAGGCCCTTGACCGCTTCGAAGTAAAGAGGTAAGTAATATAAGATGCACCAAAGGAGGACGCCATGACAGAAGGTTCCAAGGTATGTTACGGCAGCGGTCCGACTCTTGAAGACGCTGAGCCTGATCAATGGCTCCGATGCTACGTACTCTTCGTAAAATACAAACCCGACGAGAGCCGCGCCGCAGATGATGAGCGGTCCGAGTGTCCGCCAGCTGGACCAGTCGTACATGACCCCGCCCCAGGACAGTGGGATGAGGAAGCCAGTCGTCGCGCCAAGGAAGACGACGGTGCCGATCCAGTCAATTCGCTTCAGCTTTGCGAGCAGCGAGCTGTTCTTATAATGAAGATTAAGGAAGAAGACGACCATGGGGGCGCCGATACCGATGAAGGGCAGGTTGATCCAGAAGATCCACCGCCAGGAAACGCTTTGGGCGAATCCACCGCCTACATCACTGTGTCAGCTGGCTTCTTCACATACATCTATGGATGAATACATACCGAGAAGTGGACCGACAACCGTGCCAATGGCCCACATCGAGCTGATGAACGAGAACCATTTGCCCCGCTCCCTCAACGGAACAAGGTCAGTCACGACCATCTCACTCATGCAGATGATTCCGCCGCCGCCGATACCCTGCACGGATCTGCCTACGAGGAGAACTGTAAAGTTGTTCGCCACCGCCGCAATGATGGCTCCGGCGAGGAACAGTGCAAGGCTGGCGAGGATGATAGGCTTCCGTCCGAACACATGGCTGAAGGAGCCCAGGACCGGGAGGAACACCGTAGAGGTCAAGAGAAACGAAGTTCCGGACCAGAACGCCTGGATAGCGGTGCCTTTAAGTGCTTTAGCCATGATGGGCAGGGCTACGGAAAGGGAAGTTGCGTCAAGGGCAGCCATCAGCGAGATGATGGAAAGGGAAGCGAAGGCGAGGTAGAACCGCCATCCTGGGTTGAAAGGCGCTACGGATACAGCACTCTCAGGAGTCTCAGGGCGTTCGAGAGAGGTCGCAACTTGTACAGGATAGCCAGTGTGGCTGGGACCTTTCGAGTCGGCTTTGGGGATCACTTCGATGATTTCCCTTGAGCAAACGGTAGAAGAGTCGGAAGAGGACATGGTGGTGACGTCCGCTTGGGCTCACTATGCTTGCTGATCGGCAAGGCCAAAGATGGTAGAATTGTGCTAAGAACACGTATGCGTTGTAAGGACAGGCTACTGTGCTGTATGCCGGATGACTTGCTGCTTCTGATGCCTATAGACGTCGATCACATCCAGATATATACATCATCTAGGAAGTTGGCTACCACACCACGTGTGAAGGTCGTACATGGGCCTCTTCCATCTCTCAACGGAGACGGCGGCGGTAGTGGAGTAGCCGACGGCATAGATCTACCATATCCCTTCAATTCACGGAAATGAGGCAGAGTTGCAGTACAAGGATGGTCTGCACCACCACCTGTTCCAATCAGCTTGTCCAACTATGAACTCGAAGTCTTGGACGTCATGAAACCGCTGGGTGACAGACCCAGAGCTTTGTAGAGGGAACCTCCAGTAATAATCATAGTAAGTTTATTTATGGTGTTGTGCTTTTTAGCTCTCTAGAATTTCACAGCTCACGCACAACATATCACCCAGATTTTGGTATAAGCCAAATGGTCAATGTTCTGCTCGTCAAAATGTACACTGTAGCTTCTTCCGGTGCAAAATCCACCTCATTTGCCTCAAGAATACTGCAGGTTTCGAGTGCTTCCAAGCACAAGGCGCATTTGGTAAAGCAGAAGTAAAAGTACGCTGCCGCTCTGGACCTGCATATTCCCTACACGGGGCAGCAATACATTCTTTCTCCGACCGTTTGCGGAATCACGTGCCTGGAGCGGTCGACTCTGATTTATCTCTTGGCACGGATCAAGAAAACTCACCAACCTGACACATCTCCGCGTACCCACGCAGCTTACATCGGGCATGCACAAGTTGTTGCCAGGCAGTTCGGTTCATACACTTGTTATCGCAACTCGGTTTCGGGCGCGACTATGAAACCCAAGACCTGAAGGAACCAGCGGTGCGACCGAGCCAGCCTTTCGGGTCTGGGTGGAAGCTGGGAACATAATTCCATTTCAGAATACCATTATCGAAGACCGAATTAGGCCATTCTTTGGAGCTATACACTTGCAACGGCTCTGCTTCTACCCTAACGGTCCAGAGCGGTGCGCGAAACTCAAAGTGGGCGAACTGACTTATGCTGTCTTTCTGAGACCGGCCATTGCTTTGTTGTACCTATCCTGTGTAGGTGCCATCACCATCGGCGCGCGAACCCTCTCCCTGCCCTATGTCACATTATGTGCCGTGTTATACATTTTGATGGAGTTCTTGGTACTAGTCGCACATACGTACAAGCCACATGATTATCTGGTGAGATAACCCGCCGGCAGTAGGTGATGCATACTTTCCTTGAGACCTTTCTATCTGAGTGAATATTCCATTCTATATTTCTGAGCGGATTCTTGTGCCAAACAGTAAGTTGGTCGATGCTCTCTCTCAATGCCGCTGTCACTTTGTCGGTTTGTTGTTTTGCTCAGCTTTGGCACGGAATCAAAGCGTTCTTTGTTGTCGAATACAATGCTCGACTTGCACCGCTTCTCAGATGCATCTAGCACGTGGAGTTTTGAAAGCCTTTGTTGTATACGCATTCTCCTCGCCACAGTCAGGCCGGAAACGTGCACTGGTCCCACCTCAACCTCCGCATCCGGCCAAAATTGCTAGAAACAGTACCATGATTATGAAGGCCAAGTACCACAAGCAGGCGTACTCGGCCGACTCGAAAAACTTACCCATCTCTTTTTCTGTCGATGGCTTGAAGAAACCAGTTCCATCCTTTCGGGCATTCATGAAGACAGTCCCTCCAAATCCACAGGCGTGGAAGGCTTTGCCGCCTTCGCCAGATAAAGTTGCTGCAGAGAAGCCGACAACGCCGAAACACAGACGCTCGTCCAGCGTTTACAGCCGGGCGGTGCAATCGTGGGAGGTTCCGAAGTCGTGGGAGTACCCAGAAGTTCCGCCGTTACCACGGATACCCTCGCCATGGGAGTACGAGGAAGTCCCTCCGATACCGAGCAAGTTCGTGCCACAGACTAAAGCCAATGTTGTTAGCAGTAGTCGATCTCCAGGGTCGAATCAGCCTTCCCTTCCCGCTCACGAGCTACGAACATATTCGCCTTTGATACCGGACCCCTCTTCCAGTCCATCCACTGTATCCGCACGCCCGGCGTCATCCCTGCACTCTAACTCCCCCATCCAGGAACAAGCTCCTGTCCAAAATCACCCACCTCCTGCACAGTCTCCGCAGAGCTACCAGAAGCCTGGAGTTCAAGTGCAGGATTTCGGCGCAGCCCAGGCCTCTTATTTCACCACCGGGTTTGGGAATCAGCACCGCGAAGAACACGATGGCGTGTCACTCTCTAGTTCACCGGCTCCTCCGACGCCAGAAGACCGCTCGACGGCATCACGGTCTTCGTCACCCGATCGTGCTGCATCCGCTTCGCTACGAAGTCCGACACGTAAGTGTCAGCCGCAGGATACTGTTCAAGATAGGCGCGATAATGCGCCTGGTTCATACGGCACGGAGTCCTCTCCTGTAAGAGGGCGCGGGCTCATACCGCATGCGCCGCCGCGAACGCAGTATTACAACCACTACATAGAGTCGGATCAACGCTACAGCCTAACCAAGGCGATAGCGCGCAGATCGAGCGTAGACGATGCAGAGGACGAGTGGGAAGACGAAGACGAAAAGGCGCATCGGCAAAGTTTGGCGAAAGAATACCACAGCACGCTCGCTGAGCAATACAGGGACCTTTGTGTGCCGCAGCCTGGCGTATTTGACGCAGAGTGGAACAACGATCCAGATAGTGAAGACACTGGGAGAGACATCAAGCTCGTACCTGAGCCTTTGTTCTACAAGCCCGCGGTTCACATCCAGCGGCCCAGTGTCGCAAGCTGCAGGGCGGAAGAAGATACCAAGCGAGATAGCAGACAGAGCAGTGGTCTCAAGGCGCATTTGAAGTTACCGTCGCTGTCTGAAGGACCACTGAAGCTAGCGTTGCCACAAAGAGCCCGCCGAAACAGCAGCACAACTGGCTTGATTCCTATATCGCCGCCCTTCGATAAAATGAGCTATTCCGTCGAACGTAAAGTAGCCGTGTCAGGTATCAGAGCTGCCACTCAACGTCGCCGCAACAACGGAGCATCCGTCAGAGTATCCGCGTATTACCCCCGGACCAAGCCAGCTACTCCCCCGAAGGGCAGAGTCAAAATCAGAGGCAAGAAGTCCAAGGCCCAGACGGAACACATCCCACCACTCAAGCTGCAGCTTCTGGAGTCCGTCGCCTCGACTCCACGAACGCGCTCAAACGCATCAAGCATATCCTCCATACACAGCGAGGCACCATCCGACCCCATCAAGACCCCAGCCGGCGTACGCAAACCTCCCCTCCGCGCAGACACATACCCATCACCCTTCAAGCCCCCAGCCCTAGCGCGCACGCCGTCCCCCCGCCGCCTCCCCCAAAACGCCCAATCCCAACCCCTCTCCCTCTCCCGATCGCGCTCCCCGGCCCGCCGCCCCCGCATGCCCCGCGACCCCAAAATCGGCCACATCGACCACGACTACCGGCACCAGACCGACAGCGGGACACCGCTCTACCCGTTGTCCCCCCACCCCTCTCCTCACCCGTCTCCGCGCCCCTCAGACTCCCACAACCGGCCGCTGCCGCAGACGCCCGACATGAAGTTCCCGAAACTGCTGGACCGCGCGGACACGCCGCCGCAGACGCCAGCGCAGCGGCACAGGCGGGAGGGCAGCAGGGCGGAGAAGGTGGTCGCGGGCGTGCAGCAGGTGTTCCATCGGGCGAAGAGGAGTGTCGAGAGTGCGCATTCCGCGGGCAGTGGTGGGGGAGGGGGGCCGCATTTGCCGTTTGTGCATGAGCAGAGGGCAGCGGCGGGTGGGAAGGCGCTGCAGCCGCAGTTGGTGCGGCGGGAGACTTTTCCGGTGGGTAGAGGGGAGAGGGCGGAGAAGCGGGCGGAGAAGAAAGGTCCGGGTTTGCCGTATCGGCCGTCGTTGTTCGAGAAGGCGATGGGGGCGAGGAGTGAGGCGAAGGCGGCGAAGCGGAGGGAGGAGATCAAGAAGAGTATCAGGGTCGTGGGACGTGGGGATCTGAACGCTGGGGGCGGGGTAGGATGAGGAGGAACAAGCTGTTTCCGTTTCGCGTTGACGGGGTCTAGGGTTTCGTGGGAGGAGCGAGTAGCAAGTCCAAGACAGGTGTATACGTTAAAATAATATGTACTCGACCGCGTTACGACGTCGTTTTGCGTGCGGAGAACCCAAACATCATCTACCACCCTCACTATCCAAGCATGTTCTTCTAACCCAAAAGATGTTCTTCCCAGCACCATCCCTCTTTCCCTCCCTCAACTCTGCACCTACTTCCAAATCTTCCACCCAGCCTTCTTCCTCAGCGGCCGGTCAGCCTCATAACCCCTCGGATCATCGTACCCATACCTCTCCCCCGCGCCCTCCGTCCTCCCCGCATATCCACCGGGCGGCGTGATCGACCCCTCCGATCCCTCATCTCCGTACTCATCCTCCTGTCCGTACTGGCTCCCTCTATACCTCGTCCTTATCGGCATCTGCTCTCCCCTCGCCATAGGCAGCTGTTGCTGCTGCATCTGCTGCGGCTGCGGCGGCATCTGCCTCGGCGGCGTCCCTCTCGGCGGCGTCGCACGGTCCACAAACACACCGCCCGCGATTGCCGGAGGTGGCGGTGGCGGGCCCTGCCCCTGCATCTGGGCCTGGGCCTGAGGGTGGGACTGCGGCGGCGTGTTTCTGTACGGCTGCGACTGCGAGTACGACGGCTGCCGCTGTGGGACTTGGTCTCTGCTCCGTCCGTAGTCGCGCGAGAGGCGCCGGAGGAGGCCGCCGACGCCCCCCGTGCCTGGGCGGGCTGGGAGGGGCTTCTCCGTCTGAGGTGGAAGCCGCTGTGGTTGTGGTTGTGGTTGTGGTTGTGGTTGCATCTGCATCTGCGGTTGCATTTGCGGTTGTGGCGGAAGCTCTCTGCGTGCGGGTGCGGCGCCGAAGTCTCTGGGCTCCGTGCGGGCGTCTCTCTGGCCGTCGGCGCCGAAGCCCGCAGGGTGGACGGGCGGCGGGTTTACGGAGCTGTTCCTGTGGCTGTTGTCATCGTCGTCAACGTCGCTGCTATGGGAGCTCTCAAAGCTACGATTGTGATGCCTGGCCACCGCCTTCTCATGCTTCGCTTTGCTACCCAACCCCAGCACCCCTAGCACGCTCTTCCGTCTCTCGCCTTCTGTGTTATGGCGCACGGGCTCCACGTACCCCAGCGCAGGAACCAGCAACCTGTACGGCGTCGTGATGCCCGCCGGGTCCTTCTGGCTGACCTCGACATTGAGCACGATGTCCAGGCCACCGCTCAGATCGATGTGGCCGCCCCTTCCGTCGCCGCCAGCCTCGGCAGCGCGATCCCATGCACCACCTCGACCCGCGGCCTTCTCACTTAGGCCGGTCGGCTTCCGGTGGAACGGGTTAGGCCGCGGCGGCTCCTGCGGCGGCGGGAAATAGCTGTTGTCCGTGTCGTCCGGACGCTGTGGCATCCCGCCTGCGCTTGAGGAACGCCGCTGTGGGGGCTGTTGGCGCTGTTGCGGACTGTAGGGGTCCAGCTCCGGTGCGTTGTTGTAGTAGGCTGGCGGGGGCGGCCCGCGCTCGCTGCGAGAGAGCCGGCGCATTAGGTTGCCTGGGCGGAAGTCGGCACGGGTGAGGGAGTTCGTGCGAGACAGCTTGCCTGGTGGAGGCCGGCTCGGGTCGTAAGGGCTCTCGGCGGAACGAGGTGGTGATACGGGACGAGACGGGGGAGGCGTGCTGCCCGGCTGGTATTCGCGGATCGAGCACCAATTGCGACGCGGCAGGAGATGGTGGTTGTTTCGGGGTTTGCCGTCGACGTCGTGGGTGAAGAGCGGGATCATGTCTTCGTCAGTGTCGCGGTCGAGATGGTGGACTTTGTTGCGCTTGTTCAGCACGTCGGCCATCAGCTCCGGGGGCGGCGTGTTGACAATGGCTGAGCAGATGACGTTTGGCATGTAGCGGTGGTCGCGATCTTTGGGTATGCCGAGCTTCTTATTGCTGTAGAACTGGCCGCAGGCGGCAAGATGCACATCCCCGCCAAGGATGGTTACACGGATAGACTTCTCTGCTGCGAGATCTTGCAGGTCGCGTATGAACTCGTTGCGCTCGCGTTTGTGATGCTTGGCTGTCCAGTGGTCGTCAAGGTCATCGAGAATCTCGACACCCCCGTCAAACTTGTTAATGAAGCCGCCTAGCAATCCAGCGCGGCCGATCGCTTTGATGGGATCCATGAGGCGGGACGTCAGGACGTTCTCGACGAAATTGAGGCGAGGGTACGCAATGGGCTACGGCTTTGTCAGCTTGATGGTACCAGTCTACGATTCAATCACGTACCACGCCAAGTAAGACGATGAGATGCTTGGTCTCGCCCTTGGTAATCTCCCTTCTACATCGCTCGAACACAAGCTCGTATGTCTCCTCGCTGAGAATTTCGTCTCTCATCCTCTCGGTCCTGCAGTCCAGGGCCAGGAAAGACACATGCTTGCCTAAAGACAAGAAGATGCTGCGGCTTAGCTCGTTGATGTACGGCCCAGGTGACGCGCCGAGCAGCCAAGAAGGCTCTTCTTTTGACGATTCATCGACTACACTCTGCTGCTGGAAGAGCATGTAATACTTGAAGGCGACAGCGCCGACACCAGTAAAGACAGGCGTGCTCATGAAATGGTGGGGGTACGATCCAAAGCCCTGTGGCGTGTCAGCAGCGGAACCTTGGTCGGAGAACACAAAGCCTTACGTCTATTATATCGTGGTCGTCCCACATGTTGATCATCGGAATCTGAGAATTCGCCATTCCAAACAGACCTTGAGAAAACCACATAGCGTATCTATTGAGATAAAAGTCCTCGAGCTCATCCTGCATCTCCACTGTGAATTGAGCCGAATGCTTGTGGACCGGATTCTTCGTTGCCAACCAGTCCTGAAACAGTCTCGTCTGGCGCATGGCAGCATCATTGTAGATTTGGTCTCCACCTCCAATCATTACGTGAAAAGGTCGTATCTGATGGTTGTTCAGGACATCGCGCCACATAGGATCCGGTCCTGAGAACACATCAGGGTTTACGCTAACACTGAAACCGTTACAGCTGTGGAACATGATGTGCATGGTCTGGCCTCTTGCGGGGACCCAGAATCCGACGGCCGGACCGCTGTTGATACGATAGGCGATCCTTGTCTGATGTGCGCCTAATTCGACCTCGAGGTTGAATCTCCAGAATGTCACGCCCCTTTCGGCATGCAATCGGTGGGCTCTGACTTCGCGGTACTTCTTGGCTCTCTCGCCGTCCCTTTTGCGAAACCTGGACCTGGCAATATCGGCCTGGGTCCTGGTTTGCTGCCCATTGTGAGATCTGCCGTTTGTGTATGGGGGACTTGGAGACTCTTCGAAGAGACCGCTGTCGTCTTCGATCCGAGACAGGTCTTTCTCCACCTCCAGATCCTCGACCGGCCGGACGTAGAGCGTCTTTCCAGTTCGCGACATCTTAATGTGGCCGGCCAGGGGGTCCACGTACTCTGGGGCAAGCTGCTGCCCGCTCGAGGCGTCAAGGTGCGCTGGCGGGGGCGGCAAGAGATCCATAGGCTGTACGAAGAGTCGCAAAGTTGGCGGAGTATCGTATACGGAATGCTTGTCAATCGTGACTATCATAGCGCTGCCCCGCCATATCTCTTTCGCTCCCTCTCTTCGCATACCCGTGTATCGCAGGAGTGGTCCGCACTTGAGGTACAGTGGCGGATTAAAAGAGGTCTGTCCAGCAGGCTGATCGTAGCCGCCATCGTAAGAAGAGGTGCTAGTGGTAACGGTCTGAGGGACTGCACCGCCACTTCTCCGCCGCTGTGAGCCGCCGCGCTCCCACCAGGGTGGGTCTGTGTCGGTAGCTCCAGGTGCAGCATTGGTGTCCGGACCGTCCACGGTAAGATCATTGCTTCTCAAACTGGCTATCCCAGCTTGTCTCCATTCTTGCAGCGGCTTCGGCGCTAGATAACGCCTTTCAGGATCGTGATCGCGATGGAAGGCGTGTCCAAGATGATGGTGGTGCTTCTCGTGCGGTGGAGATGCCATCTGTTCCGGATCAACCGATCCAAAGCCGACTCTATCTCGAGCCACCTGACCGCCATGCGTTTGCGGAGGGATGTCATATTTTGGGGCCGTAGGATGAGGGTTTAGCACAGCTTCTGGCGGCACAGGATCAGGCTCCAGATGCTCTTTGGCTGCTTTGAGGGCTCGCTTCTTCCCCATGCGCTCTGTACCAAGCTGCTTCTGTGCTGTGGGCTTGTCGGACACGTCTCTGACGCCAGTTGATCTCTGGTAGTCTGAATGTGGATCTGTCGAAGCTCTCGTAGGCTTCTCGGGACCAGTGTCAGGACGAGTGCCTGGCGTATCTGAATGCTGTCCTGGATGCCTCTGTTCACTCATACCGGACAGGCCCAGCCCAGCAGCTGCACCAGCGCCTCCCACAACGGCGGCACCGCGACCAGAGAGTTGGTCTTCGCGGGGCCGCTCTGGCGCGTCATTACGAGCAGCAACGGATCGTTCCTTGAAGCTGGCGCCTCGTTGAACTCCGCCATTGGAGTCTCTCCTTTTGCGCAAGACATTCCGCTCGCCTGAGCCGTCACTCTGGCGTGACGACCTGGTCCGCTGTGGCTTTGGAGGTTCGGCTGGTGGCGCCTGTGCTGGTGCTGAAGCGGCTGCGGATGCGACTTCGGCTCCTCCTCCGGCGCTGTAATACCGCGTCAATCGCGGAAGGCTTTGCTGCGCTTCAGGGTTCCAAGGTGGACCGAAGTCGATAACTCCCTTTTCTGGGTGCTCGGCATCAACCAGTCCTTCGATCGGAGCAGACACATGCCGCCGACCGCTCTGTGTCCTTGCGAGCAATGGCTGAGATGGTTCCGGCCCAGAAACCACGCGAAACGGCGCAGAGCCTATGGCTGCGCCGCGGCTTTGACGCGTACCTCGCCCAGTCGTAGCTCTTTCCTGCGCCTGAAACTCAGCTTCCTGTACCCTGGCACGCCTCTCCTCTTTGCTTATGTCGTCCAGCTTGCCTTCGAGGGTTTGTAAAGGTGATCTCCCCGGCACTGACTCACGTCTTTGCATCCCAGAGCCTGATAATGAGCCACTCCTCAGCTTGTCTTTGTCGCCAGGTGCTACGGAAGGGAGTGGTGAGGCTAGGTTGGCTGAAGGCTCGTAGGGTCGTGGTGGTATATACAGATCCGGTTGCTGCGCTTGCGATCTGGAAGAGCGATGCTTTGTATCATGAGTGCGCATGGGTGGAGCACCGTATTGATCATTGTACAGCACCGGAGGAGCGCGAGACGAATTGGCAGCTACCAGGTTAGTCGGCGGTGGTCCGCTGTTCGTAGCGGGATACGGCTGGCTTTCTCGACGCCTGTGCGACGCGGATGCCGACGCCGACGAATCATTGCGGCCGGTCGATGCGACTGGTTTGCGCGGGATAGTCGCCGGAGCAGGCGCATATTGCGGTATCACCGGCGACTCCTGTTGCTCGAGCGTGTCCTGCTGCGACGCTTCTATGGCCCTTCGGTAAGATGACCGCCGCCCATGCTTGTAGTAGTCGGGCGCCGCGAACGAGCCAGTGTACGGCTCATTTGAGGCTGCTCCTCCTCGAGATCCTCCACCGTCCATGTTGTGTGTCCTACCTGCGTTTCAGCAACAATCCTAAGCTCTTTCCGTAGACTGGGCACAGGCGCAATGCGCGCGCTGCGGAACCAGCGGGACCAGAGGGATAGACCGTCTCTAAGCGGTCGCGCTTGCCACAGCAAGCTACGCTGAGGGCCGGCAGTGTCGATGCTGCCGGATAGGCTCGACGTGAGGAAGCGGCTTCCAGTGTCAGAACATGGTGACGAATGGAGTCTGCCACGGACAGGGTATGATGGACGCGGACTGGGGATCACTTGGTTGGCAGCAAAGACGGAGCGACTGAGAGAAGCAAAACGGACGGCAAGTAAGCAATGGCGAAGCAGAGCAAGAGAGCTACCTATGTACAGGGACAAAAGCGATGTACGGAGGTACGGAGACGGGGGTTGGTGATGCGGTTGAGGCTCCGGACCAGCCACAGCATCTCGACATCAACGAACCTGATTGCTCGAACGGGGGAGCGTGGCCATAGCTCTATGCAGTTGTCCTGCGTGCGCAACAGTTCGTCGCCTGCAGCTTTGCGCCTGGTCGCCTGTTCTCAGGCGTGGATGAATTGAGCGGAGGCTCCTAGTTATCATATCCAAGTGAGGCAGTGAAGTTCTTTGACGGATTGCGCAATGCTGCCAACGTGGAATGCCCATGCTAGGTGGTGTTTTGATTTGTGCTCCCCTTGGAGCTGCTCCACGATCCCTCGATGATCCACCCTCAGCCACCCGTCCCCTTGGTCCCTTCGCCAAGCCTTATTGAGCCCGTCTGACATTGAAACTTTCCAGTTTCCTACCGTTGCTTACCTGGCTTCAACAGAAAGAGAAAATCTTGTCCCGGTGCTGCATCGCTAATACTGCATCTCCACGCGTTCTGTTGTTTCGAGCGTCTCCACTTTGTGCGACGGCTTGCGTTGGCCCTCCGAAGCCTCCCAGCCAACACCCTCCCAGCGAACACCCTCCCTCAGGGACCCTCCTCAACCGCCTCATGGATACGACATCGCCCTGACCTCTCTCGAACACACTGTGCTACCTGCTGCAGCAATGCGCATCTCATCAATATGGACACTGCTAGCCGCCACGTGCTCCGTGTCCGCTCAGGCCTTCCCGCGGAGGGATTACCAGACCTACGATTACTACGCTGTACACCTTGACCCGTCCATATCTCCTTACAAGTTATCTACACATCTCGGTCTAGAATACGACGGGAAGTTGGGCGAGCTAGAAGACCACCACGTTTTCCGCTCATTGCGGCAGGATAGGGACGTTGTAGAGGATGCGGTAGAGGATCTCAGACGTAGACGGCGGAAACGAGACGCCCCTTGGGAATCTAGCGTGTTGGATGGCATCCTGCTGAACCGCAAGCAAAAGCTGGAGAGGAGGCTGTGGAAGCGTAGTCCAGATTATTGGGACGAACCTGAGATCGTAGGCAGAGCCGTACCGACTGTTCCTGTTGACAGCAATGTTATAAGACAGCAGGAGCTTATGGCGACTTTGAAAATCAAGGATCCTATTTTCAACGAGCAATGGCATCTTTTCAACACACACGATCCCGGGAACGACCTGAACGTCACGGGCGTCTGGCTGCAGGGCATCACGGGCAAGAATGCTACGGTCTGCATCGTGGATGATGGATTGGACATGGACAGCGACGATCTGAAGCCAAACTACTTCGCCGGGGGTTCTTACGACTTTAATGACCACGTTGACGAGCCCAAGCCCAGGCTGGACGACGACCATCACGGGACAAGATGCGCGGGAGAGGTTGCAGCAGCAAAGAATGATGCGTGCGGTGTTGGTGTCGCGTGGGATTCGAGGATCTCTGGCATCAGGATCCTGTCCGGAGGCCTTTCCGAAGCCGACGAAGCGCACTCGCTAAACTACGGCTTCCAGGAGAACGACATTTACTCCTGCTCTTGGGGCCCGCCTGACGATGGCAGGTCGATGGAAGCACCGAGCATACTTGTCAAGCGAGCGATGGTCACAGGCGTACAAAAAGGTCGCCAAGGCAACGGCACCATCTACGTCTTTGCTGCAGGAAACGGCGCCATGAAAGGGGACAATTGCAACTTCGACGGATACACCAACAGCATATACAGCATCACAGTTGGCGCCATCACCAGAAAAAACCAGCACCCCTACTATTCTGAAGCATGCTCAGCGCAACTCGTCGTGACGTACAGCAGCGACGGCTCCGGGAACGCGATTCACACAACAGACGTCGGTGCGCACACTTGCTCCACCACTCACGGCGGCACATCAGCAGCCGGTCCGCTGGCCGCCGGAGTCTATGCGCTCGTCTTGGAGATCCGCCCAGATCTCACCTGGCGAGACATGCAATGGCTGACGGTGCTGCACGCCGAGTACTTCGATGACGCGCCTAGCGACTGGCAAGAAACTGCAACAGGCCGAAAATACAGCCACCAATTCGGATACGGCAAGCTGAACGCCTGGGCGATCATCGAAGCAGCCAAGACGTGGAAGTCCGTCAAGCCGCAAGCGTGGTTCTGGTCCCCCTGGATGCATGTAAAGCACGACATTCCGCAGGGCGACAAAGGCATCGCAAGCACTTTCGAAGTCACCCCCTCCGCGCTCCAAGACGCCAACCTCGCGCGCATCGAACACATCACCGTCACCATGAACGTCGAGCACACGCGCCGCGGCGACCTGAGCGTGGAGCTGCGCTCCCCGTCCGGGGTCGTGAGCCACCTCTCCACAACGCGCAAGTCCGACGACGAGCGCGCGGGGTACGCCGACTGGACCTTCATGTCCGTCGCGCACTGGAACGAGTCCGGGATCGGAAAATGGATCATCGTCGTCAAAGACACCATCGTGAACGAGCACAACGGCTCCTTTACGGACTGGCGCCTGCGCCTCTGGGGCGAGAGCATCGACGCCAGCAAAGCGAAATTGCTGCCGCTACCCAGCGAGCACGACGACGACGACCACGACGACATCGTCTCAGCGCCCGCGCACACCACCACCGTCGCCGTGCCCTCCGGCGCGACTCTAACAGGGGACCTCCCAGCCAACCCGTCCGACCACCCCGACAGGCCCGTAAAGCCCGGCCCCACAGACGCGACTAAGCCCGCACAGAGCGACCCGACAACCCCAGCCACAGCCACGGTCCCCTTCGAAGCGCCCTCCAACCCCACCAAAGGCAGCAGCACCAGCGGCACAGCGGCGCCGCAGGAAAGCAACTCCTCCTCCTTCCTGCCCTCCCCCTTCCCAACCTTCGGCCTCAGCAAGCGCACCCAGATCTGGATCTACGGCTCGCTGGCGCTGATCCTCGTCTTCTGCATCTCTCTATCCGTCTACCTGTTCCTGGCGCGCCGGAAGCGGCTCAGGATGGCTGGGCGGGATGACTATGAGTTTGAGGTGCTGGAGGATGAGGATGAGGGAAGGGGTGGTGGGGCCGGAGTTGGGGTTGGGGCGGGTGCAGGGTTGATGGGAGGAGGGAAGGGAGGGGCGAGGAGGAAACGCAGGGCGGGCGAGCTGTATGATGCGTTTGCGGGGGAGAGCGATGAGGAGCTGTTGAGTGAGGATGAGGAGGATAGATATAGGGATTTGGAACCGAGGCCGTATGATGACAGTGAGGGTTTGGCAGAAAAGGATGGGGTTGGGCGTTGATTTGTTGTTCTTGCCTTGGCTTGCTTGGGTGGTGTCGTAGGAGTTATAATGTCGATTGGTTTGTTTGGTGAAAGTGTTTTCCGATGCAGTGTCCGTGCCGTCATAGAGCTCGAATGGTTTCAAGATGGACTTTATACCTCAGCGACTTCGCCTTTCGGAGTAGTGATTGTGGTGGTTGTGAGTGGAGTACTATGAACATGGCCGAACCAAAAGAAATGAAGCAGGCCGTCATCTAATGGCAGAAGCGCGATGTCTTCAATATATCTGCGATGTCGAATGTATGTAACCGCCTCGCTTCAGAGAGCTCCGGGCTGCAGTTACTCAGCCGCTTTGACCAATAGCTTCGCCTTCTTAATAGATCTTGCAACACAGGCCGTGGAAACCCTCAAAAAAGAAATTGGATACTCACATATGAAAATCTTCGCACAAATCCTTGTGGACAAAACCGTAAGCGTGTAACACAAATCGGACGAAGGCATGATAAAAGCGTAAAGATCAACCCGTCGTATACAACGAACCAAACATATAAAAAGACTGGTCTGAAGTGAATAACAAAACCGCAAAAATTAGGTCGTCTTCCGGGGCGTCCCCGCGGTTGCCTCCCCTACAAACCCAACCTCAGCTCAAGCCCCGAAGGACCCACAAGCCCCGAAGGACCCATAAGCCCCCAAGGACCCAAGCATTCAGATTAGATTTCCCCGCATCAGGCAAGCCCAATGCGTGGTACCTTGTGAAATGCGTTCGAGCTTTCGCCGCGGCTTGGGCTCGAACACAGGTCTTAACGGTCGGGTACGAGCACTATGCAGACATGAGAATGCAATCATCATGCGCCACACCGTCCAATCCTGCCCTAAGGTGGAGAACAAGGTGAGATTTTGAATAGATATAGCCTGAAATTCATCGGCGGGTCCTCCGTCTGCCGGTGCGGTGGTAGCCTGCCTCCGCTTTATAGTAGTGAAAGCGTTCAGCTTGGCGTGTACTCATCCCCAGATCTGGCCGCATCACATTCTCTTTCTTCGTCCCCTCTGGGTGTGTTGATGTTTCTTCTTGGGACTTTCCGCCTCCGACGTTTCTTCTCTTATGCATCACAGCTTCTTTCCTCTCCACATACCAACACGGCACGCTCGCCATCCACCCCACACACCATCAAAACCCGGCAGCGGAACCTCGGTCTCAGCGACGGACTTTGGATTGAACTAAACACATTTCTACCAATCTTGACAGCGCATTTGAGTAAGAACGAACCGAAACAGCTTACTTGAACTATAGGAGGGACTGCGAGCAAGAGAGACGTCATGATACTTATCTTACTTCACACATACATACACTACATTCAGGAGTCCTTGTGACAGCTTATTCCAGCATGCATATATGATGCGCTGGTCGTCCTATACTATCAAAACCTTGATGCTCTTGCGATGAGGTTGCCACGGTTGTTCACGGAAGAACTGATCCCTGTAACAGCATATCTAGCGCATCCCACTCTGGCAAGCATCAAACCGGATAAAGCATCGAGCCTGGAGGTTAGACATGGGATCCCTGAGCATCCAGCACGTCGTCGAGATATTCCGCTTCGTCACCGAGCATAGGTATATCGGCTTTTAGATAGCGCTCAAGCGCTTCCTCGTCTTGAACCTGCCTCAACATAGCAGCAGTTATACTCCATCTGCTTAAAATGGGAATGGCAAATCTCATAGTGCATCAGTATCAGCAAGCGTATATGCTGCAGTACCACCGCGTACATGCCGCAATCAACAACGTCCGATTAAGAGTCATGAAGGCGCTCCTCCCCCCAGGAATGCAGGTGGACCACGAAAGCAACGCTGGAATACAGCTTGCCAGTCAGAAAAACTCCCTGCAGCGCCTACAAGCCCTCCTGATATTAGTCGAAGTTCACTTTCCAAACCATACAGCGATCCGGCACTGCGATGATATTTTCAGAAAACCTCCGTCGTAAATAAACAGGCTAGCCAGAAGAATGTTTTCAGAAGCCAACAAAGGCTCACAGTCGGTCCCATGTCCTCGCCGCCGCGTCTCCATAGACGCAGCTCCCCCAACGCCAAATCTATGCAGCCCCACCACGTCCTATTATATAATATTCTAGACCCTTCAACTCCGCCCTATGCTAAGATGCATCAGCACCAGGAACGCTCAAATCTCATCCCTGCTCGGCAGCCTAATCTCCCACTTCCTCGGTCCGACCGGCAGACCAAGCCAGAAGCTGTACAGCCTGTTAGTTTCCTCGAGCAAGATCTCAAGTCTGTAGCGCATCAGTCCAGTTCCACACGATGCGAGGAGAGGACCGCTCTCGAGAGCTGCACTTACACCTTGCCGGGGATGTTGAACCAGCTCCTGATCACATAGGCAAAGGTCCGCCAGACCCTGTACCACTCGTCCCAGAACGCCTCGCTGAGGGTCTGTTCATGGATTTGTCTTCGCTGCTTGGGAGCTTCGGGGTAGCCGTCGTCCTCTGCAACACCGCGCTCTGCCTTCTTCCCCCTCACCTCCGCAGTCCCCCTTACCTTGCCACCGGCAGCACCATGCGCAGCCGCAACCTTACCCGCCTCCCTCTGCTCAACCATGGCCCTAAACTTCTGGATAACGCTAATCGAGTGACTGATCCGATCCAGCGTGTTGACCAGCGCAACCAGCTCCGTCCTCCTCAGCGGCGGATCGCTGCTCGCATCCGTCTCGTTAAACTCGAACAGCACCTTCAGCGCAGTGCCGTAGCCCGCGGTCTGCAGCTTGCCCCACAGCCGGCACTTGTCGCACCCCACACAGTCCATGATGCGGCTGACGTTGCGGAAGCGGTTGCGGAAGTCCTCCTTCAGCGTCAGCGCGTCCGGGTCGCGGAACATGACGCTCTCGTCGAAGATCTGCTCGCCGGGCGGGATGGCGGCCGCGAGGGCGAGGACGCGGCGTTTGGTCTCGCGGTCCTGGATCGGGTCGGAGCTGCAGAAGGAGTAGGACTGGACGTGCTGTTTCAGCTTCCCGACGGCGCGGAGGACGAGCGCGTAGTTGAAGTACAGGTTCGAGATCCGCTCGGGATGGTTGTGGAGCCGGTTTTCGTAGCAGGAGAGGTTCGGCTGCCACTCGCCGGTTGTTTGGTTTAGCCACTCCCAGCACAGGTGCGTGCTGATGGAGGCGTGCATCCCGCTGATGACCCGGTAGAAGACGCGCTTCTCGAGGCATTCGTCTTCGAACTCTAGATCGGAGATTGGGTGAGCGGGCGCGGAGCCCTGGGCGATGGCCTTCTTGACACCCTGTTTCTCTTGCTGCTCTTTCATGACGTGACGGAGATCCATCGCCGCCTGCGCCTGCGCGCCAGTGAAGCCGCCGAAGGGCGAGGATGGCGGTGCGGAGAGCGGCTTGGCGTTCAGATGGGGCGTCGAGAAACAGTTCTCGCGGTAGATCGCCTCCCATACTTGGTGTGCCCCTTCGCCTGTATAGCCGGTGAAGCGCTCCGGGTTGTCAACCAGACTGACATAGTCGCCTTTTGCTGTGGCACTCTCGTCCTCCGGAACGCAGTAGTCGCGCTCATCGCACTCATCGTCGTACTCCACTACGCAGCTCTCGCCCACATCCTCCCCTAATTCGCCTTGTAGCGGCCGCGCCTTGCGCTCTTCTTGCAGCCTCTTACCCGGGTGGTGCGCCTTAGGCCCTTCGAGCTTGCCTAGCTCTTCGGCGCGCCACACGAGCGGTATGTCCTCCTCGTTGTCTAGGGTGTTTACAGCGCAAGCTCTGTTCCCGCATATCCCGTTTTCGTCGGACCAAAAGGGGCATTTTTTGTTGTAGAGGTTGAGGCGGTAGTAGGAGAAGAAGTCGGTGTTTTGTGTGATGTCGTGCACGAATGGGCGAAGGGACTCGTTCAGATCCTCGACTTGGGAATATGAGGCGCAGGCATCTGATACAATGGCACCAGGCTCAAACTGTATAGAGAACTTAGGATGCGGTGGACGTGACGGGCGGGAGACGGGGGTGCGGCTTACTGCGCAGACATTGGGAGGCGGGTCTGCAGACTTCGTGGGCTCTTTTGTATGTAGTTGTGAAGAGCATTGTGAGCTACCTAGCAGCGAGAAGACCGCTAGGTAGAATAGCTGCGACACTCTCCGCATAGCGGCGAGGGGTGGTGGAACTTCTGCGAGAATTGCCCGAACGTCAGCGCAACGAGCTCGAGCGCAAACGCAGCTCTCGAAGAAAGCAGAAAGAAGTCTCGGTGTACTCACCAAGCGGTGCGGCTGTTCTGGGAAGACAATGATCGGCAAAGATGGGTATCAAAGGAGGTGAGTTTTATTAGCAGCGTCAAGTCGCTGGGGACAGCAAATAGCCTGAAAGACGGTACAAGGAGACCAACTATGAACAAGAAGATGGTGAGAGGGAGCGCACGTGGGGGGTTCGAGAAAGTTATTTTGGGTTGAATACAGATTTACGGAGACTCACTCAGCCGCTGCTCGAGCCACCAGAAACATTCGCCTTTGAGATGTGTCCTCTTGGCGTGGCGTTCGCTCGCCCCACGCTCCCGGCACCAGGAACACCCGCAGATCAGCCCTACGTATTCTGCCATCAATCTTTTAATAGATTCATGAAGCCCATATCCCCCCGTTGCCTCTACCACGTCCAGCAAGCAAGCATCCTCCACCGCGCAGCTCCCAAAATGACCTCCTCTCCTCCGCCCCGGCACGCCGCCTTCCCCCCACCCCAAACCACCGCACCGTTAATGAAAAGGGACGAAGCCCTGTCCTCGCTATCTTCTGCAGAACTCCTCCTCGTAGACGTCCGCCGTACCGACTACGAAGGCGGTACCATCCGCGGCAGCCTCAACCTTCCCGCGCAGAGTTTCTACATGAACCGCGCCGTGCTGCACCGACTCTGCAAAGCCGCGCGGGTCAAGCGGGTCGCGTTCTACTGTGGCTCCTCGAACGGGCGCGGACCGCGGTGCGCGGCGTGGTTTGCGGATTGGCTTGTGCAGCAGGGGGAGGAGGAGATGCAGTCTTTTACGTTGGAGGGCGGGATTAAGGGGTGGGTTAAGGCGGGGCCGGAGTATGAGGTTGAGGTTGATGGGTACGAGCCAGAGTATTGGAGGCAGTTTGAGTAGGTCGGGTGAGTGGTATGAGGGTTTGGTGGATGTTGTGATTGTGTCGGTGGCCCGAACGTGAGCACTTCAGATCCTGTTCGGGGGATCATATTCAACGTGTTTGCAGCATGTAACACGAACAAGCGTTCGAGGAGCGGTCATGCCAGCTCGCTGTCCCGGAGGACTGACGAGTGCTTGTACCTAAGACATGCTGCAGATGTGAGCTTCCATAGATGACTTAATGGCTTTTTTGATTTTTTAGATTCCTCTTTCCGAAACGGGAATACCTCCTCAGCCGCAGGTCCAGACTATATACATCCCTAATTCAAGTCTAGAGCAAGGGGAAGCCAACCTATGGCCCCCAGTGAAGCGCTGCCAGTGAACCAGTCATACAAGCGTGTCGTTCATTCTAACATGCCATCGTAACAACGAACCTTCTCCACAGATCAGGTCAAATGAACAGAGAAGGGGCAATCTATCCGTTATCCCTCATTCGGAGAATGGCACGTGATGCACTCTCGAAGGATCTTCAGTGGCGTGATACTGGTTGTTCGGCCGTTTCGTGCTAGCGTGTTGATCTCGCTCAGAAGCTCACGGGCAAGCTCAGTGCTGTATCGGTGCTTGGTAATTGATCGGCCGCCTGCAATTGAGTCAGCTACGCGCGTCCTGTGGCCGAGGTGTCTGAAACCAGGCAGCAGCGGTCTCGCGTCCTTGAGAATATGCCGAAAGAAAGGTCCACGTACTTGAAGAGCAAGATATGCGGTTCCGGCTCATGCACCTCATAATGCTCCCAACCCAGACTCTGCCATTCTCGTCAGCTCTTTCCCCACTTCTCATCCACCAGCAGCCGAACAAGTCAGCGCACCTGCGTGATCCCCAACGCCCTCCACTCGTCCTCCCAAAGCAGCTTCAGCGTCCCCCTCGAGCCGTCAAAATACTCCTTCGGTATCGCCTTGAGCATCTGCTTCGGGAGCTGCACGTGGCGGTACTCGTACTCGTCGTCATTGTATCTGTTATACACAACAATCAGTCTCCTCTCCTTCTGAGCTCTTTGCCCTTCCTATATTATGAGGCGGCGCGGTGGGGACGCGTAGAATTTACCTCGACGAATAATGTATGTTGTCGATGAACTCGTCCAGCTTGTTCTTCTCCGCGTCGCTGAGCGGGCGCGGCTTCTTGTTCCGCCGCGTGAAGTCTATGTCCAGGTTCGCCATGCTCGAATCTGTGCGTGCGCGGTGGAGGTCGTGCGACTGTGGTGTGGCTGATCGTAATTGTTTTGGTGGAGGGGATTGAAGGCAGCCGGCCGTGCGCGCGTGATATCTTCGGGTGATTCGGTCGCACGTATGGCTTTGTGTAAGCGATGGTGGAGCAGCGGAAGCGAAGGCGAGGAAGAGAAGATGAGTGAATTGTTGCGATAAGGTGAAAGTGAAGTTAGAGAATAACAGACAACGTGAAAGTCGGACGTGGTTTTCGGTGTTGATCTTCGTCGTTCGTCAACACGAGCGGTTTATCGGCGCGCGTGCGGCCTCGGCGGAAAGGCTAAGCGGTAGTGGCTCGCTTAGCCCTGCCCCTCCCGTCTCCAACGGCCAAGGCTCAGTGCACTTAGACGTTGCCGCATCTCTGCCGCATTTTAGTAGGAAAGGATGCGGCAATGACTAAGTGCCCCGAGCCTTGGGCCACACCGCGGATCTCGAGCGCTGTCACTGGAACCTGAGGCTGCCTTGGACCTGTATTCAGCTTCGCCAGTACCTTATCGTCATGTTCTGACCGTCGCATAAACAACTGCATTCACTGGATTGACCCGTCGTCGTCAGGCGGCCGAGGCGAGCACCCCACATGATCCGAGCATGCATCAGGATGCAGGGCGTGCAGGGAGTGACCTGAGACGAACCATCGGACAGCGTGTGCATCTGCATATAAGCATTGGAAGTGCATAGTGGCGCAAGGTACTTCAATTTCCACTGATGCAGGGTCTTCGGGAGCAGATATAGAGGTAGCGCGTTTTGAAGCTGTTAAGACGGCAGAATATTGACAGTAAATACAATCAAATGGGCACTCCCGATGTTGGGACAACTGCCAAAGCCAAAGTAGATCCCTCCCGTCCTTTCGTGTATGGTCGTCAAATGAGTGTACGGAGGAAATCGTCCTCCCAGGTGTCCTCCTACTGCCAGTAAAACTCCAGACCTTCCAACCCAGCCTTAACTCAGAGCACGTGAACTAACCACAAAAGGAATGGAGAGAAAGTATGCACACGAAGGTCGTCCGAAGACGCAAGTGTCCCTTGAGACGTCGTTTCAAGGAAACCAGTTCCTACCAGTAGTTCTGGTTCGCTCCACCTATATCCAGGCGACTTCGGGTCCATGCTGAGCTGTGCCGAACATGTCTGTGAACAGTGGCTGGATCTCCATCATGTAGTCGGCTGCGCAGAATCTCATCAGGCCCTTCTGCTGTATGATCCTGGTGTCTTCGTCCATCTCAGCCTCTCTGAGCGTGCTGGTGAACTCCTCAGCAACCTCGTCCAGCTGCTCGAGTTCCTTGCCAAATGGATGATGCGGCTCGATGCTGCCCATGAACATGTCGATCGATGCGATACGCGGTTCGCGCGAAGCCCGGTATTCATAGGATGTCCGCTGCAGGGAGTCCATGCTGGAGGTTTTCATGTGCTGTAGCGATCGCTTGCGCGCCAGTTGCTCGTGGGCCTTCTTGCTGTGGGACAAGGCGCGCTGAGGAATAGCGGGCGCTAATGCGTTCTCTACGGACACAGTCTTCTCGCGGAAGCTGACTGAAGACTGCGACCGGCGGACGGTTTTTGTCACTGGAGGGTTGGCGGCCTCGAAGTAGCATGATAGGTGGTTCGGCGACGGAGGCGGCGAGTCGACTGAAGATGCATCCGTGAGAGTCTCGAGCGACCGGTTGGAGGTCGAAGAAGCGTCGGAGTCATTTACTGAGCTGCGGGACGATACCGTGGACGTCGAAGAGGGGGATACGTGGCGCATGGTCGCAATGTCTGGCGCATCGTAGGACAGCGCACTGGTAGATGAGATTAGTGCGACTGGTGAAGAGATCTTGCTCCTGTCGATGCTCTGGCCTGGCTTTCTGACGGAACCTGCACGCGTGGGTGACGGCGGAGAGACCTCAGGGCGCTTTGAGCGCTTCGTGAGTGCTCGCATGAGAGACATTGCGGATGGTGTTGGAAGGCTCGATCAATATTGATAAATGTTGAGACGAATCGAAGCCAAGCAGAGCCAACCACGGAACACTGTGGGGGAACCGGTATCAGTGGGTGCGGGAAAGGCTGAAAGCGGGGTTCTTCTCGAAGGTGTAGTGGTGTGCTCGGTGCGCTCTGCAGCTGACTGGCGAGTTTGCTGGACCGTGGCTCGTGGATGTAAAGTGCAACACCGAAGGTAGCGCTCGTGGCACCAGTAGGGTCACGATGTGATTTTCGGGTCGGCGTGTAACAGACGGAAAGTCGGTGACGGTGCAGCTTAAGGCAACCGCTAAAGCGAAATGGTTGGAAGTGAACTGAATGTATCGGCTGACGAAGTGCCGTGGAAAGTGAACTGCCTTTTTGGTCACTGGCTTGCAGCGAAAGTAGTCCGTTTTTTTGCGGGTGAAGGAGGGTCGGGTCTGTAACTGGCAAATGTCGAAAGAATGTGCGGATTCCAGCTGTCGTAAGGAGCGAACAACCAGTTTCGCGATGACAGAAATGCTGCAAGAGAGCGGATGAGTTCAACCGAGCGAAAAGAGAGACGCTGGGAATAAAGAAGGGAGCGAGGGAAACATCAGCAGAAACGGAACAGGAGTGAGGGAAAAGCCAGCAAGGCGGCACGGCGGTTGAGCAGAAACCGGCAGGCATCAGACGCCAGGACTGCAGGTTGGGCCCGGCCGTCTGCACAACACTCGCCATCCAGGATGTTTTGTTCAGGGGGTGCGGAGAGACAACCAATGGCCGAAGCTCCTGTTTCAACTTGACGAACCGGCGCGAAACAACCTTGGAAGGGCGCGGAGAAGCACCGCACTTTGGCGCCGTGTCTCGATGCCGGCAGACGGCGCCGCAGCGCCTGCTTCCGTTGACCAGAGTGGAGGGCAGAGGTCTCTCCATCCCATCGCATGAACGATGCGGCTGGATCAGTTCTGGTACTCCACGAACTGACCGAGATACTGGTCACTGCCTCAAGACGGACAAAAGCAAGGAGCGCTGGGAGCACCAATCCGCCCTGCGCCATCGGTTACAGAAGCACCTTGATGCCCATCATCCCCGGCGTTTTGGCGTCAACAGTTAAATTGGAGGAAGATCACCCTGGCCCAGCACGTGTGCTCACTAGCACAAGCCACGATGCGCTATCGGCCCGCTTGACCGTTGCAACTGCCGTGAGAGACTTCGTGACTGAAGACTCCGTGGAGCTCCGAGACCGAGACAGAAGTGTGTGTTGTCCTACTCAGGCGGGCTTATGACGACGAGAAACTATCACAGGGAGCGGGATTCAGGTAGGATTGACAGCTGTAAATGCATTTTGGTGGACGTAAAGTTCCGTGCGCAGCGAGAGTAGGCACACATACATCTGTTGTTCAGTCTACCATATCTACTTCCAGGGCGCTGATTGTGATATTCTGATACTGCTAGCATCTCCAATTACTCAGTCCATGTCAGAATTTACATAGTCTGAGCAACAAATGGGTGACAACCGATCAGTCCAGATGCTTGAAACCACAAGTCCTCCGCAGAATAAAGTACCCGGCGCCTGTTTCTATGCAGCTCCTCGCACACGAATCCATCTCAGATCTTGAACTTCTCCAAATACTTCCTCGCAAGCTCAACACCCTCATCGACCTTGTCAGCATTCGTGCCTTGGCCCACGCTTGTCGCGCCCTTGCCACCGGCCTTCCCGCCCACAGCGCTGGCGACCTGGTTTGCCCAGTCACTAGCAGTCGCTCCTTGAGCGCCCAAGTACTGTAACACAGTCAGCAAGAGGTCCACATTCGTGACAGTGGGTATACTCACTTCTCCGACATGGCATCCGTGCACGACCTTACCTTCCTTCTCGTCCGCAGCGAAGAGGTAGACCGTCTTTTCCTTGCCCTTCGTAGACACAGTCTTGATCGCCTCGCTGATGGACTTACCCACGTTGCTGGAATAGGGCAAAGTGTCGATGTAGTACCGCTTGTCCGGGTTCTTGCTGAAGTAGTCGTTGATAGCGTCAAGGACACGCTTCTGCTCCGCCTTCGCAGCGCCCTTCTGCTCAGCCAGGATGCTCTTCTGGATCTTCTCGTTCCTTGTCCTGAACTGTGACTTCGTGACCGCGGAGATGGACAGCTTGTTCAGCTGCATCTGCGTCTCCTTCGCCTGCTGCTCTTTCTCGGCGCTAAACGGCATCTTCTCCAGCTTGGCCAGCTGGTCCGAGAACTCGGCAGCGACGCGCTGGACCTCGTATGCCGCTTGGCCCGTGACGGCAATGATACGCCGGATGCCCTTTGCGATGCCGCTCTCCTCGGTGATGATGAGCTCCTTGATCTCGCCCGTCTTGTCGACGTGCGTGCCGCCGCAGAACTCGATGCTGACCTTGCGCCAGGCATCGTTCTGGACGTCCGTGAGGAGCTCGTCGACGGGCACGCCGACAGAAACGACACGAACGGGATCCGGGTATGTCTCGCCGAAGACGGCGCGCACGCCTTTGATGTTGCGCGCGGTGGCCAGGGGTACATCCTTGGCGTACACGGTAGCGTTCTTGCGGATGTAGTCTGATGAGATGTCTTCGATCGTCTTGAGATCCGCGTCTGATATGCCTGACTTGTGAGAGAAGTCGAAGCGGAGTTTCTCCGGCGCAACGAGCGAGCCTTTCTGATCGACCTCGTCACCAAGTACTTCTCGGAGGGCGTAGTTGAGGACGTGTGTACCGGTGTGGTTGTTGCGGATAGGGTGCCGCCGCAGCTCGTCATATTCGCAGATCACCTCATCTCCAACGGAAAACGCACCATAGCTCATGAAGCCAGTATGTAGGACGTAGCCAGCATACTGCTGCACATTCTGCACGTCAACCTCCGCAACACCATCGATAAGGATTTTGCCGTTGTCGTTCTCCTGTCCACCTTGCTCGGCGTAGAAGTTCGTGCGGTCGAGGATGAGGCCAAACTGCTCGCCATCAGGGAAGTCCTTTGTGTTAGACAAGAACTTTCGGTTGTGGTAGATCGCCTTGATTTGAGCTGTGATGTTGCTCCTGCCAAACTTGGCTGAATCGTCGGTCTTCGGCACGTCGTTCATCTTCTCCAACGCATTCAGATCGTGCACATCCAGCTTGACCAGGTCAGCAGCAGCCTTCTTCTCGCCTTTGCTAGCTTCTCTGGCCTTTGCTTGCGCTTCCGCAACCTCTTCGTCGTTGATCGTGAGTCCCCTTTCCTCGGCCATGATCTTGGTAAGGTCGACTGGAAACCCGTACGTGTCGTACAATCTCCATACGTCCTCGCCAGATAAAGCAGTCGAGTCATGCACCTTGCACCTCTGGGCGTACTTCTCGAACTGAGCCTCGCCACGATCCAAAGTCTTAGCAAAGGAAAGCTCTTCCTCATCCAGGATCTCTTTGACATCCTGCTCCTTCTTCCTGATCTCTGGGAACATGTCGCCCATCTGCTGCACTAGCGCTGGCACGATTCTGGAGAAGAAGTTGCCAATGTCTGTGCTGAAGTATTTGCGCGCATACCGAGCGCCTCTTCGGAGCACTCTACGAACCACGTATCCGCGTCCTACGTTGTCCGGCACGCCTCCGTCAGAGATGGCGAATGTGAGCAACCGCACATGATCTGCGACAACGCGGTAGGCGGTATCAATACCGTCTGGATCTTCGGCGCCAAATTTCCCTCGGTATTCTCTTGCGCCGGTAATGTCCTGTATAGTCTTGAAAAGAGGCGTGAAAACGTCGGTGTCATAGTTCGACATCTTATTCTGTAGCACTGAAACCAGCCTCTCGAAGCCCATGCCTGTATCGACGTGCTTGTTGGGTAGCGACTTCAGGGATTTGTCGGGCTCCCGGTTGTACTGTATGAAGACGTTGTTCCATATCTCGAGCACGTTCGGGTCATCTTGGTTGACGAGGTGTGCAGCGTTCCGTCCGCCTATTCGGTCGTAGTGGACCTCACTGCACGGTCCGCAGGGGCCTTGGTCACCCATTTCCCAGAAGTTGTCCTTCATGTTGCCGGGGAGGATATGGTCTTCAGCGACGCCAACGGATCTCCATAGCTCCTTTGCTTCGGTATCTGGCTCAAGGCCGCCAGGTGCGTGACCCTCAAAGTATGTGACATAGAGCCTATCAGGTTCTAGGCCGTAGACTTTGGTGAGGAGTTCCCAGGAGAAGTTTATGGCCTCTTTCTTAAAATAGTCGCCAAAGCTCCAGTTTCCCAGCATCTCGAAGAATGTCTACCAAAGATCAGCAATGTCTCTCCGCAGAGACTTGATTTCTTTTACTTACGTGGTGATAGCTGTCTTTCCCCACATCGTCGAGATCCTGTCACGTGTGAGTCACGGCGCATATTAGAACGAGTGAACGGACATACATTGTGTTTGCCGCCTGCACGAATGCACTAAGCATAGTTGTTAGAGAGCGTTTTAATAACACCAGGACGAACTACCTTCTGGGTGTTAACGGCGCGCTTCAACTGAGCGAAATCTGACTGAGGATCTACAGTGCCAAGGAATATGGACTTATACTGGTTCATGCCAGCATTTGCGAAAAGTAGAGTAGGATCATTGTGAGGAACGACTGATGAGGAAGGGACTATAGACTCGTGTTAGAGGTTTAGTCTGTCTAGAGACGGAGTTGCGCATTCTTAGTGGCTGATATAAACCCACCGAATGTGTGGCCGTTCTTCTTGAAGTAATCCAGAAAGGTATCCCGCACGCGCACAGCGTCCCACTCGGGCTTCTCAGAAGTGGACCCCATACTGCGCAGACGGCCGGGCGCGTAGGTCTGAGAAGGAGGAACTCTTGTGTAGTGTGTTTTGCGCCTAGGTTGCGCCTTCGCGAAGCTGCTGGTGTTGCGTAGAAATTTCGAGGTCAACTGGAACGCGAAGTCACCGCAGTGACTCAAACGAGCAGCTCTGCAGCCAGAAAACAGCAGCCTCCCCGGCATCAACCCGAGCGATCACAGCTGTGCAGTCAGCAATTTCCAATGCTACGGACCCTGCGCGATGTTGCGGCTCATCCTCTGACGTCAATGGAAAGCGAAGACTGAAGCTGCGGCGGAGGGTCGTCCACCGAATTGAAACGGTCAGCAAACGAGATGAAGCGAAAGGCGCCCGACACCCTCGACAGCGACCACCGACTCACGAAGAAGTTTCACTTGCTCAATCTCCGTACGTACCCCTCTCTCACCTCTCCGCACCACTCGCGAATCTAACCAGCCCATCCAGAGCCCAATGGCACACCGTACACGCCCATCTCCGCCTCCGCGCAACTCCCGCGCACGACCCCCAAACCGCAGCCTTCAGTCTCCGACCCCGAGCCCATGCAGCTAGAGGATACAAAAGACAAAGTATACATCTACGACATAGACGCCGAGCTCGCCGAGCTCTCCTCCTCCGACTCCGACGAGGCCCCCATCTTCATCCGTGACGTCGACAAACAGCTGCACCAGATACCCAAGCACGTGCTCATGGGGCCGCCGCCGGAGCCCAGGAGTACCGAGCTCGTGCTGTATAAGGTGCCTGAGTCGTTGTCGGTGCCGCGGGAGCAGGACAGTGTGCGTAAGGCGATTATTGAGGCAAGGGCAAGGGCGAGGGAAAGGCAGGGGCTGCAGGTACCGCATTTGCCGGATGCGGAGCCGTATATGGTTGATGGTATTCATGGTGAGCTTGCAAATGGTACAACGCCCGAGGGCGTGGATAGGACCAGTTCAGGCGCGGCGAAAGAGGATAGAGTGCATGAAGAAGATGAAGGGGAAGATGATCCAGACGCTATGGACCTAGGGTAGTCATAAATACACATCACTCAAGCGTACAGCCATGAAATCGAGCCTCCGTGACAAACTCCCAGTTGACGTGCCCCAAAAGCAATAAGACGCTGTGCCGATGCTGACGCCGACCCGGCTTGCAACACAAGACAAACCCACCCAGCTCCGAAACCCCTAAGACAAGACGCATAGAGGACACAGTAAGACAGCCGACCGTTGCAAACTTCTCAGTCTCTCCAGAAAACCTAGTTCCTCCTGAAGATCTTCCCCATCCCAGCATGCACCCTCTCCGGAAGCGCTGGCCCACCAGCACTACCGCCCGGCGCAATCGGCGCACCCGAAGGCGGCGAATAGCTAGCTGAGCTGCTCTCGGCGGCGGGACCGCCGTGTGTGGTCACGCCTGACTCTTGTCCCGGTGCAGGTATATGCCACTCCTGCTGCGGGTTCGCCTTGCTGCCACCCGGAGGGCCTTGGTACGCAGGTGGAACATCATGGCTGTAGAGTGGTGGCGGCTCGGGGTAGTTTTGCATTTGATAGCCGTTCTGCTGTTGCTGCATATAGTACGGCCGATGGAGGGGGTAGACGGTGTAATGGTGCTGAGGATGTTGATAGGTAGGGTCGAATTGGGCGCGTTGGCGTCTGTTGACTAGGAACTGCGCGGTATTAGTGTCGCGTACTCTTGACAGACAGGTTGATCGGAGCTGGGCTTACTCGGTGATATGCGAGCGGGGGGAGACCCTTCTTCATCCGGCGCTGGGCATGGTAGTAGCCGCCGACGAACCAGACGATGATGAAGAGGACTATGGCGGCGAAGACGACGTATTTGACGGTGTATCCGGCCTAGTAGATCTGTCAGCGCCTGTGTTCCTATGGAGTTCGACGACACAAGCGGTGGTCGTTTCGCGGGAGGGCTTACAGGACTGTCCCACCACGAATCGAATTGGTAGTTGCCGTAAGCATCAACGTAGTACTCCCGCTTGGCCAGGATTGTGGGAGCCATGGTCGGTCGTAAAGTGAGAAGCATGCGACTGAAGCTGAGGGGTGCTGCTCTTCCTTGGGTTGCCACTCCCGGCTCTGGTTGTTTGCCCTATGTAGGTGTCGTATCGGTGGCACTGCAAGGAGGATCAAGGAGCGAAGCGGGACGCCCCAGGTTACAAGTTCGTACAGGAGATTGAAAGGCGCGCAAGTAGATGAGTTCGCAGGTAGCGCACAAGAGATGGGTAGAAGATGAAAGGATAAGGGACGGTAGGCGTGGAGGCACAGGTTGATGCGCTCAAGAGGAGGCTGAATGTTGAAGCGAGACAGGCCCAGATTCGCCGGAGCTGAAGCCGAAAGGGAGGCTGTGTGCAAGCCACCAAGCCACGCACGAGAACCCCGACACGCGGCCACAACACCGCGAGCGACGCTCGCTGGGAATCACCACGGTAGTGGGCAAAAACAACCCGAGACAAGACACAACTTTGCCCGATCTTCCACTTCTAGTTAGGTCTAAAATACAGACGCAGGTCCCGAAGTCCGACTGTGGTATCATATCCTAAACTCCACGAACCGCTCAAATCCAACACGATATGTGTCCTTTCATCACACTACAATGGCCGTCCCTGCTCCCCGAGTTGCATCTTGGTCCATAGTACGCCTAGCTTCGAACCCACAAAGTGCAACAGAAACTCTCGCTGCCTACTCACATCAAAAACGTACGTTACAACACCGACGATCTAATGAAGGAGATTCGAGAGAGATGGGCTAGCACTAGCTCCACCCATGGGGCGACGATCAGCGTTTTGGCTCAGGACCGAGTCTCGAGGGGTCGAAGGCCGAGTGTTCAAAGGCGCTGGGCTTCCGTGCGAATGGCCGAACGGTGGCAGATGTGGACCGCTAGACGCCGAGTAAGGACTATCCGTGTTCCGAGGTGGTAAGGTTGGCGGCCCGTACGTTGGAGAAATCATCGGCATGTGTGGTGAGTGCATACCGTTCGGCAACCCGCCTATCATGGGAGAATTGCTTAGATGCAGCGGCGCGGGCTGATGGTGGGGGGGTGGGAAGGGGGAACCGCGCATTGTGCCGGGAGGCGGGCCGCCGGGTGGAGGAAATGAGGGATAGCCGTTCGGTGGAGGATGTGTGTGTAGAGAGAGATGGTACGGCTGTTGTAACGGAGGGTGCGCGAGAGGTTGGGGAGAAGTCGAGATTCCATTCAGTATTGACGGACCGTGGCTCGGCCAACTAGGAGGATGAACTGGCGGTGGTGGTATATTGGCAGGAGGTATCCAAGGCAGCTGTGGTGGAGGGTAGAGGCGTTGGGGCGATCCTGGTGGCTGATGTGCAAGTGACTCCTGAGATTCTGATCTCTTCGCTTCTTGAAGTTCGGGTTCGTGAAGCTTCTTCCAGTGGCACTTGTTGCAGATGAATGTATCCGGTTGGCCTTGGGTTGTCTCTGTATCGTTTTCCAAGGGAGCTAGTGCTGGTACGGCCGCCGATGCAGCTGCGTCAAGAGATGTGTGTGAAGGGTCACCCTGATAATCAGTGAGCCCGTTCGGTATGTGGCTCCCGCCCACATCACGATCACGCAGCTCCATTGCTATACTGTTGGCTGGGTTGATTCCAGAAGGAGCATTTTCTGACGACGAAGTTGGCTTCGTTTCCACTCCATCTGTATTGGACGACTCATCGACTCGCCACCACTTTGGCGTAACATCGATATTGCAGGTAACGCAGCGACGCTCCACAAGACTGACATCAATCCCAGTCATGCTTTCCTGGTCTTCAGGCTTGAGACCAGCAGACGATGGCCGCTGAGATCGAAGCGCAGTGTTCCCAGTTTGCGCGGTCGAGGTTCGCCGGTTGTTTCCAGTCGTCGCTGGAGCAGGGGCGAAACTGCCTGATCGTGTGGACTGATCGACTAGATTGGCCTTCCGCGCAGTTCCAGTCAAGGTCAGATCGGCCTGCTTGTAGTTTTGCACATACAACTGCAGTGCGTTGAGCCCAGATTCTGGGACTACCTCAAAGACTGGGTGGACGATCGTCTTGATACTCTTGTGCTCCTTGCACCAGATGGCGGCGTGTAGCGACCCAGTCTCAGTTCCTAGCGTGAATGTGCTTACGGCGTCGCGGCGGGTGCTCTTAACTGGCGTGATGTCGAAACCGAAGGAGTAGTCCTCAACATGCGCACAACCGATATGGAAAGTCGAATCGCAATCTTTGCACTTCGTAATTGGTCCCTGGTCGCTTTTGCATACCTTGCAGACATGACCATGGCCGTACATGGCTAGCACCTGAGGGGAGCCAATGCCTTCCACAAGCTCAAGTGCCTCGGCATTACTGAAAGATGTGCCAGGTGTCCACACAGCGCAATGAACGTGGACCCAGTTGTTGTCGGCCGTGCGCTTCAACGGTTCACGCGGAACGTCTGGGCGTCCTTTCTGGAGCTGGCCTTGACGGTAGTCTTCAGCAAACTTGGTCGCCAGCTCTTTCTCAAGTCTCTCCTTCTCGCGCTCCCTATCGGTCTTCTTCTTGTGCGACACCTTTGGTGCCTCGACAAGGTCTTGCTCTACGCGCTTGACCGGACAGAGTACGCATTCATATTTCTGCGGAGTTGGGTCAGCGTTGAGATGGAATCTATAAGAAAAGGAAGGCTTACGAAAGAGACCACTTCCTGCCTATCATTCCTGCATGTATCGCAGTGCCACTTGTTGTTGGGACGTTGGCTGTCCGTAACCCCGTAGCATTGACCGTGTACTGTGAGTCTGCAGATTGTGCACATGATCGTGGGTTCTTCGGATGTGCCCATCACTTTACAGACGCGGCAGGGCAGCTCTCTAAACTTTGGAAGCGCTGGTACGATAGGGGGTGTAGGCGGCCTTGGCGGAGGTAGCGGTTTCGGCTTTTGGACCGGTTCTGAGGGTGCTGCTTGTGGCGTGCTTTGCTTCTCAGGTGCCATCCTCGCCTTCTTCTTTGGCGGTTCCAGATCCGACTGGGACATCACAGGAGGCGTGGCAGAATAGTCGAGTCTGGCATTGATATTGGCCATCTCCCTCTCTTCTTTGGAAGCGAATGCCGCGTCGATGAGTTCCTGGTCGAAGCGCTTCTTGATGGTTCTCCCGCCGCTTTGAGCGACCTTCTTGGTGAGCTCCTCTATCTCCTCCCACTGGATTGCGTACTTCCTCCATAAGTAAGCGCAGCGCTGGCAGAGCGCAAGCACCAAAGCAGAGCTTTTGTCCTTGGTTCCCTTGTTGTCTCCAGGGACAGTTTGTCCAGGGGCCACTCCTGGCGCCCTGCGCCACTGCCGGGATTGTCTGGTCTCACAGAATTTACATTGAAAGCCGCGTTTTCGGCTTGCTGCCTTGTCATTGTCGAAAGCTGAGTCGTCCTGATCATCAGCAACATCATCAAGCAACCTTGATGCAGTATCCGTGTCGATGTTTTTGATTTTGATCTTTCTTCCACTGTGAGAACCTTTGATCTCTCTAGCCTTTGGCGACTTCTTCCACATGTAGTAGAATCGCACAACGTCGGCGTGCGACATTGTCTTTACGTGCTGCCGAATAAGTCGCCACTCTGAACCATACTTTGCAACGGCCTCCTCAAATCTTTTAAACTCCTCTTTCGATGGTTCAGGGATTCCCAGGTCTTTGTGGCGGTCTACTTTCTTCAGCTGTTTGAGAGCTGCCTGAGCGTTGTAGTTGTTCTCTTGCAGCAATTGTACGGCCTTGTCGAGAAAGTCAACGGAGTACTCGTGAACCCCTACATCCTTGGCAAGCGCTTTCGCGCGCTCCATGTAGGATTTCATAAGTTCCTCGCGATCGTCCGGCGCGTCCGGCGCGTCATCTCCTCTAGATGAATGAACGCCGGCAGGAGGCATCTTGAAGAGGAGCTTCGCCGTGTTCCTTGGGTCGTTATTCGGATAGTCCTCGCCGCGCTGTACATACCCCGGAGGTTCATCTTGCACCCATTTTGGCCGCGTGGCTTTCTCAGCTCGATCCGCCTCAAGCGCTGCAACAGTCTCCTTGGATAGCTTTGCGTCTTTCTTGTGGCTGGTGCTTTTGACATATCGCTTCTTGATTTCTACCGGCTTGACAAGCTCCACAGGTCTGCCAAACCAATCGTCTACATTCGATTGGTGTCGAGGGCCCAGCCTCGAACTCGCCCGTGGATAGATAGCTCGGTCATCGTACTGCAAAGCATCTTCGACTCGACAGTGAATCCCAAGATATCGTCCCGGCCACATCTTCACAAGTGCAAGCTCCGCTTGAGTTCCCGGCTGAATGTCTGAACCGCTCGGACTTGGAGCCGTGGTCGGGACTAGAGCTCCTGCGTCTTCCTCTTCCTCTTCGAAGACTTCCTCCTCCTCACCATCCGGAGTCACGTCTCCAACGATTGGAGTACGACGAGCCTCTAGTTTGCGTTCTTGCGCTCTACTGCAGGGACCACACGCCCAGGCGAAACCCCTCGAGGGCTTCTTCAGGAGCGGAGGACGTACACAGTCCATATGGTACGTATTGTGACACACAGCGCATTCAACAGAGTCATTCCTAAAATGGGTAGTCAGACGTATGGTCTCCTGAAATCGCATGGTGATTCCAACTCACGTTGCACAGTATCCAACGCAGCGCTTACACGACTTCACGGCACTAGTTAACTCCTTCATTCGGTTCGTCTCGACTACAATATATTTCCAATTCTCGTCAAGAGCCTTTTTGACCTTTTCAGGTACGTTGATGACCTGCGACGTAGGAACTACCTCGTAATAGCGGTGGATGAAACGATCGAAACACTGGTTGAACCAGAAACTGTCTTTCGCCTTGCGGTACTCCTCCAGGTCATCAATCTCGCTACGGTGTAATATTCGACATTTGCCGCGAAGCGATGTGATCGGACAAGTATCTGAGTGCATGGTCCAATAGACCAGACGCGTGTCGTTGCTAAATCTCGAGATGTCCCTGGGCCGGTAAAACCAGTTGACGCGTAATGAGGTAACAGGTGACGACGTTTTGTCGCCCTCAGCGCAGATGAACTCCATAATGCGACATAGGTAATATGGATCTCCCGGGGGCTCGCAAACCAAGTATACGGTATCTGCTCAAGTTAGGAATAAGAAGTCGAAATCCATCCCCAGAAGGCAAGAAAAGGCTGTGTATGCAATTTGTTGGCGAAGCGGTATTTGAAACATTACTTACCGTTGACAGCCACGATGGTACCATCGTCCGCGACCAGTTTGCCATTTTTGAGAATTGCTTTGCTCTTTTCGAAAGTAAGCATGTTCGTTTCCCGAGGGCCAGAAAGCGCCTGCATAAACGGTGTCCGTTTGGCAGACAAGTGTGCACTCGCTACACTAGTGGTCTGACCAGTATGGTTGCCATGATTGGCCGCGTTCTTGCGCTTCTTGGGCGCCGTTGGCGGCGTATGGCCATTGGGGTTCGCCGAGAATGTTGACATGCCTGGAATCGGAGACTCTTTCGATAACTGCGGGAAGACCTTCTGCACGCCCTTCAGCATGCCAGCTACCGAATTTTTTGTACTGCTGACCGTCGGGGACTGCCTGCTATCGCCGGTGAGTGGGCTTCGAGAGGTACGCTCTGAAGAGGACGTGTGCCGCTCGACCGTAGTGTTAATTGCTGGCACTGAGTACTCGAAGTCAACGTCCGCATCTTCAGCGTAGTTTATACGGGGTTTGCCAGGACGGTTCCGCGACCGCGTTCCGTATGTCGGAAGCTGGGCAGCTGAACCAGCATCCTGCGCCGGAGGAGCTGAAGAAGTCAAGGCCATGGCTGTTGGTAGCGTTGAATGCGGCCGCGATGGCTGTTCCGTTGTTGTTGTAGCCTGCGAAGAAGGCTGCGCGGAGACGCCCATGGGCGGTGAAAGGTTGGTCACGGACGCCAATGATATCTCTTGGACCTGTGAAAGAGCGTCGGTGGGCGAACCATCGTGCGTAGGCGCGGGGACGACTGGCGCTGATTTTTCAGGCGCAGCTTCCACATCGGGTATGCCCGGCGTTCCTGATGAGCCTGCCATGCTCGAGTAGTTTCCTGCATTTATGGCACGAAAGCCTCCATCGTCCTGCGCATCGACCATGGAGAATACAATATACACCCGCAGTCACAAGTGGCTCTTTGCAACGAAGCTGACTGCCAGCGTCGCCGCGATGGGCACGGCAAAGTGGCAAGGACGAACGGCGTGGAGTCGGATATCAGGACACCATCGGAGGCTTTGCACTGCCGCGCTGGCCCATTCGAAACTTCATGCAATTACAGCGCTCAAAATATTCTCGCGTTGTTGTACGCGTGATGGCAGATTTGGGCACGGGTTTGATGAGCGTAGGTGTGGCGGCCAGCGTAGGCAGTATGGGCGAGGCGGTTCGGCGTGGTGAAGAGAAGGAATGGAGTGGGCGTGGAGTGGGCAACTCGCCCTTAGAGAGAACAACGCCCACCTCAGGGACCAGGGAGCCAAGCCCGCAGAAGTGACGCTGCGCTGGAGTCCGACTGAGCGGCCCGCCAAGGCCCCTGACTAGCGTCCTCAAAACCGCAGGGGGTTTCCAGAGGTTTGACAGCACCAAATGCACGGCAGTGTCGCCGCAGTTGGCCTTGGGAGCGCCATCGATTCGAAACACTGCCATCTCATGAAGCCAGCATTTGGCTGCCTATGCACTACCGCCCTCTATCCGTAAGCTTACGGCGAGGCGACAAAAGCTCTTGATGCGGACGTGAGCATCTCCTCATCACGTTTTTCGGAGGGGACCAAGCCTCGAGCATCCGCGGATGTGCTGGCTTCTGTTCTAGCCCTGTTCGTGCAGCAGCAACCAAGCAAGAGTTGCTTGCCCAATGGCCCTGAGGATCCCCTGGTTTAAGTACACAATATCTCTCTGCGAAGACTCGGCGCAAAAGGTTTTGCAGGCTCCTTTACCATCCTCAGCCGTGCCTGACACGTTCCGCGGTATCTGGACGCACTCAGTGGCTTTGACGGATGCGGCCATCAGCGACGTGTTGCCTCCTCTCGTTGCCGCGCCTGGTCACTGCCGAGACCAATCACATAGCAATAACTGAGCTGAGAAGCCGCCACAACTTCCTTGTTGCAGTCACTAAAGCAGAAGATGTCTATCTGATATCTGCACTCGAGTGTAAGGCGGAAGAATTCAAGAAGCGTTGAAGGCTGGAAGGTCCAACGACTTGCTGCGTGAGGTGTGGTCAAATGAAGGCCAGGGATGTTGGCCCATGCTCACCGCGCTCTCGAAAAAAGTGCCACCCCAAACACCTTGCACACTGCCAATATCACAAATCATCGACATTATACACGTTCTACTACCAGCATCGCATAAAGCCTGGATCCTAAATATGTTAGGATAGCCGCTGGTAAGCCGGCTGCCTTTATTTCTCTGGCTAAACACTGATTTCACCTCATCGGTGATTAGTTACTACGGGATCCGTTACGTTCGCAGCGACGCTTTTTTTGACGCCCGCGTACGTGGCTTCCACATGCCCATCCCGTCCATCAACCTTAATCGCAGCTCATCGCAACAGCCCACATTTGAACCATATTTCCACAACAGCTATTATGCCTTTGCACTCTGTCCATGCAATGGGATGCCAGCAGGTGCAATCAATGCCAGTAAGCTTTACTAATGAGACTGGTCTTTGGATCGGAGGTCTCGCACATCGCTTGCGCGCTGGCGAACTGCAACTCGTTCCCGTCTGGTGGCCTGTGGTGGCAGGAACACCACACTAAAATTACATGATAGAGTGCTACAAGGTATCCCGTAGTTGAACGGCTTCAAGGAATAGACGTCTGAGCTATCTTGGATCTATCACCGACTTCCAGGTGGTTTAGCAAGGAAATTGCTATCATGGATCCAACAGAATCGGCCTTGATCGTCTTGCAGTTGTTGCAACTCCAGCTCGGTCGCAACTCCAATGCTAAATATCCTAGACGTCTCTGATCTTGTAGCACACTAACGGACTGCGTGACGCTTCAGCCCTGTAACGCTTCAATGCGCGCTTTGCATTGTATGCCTTTTGAAACAGAATACGATCAAGCACAATTCTGTGTTTTTGGCAGTGCTACCAACGTCGTGCTTTCAATTTTATGCTTTCGTAGTACCAGTAGTGCGCGGGGCCCTGGATTCCTGATGACTGGTAGGCAGGGCCTCCACTTGTCCTTTCGGTTTTCTGCTCGTCGGATAGTGGACATCTCAGGCGTCTACACGTGATCTGCTACCGACCTATTCTTGCTCAGCTTTGGAACGAGAGGATCACCTCGAGAAGTCTACCGAAGAGCCGCTTTTCCCCTCGATGCTCCGCAGAGCTAGCAAGGTCAGATTATGTTATTCCAAATGCTTATCTGCTCAGCTGTGCGCCATGTAGCAAATTAGCCGTCCTCGTATTCATAATATCCCTAGTTCTTAGAGCACTTTGACCCAATGGGTTTTCGTACGAACGTTCTATCATACGCATCAACTGCGTTTCTGCCTTCTGAATGCTTTGCCCTGTCATTAGGGCTCATCCTAACTCAACTGTCTTCCGTCTCTCATGATTCGACGCTAGGGACTGCATGGGATAAGATCAAGTTAGATATTGCACGGCATACTGTTACAACTCGCGTCAGGCACCAGAGTAAAAAAAGGCTCGAGGTTGGGACAGAGAACATTCAAATACCAGACCAGGCCACGCTCATATCCTGCACGCATATTCAAGGGCCATCCAAAAAGTACGTTGCCGCAACTTGGCTGGTGGCCTGTTCAGTATCAAATTCACGGTTAAGCTGGACTCATGTTCATGTGGATCGTATAACAACGAGAGCGATCACATGCGATGGAAAGCATAAGATGTTCAGCAGTGTAGCACTCTAGTGCCTTGATCGTTTAAGAATGTCTTCAAGCCATGAACTGCGCTTGCGCTATCCACCTCCAGTGCGGCAACGTACTTTTCGGATAGCCTTTAATCGATGGGAGGCTCCATAGCGACAAGCGATGTCAGTCGTGGTATTTTGTAATAGACACACTCATCAATATCCGAGACATATTGATCGTCAACCTTCAATAGCATCCTTTGCACGAGGTTTATTCCATCCCCACAGAGACCATTCAAGGTTGCCCAAGGTGTTCAACTTCATCAGGTATCACGTGAGTGGACAAGGAACTGAGAAAATAAGGTTCCGCGATTTCCCCGAAATCCTTGCGCGAGCCCCACCAAACCATCACCCGCAGTGTCCGAAGCTGCAATAGCAAGCTTCTCCCAATGTCCTCTGAAGCGCTCTCGCAAGAGCGAACTGCAGACGTAGCTACTAAGCAGGACACAGAATGCGGAGATGTGGACAGCAAGAGCTCTAGCATGCAGCGCGACGCGGAAGCGGCAGCAGCGGAAACGATTCAGCGCAACTACAGAGGTTATCGGGAACGGAGACAACTACAGGGACTCGGCTTAGATCCCTCAACGCGATGGCTTGAGGTACGGATGATGCCGCTACGCCGCTATGCCGACGATTTCACTGTAGCTGATCCGGTGTCAGGCAGTTAAGGAAGGTTGGACCATCCTGCCAACCCCAAATCAACAAGCACGCGCTGATAGCATATGAACAGCTCGGTACAGGAATTACACTAGGCCGATATCACGGAGAAAGCGATCAAGTCTGACACCACCAACCCTTGATCAAGCTAGAAGGAACTCAGATGCAGCAAGACAGAACTGGAAGCGCATAGGCTACATTGCTCGACGAGCTGGCGAAGACGATACTAGCGGCGAGTCTGAGACGGAGGACATAACAGCTGAAGAATTAGAGAAGCGTCGGCAGCGCAAGCTCGAACTGAAGAGGGAGCGGGAGAAGTCCGCTAAGATAATGGACCTGCAATATTTTCTTGAAATGGTGGACCTCAAGCACCGCCATGGCGCGAATCTGCGCGCATACCACGAGGAATGGAAGAAAGCTGATACGAACGAGAACTTCTTTTATTGGCTCGACCGCGGCCAAGGCCGGCACTTAGAGCTGCCTACTGTATCCCGCGAAAAACTTGACAGAGAACAGGTTCGGTACTTGTCGCGAGAAGAGCGATTACACTACCTGGTCAAGATTGATGAGGAAGGTAGACTCTGCTGGGCAGAGAATGGCTTCAGGATTAGTACCGACACTGAGTGGAAAGACAGCATCAACGGGGTAGTACCGAAGGATGATCCCACTCCAATGTTTCGAGGCTCTGCAGCGTCGCAATCGCGGCGAAGCACGTTTTCATCATCGACATCCTCGTCTTCATCAAGCTCAAGCCATTCGGCAGCAGGCGAGGAAGACGGAGACCGTTACGTCAGCTATGACCTTGGGAAAAGGAAGGGAAAGAGGAGATTCATGCATGCATCTCCAGCGGCCATACTTGACCATTTCTTACGTAAATCGGTGCGGCCCAACAGTTGGATTTTCGTTGCAGACACGTCTTTTCGACTCTATGTAGGTATTAAACAGTCAGGAACCTTCCAACACAGCTCTTTCTTACACGGCGCCCGAATATCCGCAGCGGGTCTCATCAAGATCAAAGATGGCCAACTGAGAAAGCTATCACCCTTGAGCGGGCATTACAGACCTCCAACTAAGAACTTTCGCGCGTTCGTCCACTCGCTGAAGGACGCTGGCGTTGACATGTCACGAGTCTCTGTATCGAGGAGCTATGCTGTTTTGATCGGTCTGGAGGGCTACAAGAGGGCCAGAAAGAAGATTAAGCATGGCAAACAACACCTAGCTGACCACAAGCAAAAACTGCTGCATCCTGGCCAGGCGAAGAAGAGAGAGGAAGCCGAAAAGGATAAAAGTGATTCGGCGGAGAAGGAGCGAGAGGCCTTGGCTGCTGAAGCGCAGCAGGGAGAGAAAACGAGGACGGGAGACAGCTTCTGGTTGAAGATGATGAAAAGGCTGCATCTGAACTCTTTCAGCTCGGAGTCTGAGGGGGGAAGGGATGTCTGAAAAAGTTTTTTGCTGCATCTATGCTCTAGCTTGTTAAACCCCAGATTTGCGGAAAGAAGTGCACTTATGATATTGTTACTCAAGAGGCAGCTAAACCCAATCTCTTGCAACAGAAAGCACAATCATTTTCAGCAGTTCAGCTCTCCTACTGCAGTGACATGTCTGGAAACTGCGTTTCGGTTATCTGCCTTGATGTCCACGAGTGGCTTCCAATACGGCAACGCATTCATAAGATGACACTTAGGGCAGCATACCGGAGCAGCCTCCGGGCTCTGACGTCCCTGAAAGCGCTGGAACCCCTGAAAAGAGAAGGTGATGGTTGAGGATCGTGGCCACGGGGGTGCATCGTTGTGATACTCGCGCTTTTCATGCGCCGGAGATTTGACGCGTAGTTAATGCCATGGCGGTCCCGCTTGGCTCACGACGTTCCAACGCCGAGGTGTTCGTGCGTGGTTAAGCTATTCCATGTGAAGAATCGCTCCAAAGCTTTGACACGCCCGCAGGAACTCTCCCGATGGTGCACGCATGGTGAACCTGCAGTAGTTTGCGATGATCGCTGAGAGACTCGATGATCGTGGGCGCTCTTGAGAATTGGTAGTCGGGTAGGGCTCCAGGCAATCAGGGAGGATGAAATGAAGGAGGACAAGTAATCCACTGCGTGGAGAAGATGGGATGTATCGCTCTTCATGGATATCAGTGACGTCAGGTTACACACAGACGCGTTCTGTCCGCGGGCAGGCCAACGAACCAACCAACTTTTGCGACAATGCAACCGTGATCGTACCGGCCTCATATTACAGCGCGCGTTTTCACGAGCACCGCTCAGTTGGACTCGGTGAGTAGGACATCGTTCTTAGGGCTGCAGAGCGCTCTTCAGGGTCCCGCTGCATCTCAGCGCCGCGGGGACGATGTTCAGGCACAGCTTCTGCTTCGCTCCAAGCGCAGAAACGAGCCTCCCGACTGGCATCGGGGTATATTCCGTCGCAGTGACGCGGGAGCCGACACTCGCTGGATCAGGGATGGTCAGCCAGAGTCTTGCATATTGCACAGCCACTACAGTCACCAACGCCAGCTTCCCCCTTCTGCCCGCACGAAGTGGTGCGGGAGAGCGTTAGAAAGAGCAGGGATATGCGCAGCTATCAGCCATTCTGCTGTTCTGATTGGCAAAAGCTTCCCTGTCGGCTCGAGTTTAATGGAGCAAGAACTGGCCCGCCATACCCTAACCGCCGGCCATCCTCTGGCTCCAGCTCCAGCTTCAGATGCTCACAACAAGCTGGCTTGATCTGGCCTGGCCTATCCAACTTGTCTGCAGATCGCACCCAGCACTGGGAAGACCGGCTTGAAACTTGGCGCTGCCGTTATGCAACTCGACGTGCCGAAAGCAGCCTCTGCTCCCGCGCCCCCGCACAGTGGCCCTCTGTTTCACAATGCGACGAGCTACTCATTGGATGCTTTTGATTCTCGCACACATATGACTCGATTCGAAGAAGAAGAGATCTTCGACTCGTCTCTCGAAAAGATCCCGAGGACTGAGGCGTTGCACGTCGCCCACTGGGCGGGCAGCTTGCAGAAGCACCCCTCTGGCCACACCTCTCGGGGATATCACCGTTAGGCCAAATGGCGGTTCTCGTAGCGCGTCTGGGGTGCAAAGAGCACCGCTGCTTCGAGGAGGTTAGTCGGCCGTGCTCTGACGCAATGTGCAGCAGCGGCCGCATGGACAGCCACCTCTGGGCCGGACGGCTGGGCTGGCGTCGCGTAAACGTGCAACCACTCACCCCAAACCGGTTTCCGCGAGTAAAGTGCGCGCGTGTCAATTTTATGCAGATCCATGAGGCGCGAGCTCCCCGGCAAGTGGCTCCTCTGAGCGGAACCCAGCAGTATACGTCATTGCTTCCTTCCTGCGCCAGCCTCCTGGAAATCTGCCCATTTATTACTATTTCCCCGTCTCCGCCAGTCCAATTTCCTTCCCTTCCTCCCCCATAAAACGTCTCCAATGACGAAAATTATATGACAAACTCATCATACGCATACTATTCATTTCCCCCTACACCGAGCAGATCATCACCCGCCGCACCCCGCTCGAACACATCCACACCACAGACAGCACGTACCTCTAAAACCATGGCCCCGTCGCCGGCAGCAGGAAAGACCGGGGACGCCCCCCCGCGAACGCCGACGAAGCTGGGTCGCAAACCACAGTCTAGTAACACATCGCGACTAGGCCAAAAACCATCATCATCTCCCGCCGCAGACCAGAAGAAGCCATCCACTCCTTCAGCGCCTAAGACGGAGAAGCCAGAGACCGATTCTCCGAAGCTGCCACCCCGACCGTCAGGTGACGATGCGAAGGAGCAAGCCGAGGACACCACAAAGCAGGCCGGTGATGCTGGCGAGCAAGCCAGTGAACAGGCCAGCGAGAAAGCCGGTGACGCCAGTGAGAAAGCCGAGGACGCCAAGGAGAAAGCTGGCGATGCCAAGGACACGGTCGAAGAAGAGACAAGTAAAGTCGAGATGAAGGACACTAGCGAAGCTGGCGATGACGACGACGCCGACGACGAAGCTACCGAAGAGCCTAGCGGCAAGGTATCGCAAGCCGCCGGTGACCTCTCCGAGGCAGAGCCGAAGCCTGTGGATGATGATGGTGCCGAAGACACCACCGCCGGAGCCGAAGAGAAGGCAGACGACGCTGAGGATGACGTCGAAGACACCGCGGACGATGCCACCGAGAAAGCTGGCGACACAGCAGAAGGTGCCGAGTCTGATGTCGAAGACACTGCCGAAGAGACCGCGGATGACACCGCGGACGATGCGACAGAGAAGGCCGGCGAAACCACCGACACAACGACCGACGACGCCCAGGATAAAGCCGAAGATACTGCTGATGACGCCCAGGCGCAGGCGGATGATGCTGCCGATGACGCCCAAGAGCAGGCTGACGACGCTACCGAGGACACCCAGGAGCAGGCCACCAGCGCTGTCAGTGGTGCTCAAAAAGCGGCTGGCAGTGCGAAGGGTCCTGCTGATAAGGCCTCCCAAGAGCCTGAGAAGGCAGTCGCCGATGCCCCCAGCGATGCCAAGGACACTGCTGAAGAAGCTGCTGATGACGCAGAAGAGACAGCTGAGGATGCTGAAGAAGCTGCCGATGCTGACGACGCTACCGCTAAGGCAAAGGACACCACTGGGCAGGCGCAGGACGTTGCCGAGGATGCTCAGGACACTGCCGAGGATGCTAAGGACACCGCTGAGGATGCCGCTGATGATGCGAAGGATGTCACCAATGGCGAGGTCGAGAGCCCTGAGGGGAAACTTGACGACGCCAAAGACACTGCTGAAGGTGCCGAGGACAAGGCTGAGGAGGCCGCTGACGACACCAAAGATAAGACCGAGGCAGAGGTTGATGGTGCTAAAGATGAAGCCGAAGGTCTTGCAGGCGAAGCTGATGACGCCGTAAATGGCGCCAAAGAGGATGCTGGAGAGGATGCTGAGGAGACCGCCGAGGACCAGCAACCCAGCGTGCCGGGCCTTGAAATCCTTAAGGGCCTCTCACCTAATGAGGAAGGATTGGTACTGGATAAGGACGGCAACGCCATCGGTAAGCTCGTAGAGGGCGATGCCGAAGATCTCGTCGGTTACCCCATCGCCGATGAGGGAGAAATCCTTGATGACGATGGCGATCTCGTTGGACGATGCGAGCTCCTTCCGGAAAAGATCCAGGCACTCAAGGACGAAGCCGAGGCTCAACAGAAGGACCAGGAAGAAGACGAAGCCGATGCCGATGATGTTCAGCTTCCCGACGTTGATATCCTCGAAGGTCTCGCCCCAGATGCCACCGGCTTGGTTCTCAACGACGAAGGGGACACTGTGGGCAAGATCGTTGAGGGTGATGTCGAGGATCTCCAAGGCAAAACCATCAATGCGAGCGGCGAAATTCTCGATGAAGATGGTAATGTCATCGGACGTGCCGAAGTCCACGAAGAGGCTGCCGCCCTTGTTGACCAGGCTGAGGATGCTGCGGATCGTGCCGAAGACGCTGCAGATGGCGCTGAGGACGCCGAGGGAGCCGCCAAGGATGCCGCGGAAGATGCCAAGGAGGGCGCTAAGGAAGGTGCCGAGGAGGGTGCCAAGGAGGGTGTCGAAGAAGCTGCCGAAGATGTCGAGCCGGAGTTGCCCGGTGTCCAGGCTCTCGAGGGCCAGGCACTCAACTCGGAGGGCGAAATCGTAAACGAAGATGGCGATGTCCTTGCCAAACTCGCAGAAGGTGATGCCGAGAAGGTCAAGGGCATGACCGTCAACGACAAGGGTGAGGTGGTCGACCAGGACGGCAACGTCGTTGGTAAGATCGAACTCGCCGAGGGCGCCGAGGAGGCTCTTCAGGAGCTTGCCTTCCCACCGGACGTTCGCATTCTTGAGGGCCGCCGGGTCAACAAGAAGGGCAAGATCCTGGACGAGGAGGGTGAGGTTATCGGCGAGCTGTCCGAAGGCGACCTCAAGGAATGCACTGGCAAGACGCCCAACGACAAGGGTGAGATCCTGAACAAGAAGGGCGATGTCATCGGTAAAGTCCGCATCGTCGAAGGCGAGGCCGCCAACGACGCTATGCGTGAGCTCAGGGCGCGCCTTGCTGAGGAAGAGGCCGATGAGGAGGATGAGCCCGAGGAACCTATGATGAAGGAGGTCTTCCCCGAGCTCGAAGAACTCGAGGGTCTCCGAGTCAACAAGAAGGGCCAGGTCTTGAACGAAGATGGCGAGCCGATCGCCGAACTTGCCGAAGGCGACGCTTCCAAATGCGCCGGCAAGAGGATCAATGACAAGGGCGAGGTTGTCGACAAGGACGGAAACGTGCTTGGCAAGGTTAAGCCCATTGCGCAGCAGGTCGAGATGACCCCTGAGGAGGTTGAAGAAGCCAAGGCGGCCGCTGATGAGGCTGGTGACGCCCAGGAGGGTGCTGAAGATGCCCAAGAAGGAGCCGAGCAGGCTCAAGAGGGAGCTGAGGAGGCTCAAGAAGGTGCTGAGGGTGCCATGGAAGGCGTCGAAGGAGAGGCTGAGCAAGCCGCAGACGCTGTTGGCGACGCCGCTGAAGAAGCAAAGGATGACATTGAGGATGCGGGCGAAGAGGGCGCGCAACTGGGTGACGAAGAGATGGAGGATGCTGGTCCCCAACTACCACCTCTCTCGATCCTCGAAGGCCTCAAGGTCAACAAATCTGGCAAGATCGTCGACAACAATGGCGCTATCGTTGGTGAGCTTGTCGAAGGCGATGCCAAGAAGCTCTCCAAGATGGGAGTCCTTTGCGATGCCGAAGGCCAGTTCTGGGACAACAAAGGTCACGTCATTGGCCGCGCCCAGACTGTTGCACCCGAAGAACCGGATGAGGAGCCGCCATTCGCTGGCCTTGAGGGTTTGATCGTCGTCAAGGACGGCAAGGTTGAAGACGAATACGGCAACGTGGTCGGTGTTGTCGTTGAAGGCGACCCGAAGAAGCTTGTCGGCCGCATGGTTGATGAGGACGGAGACATCCTTGACAAGAAGGGCTCAGTCGTAGGTCGCGCCGAGCGCTACGAGGAGCCTGAACCTGAGGCCGAGCCGGAGCCGGAGGCGATCGACAATTCTATCCTGAACGGCAGAGTCGTCAACAAGCAAGGCAACGTCATTGGTGATGACGGCGTGCCAATCGGCCGCGTTGTCGAAGGTAACGCCAAGGAGATGGCCGGCAGGAAGTGCGATGCCGAAGGCCAAGTCTGGAACGACCAAGGCAAGGTCATTGGACGTTGCCAAGTTATCCCAGAGAACGAACGCGATCCGAAGCCCGAAGGACCCTTCGCTGGCCTCCAAGGCCTGAGAGTTATTCCTGATGGGAAGGTTGCTGACGAGGACGACAACATCGTTGGCCAGATCGTCGAGGGCAACCCGAAACGCCTCGTGGGCATGGCTGTCGATGAAGATGGCGACATCCTCGACCGGTTCGGCAACGTCAAGGGCCATGCTGAGCCACTAGCCGAAGAGGAGGAAGCACCGCCACCAGACTTGTCCATTCTTGCTAATAAGGTACTCAACAAGCAGGGACTGGTCGTCAACGAGGAGGGTATCCCTATCGGCCGTCTTGTTGAGGGTAACGCTAAGGAGCTTGCTGGTCGTCGTTGCGATGATCAAGGCCAAATCCATAACGACCTCGGCCATGTTGTCGGTCGCTGCGAGCTTATTCCGGAGAGTGAGCGTGTTGCTAGACCCGAAGGTCCCTTCGCCGGTCTTGAAGGTCTTAAGGTGGTTAAGGATGGATTCGTTGAGGATATTGACGGTAACCGCGTGGGCGTTATCTCCGAGGGCGACCCGAAACGCCTCGTAGGCATGGCTGTCGACGAGGACGGCGATATCCTCGACAAGTTCGGCAATGTCAAGGGCCATGCTGACCCCCTAAACGAGCCGGATGAGGAAGCCCCGCCAGATTTGTCTATTCTTGCTGGCAAGGTGCTCAACAAACAGGGACTGGTTGTTAATGAAGAAGGCATTCCTCTCGGCCGGCTGGTTGAAGGTAACGCTAAGGAGCTTGCTGGTCGCCGCTGTGACGAACAGGGCCAGATTCACAACGATCTTGGGCATGTCGTCGGACGTTGTGAGCTTATCCCAGAAAACGAGCGTGTTGCTCGGCCTGAGGGTCCATTTGCTGGTCTTGAGGGCCTCAAGGTCGTCAAAGATGGATTCGTCGAGGACATTGATGGCAACCGCGTGGGTGTCATCGTTGACGGTGATGCTAAGCGGATGATCGGCCATCGCGTCGACGAGGACGGTGACATTATCGACAAATTCGGCAACGTCAAGGGTCACGCCGAGCCTTACGAGGAGCCGGAGGAGGAGCCTGAGCAGGAGGTTGACCTCTCGATCCTTGCCGGCTGCACTGTCAACAAGGCTGGTAATGTCGTCGACAGTGACGGCCGTATCCTAGGTCGTGTGGCCGAAGGCGATCCTTCAGTCATGATTGGCAAGAAGGTCGACGGGAAGGGTCAGATCTGGGACAACGCTGGTAATGTCATCGGCAGAGCTGAGCTTGTTCTGGGTGCAGACACTGCTCCCGAGGGACCGTTTGCCGGTTTCGACCAAGCCGTGGTCCAAAAGGATGGTACCGTGCAAACGCCCGCCGGTGATATCATTGGACGCGTTATCGAAGGTGACATCAAGAAGTTGGTTGGCCACAAGGTTGATCCTGACGGTGACATCACGGACAAGAACGGCAACACCATCGGCAAGGCTGAACGATGGGACCCTGAAGAGAAGCAAAGGAGAATTAATCCCATGTCCGGTCGCCGCGTCAACAAGGAGGGCGAAGTCCGCGATGAGAACGGCAATCTGATGGGCAGGCTTACTGCTGGCGACCTCGGTCACTGTGTTGGCCTCGAGGTTGACGACAACGGATATGTCGTTGACAACGATGGCAACAAGGTCGGAGAGGTCACACTCCTTGAGAACATCGTCGAGGAGGAGCCAGAAGAAGAGGTGCCAGAGGAGGAGATGACCGAGGAGGAGCGACAGAGGAAACAGGATGCTGAAATCGCAGACAAGATGGCCAATATTTGCCAGCAGACGCTTGAAAGAGTACAGCCGGTGTGCAAGCAAATCACAGACGTAAGTTATGAAACACCCTCAATATGCTGCCAATCACAAATACTGATCGTTATCCCCACAGCACATCGAGAAGGCAGACCGCACTCCCCGCGACGAGCTCGACGAAGAGGAGCTTGTCAACAACGTCAAGCCCCTCATCGAGGAGGGTGGTCGCATCCTACAAGAGTGCAACGGCGCGCTCCGCGGCCTCGATCCAGACGGCCGCATCGCCGCCCAAGCCAAGGCCCGTTCCGGTTCCCGCGAGGCTACGCCCGAGGAGTACCGCCTCGCAGATGTCCTCAAGGAGCTCACGACAACGGTAGTCACCACGATCGACAACGCGAAGAAGAAGATCAATGACATGCCGCATGCGAAGAAGAAGCTCAACCCGCTCTGGGGCCTCATGACCCAGCCGCTCTTCCAGATCTTGGCGGCCGTCGGTCTCCTGCTCGCCGGTGTGCTTGGCCTCGTCGGCCAGATCCTCAACGGTCTTGGTCTCGGTGGTCTGGTCAATGGTCTGCTGGGCGGCTTGGGCATCAATAAGCTGCTCAGTGGCCTTGGCCTGGGCAGTATTATGGGCGGCGATAAGAAGGACAAGAAGAAGGGCGGTGGGGTGTCAGGCCTGCCGATTGTTGGTGGCCTCTTCGGTGGAAAGTAAACGCAGCATCTGAGCGCAAAGAATGATACCATCTGGATCCGATCCAGCTTCGCTTGTGGGGATGAACTTGGATAGACAGTATGACCAAAAGCGGCATCTCTTTTGTACGCTATATCTGTATACGGTCTGTTGGTCGTCTTGAGTAGGGGTTCGTCAGCTTATCAGCGCGTTCCTTTTGTTCATGTTGGTCACGGCTGGCGGATTGTTTGGATAGCGTGCACGGTAATATGCTATGTATTTGTATCGTAGGATTTGTAGTAATATCACGACTCCCTGATCTTCAGTATTCACTCCACTTGTGCGTTGACTGCTTCTTCGTCAGCTGGTAGTAGCGGCCATGGTGTTCTGGTGAACCATCGCCTCATGCAAGTGCCCGGCATGGAAGTGGTGGGCGCCGACAAACGCCGAACCAACACCGCCTCTTGCCTCGACAAGCCATCCATGTTTCAGCTGGAAGCTTCAAATACCCCTCTTTCTCTTTGCTTCAGCAGTTTCCTCCAGCTCACGTTTCTCCTCTTGTTCCCCCTTCTCTCCTTGCCGCTTTTCATTGTCATTCACACAGACTTCCGCAGTACTTTCCCCTCGTAGTCTTTGCAATCGAGGTACGATGAACAACGGAGGGCCAGCTGAATCTCGCTCCGGTGCTTCTGGAAACGGCGGTTATAACATCACAGGTAGCGGGACGAACAGTCAGGTGGGTTTCTAGTGTACACGCTCACTTGTTGGAATAGTGGTATGCGTTCTGATTCGGCGCGTCAGGGCCGTAGTCGCGGCTGCACCAGTGGTTGCCCTGCCACCATCATCGTCTTCAGCATGTTTTACTCCGTTCTTCCCACTCCTTTCACAGTCTGTGTTCAAGAATTGGAGCAGACCGGGGTGTAGTCGCTCAAAAGCAGCCAGAGAAGAGAGAGTTTCAGTAGCGCTGGGGACCGAGGAAGTACTGATTCCATACTCTAGGGACGGCAGTTACCACTACTCGAATCCGAATGGGAGCACCTACCACAACGATGGTAAGGGGAACTGGAATTACAAACCGCCTGGAAGATAGGTACGGGGGATAGGTAAAGGAGGACAGCTGTGTGTGGTAGTCTTAGTACTTCGATTGCTGAGAAAAGAAGACTTCCGTGTGTAATCTTGTGTTATGAAAGAATTACATGCAGTGCTTGTTTCAGATCCATCATGTTCTGCTTTAATAACTTGTCGAGGCGAATGATGCACTTTTGCAAAGCTTGTGGTGTTGGAGGGGAAGGGCAGTTGCTCCGGGCCTGAAGTCAAGGGGAAAAGGATACTTATACGGGCAGTTACATGTTTCCGATTGTGGTAGTATCCGATTACGGTAAATTTACTACCCAGGTATGCGGGTGCTCACATACGCTGCTGCCCTCACAAACGCATCCTCTCTCCGCAACCACACAGACAACAACCTCACTGGAGTAAAGCTTTACTCACACCCAAGCCATGATCGGACAACTACCCTCAACCACCCCTCAAGCTCAGGATCTAGAACATCCACTAGCTTTTCCCAGGGCAGCTGGGTGTCAGTCAAAGAAGAATGGACGACCGATCCCTCGGACTCAAGCTCAGGATCAAGGACCCTCACGGCCTCTACTGGTAGCTGGGCAACAAGCGATGGCGCAGGGCCGATCACATCTTCGACCGGTTCCTCATACAATCCTCCGATCAGCACCTCGAAGTCAGGCCCGGACTCAGCATCGCGCGCGATCTGCTGGGACAACAAGGACTACACTGTTACTCGCAGTGGCACAAACAGTCAGGTTAGTTCTTTACCATTTGTCCTTTCCCTCTCCGCTCTCCAGTCGCTTCGTCAGTGATTTGAAAAGACATGCTAAAAAGGATGATGGGGCAGGGCAACCACTACTGCAACCGCGACTACGGCCCTGGCGCTGCGGATAGCTACCACTACTCCAACAGGTGAATCAGTTGCTCTCCCCTCCAAGTCAGGGTGCGGTTGAGAGAGTGCTAACAGGAACGACATAGAGACGGAAGCTACTTCTATCAGAATCCGGATGGGAGCACGTACTACAACAACGGTAAAGGATATGCGAAATTTGAGAAGCCTGACGGCGGGAGATAGGGGAATAGCTTGGTCATGACTGAGGAGAATGGGGGCAGTTGAGGGGGCATTATCTCTCAGCTCGTGCGTCGAGACATGTCCTCCATGTCGAGGCACGACTAAAAAGCGCAATCGTCCAAGCGGACGGGACTGCGATGTTCGTTGCATGACATTAATACAGAAGGCCCCGTTAGTGGTGTAGTACAATCCTCTTACTTCAGTAAGCGGTGTTCGAAATACTCAGCAAGCGGGCGCGAATCCGCGAATAAAGATATAGCTGTCCGGCTATTCCACACTCCCCAACCCGAACGCCAAACCATGCAACGCTTCCCAGAATAACGACGACAATGCTGGCGCTTAGTTCTTCCCCTTCTTCCTCTTCTTCATGCTTCCTTGCTGCTGCGCCGCAGTCGGGCCTCCGCCTTCAACCAGCACCGCGTCATCGTCGCTACCCCGCCCTGTGGTTGGCACTGGCTGTGTTGCTTTGGAGTCCTCATCTAGTTCTTTCATAAAGTCTGCTTGGATGCCCGCTTTCTTCTTCTCCCACCACTCTTTCTCCGCCGTCACCTGCGCCTGTATCTCCTCCACGCGTTTGCGGAGAAGCGCGTTTTGCGCCATCTCGTTGGCGGTCTGGAAGATCAGCTGGCCCCAGCCCGGCGCAAATGCGTTCGCCTGCCGTTCGCGGAAGAATTAGTAACCCGTGCTTTCTATGGAACCCTAGCCGTGTTGCAGAACAATATGAGGGATCGAGGCATTACGAACCTCGGCCACAACGTCCTTGATCTCCTCTTGAATCTCCTTCTCCGCCCGCAAGAACCGCTGCCACAGATCATCCCCCACGCTTCCGCGCTGCAGCAGCGATTGCAGCGCCGGCTTCGCGTTCTGGAGCTGCAGCACCCTGTGAATATCCTCGGTTGCGCGGCGCAAGAGCGCGGCTTTCAGAACGCTGTCCGGCACTTTGCTTGGTCCGCCTTCTCCGCTTTCGGACGGGTCAAGGTGCAGCAGGGTGAGGTATATGTTGCGCTGGAGGTGCGGGGGAAACCACGGCTCTAGGGAAGCGGCTTTGGAGAGCTTGCGGGCGCGGTAGAGGTGCGAGAAGGTGTAGAGGGAGCCGAGGAGGATGGTGAGGTAAGCGAAGGGGACGACGAGGCTAAGCCAGTTCACCATGTTGTCGCCTGGATATCAGAAGTTGGGGGTTCGAGGGATGGTTCGAGGGGCTCCCGGGAGGCCCAGAGGGACAAGTGCAAGGTGTCTTGTGCTCTGTAAAGGGTGTTTACCGCTCGTTCATTAGGCACACTGTCCTTTCTCTGAATGTTGCGAGAATTGGCGCGGAAAGGGCGGGAGGGCGGTATTGCGGTGTTATGGTTAACTGACAGCTGGCCCTCCACAGTCGCGAACTTCTGGCCACAATTCAAACACGCGCGGCGAATCGTTTGGCCGGCCAGCTCCTCCGGTCCTGTCAGGCAGTCCCTGATTACGTCGACGCGCCCTGACGCCTCTGCCGCCGAACCCGCTGGCGTGTTCGTACCGGAGTTTCCACAACGAACACTGCACCTCGTCTTTACCACTCCATTCACCTATCCACTTCCCAGTTCATCGCTCGCTGTTCTGGTCTGCCTGCCTGCCTGCCTGCCTGCCTGCTAACGACCGCCGTCAAACCTCCACCCTCGTCTGCGTAACGCCGCAAAATGCAGAAATCACCTCCCCGGACCATCACTCTCCGATTCCGAAGCCGGAACGGGCAGTTCAACCTGAGCGTAGACCCAAAAGGCGACTTCCCCTCTATCCTCCCACAAGTAGCTGAGAAGCTCCCGAAGAACGTCGACCTCTCCTCCATCACTGTCAGCAACAAGCCGCAGGGCGGTGATGCTCGGTTGCTGAGCTCGCTACGAGGCGTTACTTTCCAGCGGATCGATTTAGGGTCAGTACAAGATCGGTCTAGGCGAGCGGAGTTCAGTACTGACAACGCCGTCATGGTTCAGACATGGTTCTCTACTCTTCCTCGAATACCAGGACCAGGATGGTCAAGCGAACGGCCACGCTTCCGCGGACGGCGCCTCTGCTACGGAAACACGCCGGCTGAACGGCAGGGCCGTTGACCCTTCAGAATCTATATCTTTCGCGCCGCCGCCGCCGCTCGAATCGGCTACAAGATTCATCAAGAATCCTTGGGAAACCGTCAAGCAGTCGCCGCTGGATGACCGGTTAGACAAGCAAGATGGCAAGATACCGAGACCGCGCGATCCGAAGATGTGCAGGCATGGTCCGAAAGGCATGTGCGACTACTGCATGCCGCTTGAGCCCTACAACCCCACCTATCTCGAGGAAAAGAAGATCAAGCATCTATCCTTCCACTCGTACCTGCGCAAGGTCAACCAAGGGAAGAACAAGCCAGAGTCTGGAAGCTCGTATATGCCGCCGTTGAGCGAACCCTACTATCGCGTACGACCGGACTGTCCTTCCGGACATGCGCCGTGGCCGGAGGGCATCTGCACGAAATGCCAGCCTAGCGCAATCAGTATGCAGCGGCAAGAGTTCCGGATGGTGGATCACGTCGAATTTTCTTCTCCAGCTTTGATCAACACGTTGCTCGACTTCTGGCGAACGTCGGGGAGTCAGAGGCTGGGCATACTGTACGGTCGATATGAGGAATACACGGAGGTGCCACTAGGCACCAAGGCGGTTGTCGAAGCCATTTACGAGCCTCCGCAAGTTGACGAACCCGACGGCATATCGCTGGGCGAGTGGGAGAACGAGAAAGAGATCGACGAGCTTGCGCAGATGTGCGGCCTGCAGAAGGTTGGCATGATATTCACGGACTTGCTAGATGCTGGTGCAGGCGATGGTACCGTTGTCTGCAAGCGCCACATCGACTCCTATTTCCTCTCATCGCTCGAGATCATTTGGGCCGCTCGCTATCAGGCCAAGCATCCAAGGCCTACAAAATGGAGCGAGACTGGCAGGTTCGGCTCTAACTTTGTCACGTGCGTTGTAAGCGGTGACGAAGAGGGCCAAATCACAGTCACGGCGTACCAAGCTTCCAACGCGACCGTGGAGATGGTGCGAGCGGACATCATCGAGCCATCAGCCGAGCCCTCTGTCATGCTTGTGCAGGACGAGGACGAAGAGAGCCAGCTCGGCCGAGCACGCTACATCCCTGAGGTGTTCTACCGGCGGATCAACGAGTATGGCGCGAACGTGCAGGAAAATGCGAAGCCTTCTTTCCCCGTGGAGTATCTGCTTGTCACGCTGACCCACGGCTTCCCCACGTCGGCAAATCCCCTGTTCAAGAGGATAGAGTTTCCGGTTGAAAACAGGGAAGCGATCGGCGTTAGCCAGGAGTTCAGCACGCTGGCGAAACAGCTCAACGCGAGTGCCGGAGGACCGAATCTCGGTACGCCCAAGGGCATCGAAACCGTCTCAGACTTCCATATGCTGTGCTTCATTCACGGGGTCGGTATCCTAGAAAAGGTACGGTTTCTCCCTTTGCTCGGCCGAATACAGCCCGCTAACCTCTGTTTCTCACCCACTCTCCAGAACGAAGAGCGTCTCCTCTGCCGCGTCGCAACCCAGCACGACGCCTCGGACGGCTTCCAGCTGCAGCACAGCCCCGGCTGGGCGACGCTGCTGGCCATCCTCAAAGAGTCCGGTGAGCAGCGCCCTTCTTCCAAACGCCCCTTGTCGCCCACCTCTGCTGCTTCAGATGCTGCGGAATCGCTTGCTAAGCGGGTAAGGGGGGTTAGCTTGAGGTGAATGGTTCATGTGTATGAGATGACGCCATTGTACTTTCTTGCGATATCCCCTCTTCGTTTCTTTGTAGGTCCGTCGTATCACTAGAGATGCGCTTTACCCCCCGGGCTGGAAAGGATGGGGGAGTTGCTGGCGCGATCCGGCAAGGTTCACGATGGGGTTGGCTAGTCGTGTGAAACTGGGTTCGGACATGAAAAGGGAATTCGAGAGGCATAGGTTCAGCGGGAAGGATTTAGACCGGGCTTTAGGTCGACGGATCTGGAAAGCCTTTCAGGAGGCTCACTCTACCGCTAGAAATCGAACAAACAATTGAGCATGAAGACCTTGTTGCCTCTGACTATGCATTAAAGCGCACACCTCCGTTCATGATTCGAGGTCATGGAGACCGTCCGCTCTAAGCGCACAGCTGGCTATAGATGGGATGCCGCGAAGAGGGTTTCAATTGAGAAAATTCCGCTGATTTTACCATGTCGTAGTCCGCGCCGGGCGCTTTTCAGAATCGTTTACCATGGCTCCAATACTCTCCTGGCCTGGAACACTCTGTTAGTGATTATATAGCTTGACTGAATTACTTGCCTAGTGGCCTATTCAATGAACCTAAGCCTTGGCACACTGTACCTAAACTGGCCTTGAGTGGCTTCGCGTGTCCGTCGCGTCTCACGGAAATCGACCTCAACACCACCACCGTAATCCACGACAAACCACTAAAGATGGCCAACTTCTTCGACATCAAAGCCAGACAAGCCGCAGCGGCCGTCGCAAGCTCTTCGAAAGCACCCGCCGCAAAACAAGAAACCAATCGGCTACAGCCATGGGTAGAGAAATAGTGCGTTTATCTCCTCCACCCACGGACCTTGCCAGGCCGCACAATGCCAGATACACTGCTCCATCCTCGCAGACAGCACAAGGGACAACATTCTGAACAAAGCTGATTCCCATAGCCGCCCAAAATCCCTCGAAGAAGTCACCGCCCAAGACCACACAATCCGCACCCTAAGCCGGGTCCTCCAATCCTCGAACCTCCCGCACATGCTCTTCTACGGCCCCCCCGGCACCGGCAAAACTTCCACCATCCTCGCCCTCGCGCGCCAGCTCTACGGCCCGGACCTCATCAAGACGCGCGTGCTCGAGCTCAACGCCTCCGACGAGCGCGGCATCTCCATCGTGCGGGAAAAGGTCAAGGACTTCGCGCGCATGCAGCTCAGCAACCCGCCCTCCGGGCCTGCAGGCGAGGAATACCGCCGGCGGTACCCGTGTCCCCCGTTCAAGATCGTGGTGCTCGACGAGGCGGATAGCATGACGCAGGATGCGCAGTCAGCGCTGAGGCGGACCATGGAGACGTACAGCCGCATCACGCGCTTCTGTCTCGTGTGCAACTACGTCACGCGCATTATCGATCCGCTGGCGAGCCGGTGCAGCAAGTTTCGGTTCAAGAGTCTGGGTGCGGAGAGTGCGGCGCAGAGGCTGGAGGACATTGCGAGGTTGGAGGGGGTGCGTCTGGGGAAGGGGGCGGTGGATGCGCTGGTGAGGTGCAGTGAGGGGGATTTGAGACGCGCGATCACGTTCTTGCAGAGTGCGGCGCGCTTGGTGGGGGCGGAGCAGGCGGGAAGGAGGAAGGGCGGTGATCAGGACAGTATGGATGTTGATGAGGAAGATGGGGTAGCTGGGGGGAGCGCGATCTCTGCGCGGACGGTGGAAGAGATCGCGGGCGTGGTGCCGGATGAGACGATTGAGCGGCTGTTGCAAGCCATGCAGCCGCGGTCCAAGGGCGCAGTATACGACGCGGTAGCCAGCTGCGTGTCGGACATGGTTGCCGACGGGTGGAGCGCAACGCAGGTCGTTGGTCAGATGTACGAGAAGATCATGTTCGATGAGCGGATACCGGGGCTGCAGAAAAACAGGATCGCCATGGTCTTCTCCGAGACCGACAAGCGGCTGGTCGACGGCGCGGACGAGCATTTGGAGATATTGGATCTGGCGCTTAGGATATCGGAGATTTATGCAGGCAGCTGAAGGAACAGCAGTAATTGGGCTTGCGACTATTCTCGCGTAGGTGCAATTTCATTCCCCGGCGCAAAGGAGTTTCACGGGTCGGAGACAAAGCTCTCTGAAGTCTGTAACGGGGCAGGAGGGCTTGATTAGCGGTAACAGCATGGACAGGCACTGGCTACAATAGGAGGGCAGCCGATATGTAGGTTCATCGCTTCATGAGTCCACAGAATTAATTACATATCACAGCCAGCACCTACCCTACGTTACAGCAAAGACCACCAACATCTACTATTAACAAACATCACCAAGCAGAGCTCAAGTGTGGACAAAATCAACTTCCTGCAATGATGATCACCGCGGCCACTGTCTTCACCACCCTAATCGGCTCTCAAATTAATTGGGGCGTCTATAGCTTCCCTTTTGTTGTCGCTTGATGTCAGCTGTGCCTCCCTCAAACTCTCTACACAGGCGCAGAGTCCAATGCGCTCATGGAAATCAAGTACCCAAACGTCCATACCGGACATCATCGCATCGGAGTTCTTGGTCCTCTCGCCTTCCGTCTTGTTGGTCTTCTCCCTGCCGCTTCCAGACCTGTTGCTCTCCGTGTCTGATCCGTCCATACCGGACATCACCGCATCGGAGCTCGTTACCCTCTCGTCTTCCGCCTTGTCGGTCTTCCCTTTGCCGCTTCCAGACTCGTCATCCCCCTGCTCGGCACCCTCCAACTGGGCAGAAGGGCTCGCGTTCTACCCATCTCACTGTCAGTAAGAACGGTCCTTTCCAGTGCGGTCGGAGTCCCTTAGTTGCTTTGCGGTCCAGATCGTAGTCTCTTAACAGAACCAAATCTCCCACCTTCGGACTCTCCCATGGTTTCTCCTCTGCGGTTGACATTTGGATGTGTGCTCTGCGTGCAATTGACTGATCCCTCAACTCATCGATCACTGCCATCCTGTTTGCGAAGTGCACCTCTGCTCCGATTGGTTCTTCTCCCCGACTCCGCCAAAGTGAGGCTCTCGCTCGGCGCTGTAACAGTTCTCGACAGGATGGCGTCCGTTGCAAACCGTACAGCGAGGGAGATCGAAACAACGGGCTTTGGTGTGACCATACTGGCGGCAATGACCACGACAGAAGCGCTCCCGTAAGGTCATGCCAGGCGGCATCCCAACGATCCTTCAGTTGACCTTCCAGCGCTTTGCGCGCACGAAAAGTGGCCTTATCCTTCAAGGACTAGAAGAGCCGTGTGTGAGAAACCTGAAGTATGAAGATTGATTCTTATAATTAACCCACGAGAGTATCCTTCTCGATCCCTTGCTAATGAGTCGCTGTACGTGAGAGTAGCAAGCAAAGAACCATCTACACAAACTGTTTGACCTGTGGACTATGACGCATGAAGCGCCGTTTATCAAACACTGCGTGCTGCAAGACGAGTAAAGGTGTGTATTGTAAGAGAAGTCAAGAGAGCTTACAGGAAGAGTGACTGTGCTGCTGAATGGAAGGGATATATAAGAAGCATCATTCTTTTGAAGAGTCAGGGCATTCACTAAAAATTTCGTCTCCAAAAGCTCCACTGTAGGTTGGTTGGCAATCGTCTCGGCAATCTCAAGGGGAAGTGGTGTACTGGTACAAGCGTACTGTTGCCGCCCTACGTCGCGTGTCTTGAACTTGTCCACTTTGTTGCTGGCCTGGTTGATGCGTGTCTGGTCCGAATCCGCTTTCGCTCTCAGCTCGCGGTTCTCAATAAGGATACAGTAGCTAATACTCCAGATGCGCTATAAAGTCGCCTTCCGACATATGCTCTAGGTTTAGGACATGGTGAGCAATCCTGACCGACTTTGGAGTAATTGGTTCTTCATGCCTGTAGCACTATCACCATCATTTTGTCCATCTGATCCACAAGCCTGCCTTTCCAACTCATCTGCCTGGAAGCGGCGCGCGAGGAGAGAGCGGTTTTTTGCTATGACGCGCAGCATGCCCGGACACGAGAGAGTCCAGCACGCCGAAGCGTGCAGTTTGTCCCATAAGTCTGAGGCTTCGAGATAGATCTGGTGGTTCGTACGGAGTATGGCGAATCCTGACCCACCAGGAGCGCGGTATTTTGAGTGGTTCAAGGATTGAGAATTTGGATTGTCGACACATTCGACGAGATCTCCGATGAGTCACGAAGTATCGACAGACCCCACATACATATGGTGTAATAATGTCTGTGTGAAGAGCAAACCAATGTTCCCGAAGATGCCACGACCTCTTCCCGACAGGCTTTCCCCTAACATTGAACTGACAATCGCTGTCTATGCAGTCACTCATCAACGGTGCGTTCCTCCTTCGCAAGCTGTCGAATTACCGTTTTAGGTGATCCTTTGTGCTGAACCTGGACGTCTTGCAGCGGACCTCAAGAGGGAGGTCCATGAACCGCAGGACGTATTGCGGACCGAGGCCTTCTAGATCAAGCGAGCTCATCTCCGTTGAGACACCCATGGCGCCTGTAAAAACTCACATGACTAGGGGAGGCGCGGTTTTAGTGGTGTCTTCGGGAGCGGGCGAGACGACACGCCTGCCCTCGTGACATGTGGTGTCGCCACTGGCGGTCGCCACAGCATTGGCGGGGTCGGTCGTAGGTCGTCGTGCCTGTGACAGAGCATAACCAAACCGCCCAAGCTTGGAGTGACGGATCAATCTGTCATTATTTAGTATAAGGACCTGGCCTTGCTAGTTCGGAGGCCGCATTGAGGATATCTCCTTGCAGTCTGGGATGGTTTGCTCCATGAACCATCTTCCGAGGTCGGGCACGGAGGTGCGCCCTCTTGAGGCTGTGGCGGCCACAAATGATATAGCAACAATCGTTCTCGTAGGCTCCTCCGGCTTTGGCGCACTCCATTACGAAAGGTCGTAGACTCTGGCCACCTGCTAGGCTTGACCGAACTAACGGTCCATTCTTCCTGGGGCAAGTGAAACGGACGTGTTCGAAACGTTGAAGTCATTGGCAGTGCAGGTCCATAGAAAACCTGCAGCGAGTATCGCCAAATCAGAGGCACGGCTTTGGCGCTGAGGGTGGCTTCGGCGCTGAGGATAGCTTTGGCTTCAGTGGTCTAAGTTCATTTCTTTCTCCGGATTGGAATTTGGCTGCGTTCTCTGAGGGTACCGCTCCTCAAGCTCACAAACAATGCCTGCGTATTTCAATGGAACCGCATTGGGGAATAGACGACCAGCCTGGTCATTAGCATCCAATGTGTTTCCTACAGCGTTGTACACCCGTTGATGGCGTTCTTGTTGGCATCCAGTCCGTTCAACTCTGCGATGACTTCGTACTCGGTCGGAATCTAGGATCTACGCCATGTGCGGCTATTACATTCAGAGATTAAGGATTCTGTAATCTAATGACAGAGAGCATGCCTGTTTTCTGGTAGGAAAGGGGGATGCCCATGACTTATCTGCTCCCACGACCTTCGGATCTGTTCCACCCATTGCCCACAGATGCTCCTGGGCGCAACCACGAGGGAGATCCCTGGTCTGTCCTTCACTGACCGCATTACAAGGGTTGCTAGTAGTGTCTTGCCTAAATATGGGGGACCTCCACCGGCAAAGCCGTGTGTTCAATAGTGTAGAATTTCCAGAATTACCGTTCAGTCGCCATGGACGTTTTTCGTGGTATTCGGCCGCCGTGGACCTGGTTCGGTCCATCCACCTTCGCTTCCCCTCAGCGCCCCACAGGACGTGGCTTTCCTGGTGTACCAAGTAGCGGGCTCTGACGGCCCCATCGGCGTCGGTGTGGTGTTGGCGAATTGACCGCAGGCTTTTTAAGGCAATCCAATACTGTTCAGGAGGATCGAGGTGAGGCTGGGTAGGCAGTAGCGCGTAGTTAGCACAATATACCGGTCGGAGTTGGGTCTTGGCGAATGTGACTGTCCGACACTCTCGCTCGCCATGAAAGGACGATATTTAGGGACATTAAGGTCGACGATATGTTTACCTTTTGCCTTCGCGGCGACCTTCGCCCTGTCTGTGCGTCTAGAGCTAGCGTAACGGAGGTGGAAGTCCAGCCGGTTGTTCGTCGAGTCCATGTGTTTGTTCCATTCGCCAACCCAATTCTAGAGGAGGCTAGGCGGAGCGACGATTATGCCTGGCCCATCATGGAGAGCGAGTCCGCTGGCGACGCTCCCACGCTGGCAAGGGCATTCGAAGAAGAACTGGCGTCCGCCATGCCTAACGTCGGCAGAAATATACTCGACATAGCCACGTCCTGGGCGCGTAAACAGAATCTCCGCAACGGCGATGTGGCTTCCGAAAGATGAGATAGACGATATGTTGGCTCTACGAGGTGCAACCCTGGAGAGCTCTCTAGTTTTGTCTGCTGCCGCTCTTACACTCGCTTCTCCAACTTCTGGCGCACCTACGTCACGTCTTTAATGAGCCCAGGAGTTCTCCGCGGCTGTCAAGTTCGTCCCAGCTGGATCACCCATCGCCAGCCGCTCCATACAATGGTTTAGCTGGTTCGGTGACAAACCCCTGAGCCTGCAGTAGAGCCGAATTGCTTGTAACAACCGAGCCGAACGAGCCCGGCTCTAAGCTTACATTATTGAGGAAAGTCGTGCAGACGTTGCGGAGACCGGCACATGCGCGTTTTATATGGTATTGTCCACCCTCGAGTTTGTCGTAAGATACTGAATTCAAGGCGTCGACACAAGTCGAACCAGGCTTTGACCCATGTAGTTGTATTCTTGTACCTTTTCCGAGATTAGCTCCTAATGCATGACCTTCCAGAATTTTCTGTCTTATCCATGGCTTAGCATGACAACTCGTTGATGGCGTTCATTGTCTCTTTGTTGCATTTCGATTCTGCGCAGCTGCTGCTCGTCACGGAGCTGCTGCCTTACATCCCGAACTCAACCGCGATTGTGATAGTGTCGGTTAAGATGCCGGCCAGGTACTCGCCAAGGGAGTCTAATTTCTCGATCTCGTAGTTCGCCTTTCGCGCGTTGTCTAGGATGCTGGTGAACTTCCAGGTCTTAATAAATATCGGCTCGGTCGCCATCTGCGGGCTCATGCGTTAGCAGCCTGAAATCCTGTTCCCTCAGACTGCTTGACATCCATCGCCCGGCTACGAAGCAGACTCACGTCTAGATGTTTAGAAAAGCTAAAAGAGGCTGCAAGGGCTTCTACGATATAGAGCGGCGCCTTGAATTCCTTTTCGTCGGACGATGCGAGATCCTTCTTGTGAGATACTAAGAAAGGTTGGTAACGTCGTGGGCGCCAACTGGCTCTTTCTTCTTGTCTTTGCTCTCATTATCCTATGCTGCTAGCTGCAGCTTCTCTGCGAGTAGGTCATTTGTCTCCTTGTAGAGGAGATTGTTGTTGATTTTGTTATTTGCTTCTCATTGCATTTGTTATTGAGTTGGTTGTTTATTGCTTCCGCAGTAGTTGTTGAATGGTACCTCTTGAAGGTTTATCCAGTGGTTATATCGTGCTCGGTGCTCCTTGGCAACTTGATCTTCCGACATCTTCGCATACGGTTCGTCCAATGCCATCCAGTTCAAGCTATTTCCGCGAAGAGAGCTGCTCAGGCTGCTGTGTACTACTACAAGCGTGGCTGTACTAGCTCGCAGAAGCGCCTAGAGACCAGTCAGTAAGACTTTAGTTCTCTAACAGTCCAGTTCGGCCGCAGAACGACCCACAAGGGCCGCTGGTTTGGTGAAGGTGTGATCCTATCATCAGCAGCCGTCGGGGTATCATTCCTGCTGTGCCATTCTGAGGAAGCCTTTCAAGGGCTGTAGGTGAAAGAGGTTTCCATTAAGGTCTTCGTGAGTGCTTTCTCTAAGCGCGTCCGTTGTCAGCTATCGCTGTGTCGATAAGCCGTAAGTAAGCTTTGATATCCTGGCTGCAGTGGTTTAGGAATGTGGCCGCCATGCAAAGCGATCGGTAATGGCGTGTTACTCATCGTGACTCGCGCTGAT